GATGAAGATGAAGATGAAGATGAAGATGAAGATGAAGATGAAGATGAAGATGAAGATGAAGATGAAGATGAAGATGAAGACGAAAAAGAAGATGAAGATGAAAATGATTCAAAAAGAAGATGAAGAAGAAGAACTTCTCACGACACTTTGAGTTCCTGAACAATGATGGATTGCTTTCTGTCACTGGATTGCTTTCTGTCACTGGATTGCTTTCTGTCACTGGACTGAAGCCTCAGGTAGGAGTCAAGAAAGAGTGTCGTGGCCAGCACCCACTTCCACCTGCTGCAATTCACTCTCATGGCACCACTTCACTTCACTTCACCTCGCGCTTGGCTTGGCGGATGTCGTCGCCTAGGACGCGGTCTGGTCTAAACACAGACTGACTTGGTCGACTTCACCTGTTTGTCAACCATCCTCACCTCGCGATGTTCTGAGTATATAATCATCATCAGCGCCACCACATGTCAGATCCTCAAACCAATCAATCCACCAAATGCATCAACCGAGGCCTCTCTATAATAGCCTCGGTGCCACCGTTGATCGACAACGAGGTCTGGACAGATCTGGCCAGGTCCAGATCTATTCAACGGATCGCTTGTTGCCACAGTGCAACCAGTATATAGATAGGCAGAGTCTCTCTGAAAAGCCAGAGACTAGAACACAATCAACCAGATAGATTCACTCTTAATCTGTGTATAATAGAAGCGTTGGAGAGCAGTGAAATAGATTGAACTACAGCATCTGGAGATTTTCGAATCCGGCCTCTTCGCGACAGAGGACGAAGAAGCCGACTATGATGATGACGATCTAATTCTCTGTCCTGCTGGAGAACTTCCAGAAGATATGATGACAATTTAATAACAAAGGACCAAAAACTGCCTCTTCATCTTTCTCTCTCCCAAAGCAAAAGGCCCATTCCGCACATGATTCAGAATTCCGTATTTCAGAGTAAGGAAACTGATCATTCGCGATCGGAACCAGGCTCCTTAGAAGTCGTCCTTTCTTCCACAGCGCCAACCCAGAAGCGACGCGAAATCGTTGCCTAAAGGGTACAGCAAACCCTATTCAAGGAATAGTGTAGCGGATTGTGTGTTCGCCCCGGACTGGTGTGCGCGGCTCACGGCCTCCTCGGGGTTGCTACAGTACATACTTGATTATTCCCTTTGTCGTCCTTTACAGTAACATTAGGTACAGTAGGGGGTCGTCGAGAAATCGTGGTGCGTAACAGGGAAGCAGTAAATGCTCAGAGGAAGCAGGGACATGGGGTTCTACCAGAACCGCAAACTAAACGGCGGACAAGGGGAAGATTACTGCCGCCTGATTCTCGAGGAGGAGGCGCATCACACGAGAAAGAAGACAGGATTAGCCGGCCCTCAGATGAGCCAGTCAAGCCTTTGCAGACTGACCGACGACTACGGCGTGTAAAGGCGACAGCGTGTGGAGAAGTGCGAAGTGAGGTCAATGTTCCCCTCAAGGCAGGACGTACCTCATCCAAGCGGACTTCTAAAGTTGTAGAATATGACTAGCCTCTGCTAAGACAATTCTTTCCCACACCTTACGGTGCTGGCACTCTTCTTGTCCCTTCTTGTCCGTCAGTTCGATAAGGCCATTCTCAACAGACTCATTTGATGACCTTTCCACGAGTCAATGCCAAGATGACATTGAGCACCTCAACCCTGATACAGCGCTGTACTACTGTAGCGTTATCAGCAGTTTTGGTGCACGCCTCCGTACTGTACCTCCAAAATCCCTGAGCGGCTCTCAAAAGGTCCATGGTGAGAGCTTTGGAACCCAAATTGAACCCTGGATGCCAAAAGGGCCTCTTCAAGGGCTCGAAGTCGACCCTGAGAGCCCAAAAGGCCTATAGCCGATGTCTAAAGGGGACCCCTGAGCCGGAACCGGCTTCTGCGGTTTTGCATCAAGGCAATGCTCCCTGTGGCTCGCCCAGTGTTCGGGCGCGCTCCCCCGGCGCTCCCCCGTACTCTGCCGTGGCTCTCTCGACGCTCCGTCACGTGCACGATTAAAGCGGCCTCGCTCCGTTTCCTGAACGAACATGGTAATGGACGAAGCACAGTTCGGGGTATATATAATATATATATATATATATATCCATTGGCATGGCATGGCATGGCATGGCATCCGAGCGAGCACCTCGTTAGTTTTAAAATCTTTTTCAGAACCCTTCTGCATGACGCCGCTGTATTAATTGTCGGCAAAGTAGGGAAGGTAAGGAGGGAAGGCAGGAAATACGGAATCGTCCATCTGTATGTACGAGCTACAGTGGGTGGTGGCAATTCGCAATTCGCAATTCTCATACTATGTGCCGATGTTCTGGAGTCTGAGCTGTTTTCTTTTTGAGCCCTCTTCGGAAAAATCCCCCTGGCTCGGTTGAAGCTGTTGAGAGATGTGGTGGACATACAGCGAGCGTAATCGCCTCCTATAAGATGTTTGAGGGCAGCCATCGAAAGAAGGCGGGCTATTGTACGTCACTCACTGACCGCCTTCGCGGCCTTTGCACTTCCCTCTCCCCACCCGCTCGTCCTATAACCTGGAGCCAGACCACTCAGGCTGTGCTGCTCAGGCTGTGCCAAGCCATCCTCCTTCTTCTATCGACTCCCACCTCTGTAAGTCAAGACTCCGTGAACGCCATAATGCAGAACTTGACGCGGAAGTGGATGGCCTTCCAAGCACGAACGCAGCTAATTCATGACGACTGAAACGATTCCGCCCTCCAAAGTAGAGCTCTAGCCCCGCCCTTTTTATTTGTCGTCATAGAAACCTTCCTTCTCAAGTCTTCGCCGCGCCTCTTCCAGAGCCCACGTTTGTATCCTGGAATGGAATGTTAGCAATCGAGGTCCTCTCTCGTAACACATAATTTGGTGTGCAAAACGCCAGAAGGATAGATGAGTAATGTAGCTTCTTGTCCTCGGAATGCATTGTCTTGCTTTCTTTTTTGTCAAGGGGAAGAACTGGCGAAGAGCCAATCTCCATCCGCCCTGTCATCCCTGGCCACTGACTCGCCTAAGACGCAAGGAAGAGGAGGTACAAAATGGAGAATTGGAAAAGACAATACATACGAGGTATCCTCCTTCATGGTATAGGCTGCGACGGCCACTATCCAACTCGCGACAAATACCCACGCAAGGCCCTCCCACCCTTCCTTTTCGTATTTCTCTCCAGGTCTTTGTCCCCATAGCCATCCTCCCGGAGGGTCAAAGTGGTCGTCGTGTCCGTGTGCATCTCCATGATGGCTGCCGTGTGTGTCTTCCCCCCGGTGCTCATTGTGAGCCGTCGTCGCAGTACGGATCGAGGGGCGGGTGAGAGCTAAGCGGGACGAGGCGACGGTGGAAGAAAGGAGAGACGCCGACGGGCGCGCAAGGCGAGAGGGTAAGCGATGCAACATGTTTCTTGGGTGGTGGGCGATGCGGTTGTGGATTGAGCGTTGACTTGAGGTTAAGGAGATGTGCCGATCAAAGGGCACAGCGGCGGTCAGAGAGGTCAACTCGAGGGTCGCAGAGCTGGCCGAGAGATTGTCTTGTCTCGTCTCAGCGTCAAGCAGAGGAGAGAGTGTCGGAGTGGATGATGGGGTCTGGTTTCAATGAGCGGGAACGCGATCGAGGTCTATGTGGTGAGGTCCGAGTTGAGACGTCTCGAGTGCCAAGCCTTTGGAGCTCCACGTTGGAGAGCGAAAAACTCGGAACTACGGCCCTGACGCAGCGGCTGCTTCTCTTTCAGCCGGCGAGATGGAAACAGCCGACTCCAACATCACGGGCGGCTACAGCAACAAGCAGCTCAGGCATGTCATGGGCTCATTCATTCTTTTGTTGCTTGAAACTCTTCGGCGGACTCGGGCTACGGTTAGACCATGTCACTCACAATGGGATGATATACGCACACAAACCAGCACGCCTGTCCAACGAAGTCATTCCAAGGCCTGGACAATGGCCCAATACTCCCTATCACTCATGTCTTGCTCGTTGCCTCTTGCTTCTCTTGTCTTTACGTTGCTTTTTGCTAGTGCGTTCAATGGTTCGTGCACAGAAACAGAGAACTCGAACAAAGGGAACAGCCGACCTCCACCAAGTTTTGCACAGGAGATCGCTGAGACAGCCAAACTCCCCCATGAGAATCGTGAAAAAGCCGTCAACAATGCATATCCATCACAATGCCAGTGCCAAGTTCGTGCAGTGTGCACGTTTCCCTCTTCCAGGTATTACAAAAATCCTCGGTCTTGCTCTTGTCTTTGCCCTATGCCCTTCCCACTTTTTGCTTTTGGTTTCCAATGCCCAACCCCAATGCTGATAACGATATGCGCCGTTCCCATGCATCCAATTCGATAGCCCGAACTTTGATCATAAAGCGCCGTGCCGTCGTACTGTACAGTTGCTGCACAAGAAAATAGAAGGGAACCCTGTTTCGGTTCCCCATCTTCAGTTCGCCTCGACAACCTTTGTGAAGCTCAATGGCTGTGAAATCTCGCGATCAGCCGATGTATCCACCGCATCAAGGTAGCTGTTTGCACTCCTGCTTTTTGGGAGGCCAGGCTTCCTGGATTCTGGAATGGGCGATGAGTTTGGCGGTTCAAATATTTGCCGGAACACCGGCTCCGGGAACTTCGGTGCAGGCCGCTCAGGGCTTAGCGATACACCCTCCGCTTTCCGTACAATCTCTTTCAGTGCCCTTGTAATCACACCTGCCCTCACCACCAGATCTCTCAAGTCCTGCGTATCGAAAGGTAGCTTCTCGCGCTCACGGCCACGAACAGATTCCTCGCCAGGTGAGGCTTCCGCTTCCCTTCTATTTTGGTGAATGACCTGCAGAAAATTCTTGGCCTGCAGACTTTCTCCACGTGGCCGTCCGTAGGGAGATGTTGCTGGACTAGAGATGGACCGTCGATTCATTATTCGTCCCTCTTCGTCTTCGATGGCTCGTTTAGATGGAGGAGTCTCGTCTCCAAAAATGTCCGATGATATCGGTGAAGGTGGCCGAGGCAGAGCTTCGTCATCCTCATTCACCGTGGCCAAATCAATGATGCTCTCTGCATCTTCCCACAGTTGCCGCGAGTGACTTTCGAGGAGCCCAAGGGGAGCACCACGAAGACGTAGTCTCTTAAGCTCTTCGACCAGTAACATGAAATCTCGAACTTGGCCAAATTGTATATGGACACTTTGCTGGCGATCCATTATGGATTGTGGGACCTTCACGCTCCGAATCGATTCCCGGTTCTTCGCTCTATCCTCATCTGTCATCCCCGTTACTCCGTCGCCCACATCAACATCATCGAACTCGAAATCGTCACTCCATTCCTCGCTGACAGGCTTGCTGCCCAATGCCCACGTACCAAACTTAGTGGCTGACGATGGCGTATCATTCTCTGCTAAACTGTCACGGTTGACCGGAACACTCTGACTGCGGAGGTGCATGGCTGCATTGTTTTTCCGTCCAGATGGTCGACTTCTGCCAACATGACTACCTTGCTTGCCATGCACAGTTTGCGGCCGAGGACTGATTCCATTCGACTGATCACTGCCGAATTTAGAGTGTTCCGACCAGTCAAAGATAGAAGATCTCTTGGTAGATTGGTGTTCATCAACGTCATCTTCCGACAGCTGCTCGAAGCGGCTCTGGATTGGACTTGAAGGTACATCCTTTGCCGTCACTTGATTTTTATCATTATTAGATTTGGGGGACCAGTCGATATCATCGTCGTCATCAACATTCATCATGCGAGGGAGTTCTGGTTCCACTTGCCGCGGTCGTGGAAAGAGCTGCGTTGACGGAGGGGAAGAGCTAATGACGAGGGATTCACGATAAGTTCTCTTCGGGACCGGCGTTGAAACAAAATCTTCTGCCTCTGCTCTGGGGCTTTTAACGGGAGTAGATGCCTGGTCTGGACTGAATTCTTGCATCTCGCCATTGGCTTCAAGTCCGCAAATGCCCATACCAATATTAGCAGCTTCTCCATATCCTCCCTCCCGTGAGACGATCGACTGCGTATCATCTAATGTGGCTCGTTGCATCAAATCTTCTAGGCCAGCCGTCTCTGCCGGTTGCTGGTCAACCGACATCTCATCAAAAATCGTTTCTATTTTGGGTTGACGGAAGCCTGAATGACTACTGGCCGTGGCTCGAGTGGCTAGTGAGTCATACGCTGTGTCGCTGTGAAAATCCATCGAATCATCATCTGTAAACACTCTTGTATCATTGTCAGAGCTGACTGTGGTTGGATCCGAAGGAGCGACAGATATGCGTTTTGGTATGGTAAACCGGTTTTGTGGGGGACCGTAGGAAGGAGGGCTCGAAGTGAAGACCGGAGTGTCGGGGGGCAGATCAACTTCAAATGCGGACACGTTCGACATTGGTGATAGATTGGAGAAGGCACCCGACGGAACGATGCTGCCATAAGCTTCATCTTTGTTCAGCCTGACGATTGGGTCGGTGAAGTGGCGTGGGGGAATGCCTTTTCGCACAGAGCCCAATGTCCGGCGAATCTTATGCCGCCGTATCGAGGGTGCCGCTTGTGCATAAGGTAGGTGTGAGATTCGATCGTCCATGTCTGTCAAATCTCGAGGTTCTACGGATCCTCCGAGAAGTAGAGTAGGCGGACAGCCAGAAGGGGTGGAGACAGTCCGAGCACCAGGTTCTCGGGATAGTCCAGACGAATGTCTTTTCCTCGAAAGGCTTGTCTCGAAGAAAGGTCGCCAGGTAGGCGCGTGAGAAATATAGCCAGGGGACTCAAGGGTCGTGGATTCGATTGTCAGAGGTCGGGTGTACGGTATACCAGAGAGCGTTGCCGACCTTTGGTGGCTCGTAGCGGGACGTCTCAACAGAGCCGGAGGAGCACCGTCACCCGCAAGCATTCGCTTCGAGGACGACCGTTTGACCAGCTTATTGGGTTGGTCAAGGTCGTTCATAGAAGGCCGGGAGGGAGCAGGAGAGTCATCTAGTCTCGACGAAGAAGAAGTAGGGGTGCTTCGACTGTGACGGGAAAGACTTGAGATCCGTCTCAACCAGGTAAGGGGAGGTCTCTGTTCCGTTCCGTGTAACGACTCTCTGTGAGATGTCCAAGGTCTTAATATTCCATGCCTGCTAATTGAACTTTCACGAGAGTCTGTGCCCGTACTCTCTGTTACTGCTGAAGGAGTAGGTGTCCGGACAGTCTTCCTCCTCAAGATAGATGTGGACAGTCGCCGTTCCAGTCTCTCTGACAGTACCGGGGTCGAAGTAATGGGCTGGGAGGTATGAGGACGCGGGGGGTGTTGTTGTTCGGGAGAGATTGGAGAATGGGTGGCAGCATTGGAGCCGGGAGCCTTCCTCTTGCCCGGCTTTATCAAGTATGAATCCCCTTCAGAGGTACCAAGTGCCAGTCCGGCAGCGGCAACACCAAGAGTGCCAACAGCACAGAGCTGCATGTGAGGTTCAGTCAGTGTGAGCTGCATAGGAAGGTGTTTGTCAACGAGGGATTCCTACCGTGGCAATGTGCTCTTGTCTGGGTTCCATTATGCTGCCAATGCCAAATGCCCTCGAGGCACCGCAACCCAGACGCTCTGGAGGCTGCTGAAACGAACCGTCGTCATGGCGGGTTGACCATCAGCAGGAGACTTGGGAGGACGATGAGGGTTCTGAGAGGGAGAACGGGTCGTGGATTGGTTGGCTGTTTCTAGAAGACGTGTGGACGCAAGGGATATGGGTCTCCGATACACGCGGGCCAGGAAATTGGGCGAGAACACGCGACTGGTTTGGAATGGGCCGGGTCAAACTGAGAAGGAAGGCAGATCCGGTTGATTAAAAGTCTGAGGCGGGGGAATAGCATAGACACAAGAGACACAAGACACGAACAAAAGCACAAAGGAAAAGGGACAAGGTGTAGAAGAATGAGGCCTGGCGAGAGGTGTAAAGTGTGAACGGACGAGGTGCAATTGAAGGAGAGGAGGATTTGAGGAATCTCAGCTGTAAGCCAGTTTGAGTGGGTGGAGGGGCGCACACAAGGACTTTCCAGGCGGGCGAGGGCCTAGAGTGTTATTATTTGGTGTTATAGGCAATACCCGGCAGGGCCCATGGGTAAGGCTGGTCCAGGGCTGGTGTACTGGCCTTGGCTCATGTAGGTTGGATTTTATCTAGCATGTTGATCTCTCAGTGGCCCATCGACTGGGATGGGGCCGCCCTGGACGCTTGCGCTTTCGAATCGAAAGCCAGCCTTCAGATTGAGTCTGTATTGTCCCGTCGAAGTATGTACCATCACCGTCAGACAAGTCGGTCCTTTTCCCATTGCCATTTCCCTCATGGACCTCCACATCTGCACCGTGTCGGGAGCGGTGTTCTGCTGCGGTTTTGGATAGGAGAGGGTCGTTCAAGCTGCCCATGTCAGTTGCAGCCACCCACCCCAAGGCCCGTCGTTCTGCTGGTCCTGTCGAAAGGGATTCAACGAGGCCAATGCTGCTCATCCGGGTGGGAATCCCCAGCCGGTACCGTCGAAAGAGGTCTGGAGCACAGGGCAAGAGCATCCATCAGGAACCACACACACCTTCACGGCGTCTAAACGATCCTGGGGCGCTGCCACTGCGTCAAACCCAAGGGCTAGGGCGATTCCGTTGCCGGTAGGGTTTGTAGGACCAGGCCACTCGCTGCGTCCTTTTGCTCACAAATCAATCCGCGGCCAGCTACAGGTGCTGTAACCACATGCTACATTATTAAGAGGTATTGTTGCTCAGCCGCTACTCAACAAGACGTGGTGCTACAATTGTCTATCTTCAACAGTCTAGCTGGGATGGGTTTCGTGGAAGCCAGCATCTGAGCAGCAGTCGGGGGCAAAATCATCTCCTAATTGAGGTAGACAAGGCAGCTGACGTGCCGGGTTGACAGTGGCTTCCATAGCTCTGTTCTTGAACCAAGGCAATCTGGTCATCATTTCCACAATAACGAGTCATCAGCCATTCCGGGGATAGATGGGAGCCTGAGGTACGGGACGATACTGTTGATCATTGGAGTGTAAAAGCTCCAAACGCACATTGGAAATAGACTTCGTAGATGTGACTACACTTTGCATATGATATCGGCACAAAGAGCGCTCTGGTTCCTAGTACTTGCGTTTTCTGGCGTAGAACTTACTGTGAAAGGACCAGGTTGTTCCCCGTCAAACAGCACATCCATGTTCCAACAACGGCAAAGGAAGCAAGGGATGGCACAGGACCCTGTAAGTTGTGAGCCCGTAAGTTCATTAAACGGCCTTTTTCGGCGCAAAGGCGACCCGTGAAGCTACAGGCGTCATCCTGGTCAATTATGCTGGTATGGCACATGAAGGTTGGGAAAACTCAATTGAGAGCTGGCAAAAGAGCCAACGCCTTGGGTGCAACATTGTTAGTGCGCCCAGCCGGCTTTGTGTCTCCATGCATGGAGGAGACGACGTAAAAGTGCTTGATACCGGCCAAAAAAGCATACTTTGGAGAGCTGAAAAGGCAGATAGCGGGGCGCGTGAGAGTCTGGGAAGGCGACAGAGCGAGAAAGCGAGAAAGCAAGGGTCAAGTGCATTAGCGATGATGCAGAGCATGAAACGCGATGATGAACCTGGAAACCCAAGACCGAGGTGTACGTAAATGGCTGGTCAATCGGATGAAAAAGTATCAAGACGGATTTCAGTGGGCTTGATATGGCATCCGATGACTCGCTAGCCACGCATTGGCCGACACTATCGCTGAACGAAAGCAGTCACCGCTCGCATGGCACATGCGGCTAAACCAACACTGCTCAGAAGCCAAATCGAAAAACAAGTTTGCAGACCCCGAACAATAGTGTTGTTTGTTTGTTGTTCGGTTGCATAAGGCCGATCGCGCGGTCAGGGCGGAGACACGTCGAAGCTCGTTTGAGATTCTGACAGCCGAGTGGTCCTTAAACGGTGAGGGCAGGCTTCTCGTTTACCAGTAAACAAGGGGTCGTGGCTCCGTGCGGGTCGAGGTCCGTTAGCTGGTTCCTCCAAAAAAGGGAACTATCCAGCGCCATGATAGGTTGGGGTCTCGAATGACGAGATGTGGATGTTGATACGCTCAAAGTCAGATCTCGCGTCGCGTGCCAGTCAGCCTAGCTCAATTCGGTCTTGATGCCACACAATTGGTGAAGCTAACCGGCTGGTAGTTCCTTGTAAAATCCGTGTTTCTTTCGACCGACTGGTGGGATCCAGAGGTGCTTCTCAGTTGTCACACATCAGCCTAGGATGACGTGACACTTGTCAGACAATGCCATTCAGTGCTTGAGGGACACAGGGGGGAGATGGATTTCTGGAAGGACGGCAGCCGCTGATTGACCGTTCATGTTGCGTAGAAGTGGTTCAAGGTGGCTGCTCGAGATCTTGTCTGGACGAACCAATGTTGCCTCAGAGCTGTCATTAGCCAAGTTGGCGGGGGGCCCAGCCGCTCACAGGATCCAATCCTACAGGGTCAGCGGGACCATAATAAAGAATGCTTTTGCACCAAGGGGAAGGTCTTGGTTTGCAGGGTTTGCCTAACAAATTGGCCAATGCAAAGTTGGTGTTTGTGTGAACCAAAGCGTTACATGCTATAGCACTCCCACAGGATACCAGCAACTGCGAGTACATATGCAATCGACCAGGCCTCAAAAGAATTAACCACTGAAAATTTGCGGGGCCTTACACGCCCAGCTCGGAAGGTCCGCTTGACATCAGAGTTTGCAGAGGAACAAGAGGTGGCATGATGGGCGGTCCATGCGTCGATGACCAGGAAGCTCATGTCCGAAACAGGCAGAGAATCCCCACTGCGGCAGGCGTTTCACGCATAACTTATACGAGAGCATGGGTAGGAAGTCCGACCGTGAAGGACCCTCTGGTGGTGCCTATGAAAAAATTTGTCTCTTGGGGACCGGCCAGCTGCAGGGCAAGATGACATATTGTGAAACGTTATTTCTGAACCCATCAGCTTCAAAACAAGAACACCCTGGTCCTACCGGCAAAATGACGTGCCCCACGGAGGGGTATGGAGGCGTTGAAAATACGTAAGTAAGTAGGAATCATAGCTAGATTCGGGCGTTGTATTGAACGATGTAATAATAATACTCAGCAGATGTATGTACTTACTAGATATCTCAGAGAATCGCTTGAAAACGTTGATCATTTCCCTGGTGAAATGGTAGCTTGGGTTCTCTAGCCGCTTTGCGGTATCTTCTGGTATATTGACGCCAGGTCAGTTTCGCCTGGATCGTTGCTTCTCTCTTCTATCATGGTGAGGCTTGCCTGGAAACTGTCAGTTGCAGCACTGCAGGATTTGGTTAACGCCGGTCATCCGCGCTGCTGACTACTGCAAGACGCTGGTGATTTTTAGCGAGGCATTCCCTGCTTTAGTGTGGGTGCCAATGGCTTTCGTTGGGCGTCTTTTCCGGACTCATGGGGCACGCTTCTTTTTTGACGTGGATAGGTGCCGTCTTGCCTTTGGGGGTCTTCGCTAAGCGCTTCAACTTCCCCGCTCTCTGAAACCCAAAAAGCATCTCCACGGCGGAAAAAGCCAAAAATATGACGAGTAGCTCTCTTCATACGACTCAGTGACGTGGGTACCGAGTATGGCTGCAGGCATTGCGAGGACGCTGTGTGAAGATGGTTCTGTGACAAAAGGAAAGAGAACCTCACGACCGTCCAGACTGCGCTGGTACGTGCTGGAAGGGATGGCGCGCTGTGAACTAGGACATATCTGGTATAGACTGCCAAGGTGGCGGAAATTTCGGATTTAGCGTCTGGTGGCACTGCGCTGCTTGCTACTCGCCCTGGAGAAACCTCCCACCATCTAAAATTTTGTTAATTCCACCACAACTAACGATCGTCCTTGTCCCTTAGGTAGGCCCCGAGCTGAGACCTTTGGAGAAGATACATCATCCTACAAGGCCCCAAGCGCTATCCCGAGGGCTCTACCAAGTACAACAGCCCCTTTTCTTCGGAGAGCTCCGCAATCCATCCGGCATTTGGGCTGGCCAGTGGTTTCGCTTTCCTCGATTTCTGTCTTTCAGGCCTTCCGAAGAGGCAGCCAGAAACAGTGCGGAGAAAGACGTGACAACGGGTCCGTCAACGCGACAGCGTCCCGCCTCTCGCCTCCCACAGTCCCTTGTAATTTTAGCCACGCTTCAACTTCGAGCAGATACGCCGCAGACGACAACTCTCTTTTACCCTCCCACTCCGCATTCAGCTGTTGGAACTGGTCCTTGCTCCCATATCCGAAACATCTAGTGCCATTCCACTTAGGCTGACGTCCTCCGCAGCTTTACTCAGTTCTCTGAGATCACCATCAGTGCCCGCCTGAGATTGCGTAAACAAACCCCCTGTTGCCCCATATCAACGCTATCGACCGAGGTGGCGCTCTATTGAAAACGCCTTGGCGTTCCTTGTTGGCATCCTTGCAGTTATGGAAGCTGAGATCCAAGCGCAAATCCCCAGCATCGACCATATCCTTTCGGAATACTCCGTTGTAAGTCACGGGAGGCGAAACCCAGCCTTGTTTCATCCATGTTGTACCCTCTGCCTGGTTGTGTTACTGACTAGCTCCCAGGGATATCTTAATCATGCTTCCAAACTCTATTTCTCCGAAGACGATCCCTCTGTCCAATCTCCCCTGGCTGAAGCTCTTGATACTGTGACCTCTCTACTCGTGTCTGCCTCAGGAAACTTTTCTGAGCAGAATGAAGCTGCCATTCGCAACCTAGTCGAAAGATTCATCGCGAGGTTAAGCGAGGCAAATGGCATCGATCCTGAGCGGCGGCAGATGCCGTTTACGGCCAAAAAGCTCGAGCAGACCATTCAAGTCAGCTCGCAGCGGAATATTTCGTCTACGCTAGGGCTGACGAGCGCAGGCGTAGATCTCGAGGCCACCAATACCCGCAAGGTAGAATCAAAGGTCGACAAGAGGAAGCTTGAAAAGGCCGAGCGGAAGATTCGTGCCAAACAAGACAAGAAGGTCATGAAGAATGTCGAGTATGAGGCGTCAAGATTGCTGAACCAGCCAGACCCCACCCAATCATATGAGGAGTTCTTTATGACGGTCAATCCCCTGCAACTTGGTGCTGATGCTCAGTCGAAAAGCAAAGACATCAAGGTGGATGGAATTGACGTGTCCATTGCAGGAAAACGCATCTTGACCGACACATCCTTGACGTTGGCATACGGCCGGAGGTACGGCCTCGTCGGTCAGAATGGTATAGGGAAATCCACGCTTCTGCGTGCTTTGAGTCGGCGCGAGGTCGCCATTCCAACCCATATATCTATCCTTCACGTCGAGCAAGAGATCACCGGAGATGACACCCCAGCTCTTCAGGCAGTGCTCGACGCCGATGTCTGGCGGAAACACTTGCTTGCCGAGCAAGATAAGGTCTCGAAGCAGCTCGCAGCTCTTGAGGCCGAGAGGTCGAAGATGGCCGACACCTCGAAGGATGCCGGGCGGCTGGACAAAGAAAAAGATGGGCTGGACACTACCTTGGGTGACATCCAAGCCAAACTGGCCGAGATGGAATCTGACAAGGCCGAGTCTCGAGCCGCTAGCATTCTCGCGGGTCTAGGGTTCTCGCCGGAACGTCAGCAATTCGCCACCAGGACATTCTCAGGCGGTTGGCGAATGAGGCTGGCCCTGGCGCGGGCATTGTTCTGCGCACCAGACTTGTTGCTGCTTGACGAGCCTTCCAACATGTTGGATGTCCCATCGATCACATTCTTGTCGAACTATCTGCAGACATATCCCAGCACCGTCTTGGTGGTCTCACATGACCGTTCCTTCTTGAATGAAGTCGCTACCGATATTATTCATCAGCATTCAGAAAGACTGGACTATTACAAGGGGGCCAACTTTGATTCGTTCTATGCTACCAAGGAGGAACGGAGAAAGAACGCCAAGCGCGAATACGAGAATCAAATGGCGCAACGGGCCCATCTGCAGGCCTTCATCGACAAATTCCGATACAACGCTGCAAAGTCGTCCGAGGCGCAGTCACGTATCAAGAAACTGGAAAGGATGCCGGTTCTGGAGCCCCCCGAGGACGAGTATACGGTCCACTTCCGGTTCCCAGATGTGGAAAAACTTTCACCGCCAATTATCCAGATGTCAAATGTCTCTTTTGGCTATACAAAGGAAAAGCCGCTGCTTCACAGCGTGGACTTGGACGTTCAACTCGACTCCAGGATTGGTATTGTGGGGCCCAATGGCGCCGGCAAAACAACGGTGCTGAAATTGTTAATTGGACAACTTCAGCCCACCACTGGACTGATCTCGCAGAATCCTCGTCTCCGCGTCGGATACTTTGCACAGCACCACGTTGACGCCTTGGACATGAACACGTCTGCGGTTGGGTTCATGCAGAAGACGTACCCGGGCAAGACCGATGAAGAGTATCGGCGACATCTCGGAGCATTTGGGATCACGGGAATGACTGGGCTACAGAAACTCGAGCTGTTGTCCGGAGGCCAAAAATCCCGAGTAGCATTTGCTTGTTTGTCCTTGACAAACCCACATATCCTGGTGCTGGACGAGCCGTCGAATCACCTGGACATCGAGGCGATGGACGCGCTTTCCACAGCCTTGCAGCAGTTTCAAGGCGGGGTTTTGATGGTTAGTCACGATGTGACGATGCTACAGAACGTCTGCACCAGTCTATGGGTCTGTGACAAGGGCACTGTCGAGAAATTCCCTGGCGACATCAACGCGTACAAGAAAAAGATCAGTGCGCAAGCGAATGAGGCTGGAGTGGTTCAAGCACATTGATGAGGATACGGACAATACGAGAGACAGAGATCATAGAAATAGTGATGAAACACGGAAGCAATGGCCTTGCTATGGCACCGGGCGAATTCCGCGAATAGATCTATATCAATCCTTCTCCTTGTGACGCGGCTGTGGGGCTTGTGCTCCGGATACTTGGAGTTGCCGGGCAATCAATTGAAGGGCGCTGTTGTGCTACCACGTATGCATATTGAACAACAGCAATCCTGTATACTGTTTAGTTGATCGCTGATTGTTGACTCCAGGTTAGGTAGGTGGTATTGGTGGTACATAGGCTGTACAATGAAGCATATCGGATATGGCGGCATCAATGTCCGACTCGCCACTGGCGTCCAAGATCGATGTGGGTCACCATCCTACGCACCGTGATCCTCCCAAGATCCTTCCAAGCTTCTTGGCTTCCAGATGCATGAAGATGCAGATATGAGATCATCGACTCGTTGTGACAGACACTGGCGACAACCCCTTCCGTTGTGCATATAGATCCAAGGCAGGACCTGCATCGCCATCATGGGTCTTTCTTCCGCTGCTGTCCGCAAGAGGCGTCTCCTCCAACTTCGCCCTCTACACCCTCACTGAAGCTTGGTTGAGCGGCGCCTAGCTGTTGACAGTGATATCTTCCCTGGTTTCACAAACCCACCTGAAAATCATGAAGACATTCTTCGTGGCAGCGGTGACGCTGTTCGCCGTCCCCTTCACCGTCGGGCAATCATCCTCTAGCTGCGGTCTGGCACCCTCCGGCTCCATCCAACCCTCCCTCGCCTCCGGATACCGCATGCAGGTTGTTGCGACCGGCTTGTCCAAGCCTCGCGGTATACTCCTCGACAAGGCTGGTAATCTCATGGTTGTTGAGCAGGGAAGAGGCGTGATTTCGGCACATACCCTGAACGAGGACAATGCGGGCTGTGTCTCTGTTGGCATGTCTACAGACGTCACGTCAGCGTTAAGTGTGAGAGCATTTGTTGTTGCTTGATGGACCACGGGAGCTGATATACCATAGCTGAATCATGGCATAGAGTTGTCCAACGATGGGAAAACTCTCTATGCTTCCTCTTCGGACCAGGTCTTTGCCTGGCAATATTCCCAGTCGTCGAGGACCGTATCGAATCGCACTACAATCGTCACCAACATGGCTGGCACGGACCACACCACTCGCACCCTGTTGCTCTCCAAGAAGGCCCCAGGTCTACTTGTGGTGACCAGAGGCAGCACCTCCAACATTGACTTGGCAGCTGCAAGCTTGAGTTCGGGTCATTCTCAGATCAAGGCGTTCAATTTGACTAATCGGACCAGCACTCCTTATGATTTCAGCACAGCCGGGCTACGACTGGGTTGGGGATTGAGGAACGATGTTGGCATTGCAGAGCATCCTGTTTCTGGAGGAGTGTTCTCTGTAGAGAATTCTGCCGATCAAATCACCCGAATGGGCGTCGACGTCCACCAAGATAACCCCGCGGAAGAGTTAAACTTCCTGGGGTATCTGAATGGCACCCATTACGCTCACCAAGGCGGCAACTTTGGCTATCCATGGTGCTTCTCAGCATGGGCTGTTGAGGACCTGCCAGACCATACCAACTTGACGGTTGGCAGCCAGTTTGCCATAGACGCCAGTCCTGACTCCAACAACCAGAATCGGACTGATGTTTATTGTGCGGAGCAGTTACCTGCACGTTTGGTCTTCCAGGCTCACATGGCCCCTCTCGATATCAAGTTCAACAACAGTGGCACGGAAGCTTGGATTACCTTCCACGGCAGTTGGGACAGAGACACGCCTACTGGGTATAAACTGAGTGTTGTGGCGTTCCACAACAGTGGCCAGCCCGTTGACGACCTTCAGAGTAAAACAGCTGCTCGTGATATCTTTGCTAACGCAGACAACTCAGAGTGTCCTGACGACTGTTTCCGACCTGTTGGCATGGCAATTGATGATCGTGGCCGAATCTTTGTGTCGTCGGACGCTTCAGGCGAGATCTATCTCATTTCAAAAGTGTCAGGGGGTAATGGGTCCTCGTCCTCTCCGAGTTCATCGATTGCAGCGTCCACACCATTTTCCCTATGGCCCGTTGCGTTGTTTTCATGCATTGCCATCATAGGTGCCCTGGTGATATGATCTGTCGGAAATATAGAGGGAAACGTTATACATGAGATCACAATTCATTATCTGCATTTTGGGCGAAGCGGGTCGATCGGCCATGAGCGAACACGAGGAGTTACATCAATTTTTCAAGAATACAATGCCACACCTTGACACGTTGCAGATGTTCACTTCACTTTTGACACTGACGACTCCTTCAGACTAACATTCGATCTACCCTTTGGAGCAGTTAGTTTCAGTGTGAAGCCGCTTCTGAGGTTCATTACACACTCACCCTGTGCTTTTTCTATCTCCTTTAGGGTGACCTCTCTTCAGCGTGGTGGCTCCCGAAGCTGTTGATTGTTGACGGCCCTCGGTGTCGGATCATGGATTTTCCGACAGTCGACATGGCTTTCAACAGCCTCGTCGACGCCTCCGACACTGTCCTCTCTGATCCACCCACAGAACTTGACGATATGGACTTCGAAATTGAGCAGAACTTCGACAAAATGACACTCGCTTGGCCTCTTCCGAGGGAGGGTCTGAAGCGCAAGTCAATTTCGCGCTCAATCATTTCTGATGATTCGATGAGTGACACTACCGGTGTGGAGGACAACTGGTCTCTGTCAAAGAAGCCCAGACTATCTCTTCATGTCCACAGCAAGTTCGAAAGCGTCCCAACTGAGGTCAGCTCTGAGAGACTTGAGCGTGACACTGCCTCTGACCAACTAGCAGATCCTAAACGAGGTTGTGTCATTTCTGCACGATGATCAAGATCTCTTCAACTTGACGTGCGCCTGCAAAACCTTCGCCAACGCTCTTATTCCACCTGAGTCGGCGGCCTGGCGCCAGCGCTTCAACTCTGTATTCGACTGGCCGTTCATTGATCATTCGACTGAGTTCGCTCCAGCATATCAACTGCGGAAATTCGTGCTCAAACATTTTACAGAGTTTACCGACCCAGATGACGAGAGACTGCTGGTTCAATTGGAGGTTGTGAGGGACATGGTCTTGGGTAAGTTCACGTTGTGCTACACAGTTCCGAGAAGCTCATTTTCCGGGGCAGAGGCCTACCATCAACCCCAAAAGCATCTTCCTCTACCGTCGACATCTCCCAATCTTGCGGCATTTGCATCTCCTCACGACTCACCGTGGATGCGAATGTTTCTATCATGTCCTTTTTTTCCCAGTCGCAATCAACGATACGGCCAAGCACATCCACTCTTCGATTCATTACAGCTGACCCTATCACATCTGCTGCTGTCACCGGCCTCCCAGATGGCCCATACTGTGCGATCATCGAGGACGAACTATGACCTGGCTGTTGTGTACGATTGGGGTCAACCCTTATCTCTTCTATATCGCAAATTGACACATAAGATTGCGGCGTCAGTCATGTCCAAGGCAAGGGGGAAGCCAAGTAATTTGAGATCGCGCCGCAGACTGCCTCGCAAACCCACCAAGCCGACGCACGAGCTGGACACCTTTGCGTTGCTTCATATTCGCAACTTCTGGCATCGTCATCTGATCGAAACAGGAAAGGGTTTTGGATCGACCGACATGGCTGAGAACACATATGCTAAGATGGCAAAGGAGCTCATGCGCCATGGGATCACTCCAAAGAAATGGGAAAGGCCACTGAAGGAAAATTCATTGCTACAGATTCCCACGGAGTGGTACGGACACTATTCGACGCTTGCTAACTGGCCAAGGAAGCGGCAACAGCTGGAGGAAGTACAAAGCCTCGCTGAAGATTGGCAGGATGTTGACCCTATGGTGAGTGATATAGACTCATCATTCCCTGAATAGTCGGTGCATGGTACTGAGTACAGGATCAGAAACTTGATTTCGCCATCTCCACGGATAATAATGTCGATGGTTTCTGGGCTCCCATTTTCAAAGGTATTCCAGCTTTTCAGAAGACGATGCCGGAGCTCACATCCTCTCAATGCATCTTCATCCGAGGACTGGCCTACTTTGTACAAATATCATCTCCTAGCAATGTCAGGAGAAGTTCTGACCCAGTGTCACATGCCACACTCACACTACCAGCGGTGTCACGGTTACCCAAATATCACCCTTACTTGGGCCTGCGTCTTCGGGGCGTCATACACTCCATCCCTGCCCAACCGCAGCCGACGGAGGACCTGGACACAGACTACAGTATTCCAGGTTTTAATCGTCTTGTCATGATGCTCTACAAACCTTCAAAACGCTACCTAATCCAGGTCCTCGAGCATGCAGAGGAAGAGTATGGTGATACGTTTACAACTGCCCTTACGACACAGATGATACAAAATAATGCTGCCGCCGGTGCAGGCACAGCTACAACCCTTGATCCAGTCGAAATCGACGCCGGACTCGATAACTACCTCCGCTCTAAACTCCTCTCAAACCCTCTCTGGTGCGACGGCTCCAAGCTCGACAAAGTCGCTATCGAGGAGATGGAGGAGAGATTCAGACTCAGTGAGTATTTGGACTGGAACGACATTGAGTATGCTTATGCCTACGAAGGCATCTTAAATCCTGGTGGGAAGATCATGATGGGAAGGTGGTGGCGGGTTGCTCTACTGGGCGACGGGGACGGCATGGAGTGGAGCGACAGTTTGGGATTGTGGGACGATGAAGACGAAAACACTATGGACCTGGATGGGGCAGGAAGTGAACAAGGGCAGAACGAAGCTGAGAATTCTCCCGCAGAGACAGGGGGAGCTGGACAGACCTCTGGCGCGAATGGGAATGGAAACGGCAACTCGACGACGACGACGACGACGACGACGACGACGACGGGTGACGGTCGACATCAAAAGCGAGAGCGAGGGCCCTTTATTTTCTGGTGCTGATCAATCCTTGGAAACAAGACACGAGTTCTCAAAGGAGCTTTGCGCTCATTCTTGTTTGGGGTGGGGGGGAGGGATATTCCTGGGATTTTTATGGAGTCCCTAACTGGATATGACAACGGCGAAACCAACATACAACGGAAGGAGACCTTGGGTGACGCCTCAAAAAGCAGAGCAGAGCAGAGCAGAGCAGAGCAGAGCAGAGCAGAGCAGAGCAGAGCAGAGCAGAGCAGAGCAGAGCAGAATATTAGAAGACCCCCGAGCTACGCCGTGGTTTACCTCTGCCTTGATTGAGCTTGACATGTATGAAACCTGATCTGGAATAGAACTCGAATCGGCGCTGCTGGGGGGCGCCAAACCAGCTCACTGACCACACAGTAACGTAAGAGTAATACTTTGCTCTACGTAAGTGATTATATCCCTTTCCCTCACCTCCGGAAGGATACATCTGTACCAGCACCCAGGCTAGGTACGTCAGCCCAGGTATGGAGGTATGTTGTGTATCTGATGGAGTCCTAAGGCTTCATATCGTCACAACAGGACATAGTATGAGACTCTTTTCAGTGCAGAAGGTTGAACCCATTATGCCGGTCCGGGATGATGTGAGCAAGCAAGCGAGCGAGCAAGCCAGCCAGCCAGCCAGCCATTCTCACGCCCACACAGCCGGAAGAGCAGACCGACAGATAGGTCGACAGAGCAGAGACATAGCGCTGAATTTTTGTTTTGGGGACGTGATGTCAGAGTTATTGAGACAATGCGACCTCGAACGAGCGAAGAAGCCATTGATTACGGAGGTAGGTACATAGGTATTTATCTATGGAAGTTGAACCACGTTGAATCCAAGTAGTCGAAATCGCTCGCTGAGATGCGTTTCTCCAGCGTCGCGCCCTCAACACTTCCGCTTTCGCTTCCGCCTTCAACAACAGCTGGGTAAACGGCACCGCTCATCTCAGCAGTGTCCATGGCGGCGCGTTCCAGGCGGGGAGATTGGTCTGGGTAAAGCTTCCCACCGGGGTGGAGGGCTTCGAATTGGTTCTGTGGATGTTGCGGATACTGGTCGTCGTCGAACCCGTACGTCGTATACGGTGCCCGTTGAAGCAGCACTTGAGGGTCGTGTGCAGTCACTGCGTCCGGAGAAGCTTTCCACTGGGGCGCACTGGCGGGAGGATAGTCCCACGACCCGGCGTAGCGGTGCTGCGCGTTTATATGTTCTTCCGCATCTTCTGACCACGCGTCGCTGGTGTTCGTCGGGGCGTAGACGGCGTCCATGTCTGGGAATTCAAAATGCGAGGTCTGGCTATTCGTGGTCGTCGCTTCGACGGGTGCCTGTCGAGGTTCTTGCACCCGCGACGGCGTCGACATGGACGTCGATCTGCCGGTTTCTTGTAGTTCATCGCCCTGGACCTCGACCTCTCGATCCCTTATTTTCCGCATCAGCTGCAGAAACTGGCTGTTTTGGAATTTCTCGCTGTTATCGTGTGACACACTTGTGAGAAGCTGGCCTGCAGTGCGGGCCAGTTCATCCGCGTCACGGGTGTCTTGTTCTGCTGTGCGTTCCGTTTTCTCGCGGTAAGCAATAGCATCACTCCCTATTCGTGCGGTTTCTCCTTGGTCCAGTCGTTGCACGTCCGCGTTAGAGATCATGGCATCAGGATCTGAAGAAAGTCTTGTTGCGCGTTCTTGGTCCATCTCTTGAGCGTGGGCGAAGGCGTCGGCGAAGGCGGCTTCGAAATCCACGTCGGAGATGTGTACCCTTTGTTCCATACTCATCATTGTCGACTGCTGTATTTGTTGCTGTTGTTGGAAACCCCCAGAGTATGATTGGTACATGGGCTGCGAATGGTCCATCATCGACTGCTGGAACATGCCAGCATTGCTCAACACTGGACCATCCCGCACTGCCTGCTTCCCTTGCGCAACCGGCGTACCCGCTCCTGACCGTTGGCGCATAAACTCGTTCTGCCATGCGCCGAGCGTTGTTGACTTGATGAGCGGTGCTTCAGTGCGAAATTGTCCCGCCGGCACCGGTTGTTGCTGGGATATGGATAGCTGTTGAAAATCGGCTGCCCAGCCTGGTGCCGGAGCAGGAGGGCCATGGCTTTGCGGGTGGAATAAATCGGGCTGCTGGAACTGGAACGGCTGCGGCGTGGACGTCTCAAAGGCATGGAAGTCGGCGTCGAGAGACCCGGCTCGAGGGTCGCGGGTGCGAAAGCCCTGCAAAGAACCAGAAGTCAACAGCGGACCGAGCAATAGAGCGGGAAGATTGACTCACCTGGCCAGGCGACTGTCTATTACCGACCAGACGGTCCTGCTGCAGCGTCCGGTCTACCTGGGTGTGTTTTTGCAAGCTCTGAAGCGGGTTGGAGGGCCCGCAGAGAGCGTCTGTCATTGTGACGAAGTGGGGGGGGGGGGGGGGTGGTAGGGTCAAGGAGAGATGTGAGTTTGCCTGGTGAGAGGCATGTCTAAATAAAATGTGATAACAAGACAGGATAAAGATCGGGATTCGGGTCGCTTTCGGCCGCAGACAAAGACTGGCTTGACGTATTGTATGTATTGTAGGCGAGTGTGGTGGTTGATGAGCAATTCACACACAGTTCGCCATCGAGGATTTGATGCCGAGGTCCAATACGGATCAGGCTGCGGGAAATTATTTACCCTGTCAAGCCCTGTGCAAGCCTTGTGGCAACCGGGGCTGCTGCCCGACGAGGCTGAAGTATCGAAGCGACATGGGAAGACGGTCCCCGTACTGGGTACGAGGTTCTCTGCATATGGGTAGATGTGGCCATGGCTGCACGCTCACTGCCCGCCAACCCACCGCCAGATGCCCTTGGTCTCCTCCCTCCTGATGTCCATCCCGGCCTTTGCCAGTAGCTTCTCCGCCTGCCTCCATTCCCCCAGCTTGAAGTATCTAGGCTGTCGTTCGATGCCTTCTGCCTGCTCTTTCCTCCTAAGCGCCCGCTGTTCTTCCTCAATCTTGTGCTTTTCCCTACTGGCAGTGCTCGTTTCGCCCTGCTTAATGGCCTCAGACACCTTGTGCCAAACCCGCCTACTTTCTAACGGACCCTGCTCCTCCAAAGGCTTGACCACCATCGCCGGGAGGTTGCGTGCCGCCGCCGTGTCCACCACTTCAATCGGTCTCCTCGCTGAATCGTAGATGGTAAACGCGCCGCCCACCCACTGACCTCGGACGGTAAACAGTGGAGAGCCGGCATGCCCTTCATGGTAGAGCTTGGCATGAAACGAGTTCTTCTTCCCCCTCAACCACGCTCGGCCGGAATACTCGATTTCGGCCATGATGCCATTGCCGCCAACAATGTAGTTCCTGCCTTCGATTTCTGGGTAGGGCGGCGGAGGAATCAGTCCTTCTAGACGAAGGCCTGGTAGGGTGACCAGATAGTCTTCGTCAAAGGCATCCAGGTGGAGCAAGACATGTCCAATTCGGTCAATGCAAGGCCTGCCCCTGAAGTATGTTTTCTGCCGATGATAGCCTTCCAATGTGACCTTGTACTTTTCATTTCGAATGTGATATGCCGTAATTGGCGGATGGTGACTGACCTGCTCGACCACAAGCTCTGTCTTTCCATTCTCCCCATCCTCCCGGTGGGCCAGAAAAAGCTCTCCAAGGATGGCGTTCAAAGGTTTCCTTTTCATCCCACGCTGCTTGGACCATTCCGCCCGAAGAGTGCTCAGATACCATTTCAACACTGCAAGGGCACGAAGGACCTTGGAGCCCTCCTTCGCTGGCGCGACAAAGAGGTATGGATCTTCGCACCAATAAGATGGAAACTCCGTCAACGATGTCGGGCTGAGGATGAAAGCCGGAGCGGTGATGGCGGATAAATCTCCTCCGAAACCTCGCAATGACTAGATCTAGCATTGGTACCGGGTACGCATTCCCACGCAATTGGTTCTGGGTTCATGTTACCTTGATAAATCCGAAGAATTCAGCCATTCTCCCTGGCGTGAGCGGCGTGTTGTCAGACTCATCATTCTGGTCTTCAAACGTCGTTCCATTCATGATTGCTACAGGCTTGGATTGCGCCTGGGTGATTCCTTTTGCTTTTGGGTCGATTGGTGAACGGCTCGATCTGTCGAATGGAGAGTAGAGATAAGTTTTGACAGAGATGGGTTTCATTCATGAGAACTTAGGGAGCGTAACTTCTCCTGTACAGCCGGTCGTAAATTCCCAGCACAGAGAAGGAGCGCAAGACACTCATCCTCGAGTCTGGGAGATATATATATATATATATATATATCGAGACGCGGCGTGTCTGATATGACCTGCGAAATATGGTCTCGTGCCAGGCAGAAAGTCATTCAGAATGCTGGATGCGGAGAGTCGCGGCGGAGTCAACGAAACTTCGGCGCCGCATCGGGTGCGAAACTCAAGCGAACTTTCCCTCTGGATCCTCCTAAAAATGATGACATTTACAATTCTGTCATCTACCAAATAGCACGCCGTCTATCTAAGAGTATGCATACAGTGTACCAGGACATCACAATGAAGCCAATTGCCCGCACATCTAGGTCGATCAGAATATCCAAAGCCATGCACCAGCCATGCCCATTACAAGTCCTGCAACCAATTCGCTCGCACTCCCACGCACTTCGACTAGACCTGCTGCAGAATTGACTGAAGAGCTTGCACTTGCACTTGCACTTGCACTGGACGAAGCCGAAGCCGTCGAGGTTGTCGACGAGCCAGTCTCAGTGCTGGTTGTGTCATTCACCACGCGGAACCAATTGGCGGCAATCGGTTGTCCCAGACCAGCAGCTTCAGCAAAACCAGACATGTTGAAAGGGTATCTCGCATTCACATCGGCGGGTGGGCTGAATGATATATAAGCCTGCGGAACAGTAAAGTCCTCGGGCTGAGGGTAGAGCAGTAACGTGTATCTGTGCGGTCCATCTCCTGCAGGCGGCGAGGGAGTCAGATACTCCGCGCCGACGGCCGTCGTGGCATTTCGTGCATTTGGCTCAACGGACAATTCGTGGTTGATGCCGACAAGGTTGGGCTGGAAGTAGTGAAGCAATTGAACCCGCGGACCATTCCCCGTGTTAACGTCCTCGTCAACCATGAAGAGCATGTATGTGGCTTCCTCCGTGGCGTTTTCGGGGCCATACACTGTTGGGCCATAGAGAACATCTGCACAAATGTGTTAACAATAGATGTCACATCGAGTCAGGTCCAGACTCATACCGTCTCGGGGCAGCAGAGTGCCCGGTGGGCTAACGCTCGTCGAACTGTTGAGGAAGTCGACACGAAGGTTGGTGTCGACCTGAACGGGGAAATTTGGCGCAGATTGGGCAGTAACGAATGCAGCCAATGTAGATACACCAAGGACCGAGAAGGATTTCATATTTGCAGTTAGATTGGTATCAGGTAGGGATTCTGGTCAATGCCAGCTTCAGAGAAAGGTGCGAGTTGAGATGTTGACTGACATGATCCAGGGCCATATCTTCAAGTTAAGTACTCCTATCGTCTGGGCCATCACTGTGTCTTCGTGGGAACCAGCCTCGAGCCGGTCTGGTACTCCGCTCTAGTTGGCCCTGTTGTTACCGCACAGCGGCTTCGATTGGTGCCTGCATCATGCGCCTCCTCCATATCAGCCCAAGTTGTCTGGCCACGACCAATGTCTTCAGGCGAGCAATCATCCCCTCAGGTGCATGAAACCGTTTGTGTTGCTGACGATAGGTCCCGTGGGACAGGGTTTGGGATAACCAGATTCCGAATATGGGAGCATGGCCCCCATTCTCCACAGCGCTAGACAGAAGAACATTCTCAATCGGGAAGCTCTCTTCGAGAATCGAGATCGACTGCATTATTAAGTCGGCGGGCCATCTCAACAATGATTCGTTCTCGTTCTGCGTAGGTTCTGGAAATCTTGACTGACCTGCGAATAAAACTGTCCCCTTGTAAGGGGCTGAGAATGCCAGAACTTACCCAAAGGAGGTCGAAATCTTACCCCCGATCATCCAGCAGCCAGATACTCGGATGAAGCATAGGTTATTCGATCATTTCGGACCTCCAGCGAGCTCGACGGACTGTCAGATGTACGACGCGCGAACAACCGTCGATTGCAGGGCGTCCTTCGGCTCTATTCGCCGAAACCATTTGATAACCCTGTTGGAACCCGGAAGCGTTCCGTCACTCATCTCGCTTCAGCCCCCTGGATGAGCTGAGCACAGCCCTGTGCTTATTAGTTGAGCACAAGTAGAGCCGCCTGGCTTCTCTTGCTCTTGTGTTGCGTCAACGTTTTGCGTTGGCAATTATCGAGGACAATTTGCACAGCCTTGGAAAGTGTACCACATGTGGTGCGATCGAACAAGTAGGCATCGTGAAGGAGGAGACTCAGGTGGCAGTCCGCCAGAAAAATGCGTTTCTCGCTTCTTTGAGTATATCTCCTCTTACATTTTCTCCAAGTGACCTTTGACAGATGATCCCCTTGCGATGCAGCCACCTCGAGGGTTTGGCCAAGTCGACATTGAAAGCTCGAGCACCGTTATAGCGATCATACAAGTAGCTTAGATCCTGTACATGAACCGGCGAACGTCATTGAGAATATTGGAATCTTGCCAGCCCCGCTCCGCCGCTGTTGGAAAGAACTTGACGAGAGGTGCGGTAACCAACCAAGTCCACTGGGGCTGACTCCTAGGTTCAAGGACTCGGGACTTCTTTATGAAGGTCCAGTTGCGAATCTTCCAGCTCGAAGTTCCTCTTCCGTCCTCCTTCTCCAGGAGTCAGATACCCTGGCCCAGTCCACATCGCCTAGGCGCCCGAGGGCTCGACAACCATCGCAATCAACATAATCGCTCAGGGTGCAGGAAGCATGGCATGCGGGACAGATATCGTGCACTTGCTTATGCCAACTCGCATTGTGAAAGTCCCAACCAGTCTTCTGGACCCAGAAGTTGCTGACCTCGCAGCCAATGATGGTGTTCCAATATTCCTCACGCCGAGGTCTGTTGGTGAGGCAGTGATTGCACAAGCGGAGATCGGCTGGCATCCAGGGCTTCAACTGGGTCATGAGTTCCGGAACATCAAAAACGGCCTTTGGGAGAAAGCCCGCATACTTGGGCGAGGTGGGCGAGAGACAAAGCTGGACGTTGCGCGCTGCAATAGCCATGCGTTTGCAAGTTAGTGCCAGGGCAACCTGGGATGGAGCGTGAGCGACATTGTCGTATACTGCAAGAAGAATCTCATAGGGCATCATTAAGAGGACAGATTGGCCCTTGTACTCCAAGTCGGTATTCTTGAGGATCTGCAGAAGTCAGACCCTCGGCCAGAGAACACAACTGGGGCCCAACTGCACCTCTTCAGGAACGATGAACCTGGATGAGAGTTTCCTTTCGAAGTCATGGCTCTTTGCTTTGCATTTGAGTGGCTTTCGAGGCACCGGGCACGAATCCTCGTTCACCTTCGGTCCAGAGCCCGCGGGAAAGCCGGTCCAAAGAGCCATATGGTAACCTCTCGACGATCTGGCGGTACACAGAGGTAAACAAAGGCCCCGTGCTGGTCGCAATGCTGGTCCACTATGGTGAGTCTCTTTCGACGATCTTACCTGAGGTACCGAGTACCGAGTACATAGAAGCTCCCTGATTCGAGTCGTACGAGGTCCGTGACGACTTTCAGGAGATAAGCAGCCAGCCCAGCCGCATTCGGTGGTGAGTCGGTAAGCCATGATGCTATACCTTTTACGTGCTAGATAAATGCTAGACCTGGCAGGAGCCGCCTTGGCGTCTCGGCGCTAATCTCACATCTCAATTACAATTTTCCCGTTCGTTTTGCCCTCCCAAATGTCCTTCAGCCCCTCGTCAGCATTCTCCAAAGGCAGCACTTTGCCAATATACGGTTTGATGCCGGTAGTGGTCACGAAATCCAGCAAGTTGATGAATTCCTCACGCGTGCCCGTATAAACCCCTGTCAGGGTAATCTGGTTTACCAAGAGATGCATCAAGTTTATGGTGATGTTTGTCGAGGCGCCCTCCGAGTGAATTCCGCATGACACTACCGTGCCGCCTGGTTTCACTGAGGCCAAAGAGTGGGACATTGTCGATGCTCCTGACGTGTCGAACACAGCATCCACGAGATATGGTAGCTTCGCGCCGGGCTCGAAAGTACCTTCTGCGCCAAGCGAGCTTGCGAGGTCGCGTTTCGCTTTCGTCCGGCCTGTCGCCCATACGCGGAAACCAGCAGCAGAGCCCATCTGAATGAGCGCTGTCGTGACCCCTGCAAATTGTCAAATGTCAGTTATCGTCATGGAGGATATAACAAAGGCAAATCCAAGTTCATAGGCTGAGTCCTTACCGCCAGATGATCCTTGTACCAGAACAGTTTGGCCGGCTCTAAGATTTGCCTGCGTGAACATCATTCGGTAGGCTGTCAACCAGGCAATTCCCATCACGCTTGCTGATCTCGCATCCAGCCCCTTGGGCCTGGGCACGGCATTTCTTTTGGGAATCATGGCGTATTCGGCCAGATTCCCTTGGACAAGTTCGCCGAATACGTGTCTTTTTGGGTCGATCGTCTCATTTCCTTTCCAGTCGGGATCCCCCATGGTTGGATAGATGGCAATCTCCGTCCCATCCTCAAGTATCCCTGCACCTTCATTGCCCAGAATCATTGGATAGCGGATCTCATGCATCAGCATACCTCGCAAGGTGAAGATGTCGTGGAAGTTTAAACCCACAGCCTGCATCTTCACTCGGACCCATCCTTCCTTTGGCTCTGGGATATTCCTTTGGCCGATCCGGATTGAGGACAATGGGTCCTGCGGGCTAGCCACAGACGCATAGACCGCCCGCACGGTTGGCTTCTTGGGATCGACATCGCCCATGTTGAGGTGTGTTATCTTGTCATTCTTGACCGTGGCGAGAAGGAACAAGTCGAAGGGTTCGTGAATCCCAAATTCCTTACCAAAGTCTCCGTCCATCATGACGTGGGTGTGCGTCTTGCCGTCATCGTGGACGGCTTGATCCAGGACTTTGACTCGCCCCTGATGGCCTATGATGCCGTGGTTGCACAAGGCCGTTATCGCATCACCAGTGAAACTCTTCCCATCATCGATGACCTCAGCATCCGATGAAAAAGCACTCAACATGACTTCGAGATTTGCGGTATTGATACCCTCAAGAAATCGATTGACGGACGCGTGAGGAGAAGCCATTGTGAGAGCTGTTGGATCTGTCGAGCTGTTTGAGTTCTTCGAGCTGGAAGAACACCAAGGTTGTATATATTCGGCAGGAGGCACAAGAATGATGTCTGTGCTGATTGGCTCCATAGAAATGGAGGTGAATGGTAATGGACTCCAGTCATAAGCCCATAAGCAATGGCAGGAGCATTATGTAAGTCATTGCTGGCTTATAGCACGTGATGGTGAGCCATTTCGTCCGGATAGACCAGCGAAACGGAGTTGACCCTTGTTGATAACGATTCTGGGCGTTGGAAAGTAAACCATCTGATGTATTTGACCGCCAGGAAGTGAGTTAAATGACGTCATACAGAGTGAACTCAGTGTATAGCGGAATATGGGTCATTTTCATCGTCTGTGAGCATGATCCAGTGTGATTCGGTGTGATTGATTCTGGCACGATTTGCGGTCAAAGCAGCCGAGTGCTGGATGAGTTCATCCAAAGCGATGCGGAAAGTCGAACTTTTGCTGGAGGTTATCCCTTTCTAGCCATGATATAAGCTCATTGTAAGTGCGATGATCATACAGCGGCGAGCTTGTGCGCTCAGCATTTGCTTCAATAAGATCAGACCGATATTGACGCTGGAACTCTGCGTAGCTTGTCGGACTACTCTCGCCGTCCAGAGAGAGGATAATGGAAGAGTCAGATGGCAAACCATGCACACGATCGCGAACGTTTTCTCCTCGAGGGCCTGTCCTCGACAGATCGACAGTTTTTAGTCTAGCCACGAGCGAGTTGAAGTCGGTGAGAACCCTTGCGCAATCGGCGGCGTACTCTTTGTTGCTACTTTGGTCCACATCCAGGATGGAAATGACAAACCCCACTTCCTCATAGTCTTCTTGTGCCTCACTATGGGCCAGAAGCTGATAAAGCTGCAATGTGAGGGCAGCATTGAACAAATAATGTACGCTGGAAACTGACAGCCTCGCTGGCCGTTGTAGGTTCAAAAGTCGATGCCAGAGACTGATGTTTCTTCTCGCAGCATCTGCACAGAGATCGAGTTCCGCCTTGTGCGATATTTCAAGGCCTGTTGTTCGACGGTTCAAAAGCATATCCGCTGTAAATCTCTTGACATTGATGAAGAGCAAAGGCCGGAGAGTAAGAATGATGAGCTGCAATGTTAGCGAAGTTGCCTTTGGGTATGCTGATCAGCTCACCTGATTATGGGCCATGTGTAGCTCCCCAACAGCGCGATCCCGGCCCAAATTCTCCTCTGTGCCTATAACGGCGGCCGGAAGGTTTTTTGACCAAGATTTCAACAACCTGAGGGCTTTCTGAATGCATAAAGTCGTCATGAGAGGTTCATCGCTCTGACGTGCAACATCATAGACGTTTGAAACTATATAGTTGGAGACTCTGGCGAGCTCAATATGAGCTCGTAGGCCATCTGCAGGAGCTAAGTCACTTCACTTCGTCAGCTATCACTTTAGTGTCCGGAGAGAGTCTAGGTACCTTGAATCTCGGGGCAGATCCAATTTGATCGCGTCGTCGGAAATAAGGGCCGGTCTTCCCATTAGGCAGCTCAGCCAACTGCGACTTGTTAGCAAATCTGAAGACTAAGGGGAGAGCTGTGGGCTGACCGGTCTAGGACATAAACCGTCCAAAACAGCCGTTTGCCTTGCTCGTCGACCATCCAGGCTCGGTGAACTCCATGAACAATCAGAATATGCATCGCGACGCTGACGTAGATGTATGCAGCATCACGTCGATTACTATTAAGCAGGTAAAACCCCAGAAGAGCAAGGACGGTTGCATCATTAATGGTCGAATCGTCGAGGGGATTTCCAACTAGGCTTTTTGCCCTCGCGAAGAAGGTCTGTCCAAATCCAGTTTCCCACGGCGGTGCACATTTTGGATTAAATTGACAAGCAACAGCGAACGCAGCATTGGCCGTCGCCATATTAGGACTCGCTTCGATTGTCTTCACGCCCTCGACATAGGCTCGATATTCGTCCAGCACAGCCTGCACGTCGATCCAATAATAGATGCCACCAGAAGCGAAAGTGCCTTCACCATTCTGAGCCGAGTGTTGAAATTCCGACAGCATAGCCGCAGCCTGCTCGTTTGTTGGGGATATGAGAGGGTCGACGGTAGTGGTCAACAAAGGTCGGCTATCGTGAGTCTGATATTTGCCCAGTGCCGAGATGAAGGCCGTGGCATCCGGATTCGAGGCACCTGTCCAAGCGGCCTCGAAGGCCAGCGGAAACACCGTCGCCATATATTCTCGTAAGTGATTCAGGAAAGTGGCGCCTGAAGATTCACCGAGATAGCGCACCGTGCCGTCTGGATCTTGAAGGATGCGCCCTTCTCGGAAGTGTTGGCTGTCTTCGGCGATGTCCTCGCTGAAATTTTCGGAAGGTCTAGGTCCTTCGGGGGCATGGCTGTTTGCTTGGATATGCTGAATCAACTTGTCCCTCTCACGTTGCGAAGGGATGGCTTCTGCGAGAGCCTCTTCCAGCAACGCACACCTTGCTTTAAGCGCATCGTACTCTTGACGTGGGATCGAGACGGTCTGCACGGCTTGAGGATACAAACACTCGCGCGACGATTTGCGGCATCTCTCGCATGGCTGGCCTCCAGAGCATTTGGCCCGTTTAACATTGCAATTATTGCATCTTGATTTCGGACGCGGAGAGTAAGTTTCAAGGCATACAAACAACGCAAGGGGTAGGGGAGGGGATCCTACGCTTGTGCAATTCTCTTCCGTAGCTCCGGTGCAATTCTATGCCGCCGAGGGTTGACAGGTAGACGCTCCATCCGCCGGGCCTACCACCATGGACCAAGGTAGGATGACTCTGGCGCGGCCGACATAGCGCGTTTGACGATCCAGGGAAAAGACGAAATGCTTCTGGGAGAGACTATAGCAGACAGCTATTACCTCGACTCACCTTCCACTTCCTGCCAGGCGTTGAATGAAATCGAGTCAGTGAGAAGGAAGAGGAGCCTTGCTACTCGGAAGGAAGAAAAGATGGAGCTCCAAAGCGATACTCGCTGTTTGAGGAAAGTTTGCCGAGCTCTTAATTTCCGAGCTGCTATTCCGTGCTCCCCACATTGTCCATATTCCGCGCCCTGTACCTCGTACCTCGTATCCTCACCCTCGCCCTCACCTGCAATGCATCTCCACCAGACAGACAATTACCCAGCGAGCCAGAGACCCGGTACCTAGAGGTACCTCTCTCTGACTCCTGGCGAAAGCAACCCGCTCCCGATCATCGATCCAGGCCAGCTAAACCAGGCTTTGCTCGTACACTCCCCTGAGTGCCCATCCACTGCCTCCGAAAACGTCCCATCCCACAACATCACCCCACAGATCTTCTTCCATGCTACAGCCTCTCCCTGCGCGTCGCCCGTCATCTGAGCATACTTCCATTGCTGGAAGTATCCCAGTGTCCACGGTCCTGGCGTATGAACGCTGCCCAAGCCTCCAAAAGCTCCGTCACCATAGTACCCTCCTTCATTTGCAGCGGTGAACGCGAATTCCATCGTGCCTTGCCACGCTTGCTTTTCAATGCTGGTCCTTATGAAACCCCACAAGGGAGCCAAAAGTGTTGGCAGGTCATTGGCATCGTGGTAAAACGTCCGCTGACCCGCACCATCCACCAGGTACGAGAACGAGGGCGATCCTCGCGTTGGATCAGCATACAGGAAATGCTTCAACGTTGCGGTACGCACGTCTTCAGCGAAGCCCGCCAGTCGCTTCCCCAATGGAGAACCCGTCACCTGCGTCATTACTTTCGCAAGCCTGGACAACGCGTGCCACAACAAAATGTGACTTGAGAAGTGGAACGGATATTCTACCACATCATCGCCCGGAGTCTCATCAGTCGGGAAGAGTCCGGTAGATTGATCTCTCTTTGATTCGATGAGGCCCAGGACTTGAGACAGAGCGTCTGACTTCAGGATTTCTTCCACAAATGCTCGTTCCTCTGGAAAGGTCTCCCAGAAGTCACAGACCTCCAGCAGCGGATAGCACTGCTGGTCCAGCTGAAACACCGCCCCGTCTTTGGGCCGGCCTGTTGTGAGATATGACCTGTGCCAGAAGTGGTGTGGCTGCTGTGCATATCGGAAAATCCATGTCAAATGGCCCTTCGCCGTGGCTTTGATCACTTGAGAGTAAGCGACGCAAGTTTCTCCCTCTGATAACCTCTGAAGGTTCCGGTACACTTGGATCAGAAATTGAATCTGCCAACTTTTTGGGGTTAGCAACGACAAACGAGATTTGCTGACACTTACTAATTGTCTCTCATCCACCCGAGTGGTAAAGCAACATGATCCGTGAGGAGGCAAACAGCATGCTTGGAAGGCGACAGCGGCACCGTGCAGTTACCAAGGATGTACTCAAGGTTTCTGCGAACGATGAACTTGCTGGTAGTCTCTTGGTCGCGCCAAAGTGGTGGTAATCCAACTACTGGTGAAAGATTTGCCTCGCGAGACGTCTGAAAACCAATTCCCGGCCGCAAGGTGAATTTTGCCGTCAGCGCCCTCGACGCTCGTGGCGGGATCACCAAGGTCTGAGAACACGCTCCTTCAACAGGACAGTTCACAAAAGTCTTTTCTTGAACAGCCTCCTGCAAGTTGACCCTTTGACCGTCGGTTTCCAAATGTCCTTCAAGTTGTGCACCAAGGGGAGCGTTGACGATCAGAATGCCCCGGCCACCATCGGCGATGCTGAGCTTGTTCTCTGACTTGGGGATTGGGATTGGTCCCCCTTCAGTAAGTTGCCCGTACTGATTCATTGTTAGCATCGGCCAGCTGGTTTCAGAAACGTAGAGTTTCAAAAGCGCTCTGCTATAGCGATATATTTTATCGGGAGAACTCACCGATGCCCGGTTGACGCTGATACCAAAATCCATAGTGTACATTATAAGGGACGTTGAGTCGCAAAAAGACCTCACCTCCGAATATTGAATGACCTCTCCATCTTCGGTGACGCGCAGAGATGTCGTTATTGCAAGACCGTCAACTGTGCGGGAAGAAATTGTCGCCCGGCCCAAACCGTCTAGGGTTACTTTCGTGTCCCGGTTCTCGACTTCAAAACGCAGCCCAAAACCTGGCTTGCCCGTCTCGACCGACTTCAACATTCGGGTTCGGTACTCTCGTACGTACGGAGTATCTCTGAACCTCGTGCCATCGAACTGCTCATAGGGCTCAGCGAGAACAATGCCATGTTTGGGATGGAAGGCGCTTATTTGCAGGATCTGGGACTGTTGTCAGCAGTTTGTGCTTTTGATGACTCCGAGGCCAATGATACCGTCCCGCGAAAATCAGTTGATACTGAAACACCATTGAAGCCTATGTCGAGGGTCTTTGATCGCTTGCCAGCATCCTCATGGTCAACTGCCATCGTGGTCGATTGTTTGCCACGAGAAGTCTCTATGTCAGTAACTGGGGCTCTACCCTCATTTCAGGGCAGCCGGAGCAGTTGGTACTTATGGGAGGAACATGCAGAATGGAGGGCCTTTGAACTATTCCTATCAAGGTGACATATGCCGTCTATCCACTTTGCCGTCGCGGGTACTCTACCCGTATATTCCACCGGGCTTGCTTGGCTATCGAAGCCCGCCAGTCAACTCGGCGCACAACACCCCGCACAAAACCTTGTCAAAACTGGGTAGCTGTCCTGGTCTGGGGTTCCTAAGGGTTTCACTTGCCTACCTACAACACCTTTACATCACTCTCCGCGCCCTAGTACTCTCTCGCATCTTGATTGTCGCTTCCAAATCGGTGGCGCATATACGGTTACTGTACCCGCGTACGGAACTTCGCCATTATGTCTATGGCTATGATATAAAGCTGGGCCACTTGCTTCAGGTAGGAGAGACATCTGATTTCGTTTGAACATACTCGGAGCCATAGTTCTGCGCGATTTCTGATTTTGATAACACCTCTTCGTTGACCCAGATGTCTGAGAAACAACACTCGGACCATGTCGAGGCTGGTTGGTCTCCCGTTGAGACCGATCGTCAGGCGAGCGGAAATGTGCCTGCTGGTCACGTCCCCGTGACAAATGAAGAGAAAGCTCTGAACCGGGCGCTGAACCGGAGATTTGATATCGCACTCCTGCCTTTCCTGTCGTTGTTATATCTCTTCAACGGCCTGGATCGGGGCAATGTGGGAAATGCTGAGACCCAAGGTAAGTCCTGTCCAAGGACATTGATACCAGTCAAGCTTTCAGCCTTCCTCCTGACACTGTCATACTAGGCTTTACGAAGGACATCGGAGCTCACCCAGATGATCTCAACCTGGCTGTGAGCTTGTTCTTCATCACTTTCGTGCTATTCCAGCCTCCCTCCGCTGCCATAGGAAGATATCTGGGGGCGAAGAACTGGGTGCCTGTCATCATGGTTTGCTGGGGCATCCTCACCATTTGCCAGGCTTTCATAAAAGGGCGAGGTTTGACAGGAGCAAACCGTTCCCACCGAAACAATTGTTGACTCTGTTGCTAGGTACCCTCATTGGTACGCGTCTACTCATTGGGCTTTTCGTAAGTCTTATCCGAGAACCCTTCACCGGTGTAGGAGGAACAAGCATCGGTGTTTCCTCATAGAACTATTCAGTGCTAATTCTAGAACAGGAAGCAGGATTCTATCCTTGCTGTAAGTCCAGTCACTCCTGCTGCGTCTGAAATTCCCTTCTTCTCCCAACAGATTGCGCACAAGCGATGCTCCAACCACCGCATCTGTGGAGGAATGTATCTTGGAACACCACTGACTTTATACGTGTGACACATCTCAGGTGTCTTCTACCTGTCAACTTTCTATACGCGTTTCGACCTTGCCGTCCGCATAGGACTCTTTTACGGCCAATATGCCATCGCTGGTGCGTTCTCTGGCTCTATTGGTAAGTATTGTCCATCTTCATTTGCAAGATGAAAACGAACGCTGATCGCGTGAACAAGCGTATGGCATTTTCCACATCAAGACCGGTTCGCTCAAAAACTGGCAATACCTCTTCATCATCGAAGGCGGCGCTACGTGCCTGATCGCCATTATTGCGTGGTTTTGGCTGCCTCTCGGTCCGGGCAGCGCATGGTTTCTGAGAGAAAAAGACCGTGCATACGCGGTGGAGCGGATCCGCTTGGACAACGCGATGTACGCGCAGCATACCTATGGCGACAGCGGGATCGAAAACGAGAGGTTGACCCGGCGAGACGTGATTGAGACGGCAAAGGACTGGAAGCTCTGGTATGTGCTCTTTTTCAACATACTGGCTAGCGTCCCTGGTCAAGCCTTCTCTGTATTTCTCCCTCTTGTTGTTGCTGGGTTGGGATATTCCTCGATCGAGGCGAACTTGGTAAGGAGTCCACACCCTCCGTGCGCGAGAAGCTTCTAATTCTTCCAGATGTCTGTGCCGCCATATATTTGTGGAGCAGTTGGGCTGTACATCTTCGCTGTCAGTTCCGACCGAATGTAAGCAATCATCCCGCTTTCATTCATGCGGCAAACCCACTCACATCCAGTATCTTAGGAAGGAACGTGGCTATCACATTTTTGTTGGTCTCCTAATCACACTCGTCGGGCTTATCATCACCGTCACTGTCCAAGGCCACGGCAGCAAGTACGCTGGCTTGTGCATCTTGCTGTTCGGCAGTTATGTATCTGCACCGTTGACCGTGGCGTGGCTGAGCGGGAATACTCCTGGTATGTGCGCACCCCAGAAGATATGGGAAGCTTCGCTAATGCGAAGAGTGTTTAGAGCCCGGCAAGAGAGCACTCGTCTTGGGCGTCAATGGATTCGGAAATCTGTCTGGAGTCATCGGCTCTCAACTCTTTCGCGCATCGTATGCGCCGAAGTATCTGATGTAAGTCACATACACCCAAGGACCAACGCAACTCGTTCGTCTTGCTCACCCTTCTTACAGACCATTCTATGTGACGTTGGCATTCATCGCAGTTGCATTGGTCGGATACCTTGCGTACCGTTTCACATTGGCAGCGGTCAACAGGCGACGGCAAGCCAAACTGGCGGCCATGAGCCCCGAAGAGATTGAAGACGAGAAAACCAATCCCCGAAGATATGCAGACCGGAAGTATACTTTTGTTTACGGCCTGTAAAGCCGTTTTCCTCGTTGGCAGGCTCGTTGGCAGGCTCGATTTCGAGCACGACCGGTGGGTGGCCTCGGTCAGCCATGGTCAATCAGATTGTAAGAAACTTCTTGGATGTGCGGCTGCACCCGGCTCTGGGTTCCTCTTGGCCTTTTGAGAGTCTGGCGTACACTGCAAAGATCCTTGAGATCGATCCACAACGGCAAGGTTCACCAACGAGAAACGCGAAGGGCGTGTGCAGCTAACGGACAAGTCGCACTGCTGGCGGTAGCCGAATTCACATATGTAATCTTTTGTACGGACGATTTTCTTCAGTCTCTGTCTGTTTCTGTGTCTGTTTCTGTGCCTGTGATCTCGCTGTCATTTTCCATGTACTCGACAAAGAGGCTTTGAGTGGCCCCCATCCGCCGCGGTGTTTGACGAGCGGCAAGCACTCGGCTCGCCATGCTGGACGCCTGCCGCTCTATTAATTCGGTCGTATGTAATATGTCAGAAATGTAGCGAACAAGACTCTCGGGCGTCGCCGAGAGCTGGTTAAATATACTTACTTACAAGGCACCCACCCCACCGCAAGCCCAGCCCAAGAACAAGTAGTCCAAGGCAATGATCTGATCTGGTTTGCCCTCTGTTTTTCTGAACACACAAACTTGCGCATTCGAAAGCTGCCTCGCCTGGGTGAGGGACTTACGGCTCGGTCCAAGACAAAGGATATGTCCACTCGGTCATGGACTGAGCACCGTTCCGTTTCGTCAGAAGTGCTGGCCTGGTGCAGGACGGCGGCCCATTCCACCCATATATACCTGCGCGGAATTCCGACACATCAACTCAGCCTCGACAAAGCGTAGATTGATATAGCACGCGCTCCAATGGCTGTCGAGCCAGTCATCAAGCCGCCAGAGGGCTCCCATCAAGACCCTATACTTTGCCAAAGCATCCTCCAGGCAATTCTGGCCAGGCAACGCATCGGCCATCGTTTTAAGCGCCATGAGCGTCTTGACGTCAGTTTTGCCGTACACATCTATGGATGCCTCCAGATTGCGGGAGCTGGCGCTTTCGGCCTCCTGGTATTTGTGTTGCTGGAGGGGGGTTTTCCCGCCCGGTTCAGGCGGACCTCGAAGCTGGGTTCTCACCTCTTCGCGCTGAGGTCGTTCAGTTCCACCTTCAAGGCATCGAGCATCTGGTTGGACATCTTGCCAAGTGAGTCGTACTTGCGACGACAGTTCAACACATCCTCGATACTACGGAAGGCCAGCAGGGTGCCCGGATGGAGATTATCCTCTTCAAGTACGGACAGAGACTGGTCCTACACTCGTTGGGCGAGTCTCTCTGCTTGCTCCTGTTTCTTGGTGTCGTTGCTCTGAGCCAAATGGTATGCGAGCAAGGCCATCGCTGATCGGGAACTATGATGGGCGTCACCGACAGAGTCTCCACAGCGCTTGACCACCTCTTCCATCATTTGCATCCGCATCCTTGGTTTTACCTTGATCACACAGACCCATGGCCAAATTTCCCAGAAATGCAGTTGCATCGGGATGAGACTTGTCCAGAGTGCTTTCGGCTCCCTCCAGCGCCTTTCTCTCGTATTCTTCGGCTTCGGCCAACAGGCTTATCCTAAGCTGGTTTGGGATACTCATTTCACCGGCTTTCCAGTAAATGATACGGGCTAGCGTGCTGAAGTTTCCATGGTAATCGGGATGTTCGCTCCCTAGCTTGAGCCTTCAGCCCTCGAGAGTTTGACAGCACAGAGCTTCAGCCTCGTCGAACCTCTCCAGTTCGCCGAACACCAAGGAGAGAGTTTCCACACCTGATAGAGTGTCCGGATGATCTTCGCCGAGTAAACTCTTCCTTCCGTCTAGAGCTCTGCGTATCAGCCTCTCTGCTTCCAGGAAATTTCCTTGACACTCGCAAGCCATTGCAAGACTAGTTACGCTCTTTAGCGTATCCCGATGACTCTCACCATATTTGGCTTCCCGAATCCTCAAGACCTTGAGGTGCGTCTCTTCGGCTTTGGCAATCTGCGAGTTATATCCAAGCACATCAGCTAATTGTCAAGGGGCCCTCTTTTCCGAAACCGGCTCTGCTCCAATCAGCGGCCTTTCGGGCAAGATCAAAAGCGTTATTATAGCCACCCCGGCACAGGTAATGCCGACAAACAGAATGGCAGAGGTTGAGTTTTACTTCAAGAAATCTCCATTCAAAATCGTGATCAATAACCCCCTTCGCGTGGGATGCGTAAATATCTCCGATGTCTGGTTTCTCGTCTTCGGGTGTTGGGAACTTTCCAGAGAGTTTGAGCAACAGACTGTCGGCTACCTTGTCGAGCTTTCCGTCCGTCAAAAGCTTTCTCATTCCTAGATGCATGAGCGGGTGCATGTTGAAAACTCTGCCGTCCTCGCTTGTGACCAGGTGGTAATTTTCAAGGATGGCTATCGCGTCAAGTAGTTTTGGGGGTCTCGCCATACTGCTCCTCACAATCTTCCAGCAGGAGATCCCTCAGTATTTGCGATCGATCAACGGTAGCCATGATTGAGAGGAGTTTGACTGCCCGCTTGTTGCTATTTTTAATTTGCAGGAGCGAGATGTAGAAGGTGAACGCCACTGGATGTCGTTGAAACTTGCGTTTCCGATATCGTCCATGTGCTTCGAATTCCTTGCTGAGAGTATCCATAACAGTCGCCTCAGAGTGTTGTGGTCCACCCCCGAGGAGCTTCAGGTAGTCTGGCACGGAGACGTTGAGCTTTTTACGTTCAGAGATGTAGCAAGCGGCCTGCGTAATGGCAAGAGCTAGATACTGAAGATAACCCCCAAGAAGCTTCTCGAGATCATCAGGGCAGACACTCTCAGGCCCTAGGCCACTTCGGCTGAAGAAGAGCTCTACCGCTTCTGCGCTTGTCATTTTATCCACGTTAATAAATAGCGTCGTTTCGTTCGGAAGCAAATCGATTCGCAACGGCGAAGTTTCTGGTTGTGAGCAGGATCGACCCCACGATGCTGCCCGGAAAGAAATTCGACAGTGGTTCCTGGGCGTCGTCGTCGCATTCGTATGGATCATCCTAATACGAGTCAGGGTAGAATAAGCGCAGCTCATCTGCATTGTCAATGATCAGCACCCACACCCCGGAGTCCCGGCCCTCAAGCCATTGCTTAGCAACCTGGGCCACATCGGCTCTAGCGAGATCTATACCAGGAATCTCTGCCATGCTGACGAGCCTCCGAAAACTCTGATGAAAACTACCGCTTGTGCTTGCGTTGATCCAGTACACAGAAGTTGTTGGAGAGTCCGCTTGTACGCGGTATGCGTACTCCAGAGCGATCTGCGTTTTGCTAGACATCAGTCAGTTCTTGTATTAATGGTCTTTCTTGGTTGGTTTGCACCCTGCGCCTCCAATCCCCTCCAGCACTGCTCGTCTGTTGCCTTTTGTCACATTGAGTGACCGCTAAATATGGTCAATGAACCCTTGGTGTTCGACATATTTGGTGTTTTGGGAAAATTCGACCACCAGATTCACTCTATGGGTTCGCGGTAAACTCTCTTGCGCACGAGAATCGATATTCACCTGCATTTGAGAATATTGGACATGAAATGGTCGGGGATGATGTGAAAGATAATCCTTCCTACCAACGTCGCCTCTAGCGTGTCCAATGTTGTGGACAGCTGTGTGACTGTGTTCTGTACTGCAAGGAAGCTGCATTTGAGATCACCAATCTTTTGATCGGCGACGACGAGCTGGAGCTCCAGAGCCCTCAGAAATCTCCTACCAGTTGTTAGCCTGGTCAGCATCTAGCCTCGAATTCCGGGAAGCGCACGGTTGTATTTCATTGATGATAATCAACAAGGATCCTTTCCGTCGGTTGAGTTGACTGAACAAATCATCAAGGCCCCCTTCTTCTCGTAATTTGCGGAACGTCGTGAAGAGCTTGTCAAGTTTCGGATGGCTCTTTTCCTTGATCGTCCTAAAATCGACTTGTACTTCACTCCGATGTCTGTAACGAGTTCGCTGCATGCCTTCAGATTTGCAATGACAATTTTCTCATCGAAGGCTGGCTCATTCTGCACAGCTTGCACTATGTCTCTGAACTCTTCCATCTCACTCTGCCACCGACCCAACTGGTCAGGCAGGGTGTGTTACGCGTCCCACACCTGCTTCACCAGCGAAATGGCCTTGACAACCTACTCGACCAGTTGAGACGCAACGCCAACGAGGCCAATGATTTCGGCCATGATTGCTGAGGACCGAATGTCCGGGGAGCTTAAGAAAACTCGGGTGCGCGACAAGATGGTAGGACGAGACACGCTTGGATATAGGCGAAGAGCTGGCACTCAGACGGAAATGCCTGTGGGGAGAAATCGGCTCATTTGAGAATACCGCAAAAGAGCTACCTGCTCGGGCCATTGTTTTAATGCTCGATTCGATCCGACCCTGGCATGACAATAAAACGCAATCAGCATACCACCACCTTCAGGTGTTGATCAGCTGGCAACAAGCCACAATCCTGTTGCAGACGGCCAGGCCTTTTTAAAGGCGAAACAAATCGATTCCTCGTCGGGCTCGGCGGAAGTGGCGCGGCGTGCTGTGCGAGCAGTGATCTTGTTGGGCAATTCTTGCCATGGACCGGCCAGCTCGCGTCTCGACGTTCCGCTTCATCTGGAATTCAAGAAAGCGCGTCGGAAGACCTTGAATCAGCTGACTTGATTTTCTCATCCAACCACCAAGTTCGCATCAAAAATACAGATCAATGAGATAATGCCATTTTCCAGGGCCTGTACAAGTACCATTGTACCGCGGCATTTTCGATCATACGACAGAGCCAAGAAAACCAAGCAAGGCCAGGCCGTACAAGGCGAAAGGCACCTTCACACGCTCGAGGATTTGAAATATAATTGGAGAAAGAGTTCCCTTCGTTTTCGTCGGCGAGTAATACGGGGTACCAACAGGTGAGATTAGGTTCAACCTCCCCCCCCACAACGAGTTGGCACCTCATTGCCGAGAGACCGGGGCCACCGTATCGAACTACACATCAACTCAACTCAACTCAACCCAGGTCAGCTCTCCTCCGCCGCCGAACGAAGGGTGAAATTTCCCTCAACGTCTCTGTTCAGGAACAAAGGGTTTACTGATATAACTGACCCGTGAGCAAATAGGTTGATCGTATTCTTGTCGCTGACTGCAGCCCTTGAAGAATTCACCTAGTCTAGCATCTCCCAGGCCTTGGTACAGCAACAAAACCGGGTCGTGAAGGAAAGAACAAAGAAAGATGTCTGGCAAAGAGGTTCCAAAGACGATGCTGGCGTGGCAGAAGCATTTCGGCAGTACGAAACCGGTACGTCCATGTTTCCCCAGTACATCTGACGACGCTGGAACTGATATGTCGCCACCCCGTGCTATTCCCCTCGGTATTTTTCATGAACATGCAGTACTCGTGTTAAGGCAGAGAAACGGACAGATTCGCGTCGAGGTGCCCGTGCCTGTGCCCCCAGAGGATGGCCTGCTGATCAAAATCCACGCGGCGGGAGGTGAGGAAAAGACCTGCCGCTTCAAGGGACATATTAAATGGGGGTCCCAGGGGGGTCATTTAGACTGTGCTGACGGCTTTCTATAGTGTGCCACAGCGATTTCGCCCTGTTAAATATGGAAGTGAAACCGAGCCATTATCTTGACAAATACACGCTGGTAAGATACCTAGTACCTTTTGCAGCATGATTCCAGGGTCTGCAATTTCTCCCCCCCCCCCACACTCTCTCAACACTTGGGTATTGAATTGAGATTCTGCCAAGGGCCACGAAGGTTGCGGCGAAGTCGTGTCAGTCGGACCAAAGGTTACGAAATCCAAACCTGGTGACATGGTGTCTATCCTGTCAGTACCCGGCTGCGGCAGTTCGACCTGTCGAGAATGTTCTGGCGGAGTGCCGCAGATCTGTGCCGCCGGTGAACACTACGGGATTGGAAACGACGGCTCCTTTGCTCCGTATATTGCCGTCCGAGAACGGGCTGCCGTCCACCTGCCCATGGGAATCAGTGCAGCTGCCGGCGCTGTCGCGACCGATGCGTGCCTGACAGCCTACCAAGCCGTCGTAAGCAGAGCCAAAGTCAAGCACGGGGATACGGTCTTGCTGTACGGGTTAGGCGGGCTGGGCTTCAACGCCTTGCAGATAATCTTGGACATTGGCGCAAGAGTCATCGTGGTGGACAAGAGGCAGGAGGTGTTGGATGAAGCGGTCAAGTTCGGTGTTAAGAGCGAGGATGTGGTGCCCGTTGGAACCGCAAGTGTGAGCGAATGGGTTGCGCAGCGGGGGCTGGTAGTGGACACTGCAATCGATTTTGTCGGAGTGCCAGAGACATTCAGGACGGCCATCGAGAGCGGTAAGTCTAACTAGAGACCCAAATGCCTTCCCCTGTCGTCGTAGTCAGTCACTGATCAGATCACCTTCAGTCCGCATGGCAGGAACAGTCGTCCTGGTGGGATTGCTGCAGGCCGAGCTGACATTGCCCTCGATGATTGCGGTGCGCAAACGACTCGATATTCTCTGCAGCTACGGGGGCACGGTCGAAGATCTCGTCGCGTGTTTGGTCCTGATTGGGCAAGGCGTGATCAAGCCTCAAGTGGTGACGGGGAGCATGGCCGACTTTCCCAGCGTCCTGGAAGACCTGCACGCCGGGAAAATCCAAAGCAGAATCGCCCTCGTGCCAGAAGATATGCTGTGAACCGAGCGAAAATGCTGTGTCACGGACCTAACTCCGGGCAATCGCAGTCAAGTCACCCAAGAATAGTATGGAAAAGAGGTAATACCTCTCCTAGTTCCCGAACGCGATGGCATCTCGTGTGTATAGATCTTTTGGTTGCGAAATATCCGGTGCCTTGTGTCAGAAGGTCGTTGTTGAAACCCGCCGTCCTGCGGTTACCATCAACACCGTCCGTCCATCCTGTGTCGTCGTGGCAGTTCGTGGCGTCCAAGCCACAGATTCCTCAGCCGTATGATCGATCGAACATTTCTAACTTCTGGGCGTACCGGCGGATTTTCTGGGCAAAGCGTACGTCTCTGTCTCTTACCTGTAAAATCGACCAGATTACTCTGTGATTTCGAGTCTCATCGTTGATGACGCGGTCTGTGAAGGGATCCTCATGTCAATGGTGACGAAATATAAGATCAAGAAAACGTCTCTTCAAGCTGAGGTTACGACGTCGGCTCCCGTGGAAAGTGAGAAACGGTTGATTGGATGGGCCCAACCACACTGGAGTTAGGCGTTTCCGCCCGCTAACCGACTTCCATCTCAAGGAGGAGAGAATTTTCGTCTGTTCTTGTCCTATGGACCTGTGAGGCCTTGGGAACCCCCGAACTGTCGCTGGCCAAGGTAAAAGTCACTGCGGACGGATCGTCGCAAAGATGAAAAGCGGCCGTGGCAATCGGCAAAGTGTCGCAAGACAAGAAGTCGCACCAAGAAAGCCCAAGCCCACGTGCCTAAGCTTGACACTGGAATTGGCTCCTCTGGTGCTCCGCTCGCCTCAGAATTTCTTTCCGCCCAGAGTGCCCAGGATGGAGATCCGGTCAAGAGCGGGCGAGGCGGGTACTTGGCACAGCGGACAGGCTTGGCAAAGTCTCTCACGGTTAGGGTCATAGACTGCTGATTCGTATCAATCACGGACGTAGGATGGGCTCTCTGTGTTTGCGGTGGAGGCAGGAGGGGCCAGTTATCGTGGGATACTTTTACCTTGCAGTATTGCTTTTGCCTTCCCTTGATCACCGTTGGAGATGCGATACAAATAGTGGACTGCCGCGCTCCGATGCAGTTCCTTCTTGTCAAATACTTGATCACCTCCAGACAGGTACATTGCCTCTTGACAGTACCTATATCACTTCCTGTCAGTAGCAATGGCACCTCCAGTCACCGCCAGATATGACTGGATCCTCGCCATCACAACCATTGCCTTTGTCTTCAGCTCTTTCGGCAATGGAGCCAACGATGTCGCCAACAGCTATGCAACCTCCGTGGCAGCCCGAACCCTTACCATGCCACAAGTCGGTTTCCTCTCCATGATCACCGAATTCGTCGGTGCTGTCGGTCTCGGTGCTCGTGTCACTAGCACAATCAAGAATGGTATCATCAGCATCAGCCGTTTCGAAGGTCGTCCCGGTGTGTTGATGTTGGCCATGGGCTGTGCTGAAGTCGGTAGCGCGACGTGGTTGATGGTTGCCACCGGTCTGGGATTCCCCGTTTCAACCACTCAAACAGTCGTCGGTGCCCTGATTGGCGTCGGCTTTGCTTCCGACTCGTCCATCAAATGGGCCTGGGAAAAAGGCAGCGTGTCGCAAGTTGCAGCTTCCTGGGCCATTGCACCTTTGATTTCCGCGGGATTTTCTGCCTTGGTCTTCGGTATCGTCAAGTACAGCGTGCTCGAGCAAAAAGAGTCTTTCAAGTGGGCGATGAGACTCATTCCCTTCTACTTCGCCACCACCGCAGCAATCCTCGCTCTTTTCATCGTCGTCGAAGCCCCGACGGCTCCTTCCTTGGAGGAATTCGGCGCCGGAAAGGCCGTGGGTATCATCCTCGGAGTGTGGGCGGGAGTCCTTCTTATCGCCTATGTCTTCTTCATGCCCTATTTCGAGCGCCGCCTCGTCAAAGAAGACCCTCGCGTCAAATTCTACCACGTCCCTCTCGGTCCTCTCCTCCGCAAGGATAACCCTCCATTATATTTTCCGGGCAAGAAAGACGGAAAATATGTGATCGACTATTACGAGGATCCATATGCCGAGACAGACTTGAATTCCGAGAGGACGACGAACGAGAAGCATGTTTCGAGTGGTGATGCAGAACCGGTTCCCATTGAAGATACCTCTGGATTGGAGAAAGGTCAGCCCATGCCGACTGGGACCGAAGGTGCTGTTGTTCGCAAGAGACCCCTCACACCCCATGAGCGATTCCTTGATCCCGTCCGTCATCTCAACTGGGCAAATCCACAGCGCTGGTGGGGATATGCAAAGTTCGCCCTTTTGCAAGGTGTCACTCGTGACTGCGTTACTCACGATTCGGCCAAGCTGCGCGAAGTTCACGCCAAAGCCCACAAATACGATGTCCGAGTCGAGCATCTGTGGACCTACTGTCAAGTGGCCTCAGCAATGTTGATGTCTATTGCCCATGGTAGCAATGACGTTGCCAATGCTGTTGGGCCTTGGGCAGCAACTTATCAAACCTACCAAGCCGGTGAAGTTGACACCCAATCTGACACACCAGTTTGGTTCTTGGTGATTGCTGGGTTCCTTCTCGGTGCCGGATTTTGGTTCTATGGATACCACATCATACGAGCCCTTGGGAATAAGATCACGCAAATGTCGCCGACTCGAGGATTCAGTGTTGAACTGGGCGCTGCCATTACCGTCCTGCTCGCATCTCGACTCGGACTTCCGGTCAGTACAACCCAATGTCTGACTGGTTCTACCATGGGGGTTGCGCTCATGAACTACGACCTTGGGGCTGTAAACTGGAGGCAGTTAGTCTTCATCTTCTGCGGATGGGTGTTGACCTTGCCTTGCGCTGGATTGCTGTCTGGACTGTTGTGTGTGATGGCTCTTAATGCACCTTCTTTCTAAAGCTTGAAGCAAGAGTAAGGAGGATAACGGGCCTTGGGTAGAACAGATATATAAAGGCGCTACGTCGTTGACATTGTAGCTGTTGCAATCCTATTGGATTGGTGACCTGGTTAGGAAATGGGGAATGGGGAGGGACAGGGAGTGAGTACGAGGTGGCTTGGTGGTAAGGGAGTTGGAGGGTGGATGTTCACTTCAGCTGCTAGTACGGTGGATTAAGTACCGCGAAGTACAAATACTTAGTATGCACTTTTCCTCTGAATTGGTGCCGGAGATTTTCGATTGTTCTCTCTTGAACCACTCTCTCAAATGTCTCCCTCGGAGTCTCTGCCTTGAAGTCAAACAGCCGAAGTCGAACTTTTCATATATTGTCAAGCTAATTGCAAAGAAATTTTTAAGTACCTTGTAAGGCCAACTCAGTCACTCACTCATCGATCGATGCACTCCGGAGGCCACGCACGACACCGTGCGCCTCGCTGAGAGAAGACCAATTCAGATGACGAGCTGGTTGCATGCAGATTTTGACGAGTCCGTGAGTGCAAATACCAATGAGAGGCTGTTGGCGGGTGAAGCTTTGGGGAGATTGCCAAGGAGATACCCAGTACATAGTGTGCCTGCTCTCCGGGCTTCCAGATGTGTTACGGAGAACAAGTTGGATAGTCAAGTTCAAGACCTTGTTTAAAGATTTGAGAACACCCCTCGGATGAAAAAGCAAAAGTACGGCATGACCAAGGAGAAAATTGAAGACGTAAATTATCATTTGGCTCTCCATCGTCACGCTTGCTAATGTCACAAAAACTCACCACAATAAAAAAACCAGGCATGTGTTCCAACTCACCATTCATCGTGCCTTTCCTTCAACCGAAATTCTTTTCGATCTTCTTTATCCACTTCCCAACGCCCTTCTCAATCTTCTCCGTGTGAGACGGCTTATGCTGTGAGCCTGAGCTCTTTGGCGGTTTATGATGATGCGAGTGGTGCTCCGCTTCGGTCGGTCGGTAGACTTGAGAGTGAATGTCATAAGCTCCGGCAGCGGGCTGAGGTTGTTGTGCTTGCCCATAATTGTAGCTCGAGTACCCTCCAAGTGGCGGAGCAGGGCCGGGAGCTTGGCCGCCGGCGGCTAGGTAGTCCGGGTACTGCGGCTGGACATGTTGGAGTGGTTTATGAGGTAGACCGTTGATAGACTGGTAGAACTGTGTGCCCGGGGTTTGCACGTTTTGTTGGCCGAAGATGTGGGCGTTTGGATCCTGTCCATGAGGCACATATGTCTGAGCAGCTGTGGAAATCGAAGGGTGACGACTGCTGTCGGAGCCGGCCGCACTAGTCGGTGGCGGGCCGAAATTCGTTGATACAGATGCCCGTGGAGAGGTCTGGAGTGGCGTCGAAGCTGCGTGCGGTCCGAAGGATTGCGACACCGTTGCCGTTGCTTGAGGACCAAAAGATGGCACAGGAGAGGTGGTGCTGGCGTGTGGTCCAAACGATGGCTGTGTGGCGGCGCTGTAGTGTCCATAGGCGCTGGACTGCGCAGCATGAGAGCCGACGAAAGCTTGAGGTGGCTGCGGAGGGACGTAGGGGTTGTCATGTCTTGCTGCCGCAGCAAGCCCAGTCCCGTCACCAGCATCGACCGGAGGAGGGGTATCCTCTCTGTGGGCGATAGGTTCTGGGGCCGCTGGTGCTGCAGGGTTGTACGCGAGGGGAGTATAGTCTGTGGCGGAATTTGGATCTTTCGTTGAGGGCCTTCCGCCAACGCTGGCAGTGACTGAGATTGGTGACGCCGATGCTGCTTGTGCACGTGGAGGAGTCTGGGAGGCGGCTGGAGGCGGAGCAGCAGGGGGCAATTGAACGGGATGGGTGTGCTGGATTGATGGAGAGTCATGTTGCTGCTGCTTGTATGCTGGATCGGATATAGCCACATTCTCTAGGTTCTGCACCACCGGGCTGACCATGTCGTGGTGATCCGACTCCTCATGCGCGTCATCGTCATCAATGTCCAATTGTCGCGGTGGCAGCAGCCTCTTGAAAATGTCCACGATCAACTTGGAATCATCCTGATTCCAGAAATAAGCATCAATGGTGTGAATTCTGTATTTGGAGGTGCCTGGATCTCGGGGATCCGAGCTGGCGAGACGCCATTCATCTGGGTCTCTTCCTGAACGGGGAGACGAAGGAGAAGTCGCCGGCGCATTGTCTCCGTCAACAACGAGTGTCAGTCTCGTCGGAAATCTGGGAGAATTGATCACCTTGACTCCATCAAGGAAGCCGTTAAAAGCAGTCTGGTCAGGTGTGCCGGGGTTGATCGCGGCCTCTATGCGACTTGTCTGTCTCGTGGAATTGTAGTAGACGTAAAAGTAGGAGGCTTTGTCGAAGCGATGGAGGGCCGGCCGGGGCGATGGAGCTGTGAAGTAAGAGTGGAGGTCGACATATCTGAGGAACAGAATCAGCGTCAGACTGTGGTCGAGGCATAGTCGCAGGCGTAGGGCTGCCCCTTACTTACACCGTAGCCAGCGTCTCTTCGCCCGGAAATGGTGGCATAATGATGGACGCAGTCGACCGTTCAGGGTTAGTGGGTGGTCAGTCAAGTTTGGTCGGACGGTGTAGCAGCGAGGGGCTGTGAAGTTCAAACATCAGCAGAGAAGCATTGTCCTGTCTCGAGCGAAGGGGTATTCAGGAGCTTAATTGCTATAAAATGGCATCTTCATCATAAGCCTGAGTTGAGGTGGTTGGCAAGATGTGAAAGTCTGCAGGGCGGGCGGTTATTCCAGCGTGACGCATGGCTAAGATGGAAGTCGGAGTTTGTGATCATCAGGTGTGGCTGAGCTAGATGCCTTTTTTTGGGGGGAGGCGGTTGTGCTGTACTGGGTAGTCGGTCAGCCACACATGACGTTGACCAGCCTCTGAGGACATTCAGCAGACAAGGCTAGAAGGAATTTCTAGGGATATTACAGCAAAGACCTCGAGTCTTTTCTCATGGGTCGTGTACAAGGGGACATCTGTCAAGGCGTGAGGCATCAATCTATCCACGCATGGCTATCACCACCGACAACCAGCCGTCCGCATAGCAGCCCCATCTGGCCAGCTCCTCAAGATGAGCACCCATAGGCAGTGACGCCCCATGCAGAAGCGGTGTGGCTAGAATCGGCGTCCTTCGAGATGGAAACAGGCTGGGCACAAGTTGATGCAAGGCCGTTCCCAGCGTCTGAGGCTGTCCTGCAGTGACACTTCGCACTGCTGCAGGGAAGGTCTGGTTACCGGCAGCTGCGACAGTGGGTGGGATGTGCGACTGCAGCACTTTAATTTGCGCTTTGCTCGGGTCTTGGTCTGGCGCAGAAGGTAAATACAGTCGCAAAGGGATATGTCTCATCTGGCCCGGTGTTGGCACCAAAGAGCCGTGGATTCTCGCAAAGGTGGGCAAATCATTGTCCTGGGTCGAGGTCCACAGGTCCTTGCTCTCCTGAGCCGACAGAGTCATGATGGGTTTCGCCGTGCCAGACCTCAGAAAATCTGCCTCTTTGACGGAATTGATGAAAGAATCATGCAGGACGACGGGGCTTGCATCTGGCAGCATTGGCTTGTCCGGGTCGGGGGTGAAATGCAATGTTAGCTTGAATGGTAGAGGGTCGGAAGACGATGGATCTGGTCGGGCATCTTGGGTCGACCCCACGTAGACATCGTAGAGCAGCCCTAGCGGGAGATGCCATTTCAAGGGAACATTGTCATAAGTGAAATAGCCGGCATAAGGTGATATTGTCTCGGGATCGGCGATTAATGAAGGCGAAAAGAAGGCGTGAAGGCGTGGAAGGAGGAGTGGAAGATACGACAAACGAGGAAAAGCAATCTAACAACCACAGCGGGGGTGTCAGTGTGATGATGGGCTCTGCAATCCCGGGGGGTGCCTGTGTTCACTGTGCACAACGAGGACTCACCAGGTAAGGGTCGGCGCCGTCAAAGGTACGACATTCTGAAGCGGCTAGTCGAATCTCCAGAGGCAGTCGAGCTTGCCAGACGATGCGCTGGAGGGATTGCAAAGCCTCGTCCTGGGCCATGATTGTTCTCACTTCTGAAGCGTGATGGTGCGGTGTAGCCTGTATAGGTGGGTGGTTTCGGATAATGTCGCTAGCTTGGGTGCCACATGCAGGAGGAATTGGCGAGCGGAGAGGAAGCGGAACGTCCTGCCCATCTCATCCGAAAGAGCCTTTTCCTCTTCAATGTCGGACACTGGACTTGACAGGGCCAGACAGGGATAGCTCTTTGAAACAGACGGAGATGGATCGACCAGCAGTTAATGAGTTAATGAGACGGAAGGCCGGAGCTGCGTGGTTGCCAGCCCACTTTGCGAGCTAGGCTCCGGGCAGCGGATTGAAGATGCTGTGGACAAGGCGATCCGACTCCGCTTCATCTGGCCTTTGTTCCACTGGTGTTCGAGTAAGCGAGCGAGACAACGCAGCGCAGGCGACTTACTCCTTTTTGCTGTGCCTCCATGTTGATCTAATTAGAAGAGGAAGATAAACAGATATCGTTATCAACAAGAACGCAAGGGGCCTCGGAGGGCATTGCAGTCGTTGATTTAGGGGGGGTTCAAGGGGTTTCAGACTCTGGTAGGGCTGACCGGAGAGTCACAGGGGTCCAAGGCCAGTTCCATGTCGTGGTGGCTACCCAGTACGACAACAACGGGACATAATACGTAGTAATAATAGTAGTGAACGATCATTACTCCGTACGTAATACAACACACACCCAAGCTCCCAAAAAAGCACCCTTCCCGACTGCAGCTAGAAGATATCACCATCTAGCGGAGGGAGCTCCTTTCGCTCAAATTGCGAGATGGGGCTTCTACTATAATAGAAGGTAAGTAATTCTAGATGGTTGGCTTGCAATTCCCCCAAGCTACGGGGTCCTCGTATACGGATGACACACTCCCGGCATTGTGTTGAGTGATTTGTATGTGTGCTGCGCTCCAACCGCGCGGCTGGCGGGCTTGGGCTTGGGCTTGGGAACAACGGAAGTTGCCTCGTCAATCCGTCTCGCCGTGTTGACTGGTCGTGGCACCAACCGGCTATTTCCACTGCAGAAAATCGCAGCAGCTGGGACAACCCGACTTGTCGGGATACCATGATTTCAATCTTGTTGAATGGTAACACAGCAGCGCGGAACAGGAATACAGTGGAGCATCCTGTTTCCTCCAGCTGCCAAGTCGCCTTCTCGTCTCGGTGTTTGGGGGAATCGGTACCTACTGTAGAACTCGACGCTGGCTGGCGAAAAGAAAGACTAGGCCCGTCTCACGGGCTCAGGTTTCAAGGTCCAACACTGTCAGAATCGTGTTTAATAAACTTTGTGATTTGCATCGTTACCGCAAAAGACAGGAAGGTGCGGTACAGGTTGGACAAGTCACGGCACGAATAGAAGATCAGTTTGCCGTCAGATTAGTTTAGGGCTGACGATAGCTCTGCATCTTTGCTGAGAAATCGGTGGGGATCCGTCACCTTGTCCGGCTGCTGCAAGGTCTTCTTCTGTTGGAGATAGAAACAACAACGACTTAAGGCGTGATGAGCACCCAGCCCGCATCCTACCCAGTGTGCAAGTTGGGTGTATGCGCGCGTGTACTCGTATGTTTGTGGTTGGCTGGTGAAAAAAGCCACTGATCACGCACAATCGAACGTGTCATATTTTTGAACAGGGGTACTGCTCTGCCAGCACCCCAAGAAGGCTGCATTTGACCAAGTCGGGATACAAGCCCAGCAGTCTCCTGGGTAAGTAGGTAAGTAGCAGTCTGTGTCCAATGACTAGCTCTTCCAATTTGCGGGGGTATCGGTGGCATCAGCGGCCAGGCTCAATAGGTAATAGGTTTGGATGGGTTTTGGCTCTCGTATTCGTTGTTTCTTTTTTCTCCTAGGCAAGGACTCGATAGGCGTGTTGCAACGCAGCGCAGCTCTTTGCGTCAGAGCTCCTGCTGGGGCTTTGATCTTCCGTCTTCCGCGCCGTCAAAGAGGGGGGGACCAAGGGAAGAAGAAAAAAAAAAAAGGGAAAATGAGAATCATTCGCTGCCCATGCGTTGATTTGAGAGGTCTCGCCCGATGGGGAAAAAGGAGTCTCGCAGCTCTTCAGGAGCAATGAGGCAGTGCTCGAGGTACGGGAGCGGCTTGTCGTTCATTGCATGCGTTTGGACTGAATACGACGCAATATTTTCTTTTTCTGTTTTGTTTCCCAGGGAGTGGACCCCCCTTATTATTCATTGTGCCCTCATTCGCCTGCCCTTCTATCGCATCTGCAGACAAATGGTTTTCTCAGGCTCGAGATGATGATGGAGGCGTGACAGGTTGCCGCAGATGGAGGCGGGAAGACTAAAATTTGGTGAAATGTGGAGGTAAGCCTGGAGACTGGAGCCTGGAGCCTGGCAGCACTGAATGGTACCAGGCAGCGTTCAGACCTCAGTGTTGAGTGCAGGGTTCGGTAGGAAGGTGGAGGGCAGGCAGAGGGGGGAGTCAGCTCCTACGGGAGCTTGTTGCAGCGCCGCTTGGGCTGTCAACTTTTGGTTGTCCCTTGGTTCCCCGTACCAATGACAATTTCGCTTTAAGAGGGGCTTAGCTAAAACAAGGCTCGTGCCTTGTTCGCGCCGTGGTGGGCAAGGGAGGGAGCCAGTGAGCATGCACGGGCGGCACCTCCTAGGTACTTACTTACCTACTCTTGGCTACTGTCCTTGTAGAGGCGAGCGGAGTTCGCTAAGATGTGCTTAGCTGCTAAGCTGCTAAGCTAACTAACCTGGAAGCTCGGAGACATCTTCCACCTCGCTGCCCGTACCTAATGTCTGGGAAGGCAGGAGGAGGAGGAGGAGCTACTCTGAAATTTCTGTTTTCCTCTGTCTGTCATCTGATTGCCCCCCGTGAAGCGCACATTACCCGTCTCTTGTCCCGTCTCGTCTCGTCTCGTCTCGTTTTTCGCTGTGGAAACGTCACCCTCCTGCCTTGTTCAGTTTCTTTCCGGCGTACGGAGCACTACTGGGTACTGGGTACCTAGATAGGACCCAGTACACAGTAGTTCCTTCTTCCCACTTGGACCACTGGAACAAGCCCGTTCCTTCCCGTACCCATCGCCGATCCCCCCGTAGCCTTGGCCATTGCCTAGGCAGAATCGAAATCCTTGGGTCTGGCCACGCGAGACCTTGGTGAGCTCTGTGCGACCGGTGGTGACGTCGAGAAGCTGTGTTCTTTTCGCTAAAAACTCAGTCTATTTTCCGCTCAGATCAGATCGACAAGTTGGGTGCTATTGGTGCTAGGCAAGGTCACGGTGGATATGGACACGGGTCTCCTCCCCTTCGAAGAGCCCGCTGGAAGCTAACATGCAAGGAGCGCCCTCCCTTCAGCCTTCCCTAAGTACAGGACGCAGTCCATAGTTCAAAACCGTGCATGGGCCTAAATCCAAGCCTCCAGAAGTATGGCCCCCCTTTCGCTAAAGCTACTGAGTACTGTAGGTACTCGAGTTGAAACCATGAGCATGGAAAGGAGTGAAGTGTGGCCTGCCTGAGTGCCTAGCTAAATGAGCCGCCCGAGCCGCTAATGAGCAGAGGTGCAGGTGCCAGGGAGCTGGGGCCCATTGGGGCTAATGAGGGACAAGCTTGAATCACGACTTACAGCTACTGTACCCAGTACCATGCAACCCTGAGAGCCTGGTACATCCTGGCCAGCCGCGAAGACCCTTTCTCGCATGAAAGCGCTGTACCAGAAACCCCCCCCCTTGGTGCCTCTCTGGATGGCCCGGCCTAGGGACTAGCAGGCCCAAAGCGAACCATGGCAGCTCCAAGTTGGCCGGGCGAAGAAGCCAAACTGCATCCCCTTTAGCAGCGGTGTCCATCTCCGAATTTCAACGATGATCCGAAAGGACGGGTGCGTCCTGGGCAAACCATCCTCCTCGCTGTTCTGGGGCCCTTGGCTGGTCTTGCTCACCAATGGGCATCATAGCCATGATGGCCCGTGGCTGATGAATGGCACCAAAAGAGCCCCAGGTTTAATGCAGCAGACATACGCGCAACTATCGACCTATCGACCTGTTGAACCCATCGACCCCTGGCCCTGCCTCCATCCCCCATCTCTTCCCTCCCCCAAAGAAAATAACAGTAAGGTATGCCCATGAAGCTGAAATCCATCGAACCTGATCCCGCCCACCAGCCTTGAAAGCTTTGAAATCTGCATTCCTGCAACTCGGTGTTACATTTTTTCCCCTCCTCTGGTTGCCAAAGAGAAAGCTGCCCATCCTGCCCGTGTCAAGCCAACATCATCAACCCTGTCCGTTCCACCTGAATCCTTGTCTCTTTGAACCGAATCTCTGTTTCCTCTGCATGTTTGGTTCTACCTCCCAATCTACCACATACAAGTACGCGCCCGTCAAGAAGGGGACCACATCTGTCTTTGCTTCCTGACTGGCCTCATCGCTGCATCCAGCTCGCTCTCTGGTTCGTGCCGGCTGCTTCTGTTAGTTCCCCGGCGCCCAGTATATGTGTCCCACAGCTCCACTGACACGTTCTCGCCCTCCCAACGATAACCATCTCGAAGCTCCTTTATATCTGCTGCATATCTCGCAAAGCTGACAAAATACATCCTCGCACTGTTCTTACCACTTGATCTGCACGCCAAAGACTCTGGAGGCTTCTTATTTTTGCGGCCGAAATACTGTCAACTGGTAATAGAGCTGTTGTTCTCGTCAGCTTTTGCCGGTTCCACAAAACTCGACGTCGGATTGACTTCCACCCGATCCATCCGTCACTTGTCATTCCCGCTCCACAACCGAAACAACTTGCTCCAGGTCGCAGTTGAACCCACGGGCACCCGCGTCCGCAGACTGAACTGTTGAAATAATCAAAAAGCTCGTGTCAGCTCATCCCCGGACCCTCGCGACAGATTGCCAAATCAACTAAAACATTGGGTCCTTCTTAAGTGTCGATAGGGCTGACAGGCATATCACCGTGTGCTGCAGAGTGGCCCCCCTGACATCTAATGCCTTACTTAGCTCTCAGTTGCCTTAATTCTGTCGTTGCTTCTGAACCCTATCATACGTCAGCCTGATGCCAGTATTTTATATTGGTCGACTTCTCGCTCACCACTTCGAGTGTCAGCAACGGAAGAAAACTATATGAGTTGATCTCGAGTCAACGAAACCATGATCCCATGGGTCACCTTCTGGGGGAAGTAAGTCTCGCCTTCCTCTGTTCAGCGTCATTCCTTAATGCTCACATGCTTCAGCCCACAGGAACCTGACTGGCGAGTCGATCTGCACGCCGAAAACTTATACTACTATGTCGAAAAAGGCCCAACTCAAATCGTGCGCTACCGGGATTCCCCAATGCTTTGGTCGGCGGATGAACGACAATATGCCATTTCTCAACTCGGGACCAAAAGTATTGGTTACGAAAGTGAGCACATTGCCGGGTTACGGGAAACCCTTCAGTGGCTCGAGAATCATTTTGCAGCCCACTCAACGCAAGAATCCTGTCGCCCGACCTCGCCTCACTCCGAATATCTGAGAGATCTCCCGAGTCCGGCGGACCACTACAGTCCCTTGCCGCCACTTGACATAGATGACGAGCCTCGTTCTGCAACGTCGACGCCCTCGCCAATCATAGAACAGGAAAGGTCCTCACGGTCTCCCTTGGCTTTACAGGAGCTTATGAATCCCGCACCACTTACCCCCTCGAGCCTGAAGAGAAAATCGTCTGATGAACTTCTGCCAACTATCCTTGCCGATGACGAGGTTGAACAGGTCCCTGATCTCGAAGTCAGTCTCCCGTTTCACGCCCACACTCTGAAATACCCTCGAGCAGGTCATTTCATAGGCAACCCAGCAGGTACTCGGACACGCCGAGGCGTGAGAATGCGACGAGCACGATCAGGTCAACGGCACCATTCATCGCAAGATCCCCTTGAGACGGAGCAATTCGAGAAGGATGGCCAACTACTTCTCAACTTGGCCCAAGGCCCCAGGTCTCTAGGAAACCCAACTTGAGCAACCACCACCAAGGGCAAGGATAGAAAAGCAGCAGAATGACGATATCGACGACTTCGTCAACGTGCCGTTAAATATCACCCAGTCACTGAATCTATTGACGATTCCTCTTCTCGGGATTACGGCGTATGTTACTTTCGAGTCATGATCATCACCACCGGGCATTGTATCTCACCTCTATTGATGCAGAGTACAAGAGCTTCAGCCGTCTTGGCGGGGACCAACAGCACCGCGGATCGCCAACTCTGGGGACACAAGGTTGTCATGGGAGAGTTTTGGCTAATTGTTATTTTCGCTACTACATTTAGGATGACGGGTTTTCGTATTCCGGCGATGGATACTAGTAAATACCCTTGATGGCCAGATGTCCAGAATGTCTTGCACGGAGTTACAAGGATTTTGTGCTTCTCTTCCTTGGGTCTGAGAAGCTTTTAGCGACGGCGCTGGAAGGAACTTTTCTCCACATTCGTCCTTTCTTTTTTGAGTGGATAATGGAAAACGTCGATATTTTGATGAGCCATGGGAGGAAGCAAACCGTGTGTCGGCCAGTGAACTGGAGGCATCTCCGGATCCTCATGGGAGAGGAGGAAGGGCGAAGGATGGGAGAGCCGCTCAGGATGGGCTTCAGTCAGCCATCAAGGTCCACCGAGCCCAACATCAGGACTTGTGCAAATATGCCCCGCTATCCATATATACATGTCGAACATGCGGTCTCAGTCTTCAATGAAGCCATGGACTTTGTTACTGTTTTCGACATCCATGGCCGCTAACCTCCCGACCAGTCTTCCCTTGTCTTAACACCCCTATGCCTCAATCTCAGCAAGCGCATTCCTGAGGTCGCAGGTTGCAGAGGGCTGATTATTCACCATCCACCAGAGTGCCTACGCGGCCAAGTTCCGATCCAGAAGGACATCTGATCTTGCGCAAAGCCGGCCGCAAAGGGAGGGGGGTTCCCCATCCGGCTTTCCTTATAAGGCAGGAACCCTAGGGAAAATATTAGCAGGTGGCAAAGATCCAGATACAGCCTTTGTGGGCGATTAAGCGAAGAAAGCGTCATGGCTCCGGTGGGTGTTTGTTTCCGGTGCCGCCGCGTGGTAGCACATCAAAATACGCCATCTGCGACACACTAGAGAAACAGGTACGGACGTCACTCCTGTTCTGCGAAGACTGCGCGCAGCGTGTGGCCGAGTTTAACTGCTTACTGTACGCTCGAAGGGAGATCGACCGGGCCCACGCCGACGGCATTGCGGGAAGCGGAAAAACACACATGGGCAGACTATGTACCCAGCAAGGCTGCTCACGCCGCTGGTCTGACTGACTACTTACCTGCCTGACTGCAGAGTCCGGTTTCTCTCTCCGTACGGAGTACTGGTTTGTACTGGGTACCAGGTCAGGAACGATCCAATCGGATATCAATGGCCCGACTGCCCAATGCGTCCTCGCCTGCTGACGAGCTTACTAGGTGCTCCTGCTGGTGCTGGTGGACGGCCAGGAGGGAGATGTTAGCCGTCGGTTGGAAGAAAGATGACTCTCTGGTTGCGGCGAACCAACTAACTACTGGACCGAGCTCCACGCGTTTCATCGAGGGCTCGGGGGATTTGTAACGAGCGGCCCATCAAAAGGACGTCTCAGCCTGTCAGGGCTTGTGAGATTGCGTAGGTACACAGCCATACGTGTATGTTTAGGTGGGGGCTCAAGTACCTTTATTTCTCAACTGCCGTCTGACACTTTCGCAGATTTGCACCGGTAGGGGTAAGGCCTGGCGAGAAAAAGGAGATGGTGGAGCAAGAAGGTACCTAAGTAGGTACTTGTCCTCGGTACGGAGTACTACTCGCTACTTGCAAATGCCACGGCGGGCGAACATTCCTCCCGAAAGGGAAAAAGGAAATGAACCATACAAAAACAGATATTGCCCTTTTCTTCGGGCTGACTACGGAGGACTTGGGGTCGTCGAATAATCAGGCGGGATTGAATAGGTCATACCGAGTACATAGCAATATGTAGCACCAACAACCGGAAGCAAGCCGCATGAGACCCCGAGATAGACACTGAGCACACGGGACGAAGAACGGAGCAGTCTACGAAGTTGAGAAAGGTGAAAACAGTCTCTCGTCTTTGGAGGAATTGTGGAGATGGTAACGACTGACTGAAGGCAGGATTCAACGCCAATCCTGGGCTGCATACTCAGTAATACCATAAGTACTTGGTACTCCAGACCTATCGAGATCAACGTTGCGGATCAGTTTAATATTACTACCTACCGTATAAGGAGTATAGGTACCCTACTGAGACCGCAGTGAGTTCCCCCGCCATCTCAACGAGGCACAGATTACTATTCAAATAATACTACGAAGCAACAACAACAATTTCAACATCAACATCAACAATGATTACAATAACAATATTAAAGCAGCGACTGTGAAGGGCGCGAGGGTGATCTTGTAAAAGGAGGACTAGCCTCCTGCCTGGCTGTGTCACTCAGAGAAACAAAGTCATACCTGACATAACCATAATCAACCCTGCCTGTGGTTGTTATTCAAGCGTTTCTTTTTCTTTTACGTTTCTTCACATTTCACTTTTACTTCTTCGCCCAAAGTATTTCCACATCAAGCGTGCGTTTGACAAGTGTGAGTGCGGCCGTGTGTCCAGGCACCTGAACATCCAAGCAGGCCGTTGATCACGTCCGGCGACCACCATGGCTCCCTAGTTCCGTCAATTACAGCGCTGCCGACCCCAAGAAACAAAACCACCACTACGCTTGTCTGGTGACTCGAAAGTGCATGCGCTGCACGTGCGCCGTTACGGTGTTCTCTAGGAAAGTAGCTAGGTAGGTCCCCAAAAAGTGACAGGTCATATGTCCTACTCGTATATGCACAAAGCCCATCTGGAATGGGACTTGGTCATTCGGGGTGTGAGGATGTGCTAGGCGAGCGGCGTGCAGAGCAGGGCGAAGAGAGTACAGCCACCAAAGAGAAACAAAGAAAAGAGAACTTCCGCACCGAGTTCAGCTGGCACCCTGGTCGACTATTTGGAATTGCACCATTCACCAAGTCAGTCGGTCACCATCCATTATCCGCAGCTGGAAATCCCTTCCGTGGGATGGATTCCGACCGTTTCTGGAGCACAGGGGCCAAGGGAGGAAGGGTTGGCGCCAGGGGAAGTGCGGAAAAACAAAAGGCATTGTTCGGCGTCCGCATCGCCAACGCGCAACGCGCGTGCGGGCCCGGACATCCACTCGAGACGACGATGGGTAGTGGGTAGCGGGCAATGGGCTCCAGATGGGACACCTCGTGGCTCCCTGCTGATACCTATGGCCACCACTACGCACGGGGAATGGAGGAGGGGAGTGCCTACATACCAAGACCTCCGTAGGTACATAGGTACTGTAGGGGTAGGCAATACCTACTGGGTAGAGATTACTCGCGAACAAATACCTGATTGCCATACCGTTTGATCCTACTATGTACTTGTAGCAGAGGGTGAGTGAAGGCCACTTTAACCGACCCGACTTGACCCGACCAACCCGACCTCTGTGGGGCGTATTTCGACTCCCTTTGATCGGCTGCCCCTACTTCTCAGCTTTGACATCTGTTGTAGTTCAGCTTCAGTGGATGTGGCAAGTTCCTACCCTACTGCTGGTGCCTCATATCTGGTTGAGGTACCCAAAACAGCTCCCAACGACTTTCGGTATAGCGCTAAAAACAAAGCATTGCGGTGATCGTAGCCTAGCCAGCCCAATCCAATGTATCTCTGACGGAGACACGCCAGAGGTCAGTACCTGGGCAGGTTGCAAAACTGGCAGACTCTCGCGCACGCATTGCATCTTTCTCGTTAAAATCTCATCGCTAGGGAAATAGACCGTACCGGTACCCGGTACTGGCTACTACTGTCACTATCCTGCGGCTACTGTACCTGCCTTCACTTTTCTCCAAACTCTCCTGATTTGCTCTTCTGGCTCTTTAGTTTGCCTGCAGAGTCGCCAGTCTCCTCGAACTTCAACTTGAGTTGTGAGACTCGACTCGGTACCTTGGGCTGAGGAGCGGCGATGGCGTTTCACAGTCTAGAGTCGCGCTATAACTAACTATCTCTTCATCGACGAAGGCCTGACCGAGACTTCGGCCGAGATGGGATTGCGGATACTATTTCTGCTTCATAGCATGGTCGCCGAAACCGGTACTGCTCTGCATGCTGTCTATTCAAGATCTGGTGATTAAATAGCCCACCCCCTAACTGAAGATGACAAAATGAAATACTAAATGAAGAGATGGTGGTTATAAATAAGAAAGAGGACAGAGAAATTACAACTCAGGGACCTTCACCATCCGCTCAACCCACCACTTACTCGACAGACATTTGACCAGTCTATACCCTTCCCCTATGTCGACGTCTATGACAACGTCACCGATCCTCATCGTCACGCTCTCGCCGAGAACTAGGGCCCAGGATGCTAGTTCTTAGCTAAACTAAGAAGTTCTCCGCGCTCAAGGGTCTGCTCCCATTGGGGAGTCGGTTCTTCGAACATTTTTCCAACATGGGTTGTGGCCGTCATCACGCCGAGTCCTCCAGATATACCCGTGGCCGAAAAGGCAATAGGGGCCATTGGAGGAGTGAGTAGGGAGGTTGTGGTGACAACGGTCCCCATCCAAGCTGCGCTGGACCCAACGGATGCTCCCAGGGCGGCAGCTGTCCCCCACTCGCTAGGGGGTCGATCCATGTTACCAACATGTTTCAGTTCGAGGGAATGGGCGGAGGTTTTGTCCAAAGTTGGTAGGTTGAACCAGACATATGCCTTGGAGTCATGGACTAACCCTTGAACAGTAAATAGAAATAAATCAGCTGGGAAACTCAACGAATCTTTGATAAGCATAGGACTATATGCTGGAATTATAAGGTGAAATCGTGCTTTCTTGTCATACTTGTCAATATATTTTTCTGAGAACGGCCATTCACAGACAAAAGTGCATCAAGGCTTTCCGAGACACCGAGGAGATTTTGGGGACAGCGGCTTTCGGGAGACGATGTCTAAGAAGTATCCACGCCAATCGATGTCGGGGTGATACAAGAAGTAAAGATGCCGATTGCCATCTTCGTGGGCCACCGGTGTTTCGTGGAAGATGACATTCTGGACTTGCTTTGTAAAGGTCTTTGGAGCAGTGAGGCCCCTCTGAGCCTCCAGCTCACAATGGATTTTCTGGCCGACTTCTTCAAGAGCAGATGAACCTTGAAGGATTTCGACGAACTGAGCGACGGCACTCATGCCGTTGAGGAAAGCTGAAAACTACTCAGAGGCATTCTTGCGCTTGAAGAAGGTGGCGAAAGAATCCGCACATGTTCGGATATCGGGATGCCTTCTCGAAATGCTTTACCGTTAAGCATTGCTACGATCTGAGGCATCGCGTCCTCAACTACCCGACTATTCTATCTTATGATCCTTCATGTCTTGGGTTCTAGAATGGGTTGGGACTGTTCGTGTGCAAGCAGCACTACGAGTGGGGTGCATGAACTTTGTGCTCCATCCAGTGATGTTGGATAGCGATTCTCCGATCGCGATATCAACTCGCCTCCTCCGCAACTTCGCGATTTTCCGACAGCAAGGAGCACCGAAGAAATAGTCGTCCTCTAGGAAGGCTCCGACGACACTAGAAATGGCTGTGGCATAAATGTGTTTAAATAGGTGTGAGTGCACTTTCTCTTTTTACTATATTTTCTTTCAGAGGATATATCGCTTTGAGTGCAGCCTCTTGCGGACTATATTTTGCTCCAGAATACGCCATCCCTCTCGACGATTCCAAGCTTCAATTTAGTAGATGCAATGGGAGACTACAGATCTAGACCGAGCTCATCTGAGGGCGAGAAACCCCAAGTCCTGCAACCCTTCCACCTTACCGCCACTGGCTACAATCTCAATTACCTCCCCGAGTATATCGCCCTCCGACATGGCTTCTTCCGTGAGCAAGGACTCGACGTCAGGGTAAAAATCCCTACACCCTGGGACGGCGTGCTCGACGCCCTCGCCGAAGGCACCGCCGACATGGCTCTGGGCGGCATCTGGGTACCGTCCATGTACCGCAACAGGAGCCAGCACTACACCGTGTTCGCGCAGATCGCGAATCGCTGCCCTCTCGCCCTCCTCCGACGCGGCCAAGGTGACGGCTTGAAGCTGGTCGACATGGTCGGGAGTACCGTGCTGATGAAGTCGGGTGGTGGAGCCAGCGTGGGTCTTTTCTTCAAGATGCTCCTCCGCGAGAACGGCGTCGACCCCAAGTCGCTGGACTACATCCAGGACCTCGACGGCGTGATGCTAGGCAACTTATTCCAGGGCGGCATGGGCGACTACTTCATTACCGACAACCTGTCGGCCTTGGCCATGGCCGAGCACAATCCCGACGTCTCGATCGCCATGGAGATGGTCTCGCAGGGCGACATCCCGTGGAGTGTCTACTACCGCGAGACGGCGCCGCTCACCCCGGCCATCTTCGACGCCCAGAAGCGCTTCTACGTCGCCCTGGCCAAGGGCATAGACTGGGTACTCCAGCACGACGCAGAGTCGTTCCGGGACGAACTCGCCGAGCTCTTCCCCACCGTCCCCATCGACGTCGTCGTCCGCGTTACCAACCTTTTCCGCCGCAACGGCATGTGGACGTCCACTTCTGTGTCCCGCGAGGGTTTCGACCGATGGCAGCAGGGCCTCGCCGATGCACGCCTGGTCAAGGAGCCTTTTGCTTACGAAGCGATTGTCAACGACGAAGTCGCAGCAGCGGCACAGAGTGCGAAGTAACGACGCCACCACCATCCCATGGGCAGCTAGTCTAGTCATTGGCAACACGGACGCTTTTCACGTTCCTGGGGAGAGAGAGCTCATTATTCATATTCAATTTCGACTAACGTACATGGATAGACGGCCCGTGATCAAGTTTCTTACTGTGGCCGGCCACTAAAAGCGCGTCATGCCTTCAAATTCTCATAGAATTTTACAATTCGTATGTCTGAAGTGCTCCATCAGACTTATCCCTCGTTCTTCCTACTTCTCTGACACAGGTTCCTCGCATTTTGTAGATTTGATTAATCTTAACGGTATGCGCATTCCAATAAGTCCCAATCATCGCTTCTGATTCTCCACATACAGCTTGTTTCCCGTGTATATCAAACAGTCCCGCAGTGTGTCGAGAATTCCTACCCCCATCGCGCTTGCTCGTACCAGAGCTCGTTGCAGCCGAATCCCACGTCGCTGAAATCCATGTCCTGGCAATCGGGCCATTGCGCGGCAGAACTGAGCATCTCGCTAAAGGCGTCGGTGGACAGCATGCCCGACATTGTGTTGAGGCTGGTTTCGTTGGCGGTTGCGGACATGCCCCCCATGCCCATGCCCGTGCCCACGCCGCCTCCACGGGACGACGGCTGCAATTGCTGCAGGAGATCCTCGACCTGTTTCTCGAATTCGGAGTGGTTTTCGCGTTTGTTGCCCTCGGGGTCGACGGCGACGAGCCGATCAATCGTCGCCGCGGAGAGAGTCTCAAAGACGTCGCGGCAGCCTGCGGCACCGGGGAAGCTCTCCGACAGGGCGGCGAGCGTAGAGGCGCAGGATTGCAATGTGGAAATGCATTTGCTGACGGGGTTGCGGTCGCGGATCTCCTTAGAGAGCCATAGGCCGTAGATGGCGCCCAGGCCGGCCATGAAGAGGTGGTGGACCCATTTCCACAACACGTCGATCTTGCCCTCGCGCTGGAGGATCTTGATGCTTGTGATCAGCTTGCACGAGGCGTCAAAGGAAACAACGAGTCCCTCCGTCGACGTGTAGAGGACTGTGGTGTTCGGCCGGTAGAGGAGCAGGATCGCGTTGTTGTAGATGGCGTCCCAGAAGGCCTGGTAGGCGAATATGGACGAAGGATGGGCCTTGCTTGGTGGTGGAACATTCGTGTACCACTCCTGGAGACGGGGTCGCATGTCTTGGAGCCAGGCTGCGTAGTCTACCCTCGGGTAGGCTACCTTCGGAGACCAGGCTTGGGTGTGCTGGACATGCTTGATTTCAGACTCGAGTTTCGACATGCTGAACAAATGATTGTGAGCATGTTGGCTGTGCACGTCAAAATCTTTAGGCTCGCTGCCAGTAGTCCCCTGGCGAGATAGAGATACCGTCGATGGATCCGGAAGCGGGACAGAGATGCTTTCGTCGATAATGCCAAAGGGGCGACCGAGCGTGATGCACAAGACACGGTCAAATTGATAAGTAGAGTACCACAAGCGCCGGCGTTGGTATAGCAAGGTTGGAGCCATATTCAGAGACTGCTCTTCGGTTTCCCAATGCAGGCCCATGTCAATGCATAGTCGCAGGGCGATGCCAGTCAAATGCCACAGGCTTCCCCGAGAAGGATGCAGGGCGACGAATTGAGCTAATAGGAGAATAGAGCGGAGAGTGTCGAGATCGCTCTTTGAGTAAGTGATGACTTTTTCAATCCAACTGATTGCTGACCGGAAGCAACCCTCGCTTTGGATCGGCCGACCTCCAGATGGATTGGGGACGTCGAAGAGAGCGATGGCGAAGATCATATAGGTCGTGAAAATGTCCTTCTCGACTTCTCTGTCCGAGGGTGGGCGGCCGTTGACCGAGAGGTATGCGCTTTCAAGAGCTTCTTCCACTTCCGACCGCTCCACAATGGGCAGATGGGCCGTGCGGTGTTGGAAGTAGACTTCGACCAAATGATCCGCGGCATGGCGTGGTGGGAGAGAGGCTTCGGCTGCCGGCGCAGATGAAGACGGCTCGTACGAGCGCTGCTCAGAAAACAGAGGAGAGGGCAGGCGGTCGACGCGGATGGCTGCTATGACCAGCCTGGCGAGCGTGATGCCACTGCTCTGTCCCAGAAACCGCGGCTGTCTTGACGCTTCAGCGACGACGTTCCTGACGCTCCTGACCAAGTCCTGGAAGCGGCTCAAGCTTCCATCAGATGCGGCTGGACTAGATGCTGGAAATGGCTTCGGCTCAAGTCCCATGGGAGAATACAGCTCAAGAGAAGTGGCATTTTCGCTGTTGGCCGGGCTGCCCTGGGCGCGCTGTTGCAGTTCTTGATTCTCCCGAGTCAACTTCTCGACTTGCGCCTCTAGATCGGACACGTAGCTGCGAGGTATCTATGAGGCATTCAGTCCCAAGCAATCGGATCGCGGTCGACGTGCAGTCTGTATCTACACTCACCTCGGCTTGTTTCCCTGAGTGATATGTCAAGCACACAGCGTGTGCGCTTTCGCAATTAGAGCAGCTCGGGTATTTCAGATCACACTGTGCATTTCAAACCGGTTGCATGTCAGCGGCATGATCAGGATGCTCGGGCTGGAGCGAGTGCTATCAATCCCTACCTTCTGCTTTCTCCGACGGCACCTGTGCATGCACATAGTCAGCCTCGTATCGGCACGGACGTCCCATTCGACTCACCTCTGACACGCAGTCGCTCCTTTAGCAAGTCTTTGTCCGGCGCGCACTGGCGAATTCATTTGCGATGTCTCGAGCCCAGAACTCACGTTTCGCCCCTCCAAGTTGTCATCGTCGACAGCAACAAACCTGTTGGGTACGGGTAGATATCCAAGATATCCGATATTGGTGGTAGGCTTTCGGAGTAAGCCGATCAATGCCAATCGCCCATGCTACTAACAAACTCAGTAATACGAATGCTAATCAATGCTCTATCCAAGGGCGGCTGCGCGACTCATGACCAGAACTTGCCTTCCTTGCTTCCAAAGAACCAAGATCCTCAGCACGCCGGAAAAGAAAACACCTTCCATGCTTCGTCGGTCTTCCCATTGCAAATCTCTCAGATCTATCTCGGTCAACAACGGTCGTGGCAAGTTGGTTCGGCTTTCCCCGAAGGGATAGAAGTTAAAGCCTTATCATGCTGGCAAGTTGTGCATGTCTAATATTCAACACCAAAGTAATTCCCTTGCCAGATCATAGACATATGTGAATCTATACAGTCAAGTATATAAGATGAAAAAACTTGCCAGTCTTGCATCCACCGATCACTCGCGTTCTCTCACAATCTACGGCCCAGCTCCTCACATAGATTATCTCCGGCACAAGCCACCGAAATGCAATCCAAAGCAACAATGGAAACGAAGACCCCTGTGGTCGACCTCGACGTTAAGAGCCCAGTCAATGACTGTGCTTCAGAAGTAGCAGGATCAGCGACAGTCATAGATATCGACCCTGTCAAGGAGGCAGCCGCACGCAGAAAATTCGACATGTACGTCGTGCCGGTTTCGTTTATCTTCCTTGTGCTGTCCAGCCTGGACAGAAACAACGTGAGTGAAGTGCTTGCCCCCGCAAAAGCGCCATAACTAAGAGTTGATCAGCTTGGAAACGCGAGAGTCTTCGGTTTCGACCAAGACATTGGCCTCCATGGAGGCCAGTTTGGCAATATTAACACGCTGTCGAGCGTCTGCACCATCATCTTTGAGCTCCCCTGGGTTCTTGCGGTCAGGCGCTTCGGAGCCAACAAAGCAATCGGTACAGCATTCGTCATATGGAGTGCCAGTACGCTTGGAACTGCCTTCATCCACACCTACGGTCAAGCCATCGCCTGTCGCATGATTTTGAATGCCGCCGAAGCAGGCCTCGCTCAGAGCTTCGCCTATCTGTTTTCCACCATCTATCCCCGGGAACTGGCAGGAAAGCGGATCATGACGACGAACCTCGCCCAATGTGTTTCCGGTGCCTTTGGTGGTCTGTTTGCTTATGCTGTTCAGACCATGGGATCGAAAAATGGACTCGCGGCCTGGAGATGGCTATTCATTATCGAATTCTTGATCACTATCTTTATCTGTGGCATTGGCTGGATCTTCATCCCGAAGACGGCCGAATCGGCGTGGTTTTTGAACGCGGAAGAGAAGGAGACCATGCGTCTGAAGAAACTGCGCGACATCGCTCTCAGGGGAGCAGAGAGGTTCGAACGCAAGTGGATCAAGATTGCTCTTATGGACCCTTTTGTCTGGCTCCTGGGCATAGCGTTCTTTACCTCGTCTGTTGCCATTAACGGATTCGGTGTTTTCCTGCCTACTATTATTTCTGGTCTTGGGTAAGTGATTTACCCATACTTAACGAGCCCCTTCGAACAACTCGCTGATTTGGTTGAAGATATGCCTCCCTTCGGGTCAACTACATGACCATACCGGTTTATATTCTAGGTGCCGTATCTCTTGTCACTCAGGTCTACTTTTCCGATAGACTCAGAAAGCGTGGCGTCTTTATCGTCGGTTGTTGTGTCCCAGTTGCAGTTGGATATCTCCTCTGCGTAGGGACAGCGAATCCTCATGCTGATTACGCTGGCATGTTCATCCTCGTCCTAGGTGAGCTACATCAACCCATTTCTACTGATATATCGAGCCATCTAACACGCCTGACCCAGGGCTCTATCCCATCTCCACGCTGGCTGTGACTTGGATCTCCACCAACCTGTCCCCAGATAGCAAACGTGCAATCGGAATGCCACTGGCCTATTCCATCGCAAATGTGTCTGCTGTGGTCTCGTCACAATTATACCCCAACCAGCAGGGCCCGCGGTACATCCAGGGCAACGCCATCTCGGCTGGTTTGACTGTTGTCGCCGGGTTCCTCTATGGCGCATGCTGGCTTCTGTTGAGGCGCAGAAATATCAACAAGAGAAAGCTTATCGCTGAAGGAGCCACGACAAATGGCTTGGAAGGCGATAGGAGTCTTGAGACCATGTATATTCTTTGAGCGGCGCTAATACAACCGGAGAAGAAGCCTCTTGGGCGGCGGGAGAGCTCTGGGGCACTTGGAGGAAAGGAGGGATAACTGAAAAAAAAAAAAAAAAAAAAAAAAAAACGTATGCAGTCTCGTTGGATGGTCCAAGGAGCACATGGTGGATGTCGTAGATATAAAGAGGAGCATAGCTCCTTGCCACCTTCACCTAAGTTCATATTTCCGACATATCGCAACACCGTTATCCCAATGACAGTTAAGGTAGGAGCCACCGAACTAACTGGATCTGACATATTAGAATGGCGCACCTAAATTTGGGATGCCCCAGCTTATCACATGGATTTCACCATCTATTACCAAGATAAAAGTTAACCAAAGTCGGTGTTGTGACTGAACGAAGTTTCCAAGGCTGGCGAACTCCCAGAGAAAATCTGGAGTCGCTCAGGGAGCAGCAGGCGAGCCGAGGGCGCAGTCCTTGGTAGAGCGGGGACCGTTTAGTAACCGAGAGGGAGTGAGCAATTGATCTTTTCAGCACGCAAACTTTGGAGCAGCTACCTCTTTTACGCGCGACCGAAAAGACTACGGACTTGACTATTTCACTAATAACAACTTGGGCTTAGAGGGTGAGCGGAGGCTGGTTTTACCTGGGGTTTAACTGAGCCTTTCGCCGAACATGACAGAGCGCTCCTTGAGTAACGACCCAGCGCCTAATCTACCCAGTACGCCCCTCGCAGTCGGCACATCGAGGAACCCGTTGGGCAGGTCTTGGGCAGGTGTCTGTGTCAGATAGACGCCAAGCCTTGCCAGCTAATTTGGGGGTTGTGCGAGGCTGTTGAGGGTGTGTCGGTGTACCCAGTACGGAGTTCTGTACCTGTACGCTGCGCCCCTTTCACGAGCCACGTCAATCTCAGCCGCACACGCGCCTGGTTCGCTGGGCAGCCAGCAGGCCTGTTTGCCGCCCGTCGAACCTTGCCGCCCAGTTCTCACCGGGGGGCTGTGCTATAATTTGACATATATGTCGCGAATGGCTATGATGTTGCTGCTTTCTGCCCTCTCTTTTCGCCCCTGAGCCTAGTTTCCACCACCTCTTTGCTGCAGATGCATTGACGATCTGATCGGCTCCATGGCGGATGCGGCAGCCCAATGTCATATCGTAGACGCGTACCGAAACCTCGCCACGGACCGGCAGTTTGACGAGATCGAAGGCTCTCTTTTCTTGCCTAAGGACGATCCAGCCTCTATACTCGAGGCGTATGTAGCCGCGGACTCGACAATTGCAAGCGACTGGCAAGAGCTTTCGCCCGTGGTGGATCTTTCGAAACCCGATCCTCTCCCGCTCGAGAGTCCCGTCAAACGGGAAGCCTGGAAATCGACGAGAGACGCGTCTGCCGACATAGGTCGTGCCAGTAAAGTGACCCTGCTAGATCTGAATGCACTCAGAGAGTATATCGGGACATCGCGCCCTTTATGTATTTTCTTCATTCGGAAGCGGAACTCCTACTCTGCGCTGTCCATCTCTTCGGCATTCTTTTGTCATCTGTGCGAGGAGATCTCCATTCCCCGGATGTTTCGAGATTACATCCTATATTTTGGAAGACGACCGTATGAAGTGGAAATAGCGCCACCCCCTTTCAGTTTCGAAACTTCCATTACGATCAGATCGAAGGGCCGCCCAGAATGGGAGGCGATGGGAGTCATCCGTTTCGTGGAAGACAACGGCAGGGCCAATGTCTCGAATCTAAGTGAGCGGTGGTCAATTCGGCAGACGGCTTTGTTTTCTAGGTTTGATGAGCAACAGTCTCGGGCATTCTGGCTGTTCGTGTCGCTATCTAGCTCCGCAGAGGCTGTTTTGGACGATATTTGGGGATCTGCAGAGCATAAAACACAGTGTCCCTGGTGGACACTGCACGAGCTATATTTCTATGCGGCATGCAACTGGAGGCCATATGTTGTTGCACTGATGCATGAGGTTGAGAGGCACGAAAGAGACCTCCTAGGCACCTCCCCGGACAACTCTGGTCCCGTCCCTTTGCCTGAAGCAGAAGAACGGCAGGCTTTGCTTATCCTCGAGAAGAGGATTTCGACCGCCAAATTGGCCATTAAATCGACAAAAGCTGATGTGGAGTTCTTGCAAGTGCAGCTTCAGAGCCATCAATCCGAAGCGCCCGAGGACAAGCCAAATTACTTGCAAACTTGGCGGCGGCGTTTCGCTGAAATCGTGCGCTATCTCAATGTGAACCTCATGCGCCTTGACGAAATATACTCTCGCTTGCAAAGCCTGACGAAGTTGCTGTCGAGTTTCCTGAAACTGAACAGCAGCTATGCATTACAGGGCTTGACCCAAGAATCCAAACGGGAAAGTGAGGCCATGCGCAGGCTGAACGTAAGAATGGCCGAACTTGCCGAGAAGAACGCGGAGGAAGCAGTGACTGTCACCGTGTTGGCGATACTGACCATGGTATACCTGCCGTTTACCGTCGTGTCCAACTTCTTTTCGACATCATTCGTTGGAACTGATTCTGACCGGATCTACATTACACGGGACTCATGGGTTCTGTTCGTGATCTCCATACCTTTGACCTTTCTGACCGTATATGCATGGAGAGTCTGGACTCAGATTAAGGTCAAGTGCCGATATCCATTCTGGTGGTCCTTGCTAGGCCTCAAGCAAGAAAGACGACCTCTAAAGGACTATCACGACGCCTACAACAATTATGATCACCAGACGCTTCATATGATTGAAAACTCCCTCTGAAGCTTGTGTAATTCCTAGGGCTGTACTGGTTTCTCGAGCAACACCGACGACGATGACCGATTATTCTTCACTTTGTATATAATTCGGGGGGAGGGGTGTTTTTCTTTGCGACAACAACTCTGTGGTTTCCTGCGAGGGCCCCGGGAGACAAGACGGTGGATCTACTCCTGATTTCCACGATATGAGGTGACAAGATAAGAGATATCCCGACATGTTGATGAATAGGATTTCCCTCCTGGTATTCATTGTCACAGTCGAAATCTGCGTTGTAGAGTTTTATTCGCACGATTTCAGCACGTCCTTTAATCAAGATCAGAGTCCAAAGTCAGTGCTAGAGAGCCTCGTTGCTCACAGAGAGAAAGGAACAAACAAAGATCCTTGCATCCCACGCGAAATTCAGGCGAGAAAGGGGAGGAAAGGGGAGGCTCAGAGTAAAGGAAATATAGTCAGGGGCCAATGCACACCCACATCAGACAGAACATCAGGCGCAATGATGTAGAAATTCCCAGCTTTGTGCTGCTCAACCACGTGGAAATTTCTTGTCAGCCAAGGTATTGACCACACCGGACAGCAATGGATCTCTCCATCATCTCAAGTAGCTGTAAGCAGACACAATAGCAAAATAGACCAACTGACATGGACAGCGCACTGGCTCGCCCTATAAATTGAGTCGAGACACCGCTTCAACTTTTCCTCCTTGACATAGCGGTCCGAGACTATCTGAGGTTTCTGCTTTAAGATTTCGGTGAGGGCAATGCTCGTGGTTGCGCCTGAGCTGCTGCTGCTGGTAGTGGAGGATCTGCTGATGCTGCTGCTGCCAGAATTGCTGCTCAAGGAAGGGCCGTAAGATGGCTTGCGAGAAGGAGGCATGGTGATTTAGGCTGGAATGTGGCGCACAAAATGTAAGGCAGGATTCGAGGCGATCTAGGATTTGGATCACAGTGAGTCGAAAGAAACTTGCCTGGGTGGCGACCAAGAGAGAGACATATGGCATTGCGCGAGATTTGATCAAAGGCAGCGGTAAGGCCTACTTATTAAACTCGTGAACAGGTTGATTTCTTGCAAGGGGTCAAACGAAAGAAGCCAGTAGGGCGGACAAGGCAACCGAGCCAGCTGGTCGGCGCTGAGGTAGGGCTATCCTATCGCTTGTGTAGGACAGACAACTGGAAGGTGGTCTGGCAAGCGAGCCCTGCGCCCTGCTTTCGAGTCTCGCCCTCCAAGAGGTCCAGCACATATCAATCGAGGTCTCACCGGTTAGGGCCGCAACCAGGAATTCGGCACATCGAGGCTGAGTTACACCACTTACCATTATGCATACCCAGTAAACGAAGGTCGGGACTTGGTTTGGTGAGCGCATGGCATTTGTGTGCCCGGCTCCTTGCCGGGAGATAGGATTGCAGAGCCAGCCGGATTCTCAACTCTGGCTCACGCATATTTCGGGGACAAGGATGGCCACGCCTTATGTTGAAAGTGGCAATAGATGAGATCGACAATTGGCTTCATCGACACACTGGATTTACAGTAGTATTTCTAGGCATATGTTTTGAGAAATCCAGAAAAGCATGCGAGTCAGGACGTCTCGCGCTACAGGGTTTCTCGTTCTCTTCCAGCTTATCATTGCTTTGCACTCGATGCAGCAATATCCAGTCTATGGAATGCCGAAAAAGTGTTACCTATATACGGTAAAGAATTTCAAGGATCCAATGTTCCACTCGAAATGATCTCTCCATGATCCGGATGACCATTGCTGAAAAGCGGGGATCCATGGGTGGAAGAACAGACCAACAACAAGAATTGTCACTATCATTGACATCGAAAATAACATGGTCAACGTCGGAGCGCTTCAATCTGCCTCTACAAACGTTTAGCTTAGCATACCACAGACAGTAAAGGGGGAGAATAATACATACCGGTTCAAGGGGTTGCGGTGCTTCTACCCGCCATTTGTTCAGTTGCCGGTGAACACTGTATTCAGATCCGTCGTAAAGGGCTTTCAGGAGCGTCTCAAGTCTTGACTTGTCGATATAGCGGCTGTCGAAGGTCTGCACGCTGTTGTGTTGTTGCAGCGGAAACATGGTGCGTTTGATCAACGGACGCAGAAAGGAGTGGGTTGCGGGCTGTGAGATGGGGGTCTGGTTGCCGAAGGTGCAGAGACACTAGTATATATACCCACCTAGGTAAGTAAGCAGCCCGCCATGAGCTCAATTTATTCGAGACCCTCTCCCGGCGTGGCGACTTCGGTGGCCGTGTGCAGTCTCTCGTGTTTTGGCACCCACGTCACGCAAGCCAAATCCGGAGGTGCTAAGAATTTAGAAATGGGCCGTGGCCGTGTCATGTAGGGAATCTGTGTGCATTCCGCTTCTCCTTGACAGGCTGAGTGAGAGGCGGCTTTCTGGCTGGCGGCCTTTTGACTCAACACAATGACCATCACAATCAAGGCCACGCTCGACCGCTCTTCATGACCATTTATCGCAGCCTAGAGGGCAGTTGCCGTCCATGTGCGCTGTTTGGTGTTGTGAGTACGAAGCAGCTCGTATTTGTCCTTTTTACGGCTACTGCAGCCACCATGGTGGCAAGGTGGGTGTGGAATTTGGCTTCCCTACCACCCCCTGCAATGGCCTTCAGGGCGCGTGGCGATCATCCATCCATCTCACAGTGGTCTCAATGTCTCAATCAATCAGGCTATTCGCCCGCAAGCACAGAGCGCCACCGCGGCGGCCGTAATTTAAACCCCTCCCCAGGGTTGCCGTCTCCTCTCAGAGGTCGTTGCTTCGTGGGAGGTGCAGGTCTGGCCACGCTAGCCTTGCTGGGGCCGCCTGATGTCAACAGGAAGAAGAGAAAGAGGACGAGGAAGAAGAAGCCCCCTACAGTGCAGGAGGCACCTGCACCGTCATGGGTCTTTCTCTCAGCCGCACCCGCCCCTGTCAAAGTCCTCGAGTCTACCAAGTACAGATCTCAATTTTTCCTGCGAGCATGTGGCTTCGAGCAAACTCTCAGCCAACGCCTGGTTTCACATCCGATATACCTGTCTTTCTTCCGTCGTCTAAAGAGATATGCTTGATTACTGACCTTCGCACTGTCGCGAGCGACATGAGCTTCCACGGTGCCGCATGGGAAGGGCACCACGCGACCTTTGCGAGGCTCAACACTAGAGCTGACGAGCGACTTCGAGAGTCTTTATAGACACACCTCGCTGATCCCAATTAGGCTGGCTACACGTCACTTTGAACCTGTCGAGCTGCAGCATTAGCAGCGCTTCTGTCGGTGTCAACCCCGGCTTCACACCACTGCCTGGACCTATTTAATTGGGTGAAACTTATTAGACACGACCCTCTGTCTTGAAGACCCCAGTGACTGCACACCCGCCGACACGGTGGTTATGCGCCTGAGTGCCTCTCTCTTGCGTTAGACTCATTCCGCTAACACTGGGCTTCAAAGAAATTTAGGGGATATCACGACGGGTAAGTACTAGCGATTATGTGCTCCGGCAACCGTGACCATTTCCTCTGCCTTTATCATTCCATTGCTGTTCCCGCTAGTGCAGAGCCTCCGCACATGGGCTGATTTTGGGCTCCCTTCCACAGAGAGTAACTGCTCAAAGGCTGCTTTGGCTGCGCTTGGTAGACATTATATTGCCCGCTTCGCATGGTAAGCTCGTTGTATGCTGCTCTCAGCCTTGAGGCAACATGCTTTTGATTGACAAGATTCGTCAGTGGATTCGAAAAAGGCACAAATCAGGTTCGTGCTCTCAGCCTTGTCTTCGTCGGGGGAGAGAACGATTTGGCTAACGTTCACCAATTAGTTTGGGCACGAAGAGATCACACCAGCCAAGTTCACGGTTCGAGAAACGAGGTCCAAAAGTTAAGCTCAGAAAAACAAGACGGTCGGCGAGCGCAAGTCCTAAACGAGGACCACGCAGCAAAGGATACCTATCGAGCGATGTCTGAACCGCAGCGACCAACGCCATTGACGAGCTCGTCAGTCCCTCCGGGTCTCATAGATTCCGAGCTAGAGGAAGCAAATACGACCCAAAATACTATTCAAAACGAAGTCGTGCCTGCGGCAGGGGAGACGATGGTCGAGATCCCTACCGTAACTATCCGCAGCGCAACATTTCCCACCGTGGCCGAAAATACTCCAAGGCCGCCTTTCCTGGTTACATACCTTAGCCCGGACTTGCCTACGGAGCGTACTTCCTCGTCTCCAAGGAGCCCTCCTCCTTCGGTCGTGATGGAAGAGTTGACGGACGACATTCTTCCGCTCACAGTCCCTGTCAAGGTGACAATAATTACCCGGCACGGTGAAACAGCCCGGGAGACCAAAAAAGAATTTGGGGTATTCTCCTGGATTCGCAAGGAAAACTACGAGCGTCTTCTACCGACGGAAACTATAGAATTACACAAAGTCACCTACGAACAGGGCAAAGAAGGGTACCATCGTTACGGCTCTTGTCGAATCAGTGCCGCACCCGAGCTCCCTGCTGAGATGCCGTATTATGTCCTCGACGATAGTGACGTTTCGACTTTGGTTCAAAAGGCGATTCCTCTCATCTGCGGCTTTATACACGATCATCCATGCCGAAAGTTCTCCTTGCAGATCTACTGGGATTGTGGATACGCTCGCTTAAGGCCACAGCCTAGCGCAGGTGTTGAAGGTAACCCTAAGTTCAGTGACATGATCATGACGGAGTTACGCAAGAAGCGACAGAAAAACTTTCGAAACCAGGAATACATCTCTCGTCGGGATCAGTCGGTCTTTCAAAACTACGACGTGGTGCGTGATCTTGTTTTCTTCGACAACTCTCTCACCTTGAATCCAGACGACAAGAAAGCCTTTGTCCACCAAATAATAGAGCGACCGGCATTGAAGCTGTTACTTATTTGCGTCTTCCTGAGTTATAACTTGGCCTTTCTCCGTCATCTTCTTGGTTATCACGGGTGTGGCGACGAAAACTTTCCACAACAAAACATGGAATGTAACTTAGACTACTGTCATGACTTTGTCGATCAGATTTTGGGCATCAAAGCCATGTTTTATGTGAGGAATGTCAATGAAGACTTCAAATACCACAAGTTTGAGGTCGGGGAGGTCGTGCCATTGCGTGCCACTCTACCAAATTCTGAACTGAGATCGCTTGGGAAGGGTACATCTGGCAAGGTTTACGAGGTCTGGATCGATTCTGCGCACCACTATCTGACTGGAGTAAGTCAAGCGTCTCATCATCCCCTTTCTTATTCATACCTTGTCGTTGTTGACCTCATTTATTAGGATCCATTCAGTTGTTTTGCTTTGAAAGTATTCCCTGCTGAAAGTGCAAAGGGATTCGAACGAGAAATGAAGATGCTTCAAGTCCTTGCTGATCACCCCAATCATAATATTGTCCCTCACATTACGAGCTGGACACAGTCAGAAGATAATTATATTCTTTACCCAGCAGCCAGGTACAACCTGAGGACATTCATGCAGGACAGGAAGCCTGTAGGGTTCACAAAACACGAAACGCTGTGGTTTCTGCGGCAATTGCAAGGGCTGGCTCTGGCTATCGACCACGTTCATCACCTGAAGGACCCGAGAAACAGTGGGCGGAACACGTCAGTGGACGCTTACTGGGGCTGCCATTTCGACATCAAACCCGAAAATATTCTGGTCTTTGAAAAGGTACCAGGCTATCACCCCAGATTCAAAATCGGCGATTTTGGGGTGGGCGTCTTCAATAGGCCAGAGAACCCCGGGGTACATTCTAGGGTGACAAAGGAAGCCAAAGGGACATTGACTTATATCGCACCTGACGAAGACCGCAACGGAGAGGTTTCACGACCCTCCGACATGTGGGCTTTGGGTTGTGTATATTTAGAATTGATGCTCTGGGTGTTCAGCTTCTTCGAATCGAGCGAAGGGGGCTTCTCAACGGCACGCTTCAAATGCACGGGTGCCGATCCAAACAACAAGCACGATAAATTCTGGGACAAATTCCCGATGCCACTTGGGGGGTTCGAATACAGATTGAAGTCAATCGTCGAGGACGTCATGACAGAGTTAAGGAATGTATGGTGTGACAACATGCCCGCGTTTCAGGGCATCATTACGGCTGTCAACAAGCTTCTCGAGATCGATGCTGGCAACAGATGGACGGCGGTAGAGCTTAAGAATCACATCACACAGACTGTCCGAGAAGCTGAAGAGTTTCTTGTGGATTTCCCCGAGTTCTACTCTTCTCAGTATGAGGCCAACTGTGAAGCAGAATTTCAGAGACAGCAAAACGCGCAGGAGAGCGAACTAACTCCAGAAAGCCGGCGGCTCAACCAGTTTGATAGGGCTGCGCAAGCGCTCATCCACACCGGGGCGGTAACGGATATTGGTCCTGACGCAAGCAGAGACCGCCACACTCCAGACACGCATGCGCTTCTTACCTTGAACGGGGGGCTCAATGACGCTATGGAGCGAGAATTGAGCGACATGGTCGAATCTTCAGCCACTTCTCCTGAGCAGCCGTGAAATCCCCCATCCAGTGACATCGCTGGCGAGAGGGGAACCCACAAGTCCGAGTCCGAATTTCAATCTAAACCATGATTCACCTCTCCACCAGCACTGCCCAGAGGTGATATCCTGAACGCCTTTGCGAGCGAGGACGAAGATTTTTGGGGTGAGATCATCTCTCCACAGCCGTATCCGACAAAAGAAGCTCACAGTCTTTCCTCGAATTCAATCGGCTACGGGTTAATGGTCGGTAAACACGGAGGACCGGCAAATTTGCGGTCTTAGTGACATCTGAACGTATTGGAATCCCAGCTTTCAGATTTTCCGAACCAGGGATTGACAGTACCGCTGAGACACAGCAACAGCGGGCAATTTGGCGACTGCTGTTGAAGGACTTAAGGCCGAGCATGTTGCTCTGAACACGGTTGTTTCGCGGTCCCATTCTCTGCGTCTGAAAATGACGGCGTTCGAAAACAGCTCCGAAGGTATTACGGGTGCTTATGCAAGGGGCTTTTAGTCACTGCTGTAAAATTGTAAATAAAAGGGTCGGAATCCGGTTGGGCGGTGGACTGTAAAATAGCATTGGAATGTTTGGCCCTGCACATAAGGCATGTAACAAGCGCGACACGCCTACATACTGGAACCGAAGGGGTTGGTGCTAATTCATCCGCAGCAAGACACGCAGTTACTGGGCCGATGGCATCTTCAGCCTCATTACCTGTTAAAAAAATCTACGCCTAACCACCTATTAGGGGGAGAAGACGTCCACAACCCCTTGAGGATCGCCTCAATAGCCGACGAATCCTGTCATTCTAGGATAGAATCTTAGACCTCTCGGGTATATGCTCGATGTATATGGAGTAAGTACTTATCATGAAACTCGTTCATAACAATATCACTGGTTGACATCACCTTTCTAGAGCAAAAAGCTAAACCCCAATTCAAAGCGGAAGATCCAGCGGTCTTATATGATTATATCAAGATTGTGCATTGCAGCTTAACCAGAGGCGCTATAATTGCAACTTTAGTCGTTGGTATTGATCTATCCCTTCCTCTCTGCCTCGTATGGCCAAAAACTAAACCTCTTAGCCCATCCTCTACTCATCAACACAGCCAGTGGCGTGTCATCGACGAAGAAGCTATCAAGGTATGTCTGTTGCTCAGGTGTCAGCTCCGAATAGCCGTCATCCGGCCACTTGGGCGGCCTTGGATCTTCATCGTCCACGTTTCCTGCTTCGGATTGCTTTGACTCGTAATGTAGCAAGTCAAAGTGGCTGTGTTGTGCTGGCACTTGGGGGGGGGGGGGGGGGGGGGGGGGGGGGGGGTTAGCAGGAAGGCGATTTGGCTGGTCACATGTCAGGACAAAAAGGACCAGCATCAATTCTATCTGTGGACGAGAGGCTTTAAGGCGAGAAGGAGCTACTGAGAGTTCGAGCAGAAAAACAAAACAAGGGCATAACAACAGTCACAGCAGACACAGGAGGGCTGTGCTAGCATGTGATCGCCCTCAGAGTGCTTAACAGTTCACAATACTGGCCGTGTGCCATTCTTTGCAGTTTGAAAAGAGTATTCGATGTTTTTTTGGTACCGCCTACCTATCCTTTGAGCATCTATTTTGTCCTTTTGCAACTTTCAACGCCGCCGCCGTGCTAGGCGGCCTCTACCCTAGCGGCTGCCTCTCTGTGGGTAGTGGTGGTATTGTCTTGTCAGCGCCGACCAAGCAAGGCATTCTCGATTTCCGACCTGCCTGACAGGCCCCTGTGCGTTGTTGCATGCGCATGCGAAACCTAGAAGTGCACCGTTACAGTATATGTCAATTTTCGACTTCAGATCGGATCATCTCGACTTGACATTCTTGAATCTCGAGGTATCTTGTCATGTTCTCGAGGTCATCAATGTGGTCTTTGAGGTGCTGGATAGGCTCGGTGAACTTGTCCTTGTCTTCGATCGCCCACTGCGTCAAAGCCTTGATGCTTTCTTGTTTTGTGTTCGTTCCATCGCTCTTTTGAATTCGAGGAACTTTTGGGCTAAGGCCGTTGTGCTTGAGGTCGCCCAATTACGTACAATCTTAAGCGTCGAACGAGCGATACTTGACCCTACGTGCAACTGCTAGTCCTGTTTCAAGCCATACTTCCTTCTGAGCTGTTTCTCACTCTGGAAGAGCATGAAAATATGAGCAAGCGTATTTTCAATGCAAGGGCGTAGGTCTTTTCGTTAAGCTTCGGATTATACCCGTTCCGATCCATTATGCCACATGCCCGACGCCATGTTATGCAGCGCAATCTCCGGTTCGAGAACTTTGTTTCCAGGAGAAGATTATCTTTCCTTAGGTGGCGTCCTCTTTACACGAGCTGGAGGCAGTCTATGCAGGCGGAGAAAAAGGCCCGCCAGACCTGCAACTCCGAGTCTCAGGCCGAAGGCTTCCATCTGAGTTTGTTGCGGATCTCAAAGAAACTATCATCCGTGGGGTTTTCCTTAGAAAGGAGAGAGTCAGAAAAAGAGTTGCAGCTCGCCCACAAAAGCAGAGACGCATGACCAGTCCGCCTGACAGCAGGCCAACATGGCCCAGCCTACAACTGACGGGCGACAACACGAGGCTCCGCTGCACTCGTAATATTGCGGCCGCTCGAGCGACCCGGGAATACTTCTTCCTCAAAGAACGCAGCAACCTGTCGTTTACGAGCATACATGCACATTTTTGTAAGGGAATTGCTAGAGGAGGTAGCATTTCCCACATGGGAATATTATCTCCATCTCTAAACTCTCCTGACAACAAAAGTCGAGAGCGGGGAGTGGTATTTGGGCCGGGCAGCCATGCCAAAGGCCAAGGCTGAGAACCCCTTGTCTGAAGTGGGGTTGGTCTAGCCCTGAACCTGAACTACCCACACAAAGGCAGATTCAGAGGGCAATTCTCTCCATCGAGCGCCCAAACAGGTCCGAGCCATCGCTAGGAAGGTCCAGGTACACAGCGGGCCACGCAACGAACAGGCACTTGGACCCACTAATTGGTTGAGGTAGACCCAGTCGTCCACTATCACAGACATGTAACGGAGCATACATTGCTTAATCCCACGCAGCCACAGAAGAGGCTCTTTGAAATTGGAAGCAAATTATTGGTCTGAAGAGGCTGGTGAAAAGGGCATTTAGCGCAGACTCGGGAAGGGCCACCGAATCTTCTTTGCGCGCCCATTCATATACTAGCCTCAGGCGAGCGACACGCTAGAATAAGCAAAATCTGGAAAGAAGGATTCCGGCCTTTGACAGCCTCTTTTCTTCATAGTCATCCACGCAGCATTCACAAAGACCTTTTCTCTCTCCTCGTCTAGCGGTCGTTTTGACCTGAATTAAAATCAAATAGGGTGTGTTGTTGCTCTTCTATTTTAAGATCTCCGCTCACCTGTCGCCGCTCCTTCGACAGGGTCAAAGATCTGCGCTTCTGCCACTCCATTGTCACCATTCCATCTCACACGTTCGACTCCCCAGCCGAAATGATAATGTCCGAATACATATATCATTGGGCGTCCGCTAGCAAACTTGCTCGCCTGTACAGCGCATTCAGCGAGGCCAGGTATGTTGATGGCGTCTAATCTGTCCTTGGGCAGAGAGTCCATCACCCAGAGGTTGGCAGCACCGCCACAGTCTGGCGAAGAGTTCCATGCTTTAATGGACTTGAGAGAAGTGAATGCTTTCAACAGCACCGCGATCGCTGAAGCCTGTTTCGCGGCGTACCTGTTCCAGAATGTTACCCAGTTGCGGAACCAGCAACCGAGGCACTCTCCAACTTCTTGGATACCCCCTCTGTCCTACATTTCATCAATTCAAGCGCTCAAGCCGTGATGATTGTTGCCTGATGTACTCGAAGTGTGCCTTTGTCCACTAGTTTATCGGGGATCGCATTTTTGTAAGTGAATTCACCAAGGCTCATCAGCGAGACTATGGGGAATTTGTCAGCAATTCATCATTCGATCGAAGAGGGCGAAGGATTAGAGCTTGAGCACGAACAAATGTACAGCTTTCGGTCTCGAACCTGCCAATTTTGCAGGCACGTGGCACCACAAACCAGGATGATCCAAGGAGATATGCATGGTTCCGCGAGGCTACGGACTCCCTTAGAGCACAAGCAGCTATTTTACGATTACAGCCATCATGATCCTCAATGGGGGCGAAAACGTTTCCTTTCCCCGCTATGGCGGTACGACGGAACGACGGCCAGGTCTCCCAAGGACAACAACCCCTACTAAATTCGACCTTGATCGCCTGCCTAACAGTCGATCTTGCTCCGCACTTCCGGAGTACGAGGATATTTAACCCACAATTGACATCGGGATGAGTACCTGAGATGGTAACGGCTTGTGGTCTGTCCGGAGAACTTGAAACACCGCCGGGCGATGACCGGTGAGATTTAATGTGCCATCGCTCGGGGAATGGAGATCTACAGAAGAAATTGGGAATAGCGGAATGATACAAACAACATGAAAGTTGTCCGACGGTATGCACGCGCCACGGTTTGAGCGTTGAGTACTACGAGTTATGAGCACTTCGCACTACGGTAAAGACCAAAATTAGGTACATGGGACATTGAGATGCCGTCGTGGCAGACGGCTAAGAGAGAGGAAGCGTGGGGTGCAGGAGCTACCGCAAAGCAATATTAATACGAGGTACCCTGCTGCTGCTGCACCGCTGACACATACATACGGCATCAGACGAGAGAGGTGGCTGATTCTAAGGCGATTTTTCAGCATGAAGATACGATTCTCCCCTCTGTTTGCGACAATTCTGCTCGGCGGTAGAGTTGCCCTTGGCCAGGTACAGGCACCGGCACTTGCTGGTGTGGGAGCTCCCATCTCACCTGCCGACAGAATATACTGCGGAGATCAGTCCTCCAACACAATCACCGTGATCTCGCCATATGACAACACTGTTCTGGGGACGATCGCATTGGGCTCCTCCCGACTCCAGGACGTCATCGGTCCGCAATATGTGCGCTCTACCAATAGCCACGGCCTCGGATTCTCACGGGACGGAAAATACATTGTTTCTCTGTCTGTCACGACCAACACGGTAACTGTCGTCAGGACGATCGATAACAGTATCGTCAGTCAAACATGGACGGATCGTGCTCCGCACGAAGCTTTTTTTGCCCCGGATAATCGCACCGTCTGGGTTGGGACGCGGGGCACCAACCACGTTACCGTGGTAGACGGACTTGCTGGGAAAATCCTCGATACCATTCACACGGCAAATGGACCCAGCAAGGTCGTCTTCAGTCCGGATGGAACCACAGCTTACGTCAATCACATCCGTGACCCCATTCTCTCTATTGTCGATGTTGCGTCGAGAACGACGGTGCAAAACATCACTGGTCTGGATGATGTCTTCTCCTCAGATATGCAGATCTCGGCGGACGGAGGCACGATCTGGACCATGCATAAGATGGCCGGGACGGCGACCGTCATTGACTTGAACGCCAGAAGGGTGGTCACGGCGGTCAACGTTGGGGTGGAGCCGAATCATGCCAACTTTGCAGTTCTAAACGGCACGACCCATGTCTTCACCACAGTGGGAGCCAGCAACGAGACGAAAGTGTATCGACAAGACTCGCCCAGCTCCGCACCTGTCTATTTAACGTCGATCAGGTCGTCCGGCATTGAGCCTCACGGCCTCTGGGGCAGCCCGGACAACAAGTGGATGTTCACCGTCAATGAGCATTCCGACACAGTAGACGTGATCTCTCTCGAGACGATGGCGGTCACAAAGACTCTGAACGTTGGGCAAGAGGGCCAGGCACTGATATATGTTGCAAACGCAGTACCTGAGGGTAATGGAACCGCGAATCTTGGCACACAGGGTCTTTCCATAACGGCGGCGTTGAACAAGATTGTAGATATCACCTCGAAACCCGGGTCTGAATCCATGATGCCCGCCTCTAACAAGACGCCCACTGCTCTCGTGACTATTCGGAGCCTTGGTGGGTTGGATATGGTGCAGGTTATTGGAAGGGATATCAAGCTAAACACCAGCTACACCATGTCAGCCACATGCCAACAGTGCAACGGAGGCCAAGTGCCGCTGCTGTCCTTCAATGCAACGATGAAGAGTCCCGACGGCTGTGGAAGCGCGCCTCAAGTGCTCAGCTTCTTCAAATGGTATGATGTATGGGATCTGGAGAGCATTCAGATCTCTGAGACATAGTACAAGTTGGCGAAGCGCAAGCACCACTGGTTTCTTTCGCGCACTGAGCCTGGCTGGTTTGCGAACCACTGAAGCATGACGCGGTACAATAAGAGTGGTTATGAGTGACAGGAGACTCTAGAATCACAGAAATTGCAGTGCTCAGATATTGCAAAGGACCTGCCTTGTCCCCATTCAAACGCCAGACCATATTCCGTGGTCTGGTTGACGCGACTGGCGTTGACATATCATCATCTGTACATAAGAGCAAGCGCTTGCAGGCTTGCTGAAATTCATCGTCGGGTACGTACTCGGTCAACTGAATCGCAAACCGCGATGGTTGGCTCACTCAGTGTTCCTCGCTCATCATGTCAGGCTAAACTTCGTCCACTCCTGCAGGGACATGGCGAGGTTGATGAAATGTGTTGTCAATACCACAAAGCCGGACCATGTGTCAGGTTCTTCCGTGGTACGCCAGCTGTGGTTTGTCGTTCTCCTTCGCCGGTCTCTTGTGAGACTTTGAACTGTAAGTTGATTGATAGCATTTGTCTATCCTCAGAGGTCTATATCTATCTGTCCTTTTAGCGAGTTCTGTCCTGTTTATATAGGCCTTTGGCCTGTGTCAGGAAACCCATTTCCTAAACGTTTCCTTTCACCGCTATCCATGGCGACGTCGTCCAGCTGGAAATTGCGCAGGCGATCGGACCATTATCAAACTAGCCTGATACTCGATATTTGTCATTGTCTCACAAGTCTCGAACGTCTCGGTGACAGAGATGCCGACATTGGATCAATCCTTTCACCATTTCACTGACATTCACCAGATGCCGTTCAGTGTCGCAGAAAGAGAGCAAGCGGCTCGACACCAGGCGTCGAGAGGAATTTTTGAGTCAATCATAAAATTGAAACATAAAATGCGCTTCTTCCATTCAAAGAGTGTATTTAGAACGTCCTTTCGCTGTCGTTGTATAGAGCCGGAATCGGACTTGTTGGTCCTCTAAATCGACAAGCCTCCCGTGCTATCGCTGATGGCCTTATCTAAGAATGAGAAGATCACATCATTGTCTCCGTGGTAAGAAAAAGGCTGCCCAGTCACATTCTCGAGGACTCGCGCCTCCAACTCTGCCTCCTTAGAGGAGCTTCCTCCCGGACCCCATGCTATAGACAACAGATTGTGCTATCCCATTCGCACGAACGGGATCTTGCGCCTTCCAGCGATATTCGGTGGCAGTTCACAGTTATGTGGATATCAAAATCTGTGAGAGAATCCGCGATCAACTATCGCGTTCTACTGCTTCTTGCAGGGGAATCATTCAGTCCTTGTTAATGCTTGAACGCGCCATCAGAACAGAACGATCCGGCCATAAGGCGTGCGTCCCTGTCTACCGATAGGTAATCTTCGTAGACAGGGTTTTGCACGAAATGGGCGGCGCGCATTACTTTTTCATTGATCTCACTGATCTGCAGGAAGCCGATTTTCGATTCCAGGAACGCTTGGACAGTCACTTCGTTCGCCGCATTCAAAGCGCAAGCGGCGGTTCCACCGAGATCCATGGCTTCATAGGCAAGGTCAAGGTTTCTGAAGGTTTCACGGTCCGGCTTTTCGAACGTTAGCTGCGGATAGTCCGCGAAGTTGAAGCGCCGAAAATCGTTTTTAACGCGCTCCGGAAACGTCATGGCAAACTGGATGGGAATTCTCATATCCGGCAGTCCCATCTGTGCCTTTATGCTCCCGTCCTCGAACTGCACGAGGGAATGCACAATTGACTGCGGATGGACAATCACTTCGATTTGGTCTGTCCTCAGGCCAAACAACCATTTCGCTTCAATTAACTCCATCCCTTTGTTCATCAGCGACGCGGAGTCGATGGTTATTTTTGGACCCATGGTCCAGTTTGGATGTTTCAACGCTTGTTGCGGTGTTACGCGTTCCAGATCGTGTTTTCTCCAACCGCGAAATGGCCCACCAGAGGCGGTTAAGTAGATTTTCTCCGATGGATTGTGGTGCTCTCCCAGCAAGCACTGGAAAACAGCCGAATGTTCGGAATCGACTGGGTAAATATTCACGCCGTTCTCTCTCGCCAAACGGGTAACCAGTTCGCCGGCGACAACGAGAGTTTCTTTATTTGCCAATGCGATATCCTTCTTGGCCTCGATGGCCGCCAAGGTCGGTTTTAGCCCAGCATAGCCCACAAGTGCAGTCAGGACAATATCGACGTCCTTCAAAGCCACAACCTGTTTTAGGGAAGCTTCGCCGGTGTACACCTGGGTCTCTTCACCTGCCAACGCGTCCTTCACCTTTCCATACGCATCCTCGTGGACGATGACTACACACTTTGGGGCATAGCGAATCGCCTGGTCGATTAGTAAGTCGGCGTTCTGATAGGCAGTGAGAACCTGGAGGCTGAAACGGTGCGGATAGGCTTCAATGACTTCGAGCGCTTGCCCTCCGATCGAACCTGTAGAACCCAAGATGGCAATGCCCTTTTTATGCATTATGTACACTTCCTTAGAATTCAAGAGTCTTCCGCAGAGCTGAAGTGGTGAAGAATCTTGTGAGAGCGTAAAATGTGTAACATGCTGGGACATAACAGGCTTTTCGGTCTGGAAGATTTGAAAGCGAGCATTATTAGCTGACTATTCAGAGACGAACCTGTGACTATAAGGCTGGCGTCCAATTAAGGCCGGATCGCTATAGTTGGCACCACGACTTTTGAACCCCGCCACCACGCTATGTAACAACAAGTACCACTTCAACAACCAACAACTTAACCACTTCGCCCCCAATTATGCCACAATGGCCCTAGATCAAGAGATCGGAATGGAACAGCAATCAATGAGTATCGATCGCGTCGATATCCTTCTACCAAGTCTGGTCGTGTTCGCCGTTAGCGCCCGGGAACGATATCGGTCACACCACCTGGTCCGCAGATGCTGCGAATATGCTATTGATGAAGCTGTGAAAACCAAACTTGACATGCCTTGGCGCTGAGGGCTAACATTACCATCCTCGGAAGATGAATGGGGTTTGTTGGGCATCTGTTCACGGGACTCCGGCAAACCCTAGAGGAACCCCCGAGGAACCCTCGATGCCCCCCTGAGAACCCCTTGGATGAACCTGGAAGCCCAGCTGGTAAGAAAGTATTTTAGGAGTCCCCTACTACTTGTTACTTGTGGATAAATAATAATGATAATAAGGCTAAGCCCTCGGCGAGAGACCTTCGGACTACGCTAGTAACCCCTTTATTATTTACCTAACAGGTACAAGTATTAGTTCACACTGCGGCAGTCTAACAGGAACCCGTACGCAGTAGAATTCGTCATATTCTTGCACGGAGTTACAGGTCTATCACGGTAGGTCACCCGATTTGCCTGATTTAGCTCATGATCTTTTGTGATTTCATCGAGGGTATCGTGGAGGGCTGATTCTTTCCAGACCTCCTTTTAGCTTCTTGGTATTGTAGGTCTTCCATGTGGATGAAGTCACACTCATCCACCATTGTCATGAGACTCGGTAACATTGCACTTTTCTTTACAAGTACAAGGACAGATGATATCGTCCCCAGGTTCGTCATATTTATTTATTTATTTCTATTTTTATTTATTCCTATAATATTTTCGGCCACACGTCTGACTGATCCAGTCGGACTTTTCATTATGTGGGCTCTTGACATCCACTTGTGACTTTCTAAATTTCGAGCCGGTTCTACGTTCCCGCAATTACATTCAGCATGTCATCCCAATACGCCCATGAGCACCAGATCGCGCTCCTGGCTGTTCAAAGAGCTACCGTATTGACACAGGAAGTCTACAATTCAACCTTCAAAGGCACAGTCTCGAAATCTGACGCATCGCCCGTCACCATCGCCGACTTCGGTGCACAGGCTCTTATTACCAGTGCAATACTACACAACTTTCCTCAAGACACGATCGTCGCCGAAGAAGAAGCATCAAAGCTACGTGAACACGAGTCTCTGAGAAATCAACTCTGGCACTGTGTTCAGAATGTTCGGCTCGACGACGAGATAGCCGAAGAGACACTAGGTGGGCCCGTAGCGACTATAGAGATACTGCTTGATGCAATTGATCGGGGAAAAGGCCAAGGCGGGAATACTGGCCGTGTATGGGCGATTGATCCGGTTGATGGGACAAAGGGGCTTTTACGTGGCGGGCAGTATGCTATTGCGTTGGCATTGATCGTTGATGGGGATGTGCAGGTTGGCGTGCTTGGATGCCCGAATCTGCCAGTCGATGATTCAGTCAGATTGGATGCCAAAATCGGATTTAATCAGTCTGGTGGTGTAGGGAGTGGAGTGCTCATTAGCGCCGAGAAGGGGCAGGGCGCCTCTAGTAGGCGGTTGACGAAGGGGAGACTGGCACCGGCGCATCAGGTCGGCATGAGGCCAGTACGATATGTTTCCAACGCTATCCTTTGCGAAGCAGTGGAGCCGACCTTCTCGAATCATGCTCAACAAAATGCCGTCGCTCGTGCCTTGGAAATTACGAAAGTGGTTCGTCTGGATTCTCAGGCGAAATACGCATCGTTAGCCCGCGGTGCTGCTGATATTTTACTCCGCCTCCCGGTGAGGAAAGACTATGAAGAGAATATCTGGGATCATGCGGCTGGCGATTTGATTGTGAGGGAAGCCGGTGGCATCATCACTGACGTATTCGGTAAACCGCTGAACTTTGGCGTCGGCAGAAAGCTTAAGGAGAATTCCGGATTTGTATGCGCACCACAGGGTATTCACGCAAAGGTCCTGGCCGCTGTTCAAGATGTGCTGGCAATCAGACCATAGGGGAGACTCGTAAGTCGATATAACGACCTAAGTCATCGCTTAACATACAAAGGTCAAGCCATCGACGGCTACAAATTCAGAATTTGAGGGTGAAAATCCTTAATCACAGGCTATATCAATGGCCAATGCCTAGCAACAGGGTCACCTCCAAGGATAGCTTTGGATATCGTCTCGCGGTTTCATTCAGTGACCTACCATTGCTATTAAATAGTGACTTGAGCCAGTTTTGGAAATGTTGCTGCTGGTCAGGTACTTCTTTGGTGCTTGCGAACAGAAGTCCGTCTACTATAAATAGGCTGAACTGAGATCCGATTTGCCTTCATTCATCTGCTTACGTCTCGGATGTTGCGTGAAAGAGAATATCTACAACCTGACTGCAGAATGATAAATATATTGTTTGCGAATGGGGTGCCCTCTTCCTCATGAAGGCGGGACGTGTTCATCCGAATTCAACCTCTAATACTTTGTTGTTCTCAGAAGGATCACTAGCCGAACTGTCTGCTGCGATTGCCAGAAGGGCCATGTTAAGTAACATGGCCTCGCAAATGGCTGCATCATAAGCCCCCTTGGTTGCCTCACTACCCGCCCAGAGTCTTTCACTGACGACATTTAGCTTCCAAATTTGCAATACCTTCATCAGAATTGACTGCTCCAGTAACCCGAATACCGATCCGACGGATGTCACGGCCTGAGAATGCCAAGCTGAAACCTGCTTAATGCAGTTACTCCAGCATCCTGAATCGACGAGAACACTTTCTCGGGGCCACACCGCCTGACACCACGCTTTGGCCTGTGCAATATCTGTCACAAACTCGCAGCCGATCATATTGACATCTGGAAGTGGAAGTCTCGGACGTTCAGCCAGTTGGCGTGTCTGGCACATCACTTGATAGGAATCTAGCCACCAATGCTCGATACACCACCAAGCAGCATGATAGCAAGCTTTGAGCTGCTCCTCTGATAACATGGTCTTTGGATAGGTCCGAATGCAAGTGATGATTGCCGGATCTGGTCGCTGAGTAAGTGCAAGAAGAGAAACCCGACGGGGATCGGCAATCGACTCATTGTTACAACATTTCCTGGCTTTGAGGAAACCAGACGCCCATTCATGAAATATTTGCCTCGAATTAGGGTCAGTTCTTGCTAGGATAGGCGGTTGGACGGCATCTGGCCATGAAACTATTTCCTCATGCTGCTCTCTGTATTTCCCAATACTGCCAGACAGTGCGGTCGCAACTCTACCGTAGGCGAGTCGGGAAGCTACAGGGACACAGCCAGCGGCCCATAAAGCATCTGCGTAGATTGATTCCGCGGTTTGTTGAGACATCTCGTCGATGATGACGTATCTTGAGTTCGGAGAGCCACCGAAATGAGCGAACTGAGTTGATCCGTCGATACTGGCTTTCAGATCCACAGTAATGGAAGCGCCACCGTTGGTCATTGTGATGCTTGTTCCCTGCTTCACTACGCGCCTCAATCCCATAGCTCTTGCGAAACCCAGGATGGAGTGCAGATTCGTAACAGCACCCGCCGGTCGAATGGTACCGTCGCATGTTCTGGCGCTCACGCTCGTTAGAAGCCGCCAGTATTGCCGAGTGATGCCACACATATCCATAGCATCAGACCAGCAGGCTTCCGATTTCTTCCGAGTTGTTTCGCGAACGGCATAAATGCGGCCACTGCCGCTTCCACCGCCGATTGCGATATACTGAGTTGCAGCTTGCACCAATCTTGAAGTCATGCGTCGACTCAACATCCCGCGACGCTCGGCCAGAGCCTCCTGCCGCAGGCAATCTTGGAGTGCGCCGATTGTAATGAAAGGCACGGTTAGGACGCGCGGGTCGTCAAACGGTGATCGAATATGGAGGAGAGACGAGAGTTTGAAAATGATGAGCTTTGTTTCTGGCCAGGTGATAGCCCATTCTCCAAGAGCCAATTTGTCAATTTTCCCTTTGCGCCTTGCCTCAATTGATTCCTCCAGTTTGACCTGAAACATAGCGACAAACAGCGCAAGGATGGCAGTGGCCATCGAAGCGAGAGCGATAGCAGTGTTCGCATCCATATTGTTTGACGAGTTAGCACCCAGTTCCATCAGAGAACATTGATGTTGACGAAATATTAAAAAGAATACAACAGTATGAATCCACAAACACTGAGTGGGAGTTGTCCTCCATCATAACGGAATGCTCACCGAGGGCGACCTCAGCTCCGTAGATGGTCCAATGGTCCCAACAGGACGCATCCAACCCATCACATGATCCTCCCACTTGTCGTTTCAGCCTTCTGATTGCCCGGCACCACCAGGGTAGCCAAGCCTTGTAAAGACGCCCGGGGGTCTTCCTCTCGCCTGGAAGCCTGACGAAGTGCGTCGGAACGGTCTCGTTACGCCATTATCCCGGCCCTGTTTCTAGTGGAGAAGCACATGGAAACTGTGGCCCGCGTACAAGTATATTTTAGGAATAGGGTTCCGTCATTTTGGAGATCTGAAATCTTATCTGAACGACAGACGATGTAGCATGCTGTCAGACCGATATTCATGTGTGAAACAAAGCGTTATATCTCTGCCATATTCGCGTGGTACAGTACCACAAAACTTTACCATTGATCTGCTTGGCAGGCTGTGCCTTCTTGATTGGGCGACTCCCTCGGTATTTGTGCGTCATGCCACTTTACAGAATCAGGAGGTAACGAAGCGGCCTATACTGTGTCGTCCCTCACTTGACTTGACGCTGGCCCCTGGAAAAAAGCTTGGGATAGCCATCTTCAGGAACTCGAGAACAATAGCATTGTTCGACAAAAGAGTGACGGATGTGGCTGATGGGCCTGATGCTCTCATGCTACCACCGCGGTCAAAAGCCGTTGTGGCCCTCCTTTCACCAGAGGGTGGATATGCGTGGAGGGTAAGCTCCCTCACCTAGGCCGATAGAAAACAATCTATGTCCAGGGAGCAACTCGAGACTAGCCACAGCAGTCACATTGGGGCATGGAAACGATGATGGAATTCGCAAGAAACTCCATTGCAGCGGCTCTATCCTGTCAGCAGCGTTTTGTAGGTCTCTGCAAGTTGCAGAAAACGACTCACAAGAGACAAAGACAATGACAGAGATCTCAAAGTGGATGTATAAATGATTCACGGCTGCCCGAATAGCCGCTATCACTGCCCAAATATATATCTTCCAGCAAGCCTTGTATTGGTGAGCCGAAAGATCCTGCCCTTTTCCCGCCTGGCTGAATCCTTGAGGATCCCCGACCGGCTCGTGGCTCACCTGACATAGTACAGGCATTCTTCAGTACGGCCTTCGTTGCTCGCCATGCTCCTATGCGGACCGCAGGTGATCGCCCAGTCCATCTCGTTGTCCACGGCCAGCGGTAGATCGTTGTTTTGACCATATTTTTTCTCATTCAAGGGCATCTTTGGTACATCTTGGATGGAGGACTGTCCCCAAAGGCAGCCTCGCTCTGTTCCATGAAACTTGAAAAGCTCGATCGCCAGATGCGCCTGCTCGCGGCTTGGAGTCGCTTCGAATCCTTGCTCTTGGGATCATAGCCAACGGGTCGATGTCCGCAACGCGACATGTGGATTTGGCGAACAGCACGGGATAATTGGGTCTATGGTTAGGTACACGAGACTGATTTGGCCGGCCAGCGAGAGATCAAGGTCGTTGCCCATCGTCCAAAGTAGCGAAAGTTGGAATTGCGAACGAAGAGGGAGAGAGGACTAAACGAAGCAGAAAGTGGGCCGCGCCTTTGGCCAGGCCAGCTAGGCCACGAGATAGGCTATGTAACCCTTGGTTCTGGTCCTGCTCAGACTTCCACCAAAGCCGTGCAGATATCTACCAAGTATTCGACCATCTAACCAAGAACACGCACTCCCCCCACAGGTCCTATGACCAAGGCTATTTGCCTAAAGATGTTTATCTCCTGCAATTTCAGGACTAAGCCTCTTGCATGGTCTTCGCTTCTAGCAAGAAACGCACATGCAGACCCACTCCCCGCCAAAAGACTCGCAAGCGCGCCGGCATTCTTACCTGCTGATAACGCCCTGCCGATGCTGGGTAATAATTCTATCGAAGCCTCTTCAAGATCATTAAGCAGTGAAGCAATAAGAAGGTGAGGCGGTGTACTCCCCCAAGCTGTCTTTACACACCGTTCACGCCTGTACCGATATGTCTCTTCGCAGAATACCCTCGTCGCTGAGACCTCGTCATGCTTTTCGAAAACCTCTTTTGTTGAGAGACCGCTCGGGAGGATCCCCAACACCCAGTACCAAATGTGATTGCCATGTTTCAAGCTCATCGGTGGTTGCATGTGTCCTGTGCTGATCGCCACGACGCCTTTGACAAAGAAGGGCACATCTTCGCCAATTCGTGCGGCAATAGCCAGCAGACAGTCTTCGTCGGCACCAGCCTTCCACAGGATGTTGCTTCCGACCAAGGCAGCTGCTGCATCGGCACTTCCACCGCCGAGACCACCGCCTGTAGGAATCGACTTGATCAATTCAAAATGAAGATTTGGGTCAATGCCGATGTGACTGGAGAGAGCTTGGGCTGCCCTGACCACCAGATTTCGCGAGTCGGTCGGAATTCGATCCGAGTCAACACCTGTCACGGTTATGGTAACGCCGCGTGATGCCTCGGTTAGAGAAATCTTCACAATATCGTAGAGGGATACTGCTTGATATGCCGTCGTGATATCGTGGTATCCGTCCTCTCTTCGCAAGCCAACCTGGAGATGGAGGTTGAGCTTGGCAGGAACTCTCAGCATGATCGTTCCGCAGGGCGGAGCATCTGAGGCCGACATCCCAACGACCCGCGATCGTGACTAAACCGCTCTGCACCGATTGAAATAAGGCTCAATTGAATCTTCTGAAAAGGACGAAAAGGATCAAAATATATTCAAGTGCAAGTGCAAGTGCAAGTGCAGGTGCAAGTGCGCGAGGAGCAGTAATAGGCCGCGTCGGTTGCCGCAGTGAGTCCTGCCATGGCGCCAATCAAGCAATCCTGACAACATCGATTAGTCTGTCTATCTGGGTCTGGCCGTGGCGTCTCTGAGAGAGATTCTGGCGGTTGACATACAAAATAGTACTGCAAAGGAGAAGATCTCTCCTGAATGAAACCGCCTCTTTCGGATCTGGCTAGATCCTGGCACAACACAAGGGAACATTACAGGCACTGCCTTAGAAACATTTGGTTTGGCAGTTGTACAGTTGTGACAGCGTCACAGCATCTTGATTGTCTTGGGCGTGCGTATCGAAACTCGCCAGTCGTAAGACCCTGCAAAAGTCGGGCCACAGGGCGTTATTTCTCCCGCCATCGCATGAATTTTTCCTCTTTCGAGAGTCACGCCATTCCCCTCTACAAGTGATCTGAGAAGAACCGCACAACATAAGGTCTCGGAGCGAATCTGCTAAGCTCATGATGCTGCTGTGCTCCTATGGTTCACAACTTCAGGATTACACAGTTGTTTCCAGTCATGGTTCTCCCAAAGACAGAAGAAAAACCACATTCTGGGCCTGAATTAAAATTCGGCGTCGTCATCCTAGCTGCAGGTCGAGCGATACGAGCAGGCGACCTTTGTTGCCCAAAGCCATACCGTCGCATCGCCGGCGAGACGGTCATATCCCGCGTGGTGAGAACGTTTCGATCGTGGAATTCTGACTGCCCCATTGTCATTGTGCGCCATGCCGACGACGCTGTACTGTTGGAAGAGGCCATTCGAAACCGGGACCAGAGGATATACGATACGATCGGTGGTGACACCCGGCAGGCCTCTGCCCTTGCAGGTCTGCGCTTTATTGCCGGTATTGGTATACCGCTTTCACATGTCTTCATTCACGACGGCGCCCGTCCACTGGTCTCGCGTTCTTTGTTGGAGAGACTTCAGGCGGCCCTGGTCGAGGAGCCTCAGGTTGGCGTTATTCCGGCAATCCCCATCATGGACACCATCAAGCAGGCAGGGCCCAATAACATCATTACCAGAACGGTTCCGCGTGACAGGCTCTACCGGTCCCAAACGCCTCAGGGATTTGCCCTACAAGTTATCCTCGACGTCCACGAACAGGCCACCCGAGCCGCGGTGACCGATTTCACTGACGATGCATCGCTCTTCGAATGGACGGGCATGGCGGTTCGGATTGTGGCAGGTGAAACCCGGAACCTCAAAATTACGTATCACGAAGATTTTGAAGAGGCTGAGCGGATTCTCAAAGCCGAAAGCACAAGCACCAAACCCGACGTACGCGTGGGCCATGGCTATGACACACATAAGCTGGTGCCAGGAAGGCGGATTGTGCTGTGTGGGGTGCATATAGAGCACAATTCGTCGTTATTGGGACACTCGGATGCCGACGTCGGCCTCCACGCCCTGACAAACGCGCTTTTGGCTACCATCGGTGCTGGCGACATTGGCAGCCATTTCCCGCCGTCTGATCCGAGATGGAAAGGCGTATCATCGGGTCGCTTTCTGCAACATGCGGCACGGCTCGTGAAAGGAGCCGGCGGGACCATTACTCATTGCGATGTGACGCTGGTATGTGAGACTCCGAAGATCAGCCCGTATCGAGACGCAATGAAGGAATCGGTTGCCGCTATCTTGTGCTTGAGTAGGAGTCGCGTATCAATCAAGGCGGCCACAAACGAGCAAATGGGCTTCGTAGGCCACCAGGAAGGCATCATGGGACTCTCAACGGCAACAGCTGTGTTTTCGGAGGAAAGTTGCAGCATCTGATGGACATGCAACTATGCTTACGAGAAGAACCAAAGCCTCCTGGTTGCCGCGTGGCGCAGAGGTGTCTGTCTCCCTGGAGAAGAATGAATCCTCGGCAGTTAATGTTCATGCGCTTCATCAGCATCCCACAATGCCATGGGGAATCCTGCAAGGAAGTCAAGGTTTGTAAAGAACCCACGGCTTCGGTAAGGAGGCCAAACACAAAAGGTATTTCGTCTGGACGCTACCAAATCTTGGAGACACAGATGCGGATGGAGGTGCCTGATGTTGCGTCTCCAAAGAAGTTGCATGTGCTCGTATACGGAAGACACCGATACGAAAAGGGGGTACTGTAATTACCTAGGTTCAACACTGAGAAGAAAGGGAAGAAACCCAGACGGGACCATATTGTTAAGGCAGGTACTGGACAGTAGAATGTCTCCATGTCGGTGTCTCCTATTTCCTGTGTGTCCAAGTCAAACATCCAAATGAGCAGTCCCTATCTCGGACCGCTCTGCTGGCAGAGTTGAGTTTGCGGATTCCATTGACACCGCGGAGGAAGGAACCCACATTGTCGATGGCACCTTGATCTCAACGAAGACAAGTTGCACGCTCCAAAGTCTTCCGGGGACACTGAGAGGGATGGTGTGGCTTTCTGTGAATTTGTTCAGGACTAGGAGGATTGCATCTGAATTGATCCCGAACTCGTTACTGTGGAGCGGGAGATAATTAGACCCTAAGGACGTATTCACCTTTTAAGAGTCTGTGTGGAGGCAGGCCTCAAAGGTTGAATCCCCTTGATCCCCTTGATTTTTCACACCTTGTTATGTAGGTACCCAATAGCTCGTCGGCTCAGGCTACAGTAGTTACATGCCTAGCTCGCTAGGCTGGTGTGACCCATTTGCCCAGTGGGGGAGCTACTGTAGCCTAGTAGCTTCGTCCACCACCGATAATCTTCCATGTCAACAGAAGAAGTCTCCCACCTATTCCTGCACATTGATGATAGCAAATCTGTCACAAGAGCTACCTACTTCTTCTCTCCTTCGATGTCTTCGCCCACCGCAGTTTCTCAGGAAGGTAGTGTCTCAAAGGACCAGGAAGGTCTGTCCTCAACCCGATTTTGTGCAAGGGTTTCTCTAATATATATATATGGCAGAGCAAGTCGGTGAACGAGCAAGCGAAAGCGAGCAGCCGCGAGGACCTCAAAACCCACGGACCCAAAGGCCTGTCCCCGAGGAAAAGGCCGCGGGCGACACCGGGACTCGATACTCCAAGGCACAACGAGTGCAGACCCTCACATTACTCTCTCTGGGCTGGACGCCTCGGCAAGTTGAGGACATGATCAAGGTGCCGGCACCGCAGGCCAGGAGGATTTTTCGGAAAGCCAAAGAACGCGGATACTGTCCACGCGAGGATCCTCGCATTCTTGATCACTATGTTGAAGACGGTTTGATAACAGGAAGGCCAAAGAAGACTACACAAACACCATCTGAGGTAGAACAACGGCTTGTTAATCTGGTTGTAGAAGACACGCCAGGTAGAGAGAAATCGAGCGACGTCCCAGCCTATGGAACAGGTGTCAAGACAGTTCATCAGTCTATCTTGCGACTTCCTTCACCGACATAACCTCATATCTGTCAAACCAGCGAGAAACCTTGGTCTGTCAAAGCCCCACGCTGGTAGGTTCTAATGATCGAGAAGAAACCCTGTGGTGCTGAATGGTTGCTGTGAGCCATCTCTGCGGGCTCCGTACACAGGTACCCACGAGCAGGGCAAGGTCGGAGTGCAGTGCGTGGCAGTCACACGCAAATGACCGATAAGGGAGGGAAACTTGGCTCAAAAGGAAAAAGGCTCCCAAGAAGCGAGCGCAATCCGGAGGAACAAAGGACGGGGACCGCAGCACCAGTTCTTCTTTCTTCTCTCTTCTTCCTCCCCTTCTCGTTCCTCGTTCCTCGTCCCGTGTTTCTTTTTTCCTCTTCCTCTCTTCCTCTCTCTCTCTCTCTCCTCTTTTTCTCTCCCTGGTAGCACGGCTTATTGTATGTATGGACGGAGTATATATATATATATATATATACACACTATAGCAGTTGATGTATGTAGCCAGCCAGCCGTCTGGGTCTCGTCTCATACGAGGTCGCCCACGAGGTCTCTGGCGTTCCGTTCCGTTCTGTTGTGTAACTCAGAGCCCGTGTCAATTGTCACAGGAAGAAGCGATAGGCGCTCGGTGCGTGCCTTGGCCGGCTGGCTTATTACTAGCTAGCTGAGACACATACCATGACACCCAACCCCAACCGCCTCTTCCTCCTTCAGCGCACGGAACATGGAAACTGGGCCCCCTTCTTTTTGTCCAGGACCTGGACATTCAGCCGCAGCCTGGTCTACAGCGGTTGGTCGCGAAGAATGCAACGGGGCCCGATAGGTGTGCTCACGACGATGGAATGTCCAAGGTGGTGCGTGAGGTCAAATGATATTCTTCATATAGGTTGGAGAACGGCGTATGGTGGAGATGTACGAGGTACGTGGTAGTCAATCCCTGTAAACCTTGGGAGCCGCAGGTGGGCCACAGGCTGGTGGGAACAGAGACTTCACGAGGGAGAACGCGGGTTTTCTCCCAGAGATTTGGGTGCCCAGTAGCCCACCAGAACCCGCCAATAGACCCCGCAGTCCTTATCAACTGCCCCTCCAAAGCTTGGTCGAGCTTAACTGGCTCTTGGCCTACCAGCCTGTGAGCTTATCTTCTGGGGAGACCATGGGGGAGGGCCCACCAATAAATCGACTGAGTCCTGTAACTATTAACCCACCTAACACAGCTCGTTTGCCAATAGCTAACCGACATAGCAAATGCATGAGGGCGGAGTACATCAAGCCAACAAATCTGGGGAAGCGGCCCAGAATCCCCAGAAAATGCCTCGTCTGGGCGTCTCCGTAGTGTTTCCTTCAAGCGAGCGTGGATACCTGGGCATGGTCTTGCGGTTGAAGGCGTGCGTGCTTTCTTACACACCCTGGCACCTCCAAGCAGGTCGAATTGGGTGTAGAAAGCGAACAAGCACAAGTCTCGTCCGCGGCTTCATCCTATTAGCGTCTTCAAGGCCCCTGCTGGCTTCACCGCCAGGGACATCATCAACACGGCCCTGCCCTCAGCATTTCGTGTCCCCCTGCCGACAAAGGCCAGACTGCCATTGGTTCCAGCCATCTTTCGATATCTGAGGAAATGCTCCTTATCTCTGTCGATTCAGCGCCAGAATATGATGGGCGGACAGACTTTACATTGTCAATATCTTTCGCTCTCAGCTGGGGAATGCTCTTCGTCCAGAATCGGAGCACTCTCTCGCTGCATAATTGAGATACCTCTCCAATTGCGCTCCCATTGTGACCCCCAGGACCTCACTCACACACGCGATCATGACAGTCCAGCCCAAAGATCAAGTCTACGTCCATTTCGGACGCGGCGGTGCAGGTTCTGTTATCCCATTCTGCCCCAACGTTTTGCCACAGCACCTCTAACCAATGCTATCAGGCAACATCATCAACTCCACAACAAGAGAAACCCGCCGTCCCTCTTGGATCGCCGACTCGCAATCGCAATCGACTGTCACAGGCCATGAACGAATCCATGTAGGGCGACGTTTCTCCACGGGAATAGGCGGATCAGGAAACATGTCTGCGGCAAGTAAATTCCAAGACAGGCGGGAGGCCGATGAGGAAATGGCAAAGTTGCTGTACGACAGGCAAGCGCCCGGCATTGTGCTTATCGAGGGTCGCTATCACACAGGACGAGGTACGTGTCGAATTCCTTCCCACTCTCCGAAAGATACACGTCAGGATTGTCGTGTTCTGCCGACCAACAGGCAGGTTAATCGGGGAATGAAATTTCAAATAGGCGGCGCCGCCAACAAATATGCCAACACTGAGCTGGAAGACCAAGAAGCACGATTGAATAATGAGAATATGCGGCGCCAGAGCTTCGCAAGTATGAGCCACCGGAGACAGAGTCTGGCAAGTCTCATACCGTCAAGCGGAGAGGACAGTCGAAGGCCCAGTATTGCTTCAATACGAGATTATCTCATGGCGAGGAGGTCGAGTAAGGCCTGACATTTTTGGTTTGCTGACTGCTTTGCATCTGGCTCACGAAGACTTGAAGGACAAGTCATATTGCATGCTACCAGAAATGGCTTCAGCTCCCTTGAAAAGACGCCGCGGTGGCGGGAACCATGTAGCAATCAAAAGTTGAACTTGTCCTGTACGTAACAGCAGCACTTGAGCCTGGTCGATGATCACCTTCTCCTGCGAATATCCTTTCTAGCACTGGGTAAATGCGGCTGTCGTTCGTGGTTATACTCGCACGCCCTTAGCTGATCTCGGCTCAGTACCTGTGTCCAGGTGGTGAAAGAGGGGAAGTAGCAACAGAAGGTAGAGTACAGGATTCACTGGCGAACTCCGGCTGCCGGGGCGGAAGCCAGTACCTGCCTCGAAGATAGTTGCCAGTTCTCGCGGCTGGTGAAAGCGACTCGCACGCGGCTTTGTGGGATCATCGAGCCACCCATGACTTTGCACCGCCGTGATATGGCTGTTTTCTGACGTCACGTGTAATAGCGAGCTAGAGCCTGTCTCTCCATGCTGTAGAGACAAATATAGACGGCGTCTGCGTCGCGGTATTGCCAGTTGTTAACAGTAATGATTGTGGCGCAGAATCTTAGTCGCACCGCTAATTCCCCTCCAGGTCGTGATGCTCTAATACCTCGGGGACGCAGAGTCTCCGTTGGGTATCCTCGCCTCTGATGGAAGTGTCTCCACGTGCTCCAGTCTTGCGATCTCCAAATCGAAGTCCTGACCCCGAATGCCGGGCCTGCTCCAAGTGCTGGTTCGCTTCGGCTGCGACGGCTGAGATGTCCTCGTCACATCAGTGCCGACCTTTGTCAGGTCCACAAACTCAGATATATCGGTACCTCCATTCAAAGCGGAAGAGCTCCGCTTCTCATCTCTCGCAAACGGAGGTGGTGGGTTCCTTCCGCCCACGAAATCGACCAGTTTCCCAAGAATGGCGAATTCAAGCTTGAGTTTGATGGAGTAAAAGGCTGGTTTCGTGATTGTCTCGAGGATGTAGAGCGAGGCACATTCCAGACCCAGCAACCCCAGATCCAAGGTGATAATCAAGACGTTGATCGCCAGCAGCTGATACATGAGTCTCTTGGTGTGCATTTGGACCGAAGAGCGAAGTATGCGAATGGCCTCGATAATGTAGATCGATGACAAAACGACTTCTTGGAGAAAGAAGCCGCACATCTGGACCTTTTCCATCACGTTGTATCCGTCCACAAAGGCTTTGGTATGTGTGTCACTGTTTGAACCAATTGTCAGGACTGTCGTCGGTATATGCAGAACAATCGCATCGACAATAATCATCCATTTCGTCCACTTAAGAATCTTGTCTCTTCTCTCGCCTGTCAACAAAAGGTGGAGTCTCGAATAGAGGACAATTGCTTGACCTGTAATCAACGGATACCAGCCCACGCTCAAGAGCAGCAGGGAGAACCATTTTGCGTTCGTGAGAATCGAAAAGTATTTGAAAAGGAATCCTATGCAATAGGGGAAAATGCCCATGCTGGATATGAGCAAGCTCCAGAAGTACAAGCCCCGGAACCTCTTGAATGTACCGAATATGAGAACCTGCAACTCAACAGCGTTGTACATTGCCAGACCGAGGAAGAATGCGATCATGACTTTGATCGTGAGGCTGCCACCCGTGTATCCTCCAGTTATGCCTTCGGCTGCAGACGAAAACGGGCTCGACGAGGCACTGGAGTTGGATACCATACTGGTAGGAAGATCTTCGATCCGGAGCAAAGAATGCCTCCAGCTTTCGCCTCGTAGGATATGCTAAATTCGTCCGGCACGCGCTCGCTTGATAACCGACCATCACTGACCCATTTATGCGTATTAGCATTGACGCAGTCGGCAAGGAGTTTGCGGACGACGTTATTTGAAGTTTCACCCCACATTTTGAGAGAGGGTAAAACGGCTGAAAAGCGCAACCAAAGATCAACCACAATGTCGATCGTTCTCACCCCGCGAAAGGCACTTTCGGGTGGGATTTTTATGGCGACGGTGAGTGTGCGCTTCTTCCTCATTGGATCGTCGGGTTGCCGTTTTGTTCAAACTAGCTGCGTCGCCTGGTGCCGCTCCGCCGGTTCTGCCATCCATGCCTCGGGAAACAGGGACGATCAGGCGCCCCTGCGTCATTCTTGCACTCTCCCGATCAGCTTCCCCGATAGTCGGGCCTTGCCCAGTCGCTGCCTTCTTGGACTGTATATGTCAGGTATGGCGGCATTGAATCTCGTGGGGCGAAATGTGTCGTGGGTGCAATACCCTGTAGGCTGTGGATGTTTCAAAGTCGATATATACAATGTAGTGTTCACTATCCCGACGTTTGACCTTCAAGGCAGATATATCTTCTATATACAACAACGGTGACCATGCTTAAAAGGGTCCCCTCCTTTTCAGGTGTGATATATGGCTAATTAGCTGCACAATATTCCTTGTCTCCGCGGTCGGCCATATCCTGAAGTTGCACTGGTCTTGCGAATTGCGTGTCGTCTCACAAAATGTGGTCGCGAGTGCTGAAACAGCTTTGCACCTCTTGCACATCCTGTTGAGACGGATCCTTCTCCTCGGTGACACTGGTGCTCGTCTTGATCATCGACGGCGCATGGATCTGACACTGGCGACAGGGCACCTAGAAATCGCGGCGGTTTGATCTGTTACCGCTGTGTCCGAGAGATGCGTTCCACATCTCAAGCGCAAGGCGAGTACTAGTGGCTAAGTTGAGATAGCTTGTGCAGGAGCCGCACTAGATTCTACACGGTTTCCGTGGCTGTGAAGAGCTGGTGACCCGACTCTTCCCGCAGTACGATGTGTGTTGGCGTCTCTGGCCTTGAATTCATGAGATTTACGTGGTCGGGAGCGACGCCAGATCCAAGAGACTTTTCAGGAATGATTCTGACACTGCGCCCTCGTCCACAGCGATGTACCAATCTTTCAATGTTGGCGACAAGGGTTTGAGTATGTCAGCCACGTCATCCTTCGCCGCAATGAGTATCTTTGCAAGAGATAAGGCCTCTCTTCTTCCGCTTGTGTCGAAAAAAACCGCCGGGATAGTAGTAAGGTTGAGAGGTAGACGTCTTATCTCATCAATCAATATTTATAGAGTAAACTTCAGAGTCTTCATTTAGACACAACGACTCTCGACGCGTTTGCGGGAGCAACATGAAAACAAGATGCAGCCTTCGATCGATAAGGCTGAGGAAAGAGGTCATAGAGAGAGTATGTGGCCGGCCCCTGGGGAAAAGTTCCAAAAACCCCGTGTTGGAGTGAGAAAGGTAGCCGTAATATGTGCCAAATGATCCTGACTAACGACAGGCTCGGGTGGAAAGTGCAACTATCGAAAACATTTGTAGAAAGTCCAGGACGTCTAGGAGAGCGACCACTTAGACGCTGTAACCACGGCCGGTGTGGGTTTGGTTCGGGTTTCGGAGGCTTGTCCGAAGGCTCAATGCCCCAAGGAGGCCTGATGCAGAAGTATGGTCCCGGACATGGTTGCGACATTTTGATATGTTCGTAAAAGTCCACAATTGTCTTTCGAGGCGACAGTTCGAGACGTCATTGACTGACAACGGATTGTGTTATCGGGAACCTGGACGCATGTCCTATTTTCACTGTATCATCTGTTGTTCCTGCTTTGCACAACCTGCGTCCCTTGTCGCAACACTTCAAGCCAGTTACTCGCCATGACCGGATGCTGCCAGACTGCATCTCTATCATCATTTCTCACTGTGCCGGGTAAGGTGGCTGGACTTGGACTCCTCTCTGAGTAGGCTGGGAGACTTGTTCGAGTCCACACATGTTCTAGGCTTTCTCTTCGGCTTTGATGCGTTGTGTCGCCAGTCCGTGCTGTAGTGAGGTCCGTGAGCCGGGTCGAGGGGATTGAGATGACGGAAGAACGAGGTGATGCTGGCGGCGGTGAGTCCTCTTCGTCTTCAACGGTCAATTGAAAGTCTACAGGAAGAGACTTCTCGTCTACGGCTGTTCGGGGACATCGGAATAGGTCTTTGTACTCTGGAGGGTTGTCGCGAGGATAACTCTGGGCCTGTGAAGGAGGACATCGGTAGCGATCGGGTTGGCCATTTGTGACAGCGATGATGCGGGCATGGCGGGTATGAGCGTCAAGTTTACTTGGGCGGTCACTGGAAGAGCAGCAGGTAAATAAAGAGGCAAGAATGGCCATGGTTCTGTTCTTTCGTGACTGGCCTGGAAACGCAACCCACGAGTCATATGAAATCTGACATTGAAGGTTGGCTGAGTTGTGAGTTGCTCGGTGGAGGCGGGGAGGTGAGACTCGGAAAAGAAGGCAGAAAGCAAGAAGCATCAGGCTGGTGGGCTGTCCGCCAAGCCACAAACCCGCCTGCCTGGCACTTTGTGCAGATTCAACCGCAAACTCAGCCTTGTGCTCACCTTGCACACACCAATTCCACATGACCGAGTACATGTTCAATCCGTCACTCACTGTGCATTCTCCACCACGCGCGAGTTGCTCTTCGACAACGCTATGTGCAAATACGTACCTCTTTCTCACTGGCTACCTTCTCCCTTCCCCCTTCCCACAAGAATGGTTCTGACCCATTTCACCAGACAAGATACGATAAGTTAGTATGCGAAGCAAAAATATCAAGAGCTTAGCCCTTGATATGTATCAGACAATTATCTTATCAACGCTAGCTGATGATGATTGAATTATTAATTGATATTCTTTGTACATGTACATTTATTCACCGTCGTGGAATTGAGAAATAGACTCACAACTCTAGACCTGGTAGCAAGGTCGGTTTCCCATCAAACAGACCCATTGATCCCCAGTTCTATTGCAGTCTATATACTGTTGAATCGGCTGCAAGCTCGTAAGACACTGGCCGGCCGTCCAAGAAGTTGATCGGACGGCATTTCTCAGCACTGGCGTGCATCACCGTCACGGCGGCGGACTGTCCGGCTTGCTCGTCTCCTCTCGCCCTCCTTGATTGTTTCTGTCCATGCAGAAGTACCACCACGAGGGCAGCGACAGCTAGCGCTCCAAAGGAACCAATAGCTATTCCTGCAATTGCGCCTGAACTTAACGTATCTTTGCCCGCTTGGGGAGTGGCTGTTGGACTGGCAGTTCCAGAGTGTTTCTCAGTCGTGGTAAGAGAAAGCGGAATGCTCAGGGGTGGAGAGGCCACCGCTGATGCCGGACGGCTGGATGTGGTGGCTGTCGATGGGTCTGCAGTTACCGGCGGACCAGTTTTACTAGTTTCCAACGGCGACGTGGTAGAGGAAGCGCTGCTGCTTTGAACCACAAAGGGAGAGGTATAGAAATTTTGGACTTCGGCGTAATAAATTGAAAGAGCAAAGATGTATGTATTATCAGGTTCAAGCTCGTACGAAGACGATGCAGTCCAGAAAACCTCATCATCATATCCTATGCTCCAGAATGAACGGGCGCACTGTCAGATGATGGGGTTGCTCACCTCCGTAGATAAATGGGAAGTATGATTCATCTGTAGGGCTTCGCATTAATCTTAGTTCAACCTAGAGTTTCTGTTGCGTCAGAAAGCTTCTCTTCTTGATTGAGAACGTGGATGATTTGCACATACGTATTGGCCATCTGTACCATTCCAGGCGACTTTGTAGGTTGCCCCCAGAAAAACCTCGCCAGGCACAGTAGTAAATGCAAAGTCCGCGACAGCAACCAAGGCCGATTGTAGGATGCAAACAGCGACTGCGCAACGATGACCGACAAGCATGTTTCTGGGATTGTAAAGAGAGGAAAGCAGTGCGCAGGTAAGCCATCTGTCGCAATCGAGGCCGCAGGGGCTCGAAGCACAAGTCCTGACTGTCCACTGGCATCCACCAACTATGATCAACGTGCTGAATGGAGGAAAACGCTAGTATCCTTACTGTAACGCTCTTGGTCTTCACTGCCAGCAAGACCCTGGACAATCCTCTTCTGCATGTCACGCAAGCGAAGGGGTCCAGAGCGACTGCATTGGCTGAGGGAACCTCATCTTAATTTACTGTGCTTTACTCACGCTGTGCAAGGAGGAGCTGCATACGGCGTCGAGACCGTGGTAACCACAACTGCCGCCTATAGCAGGCTAAATCTGAACCCATGAAGGATGAGAAAGCTGAGTTGTCGCAGCTGAAGCCATGTGGATCATCGCCGAGCAAGAAGATATTTACTTCGTTTCGGGGAAGCGTTTAGCGCGCCACGTCCACGCCTTGAGCCGCCGGAAGAACCGAGAGAAGTTTCTTCTGGCAACTCGTTTGCCAGGTTGTGTTGCGCACAACTATGTACCTTCGTTATCTAGAGGTATGTAATTGTACGGACGCGAGAGATAGGAAAGTCGACAGAAGATGACCTCCGCGACATTACCAAGTGCAACAGGGAGATGGCCACTTTCGTGTTTTTTTCGGGACCGAAAGGTCTCACATACCCAGTACAGCAATTCTCACCAATCCTTCCTAACCTGCCTGGCCATTCAATCTGCTATGGCTGTCTGTAACCTTTGCTCCAAAAGGGGGGAAAGGCAACCATACAATTCAAGTAATAATACAGCAAACAGTGCACCGACACAAAATGACACCCACCGAACACTCCTCGCTGCTCGGAGAATGCGTTACCACGGATCCCACTTCATCTAACGCGGGCTACCTAGGATCATGGGGATTCACTGGAAGGTGGGAAGTACAGTACCGTACCTGGCTTCTGAATTGTCCGTGGACTTCTTAATACTTTACAGGTTTTCCAGACGTGTGGTCCGTCTATTCTGTGGGTACAATGTGCTATAAGCATATCTAACATCTAGTCGGATTCATGTTGAGTTGGCATCGCCTTCTCATCTATCCTCAGACTCGATGAAGAAAGGATGTAATTGATGAAAGCGCTCGTGTTCACGTTAGTTGCCTCTATTGGCAACCCTTGAATGTCTCGATCACATATTGGAATTGAAAAGACGGCATCCACGGGATTCGGCCTTTCCTCAACTAATCATTGTTGATACGACCCTCCAATGTCTTGCTTAGCACCAGGGAGAGATAGGAAAAGAGGTTCGGTGATGTGATTTAGGCTGGTGGGCTCCCTGCGATGCACTTTATTTGGCCTTCGCACAGCCCGAGCGCACTATGGACTAGTTCCAGTCGAATGTGTATCCCAGCGAAGACATACTGAGTAGAATAGAGCATGGTGCCGCCAGCCACTCGAGTTCCACCGCTCACTCTATACCGCCCAGGTACTGAAGATGGCCCGTAGACCTTGTCGGATCTCACAAGTCCTCGTCGCTTGTTGTCCACGGGATGGCCGCATATTACATGGCATGAAGCCACAGGAGATCTTGCGCACGTCGAGTTTGCTGAACGCCTATGTACGGAATAGACGATAAGGGTCCCCTGAGCTCGGCGACGCTATGAAGAGATTCAAGACATTCATTGTAGACCTGGCGGCTGACAGTGATGATTCCTGGAGGGGTTAAATGGTGGTTCCGGCCGCATTTTGGATTGTATTCGTCATGACTAGGCCGGTAGCCTTGCTAATCTTGCAGACTTTTTATTCCCGTCTGCCGAGTTGAGAACTGTGTGGCACAGTTCGCATGCAGTTTGATGAAAGCAGTGTGTGTTAACAGCTTCCTAGCCGCGAGCTCTAGTTGCATTTGCAAGTATTGTATAGTGTCCTTGGTCACCCGCTAGTTCGGCAGACATTGGGGCTGGCAAGTCCAGATGGAAGCACACATGGCGCTGGCGAAAAGTGCTGAGCTTGCCGACGAAGCCCGTATGGGCCTTCAGCAACAGATGAAACAAGCCGCTATTGTCGGGAGTTAGAAGCCCTGAGGATGATGGGTGTGTCACTGGCGACAGTTGGAGGGATTCAACATCCTTCACAGATCTTTCTGCAGCGCTTCCTCCAAGGGCTTGAGTCCATCGATCATTACCTCGAGTTTCTCATCCATCTTCTTCAGCTCGTCTTTCTTCCTGGTGTTCTCTTTGACCAACGCATCCTTGATCTTAACCAGCTCCAATCTCTTTTGCTCCATCTTCTCTCGCTCTTGTTTTTCATATTCGATTCTCAACGGCATCAACTCCTCCTCTGGTAATTCTGCCTGATCGGGGAATGTTGCGATGTATTCGTCCAAAGGATGGAGTGGGAGGTGCATGTAGAGATGGTCGTACGCTTCGCAGGCTCCAATCTCGCCCAACAGGTGTCTCTGTTCATAGTACAAATTCTGTAGCTGTAAGAGTAGCCGATCAACTTCCTGCCTTGCCTCTGCCGTCTCCTGCTTGGTTGCTCGAGCTCCAAAGGCCGCCTGTCGATGTTGGCCTCGTAGTTTGGCCAGGTATGCGTTCAGGATCTTGTGCTGTTGTGCCAGCTCAAGTTTCTGCTCTAGTGTAGGGGTTGTCGTGGCATGTTCTTCCAGCCATGACAAGACAGAAAGTGTCTGCGCCAGAGTCGCATGGGAGGTTTGCAGTAGTGGCTGCAGGGCTGGATCTGTTATGAGATCGTCAATGGCCATCCTGACAGCTGCGCTTGCTTGCTTGCTCTATCAGTGAAAATCAAGACGGATGGTGTGAAGGAGACCAAAATCGAGCGGAGTTGACGTTGTTTGGAGGAGCAAAGCGTGAAACCGTCCAGCCAATCGGAGTGAAAATTCCTCCGCACTGGGAATTAAATATTTCGAAACCACAACCCTCCTTTGACAACTATTTCTGCCTCTTGTCTGCCCTGCAAAGAGATGGCGCCAGATCGGGGACTCGAAGAAACCATCACATCACTCGATCTGGGGACCCAACATGGCGACTCTACCACTGGCAGGATACCTGCAACAGAGATGATCCCCCCTCACTTGTCGCATGATCCTGCCACGAATGCCAAGCAATCAGACCCTTTTCAGTTCGGACAGCGATTTTTGTCTGAGGACGACGATGTCTTTACCTACAATGCATGGGATCACGTAGTCCCTGACACAGCACATCATGAGTACTGCGAGACCCAATATGCGGCGCAACGGGCTTCTCCCGTCTCCGACTTTGACCGGGCGCGTTTCAACGAACACCCAGAGAAATGGTGGGACCTGTTCTACAAGCAAAAATCAAGTACATTCTTCAAAGACCGAAAATGGCTCGTCCAAGAATTTCCTGTACTGAACGAGGTTACGAGGCAAGGTGCTGGTAGGAAGGTAATTCTCGAAATCGGTGCGGGAGCCGGAAACACTGCGTTTCCAATCTTGAGAATGAACGAGAATCCGGACTTAAAGCTCTTTGCAGTGGACTTCAGCAAGAAGGCGGTTGAGACAATGAGAAACGCACAAGACTACGCAAACTCGAAGGGTGTAATAGCAGCTGAAATCTGGGATGTTGCAGGGGAGGCCCTGCCGCCAGGTGTCGATGAGGGGAGTGTGGACGTTGTCATCATGATCTTCATATTCTCGGCACTGAATCCCAAGCAATGGCCACAAGCTTTGGTCAATATCCAGCGGGCCCTCAAACCGGGCGGGGAAGTATTGTTCAGAGATTACGGCCGAGGAGATCTTGCACAAGTCCGCTTCAAGGCTGGTAGGTGGATGGAGGATAATTTCTATGTTCGTGGAGACGGTACCCGGGTATATTTCTTCGAGAAGGAACAGCTGGAAACGATCTGGGGGAGTGTGTTCGACATATGCAATCTGGATGTGGATCGCCGGCTGATCGTCAACCGGCAACGGCGCATTAAGATGTACCGGTGCTGGATCCAAGGTCGGTTTCGAAAGAAGGAGTGTACAGAGTAGTTGAGAAAACACCATCTTCAGCGACTAGAATTATTCTGGAGCATTGATCTCTCTCCATGCTGTTGGAGGGGGGGACAGACAACGCAGAATATGGTCCATTCATCGATGGACCAATCCAAAAATATGAATGAGGATCGTGCCTGAAGGACTGAAGTGGAAAACGCAGGCGGGGAGCAGCAATGTTACAGCACATGTCAAGCAAGCACTTGTCGATGCATCTGCGCACTCAGAAATCAGCCAGTGTACATTCAGAACGGCAGGGGATGGTAGAGGGATGCCACCAATTGGACAAGGCGTTGATTGCATGTGAAGATTTCCACTGCGGTGAGAATTCGAGGAGAGAACAAGAGAGGCCGAGAGAGCCCAAGAACTACTTGGGTATCTCAGGCCGGTCATTTGATCGGTCATTTGATCGAGACACGAGCTGACGAGTTGATTCCGCAGCAAACAGGCTTGGCCTGTTCTGCGCCTTTCCGCATTTCCTCGCTACCTTCCCTCGAGACTCGTCAATCGCCACCTCTCAACCAACTCACCAAAACCCCCACATAGAGGCTTGACATTGGCATAATATCTAAATAGTCATAGTGTTCATTCTTTCCCCTCGAGAGTCACTCCTTACCGTTCTCTACCTTTTTCCGCTTCCTCAGCGTGTACGTCTCTTGCTATGTCACTCCTATTTCTACACGCGACACGTCCACTGCGCCACTGAACAGCTTGCCGCCGGACGCCGACAACGCCTCCTGTTTAATCTCATTTCTCCTCGTTGTCATTTCACGTTTCCTGCTGTCTTCTCAAGCTGCCGCATGACGTTAGCCTCAAGAAAATGTCCTGTGCGACACAAACAGTCACCTTCGAGTCCTCTTCCAGCAGCCGCGAATCCAGTCCTGCAAGAGACGATGAACGCACACAGCTCCTACCCCGAGGTCGTCGCCATTCCTACAATACCCTTCCCCGACGACGGCAGTCAAGCATCTGCAACGCAGATGCAATCTTTGTGCGAGTCGATCTGTTCCTAAGTGAGCTGAAAAGTAGGTTAGACAGGCTAGAAAGATACCGGCAAGACAGTCTTTTACACTTTGATGCTCAGTTGGAGCGAGCATATCAAGTCCTGAGCGATGTACGGGACTCGTGCGCACCCTCCCTTTCGGGTGAACTGCTGTGGGGTGCCGCGAGGCACCGTGCTCTTATCCTTGTCGATACGCTCGAGACTCGGTACAACGATATCATGCCGTCAAGGGAAACTCTGGAGCACAAAGCACAGGAAGGCATGCGCCTGATGGAGTCCTTTCTCTCGGAACTGGAGTCACGGATGCATGAAAGGAAGAAACAATTCATTGACTCGGGGTGGAGGAAGGTCGACGACTCACTCAACGCCACTCGAGAGATGCTGGAGGACGGTCTTGACAAAGCGCTGCGGGCACGAGATATACTGGCCGAATCTGTTTCTCACGCGCTGACCCGAGCTGCCGAGACGAGATTGATCCACTACGAAGATCTCCCCACGCCCTGGAGGAATAACCCTCATATCCTCAAAGGTTACCGGTTCAACAGGACACAAGTCGAATGCCTCACCACCATGTTCCACGCGCACAACGAAATGGTCAATATATGGTCACATACCATCGGTTTGCTAATTGTTCTTACCGTCGCCTTTTACTACTATCCTTCCTCGTCGACATTTCCTCTCTCAACCAAAATGGATGTCCTGATAGCGGCCTGTTTCTTTGCTGCAGCCTGCAAGTGCATGATCTGCTCCACAATGTGGCATACCATGAACAGTATCTCGGACAAGCGTTTGTTCGACCGGTTCGCTTGTGTGGACTACACTGGCATCTCACTTCTGGTGGCGGCGAGCATCCTCAGCACCGAGTGGACGGCATTTTACTGCGAACCCATATCGAGGGCGGTTTATATGACTATGACAACGGTGTTAGGAATAGCCGGAGCGATCCTGCCTTGGCGGGAGAGCTTTAATCGAGCCGATATGGCCTGGTTTCGGGTGACATTCTTTGTAACGTTTGTCGTGGTTGGCTTCGCGCCTGTGCTGCAATTGAACTACACCCGCGGGCCGGCTTGGACTTTCTATTTCTACGCCCCTGTTGCGAAAAGTATCATGGTGTACTTTACGGGAGCTCTCATATATGCAAGTCAAGTGCCTGAAAAGTGGTGGCCCGGATCATTCGATTATGTTGGATGCAGTCACAATATCTGGCATGTTGCTGTGGTCCTAGGAATTATCTTTCACTATTTCGCCATGTTAGATTTCTTTCAGGGAGCATTCACAAGGGCGAGCGATGGTTGTTGTTTGGGTTGACGTGTGTTGGCAGCATTGGAGGCTCGGACGAGGAGTTGGTCAAGCATAGCGTGGTCGTCGGTAGCGATGCATTGGCTCTGGACTGGCTTGCAATGTTAGACGGTTACTAGGTCCTGGTCAATTTGGATGCACATATGAAGAGAGATGCATAGCTGGATGAAGGAGAGGTATGTGTGGGAATAATATCTACAAGCCTGATCTGAGCGTTGTGCAGATGAGCTAGCTTGCTATGTAGGTATCGAGTCAGACTTCTAACTCCCGATATCATTCTGGATGCAACAGTTGAAGCCCAAGCCCGATTCAGCCTCCAGACCCGAATACGACGATTTCCTTTTCCCTTGAAACTCAAGCTCGAGGGTCAAGTCAAAAACCACGCGAGTCTGACGCCTGAAATAATGAACTCCCCTTTCAAATTGAATAGCGAGGCAGATACATCTCCATGTCAGACCATTCAATTTTCTATTGCTCAAGCTCGAAAGGGAGGCGCCATGATCCTGAGACAACTCGGCAGCCTAATATCGAGAAGGGCAAATATCGTATCGACCCTCCTTCTGTGCCTTCCCATCCTCTCGCACCTTTCGAACAGCAACAGCATCAATACCGTGGTCCCGGACTTAGCGATCAATCGGCCTTGACCATGGTGCGGAACCTCCCTGCCGGCCCCCGGCACCATACTGTCCTGGATCAACAAAAGGTGATGCAGTCGGTCTTCAGGGTCGCCCTCGAATCTAAGATCGGGAAATCACCAATACCAGAAAAGAAATCTGTCTATACGAGGAGATCCCACAAAAAGTCGCGATACGGCTGCAGGACCTGCAAACAACGGCGAATCAAGGTAGTTAATGCTCTACGACTTTCCTTTCAAAGGCCGAGGCCGGTCTAATGCGTTGGCACTAGTGCGATGAGAACAGAGAAGGTGGATGCCTCAAGTGCCGGAGTCATGGCATTGCCTGTGATTACAACAAAGGAGCGCAAGTGCAGGGCAAGGCCTATGTCATCTTGGCCAAGGAGCAGATGAATAGTCCTGTTACTTCTTGCTCAGGTGACACTGGCTCCACTGAGTCCCAATCCTTGATAATGAATAAGAGCAGATGGTCAAGCTCCAGATCTTTGACTCCCTTGAGCCTACTCCTCAACCCGCCCTCGCCTTTTCCGTTCGAAGTCCCCGATCAGATAACCCCCGTGGTTCAGACATTCAACCATTTCGGCACGGTCACATATTGCTCCATGGGGTCTGATCTGGGACAAGAGATCATCCGATCCACTGCTTTTGATCTCGCTCTCGAAAAGCCTTACCTCATGCATGCGGTTAATGGTATCTCGGCGGCACATCTCTGCCATCTCTTGCCCGCGGCTCGACATCCTGTTCAACACAACCAGAATCAGCTTACCAACTTCTACCACTTTCAGAAAGCTTTCCAACTCTTTCGTGATGAGTTGTCCGCCGGCATCACGAAGGACAACATGAATGCCCTGATATCGACTGTGATGCTTATCTGCGTCCATCAATTTATGCTCACCGAACCGCACCCGGACCTGGGAAAGAGTTTCGTCTACGCACCGGCAGGGCATCGGAGGGAGTGCTTGAGATGGCTGACAATCCAGCACGGGTTCAACGCTCTGTATGCTGTACTGGGCGAAGTGATCTGGAGATCGGTCTGGAACCCGGTTTTCACAGATTCAGACTTCAAGGAACTCGCCGCCACGGTCATGACCGCAGAGTCCGGCGATGAAACCCATGCCTTGTTCCTTGAATTGTGCGAAATCGCCCCTGGCTCGTCAACCAACAACAATCCTTTCTATGAAGCGCTGGAGCATCTCCTATTTCTTCGTCGGCTGAAACCGGGGATGAAAACATTCAACAAGTTGGTGGCATTCGTCGCGGTGGTGGAAGGCGACTATCTCCAATTGTTGCTGTGCCAGGAAAAGCGAGCACTGTTGATCCTGGCACATTGGTTAGCATTGATGATCGGGGTAGAGCAGTGGTGGAGCAGTGGAAGGTGCAAGATGGAGTGTATAGCCATCACGGCGTTTCTGAGGCATGATCAAGATGAGAGGGTTAGAGCCTTGCTCAGATTTCCAGCAGAGAGTGCGGGATTTGATCCAACTGCAGCAGTACCGAGCCCAACTGGCTCGCTAGACATGGAGTAGTGGATTGGACGATTAGTAGCAGAACCACCCAAATACCTTGGCAGGTACCTGCTAGGCAGAATGGTCCATATGTAGGCTGTGCAGGGCTGTGAGAAGTGGTTGATTTAAGTGCCTCGGCGCCTCTAGAGGCATCCCCTCCCCTGCCCTAGTTGGACATTTAGGCTCGACGTCATCCAGATGGCAGCCCGGCCAAGTGAGGCGCCATATGGCGGTCCAAGGGCCAGCGCAGGCCAGTGAATGCTAGGGCTGGCCTCATCACGTGGAGGGGACTTGTCCTCACTTGTCTTCGGTTCCAGCCTGAACTGCGCCCTTCTCAAATCAGCGCCTGAGTTGTCTTCTCTCTTTAAACCCGATGAAACTTCACTTGTTTGCCTTGTTAAAGCGGTTGCAAACCAAATTCACAGTCATGAGACTTGTCCATGGACAACACTGATCACTTTGCCTCAAGCACGTTGGTCTTGTTTTATTTGTTCCATTGAAGACCGAAATATGTGTTCGGCGTCCTTGACACTTTCAACACCCGGCAAGACAATAGCACCGCGATTCACTAATTGTTCACTATGGCTGCCACTTCAGAAACATCACAGTCCTCGTTGCCGATCCTCGGGCCGATACGAAAGACCCTCTCGCCGTTCGAACTTGTGATCACTTGCAATCCACCGATCCTCGAATCACTCCTCGCCCAAGTGCCGACCGAGACCATCTTCAGGCTATACCAGACTTCATCGTACCTACGGGACTTCTTTTCGAGATCTCCCACGTCCTGGCGATATATCTCATGGCGTCTGTATCAACCTGCAGCCACCACCGCCGCCGTCACGGTTAACCTCTCTGGAAACGCATCACGGTCATCGAGCAATTACGCCCTTGATCAAATTATCCTCACAGTCATAAACCCCTTCAGCACCAGACTGGCCAGCCTGGAGTTGGACAATACGGCCGTTAGTGGCACAACCTTGACGTCTACCGTGCTGATATTAAGGAGAGAGACTCTTCGCCACGTATCGGTCCGAGGGTGCAAGAATGTCTCTTTAAAATACCACATCAACCCATGGCTGCAAATGCACGCCTTGGCTCGCGAATCCCCAGATGCCGGAGGGCCCCCTGGTTTCGAGAAACTGGCTCTGAAGAGTTTATATACCTATCGATGCCGCCATCATAGGAGGAGACCCTATCTACCGAGTAGTCTTGCGCGGAAGGAGAGCGACAGTGAACCCACTCATGAACTGGTCTTGACATGCCATAAACTAGGCATCTGGACAGATACCGCTTGGTGCACCACGCCCGGAGCCAGGTGTTATCGCCGGAGAGGATATGTGAAACTGCGCATGCCGCAGGATCCCAGGGAGGTCTGGGTGGTCTATGATCGTCTGTGGAGGAGCCGGAATTGGCTGGGCCCCACCGAGCAGCCCAAAACCTATTCGTTAATGAAGAAGCGGAAATGGGACTGCAGGAGTTGGGAAATTGACGAGGAAGGCATGAACGGCGAAGCCATTGGGACAGGCCTAGAGGGCAAAGCAACGCCGGCGCATCTAAGAGAGTCCCATCGAAAATTTGTTGAAAATATCACTTGCCACAACTGTTCGGTGGAGATCCTCGAGCGATGTGAACAATGCTCTGTAATGATGCACTGTGTCGGGTGCAGGAAGACATTATGTGCCAGTTGCGCCTTCGATCGTCCTTATCTGCGAAACAAGAATGCTCCCGAGGAAGAGCGAAACAAGTTCTGGTGGGCTCCCGGTTACGCCGTCTCTCCGTGTTCTATGCAAGATCAAGACTTACCTCCAAATGGAGCGGCCAACGGCAACCAAAACGCAAACGCGAACACTCTGCCGAATATCAAGTTCAAATGGTGCTGTACAGAGCCACTCTTTTCGGGTGGTGGTGGCATTACCTTCAGCAACAGTTCAAATCGAGATAGCGATCGCATTCGCGCAGCACCGCTCCCAGCTGGACAAGGATGGGAGGACCCTGAATTTGACCATCATCTTCCCAACTTTTTCTGCCTAAAAAGTTGGCGGGGACCCGGCGACGGTCCTGGAGGCGTTTGGGGGTCCATCAATGATCTTTTCGGCGCCGTCGAAGATCTGAACACTGGAGAACATCCCTCGTCAGTACCTAGGGTATTGTGTGATGAGTGCTATAGTTCAGAGCAGTGGAAGTTCAAATGCAAGGCTTGCTCGACACCAATTTGCATCAAACATGATATTGGCGATCGTGTCAAAGCTCGGATATGCGGCTACAGAGAATTGTCTGTCGAGAAACAGGAGTTCAAGGCGAGCGAGAAGGCCTTAAAGTTGCTCACTATGCTGCGGCAACCGAAAAGAAAACAACAAACTGAAGCAGGGCAAGTGGAATCCGCCGAGATTGGGATGCTTGCCAGCTCACCGAAAGTTGGTAAAACTGCCGTCAAGTCACGCCCCTTATTCCCTCAATTATCCTCGCCAGCAGCAACAGGCTCCGCAACCCCTGAAGCTTCGATGAACGCGGAAGTTGGAAGCGCTTTGAGACCAGCGCGAACAAATCTAGTGGAAGTTGATCGGCCCCAGCGTCCACTATCACCAGCTTCGAACAGCACCGGGCCACAGTCCCGATCAACGTCCCCAACACCCTCAGCACATTCAATACCCGCGACACCTGAGCCGAGCTCCGCGCCTCGACGGCCAGCTCGACCTGACATTGAGTCACATCCCAGATGGCGAGGTTGTAAGGCGTTTTTCTGCCCGCCATCGCGTTCCGCGCCAGGCGACCACAGGCGACGCTGTACAGCGGCCATGAAGCCCTGCATGGAATGCAAAGTCTATGTTTGTGCTGATTGTGCTAACACCCTTGATCCCCCGTGTCCTTGCAAGGGATGTCGATCTCCACAGATAGAAGGGGACAATCACGTATCTGTAAACGTCTCACCGAATACTGGATCGTCCGATGCACCTTTGTTTTTCTGCCCCAACTGCCGGTGGGAGAGAATGCGATCTGGCAAATGCAAACGGAGGACACCAGCATTTTTGGGTGCTCGGTCGTGGCATAGCAAGAAGACAAAGAAGCGGAAGGATAAGATACGCAAACCTCTAGAAGCCCGACGGACTAGCCACGGATCAGGGGCGAGCCCCTCAAGCACAGAAGAGGCGATCGATGGGCTGGTGGAGTTCTTCACGAGTCTGAACGTTCAATACCCTAGTGTGAGCCACCCCCAAACAGAAACGAGCGTGCCGTCGCGGTCAGGTGTTGATGGCCAAGCAGAGGGAGGAAGCAATCAGCACGATATCCAGGAGTTAGAAGATATGGGCGCTCTGGCCCGGGACTTGATTCGCCGGATCCAACGTTTGAGAGACCAATTTCCCCCGGGGTCGCTGGCCGCTCTCGCTCTCCCGGATATTCGTCTAGAAGACGAAGCAGAAGTCGCGGTAAGGATCGCACGGACAGCGAGCGAAGCGGCTCGAGCAATGAACCCCCAGGCGTTGGCGATTCAGATGGCAGCAGAGCTCGCAGATGCTCACTATCACGGTGGGCATGTCGCTCTGCATTCTGTACCTGCGCCGACGAATGAGAATGGTAATGCCGAGGACCATCAGTTCGAGCAGGCCAGGAACCAGATTCCGGGTGCGCATGAGAACAGAATCGAAACCCCTGGACCAGCGGAATTGCTCGAGGACGAAGAATTGCAGGATGAAGACGACGGACAATTCGAGGAGAGGGAATCAAGTACAGAATAATGATATATGGCGTACACAATCGTGCTGAGAGCATCTGCGAGATCTTTGTGTGTGTCGGGGAGGGGGGGCAAAACATGGTGCGAGCGGGGACTGCGCCTTCTTTGGTGCATGGAAGCAGGCGGCTAAAAGAACGGGAGTTAGGGTGGGAATTGATTGGGTTAGAGGTCTGCTTGATCTCGATATGAGGAATCCTTTCTCTCCTTTGGCAATGACACGAAATGATCTTCCCCGGCTGGTGCGAGCTCGGTTCCGCAACCTCCAAATTTTCTTAGGCCGCAACTGAGGCGGTCCATTTCTCTAGACTTTCGGCGGCCATGATAGCAAGGAGATGAGAAGGGATCCAGGTGAGCACAAAAGATCTTTCGAAGGGCCACAGGGAACCACCTCGTTACCAGCCTTGCACACTCATTTCCCCCTATGGATCCACATGATATTTCCAGGTCTTAGCTCTAGTTTAACACGAACAGTTTCTGGTTCACGGACAGTCGGCGAGTCATCTCTGGTACGCAAACCATATGAAAGCGTGCACTCGAGTCCAGGGCGTAAGTTTGGCAATTGCTATCCTCGCGCCAAGGCTGGTGACTCCCTTTTGAGGACCTTTGACCCCCAGCCAGCCCTTATATATATGTCTAACGCAGACACCGAAACAGAGAGTGCCTTCTCAAGCATCTCTAGCTCATCTCGATCTTGACTTCTACGTCTCTCGCACGCACTTGAACATCCATTCATCTCACCATCGATCACATCGTTCGCAGAAGTCTTTGTTTATACTTACCAATCCGAACTTTGCCATGGCCATCAAATCTTTTCTCTTAGTCAGCCTGCTATGGCTATCGCTTGCAGTCTTCTATGCCAGCGCCGACCCACCGCCCATCGGAACTCCAAATACAACGATGACGACGCTAGTTAGAAGGGCCTCGCCATCACCGACAGCGGCTGCCGACATCGCAATCGAATCCACCCCGAGCTCTAAACCTGAGCGCACATGCGTTCGCGAGGCGCTCGTTGCACTGGCGAACTGGCGCCAGCACTGCGATCAGGGTGGCATCTCGCCCCCTAAGTGCTGGACACGCGCTCCCAGTATCGAACGCTGCTGCGGCCAGTGGGTGGACGTCCACGACCGGAAGTACAAGGACTACCCACCGATCCGAAACCGCAAGGAAGTCAAAACTGGGGAGTCATCATGGGAGTGGCGGTGGGATCCCAAGGTCGACAAAAAGGGCCACCGCGAGGTCATTCTGCAGACTCTGGAGGGATATCACTCGAGCAAGAGGGAGTGCGAGCGCTGGCGGGTGGAGAGTGAGTTTGGTTTCTTGGGCTTCTATGAGCACCTGCATGAGTATGGAATTTGTGATGCAGACAAAAGTGGGAGGGCTCTCGACAGCAGTGTGGAGAGATACGACCCTGAGGGAAAGGGCTATTACGACGACGGCAACCCGAGTTATCCCTCCTGGGCCCCTGGAGGATGGTAGTTGAGTACTTTGTCCTCCAGGCAAGTTTCTTGTACTATCGACACCGAGTCGAAGGGGAAATAAGGAAGTAAAGGAGTACTCAACCACGACGAAGCGGCCGCTGTGTCAAGCAATACTCATAGCATCGATAAAAGATAGAGCAACACTATCTCCAAGCTAGAAAAAATACTACTTATAAATGAAGGTAACCCTCGATCCAACAGCGGATGGACTTTATGTTTACTGCTAAAGACTGTCTTGTCTGACCGTCTGACCGTGCCTTTCATTTTTCATTAAGTAGGCTCGACACCTATTTGTTATACTAAGTCCACACTCGACCCTGGTCGTCCCTCCATGACATTCCCCTTCAGACCAGAATCTCTCCTTCTCGGATCATGCGTCTCCGTCTTTCTTCGTTTTCGACGGCATGAACAACAGCTGTTCTTCCCCTATCTTAGAGCAGACTTGCGACAGAATGACTGCATTGCGGATCCTCTCTCTGAGCAGGGACTCACCGCGTTGCAGCGGGAAGCCGGCTCTGCCGGGCCGGACGGTTGCATGTTCCAACCCAGTGCAACATTCAATAATCGGACGTCAAATGAAGCCCTCAATGCATCCGAGGTCTTTGCCAAAATTCGTTCCATAAGAACAGCATGAAGTTGGAAGCTCAGTGCCGCGGCAGCTGCTCGGTGGATTGTCTCCTCGACGAATTCATCGACACAGAGCACCTCTTCCACCAGCCTCTTCATATGGAGCAGTCCGCAGGAGCACCAAGCATTCCGTTGCTCTCCACATCAGGAGCATACCATTCAAGCGACTCATGAAACGGCCTTTGCGATTGGGCATCGTTCCATGATGTCGCTTTCGATATCGATATCCAACGATGACGGGAAGCCCTTCCTGCCAGGTTCGCCCGTGTTGGGAGTCGTCAAGCTTATTACCTATGATGACCAACCGATTGGCGAGCTGTCCATCACTTTCCGCGGTCGTGCTTCTGTCCTCTTGATTCATTCGTATGGCGACATGACGACTTCAAGGAAGGACTATCAGTCGGTCGGCTACCTCTTCTCCCAGCATCTCAACCTTTACCAGGGAAAATATACGCATCGGAAAGGCAGTTACATGTGGCCATTCGCTTTCTGCATCCCTATTTCCGCCGCGCCACGGGCAGTCGCCCCTAATTCAACAGATTTCTTCCATCCAGAACATCCGTGGAAGAATGATCGTCCACTGGGATTTCATCCACTGCCTCCAAGTATGAGTCACGGGGGTCGTTTCCACTGTTCCATCAACTATACGCTCGAGGCAACTCTATCTCAGCCGGCTCGGACACCCATCTCCTTGAACAAGACGTTGACCGCTAGTAAAGAAGTGCAAGTCCAGCCACTATCCAACCAGACAGAGTTGGACATCAGCGACGATTGGCCTTATACCAACTATCGACACAAGCTACAGTGCAACATTAAGAATGTGTCGGGAGCCTGTTCGCGGGGGATGTTGTCGAGTCTGGGACGTTGTATACGGGGTGTGAAGGCGGAAGATCGCAAAAAACTGGAGATATACATCTCTGTCCGAGTCCCAAAAAGGATCCTCCTCACAGAGCAGCCTCTCTCCCTCATTGTATCAGCATCTGCCCACTCGATCGCAAAAGGTTCTCAGCCTGAGAGCATCCCACTTGGCAATCATCTCACGATCAAAAGATTTAAGTTGTCATTATGGCAACACACGCATGTCCGTGCGGGTCGTCATCATTCCTCCTCGACTAGACGTGTCTTTGTTCGGAAATCGTCTTCTCCCTTGGCCGTTTCCGAAACTCCATCTCTGGGTTCCTGGCAAGCAGGATGTTCGAATGCACAGCCTTCCAGGGTCACTGCAACGAACCTGGCAGATGTCGCGGATCTATCGGTACCCGCTACAATCCTCGTGCCGGACTTTTCAACCTACAACATTGCTAGATCTCACTCTCTGGAGATATCGTTCAAAATGCAGTATCTAAACAAGAAATTCAGCTTCTGTCTGGGGAACATACCGATCAGACTACTTCCGAAAAGACACGTCTCAGCAGGTCAAACGGAAATGCGTCCGGGGGAGCCGTCAGTCAACGAGAGCGAACTTCAGGAGGGTTGGATGGTGTTTTCCCCGGGAGGCAATCTGAGCCCTGACGACGACGTGGCCAATATCTTGTTGGAGGAACCGCCTCCACAATACAGGGCCTGACGACCCTATTGTCACTCTGAAGAAGAACATGACTGAAATTCAGATTGGGAGGTCGCGGCCAGAATTTGTGGCGTTCTAGGAGAGACCGCTGACGCATTTTGGGTCAAGATGAGGTGTCGACCTCCTACGCTGAAGGCAATAGTAATTTGTTGATACTTGTGAAAGACGAGAGGGCTGCGTCTGCCATACAGCTAGCAAAGGCGTGGGCCTGGTGTCTGATTCCACCATGTGTGCGCCTTTCTTACCATAAACTCGTTCATTGTATGACGCATTGGGGAGCACAGTACATGCCAACCAGGCGAACCAGGAGTTTCGCTGGCTTTGATTCACGGGTTTGGAGGAACGTGACTCCTGTGGATTTCAACTTTCAACTACAGGACTCCCCTTGATGTCCGGATAGCGGCCAAGCCTCCTAGTCCGTGTGGTCAATCAGCGTAGTTCCAACCGGTCCGGAATCTGATGCGGAATAGGGGAGCACGAGAGGAGGAGGCTGCCCGAACACGAACGGCGGTTGAAAATGGAGACCCGTCCCACTGCGATGGCAAGGCAGTCCCGGTCCGGGCGGCTGGCACATGTAGAGGCATAGATCCATTGAACAGGCTCGCTGACAAGAAGGGGGAAGGGCGGGATCTCTTCTTCGAGACGTCACGCGGTGTTGAGGAGGGGTTGTTGCTTCTTCAGGAACCCAGCTGGGCTCAAGTCTCGAGCCTGTTAGTATATAAACAGTTCCAGAGCGCTCTGGGAAGTGCCTGCCCAGACTCCAGAAGGAGCTGTGCAAAAATATCACACAACACATGTGATCGCAAATAATGCTGGAGAAACTGTTCCACGGCACATCGGGAAGCAAAGTAAGTAATACTATTGCACGCATCCATAGCCTCCGAGAGGCCTTCGTCCAGCACACGTTATTGGATTGCCTGTGTTTTCTCTCTATCTGTATCCTTCCACTTCTTCTACTCAATTTACGGGTCCCCAATCTGACTTGAATCTGGAGATCCAGAACCACGGACCCGCCCTCGAAGTCGCGCAGAGTCCCGCAGCAGAGCATCCCTCTGTGCCAGCGGGCGCCGAAGCTGGATCCAGTGCCCGAAGCACTGCCGTCGCGGACACGGACACGGACCTCATAGAGCCGGCTCCGCCAGATCCAGCCCAAGACGACGTGAGGGCTGCTACCACCATACAGCCTCGTCGGCGCCGGTCGTCGCGTCTGAGCGCGCTCTTGCATAGACGCTCTGCAGGCGGCGACCACCTCAACGGGAGCCAAAGCTCGGGCAATCCCCAGCCAGGACCAGGACCAGAACCAGGGGCAGAGCCGGAGTGGGTGTCGGAGTCGCAGAGGCCGGAGGTCGTCGTCACCACAGGGGGAACCAAGCATAAGTTCTGGCATGGCATCACCAGCGTGGGAAAGGAGAAGGTCCATGACGCTAAACCCACGAGGGCTTGATTTCCGTCGTTGGGGGGAAGTCAATCGGGATTTGATATTAGGATAGAAAGTGGCCGCTGTGGGAGTGAAACTGACGCGATGATATGCAATGCAAATAATACATGACCTATAATCCCTGAACCTGTAGACTCTATGATTATGTTTATATTAGCCAGCTGTATCCACAGACGATTTCTTCCGTCACCGGCGACGACGGCAACGACGAGGCCCATCTTGTTTTCTCCCCTTCGCGCTTCCCACCGGCCATTCGAAGAGACTTCACAAGTCCTCCAACTCGGCGGTGGCGTTGCCGAAGAATGGATTGTACTGCGCGTTGACGAACTGCGAAGACCAGATGACCGGCTCGGAGAGGTTGAGCGGCATTCTCTGCGCGCCTGCGTCGAACACGGTCGTGTCCATCATCGAGACCGGGTACCAGTGTGAGGAGGAGGGGGATGCGGCGGCGGCGGGCACGTTCTGGATGTTATTGTTCACTGCCGTTTGTCCTCCCGTGCCACCGATCATGGCGTTGTTGGTCATTTCTCCAGGCAGGCTGGATGGGCGACCTGTTCGGCTCGCGAAGGGTGGTTAATATTCATTTCCCCGGGGGTTGTGAAAACGACATTTCTCCAAGAAGGGCAAGGGGGAAGTGGGTTTTCTTTGTTTTGGAGGGATTGGGTCAAAACAAATACTCCGTACCTTGAGGGTTGAGCCGGGTCTCTTTGAGGCCCTGCATCATCTTCTCCGCCAACCGGGCGGCATTGGAATTGGTGCTCAATTCGCGAAAAACGGTGAGACAGACGTCGGCGTCTTCGTCCACGGCAAGCCAATCGATGTCTTCGACCTCACCGCCGTCGCCGCCCATACAGAGACTCGCTACTAACAGAATCGAGGTCGCGCAGATCAGGCACGAGATCATCTGCCACCAGGGAAAGTCGTAGATCAACTGCTTCTTGTCCGCCACGTTGTGGAGGAGGCGAGCGGTGTGCTGGGCGGCCACGACGCACTTCTTCTTCGACTGCACAATCCGTCCTCTCTCAGCTTGGTAGAAGGCCAATGGGTCGGGACACGAGCGCAGAAATCGCGAGGGTGACAGCAACGGTCGGTGGATCAGGGCCTGCAGGTTGTAAAATTTGATGGCCAACATGTTCCTCTGCTCAGCTTATTAGCCCGCGCCTTTGACAAAGCCACGTCTCCCACTCGTCTCTGGAGAAGCTGGATATCCACATTGGTAACTCACCTGGCGTTTCAATATTGTCGACTTCTGAAAAATGTGAGCGAGATCGAATCTCAGCGCGCGTGGCAGACTCGCTCGCCATTGCTGTAGATCATGATCCAGACTCTGAATGGTAGAAAGCGCCAGCACAGCGTTGTCGGTCCGGTTGGGCCCGTAGAGGAGGGAGAAGACGCGTCCAATGATTCCAGAGAACTGAATCATGGCAACGAAGTATTCGCCATCGGAGCATTCCTGGTCCTTGGGGTTCAGGTTCCTCCTAGACTCAGCCGTGCCATTCGATATCGATATATCGGAGGCTTTGGACGGATATGCGACTTTGAAGTCCTCGTCGTGAATGGCTGGAGGCCGTCCGAGCTGCAACGAGAGCAGACGATCGAGGACATAGAGTGAGTACCATAGGCGCCGGCGATTCTCAACCACTGAAACTCGCTCCAAACTGGCCGATGCGAGTCGCTTGTCATCCTCTGTGTGGAGACCGATGCTTTGAGAGCTCCTGACTGCTTTCCCTAACGTCGTCCAAGCCCTAGGTGACAGGGTTGTTGGTATAACACGATACATACGCGGTTCAAACTCACCGATCCGTTTGACAGGTTGCTAGTAGGTAAAAGCACTGGGCAAGCAGTGCAGCAATGTAATCCATGCCCTGTTCTTTTTCATTTGATTGTGAAATGGAGACTGCTTGGTCGAACCAAAGATGATGTTGGTGAAGCTTGGAGCTTCTCTCGCACGTATCGGCAAACGTTTCGTAGCACGCCCCAATGGCAAAAATTGTCACTGTGGCGCGTGAGCTCAATCCACCATACACTTCGGGATGGCGACCCTACGAAGCACAGACAGCCAAGGTCCACGAAAATTCTGCAGGGAATCAGAACCCCAGAAGGCGTCGTACTTCTGCCTGAAGACGGGCTCCCAAATGAAAGGGTAAGCCATGTGAATGGTCGAGAAGTAGATTTCAAGAAACTTGTCCGCAATAGCTCTGGGAGGGAGGGATTCGGCTGCGCTGTCTGCACAGGCCGTACGCAGGGCTCCATCTTGTTCGTAGCTATCAAGCTGCGCGGCCAAATTATCGCCTTCAGACTGTTCAGCCTCGGAGCGAAGAGTGAGCGCCTGCTTCATCGTGTTGAAGAACGTGATGTCACTGGCTTCGCCTAGAAACCGGCGCGACAGGACGGAGGCTGATTCTTGGTCAGGCAGAGACTGACTCGGAGACGAGTGGCTGGTGGTGCCAGTGTCTGCCGGTTCGGGCGACAAGGAAGGGAGTTGGATGGCTGATACGCCCAAGTCGATGGCCTTTCGGTCGTTCTCCGGGAGACTGTTACGCAACCCTTGAATGAGAAAGTCGTATCTTCTGATGGCTTGTCTCAATTTCTGGATCTCGTCGTTTGCGGCAAGGAGGCTCAGTTGCGTCTGGCGGCTCTCAGAATGTCGCCTCCGGGTCGAAGGGACGTTCCAGCGACAAGAATATCCATAGCCCGCGCATCGTCCGCAGACGGGCCGTTGGCCGTCGCACTGTGCGAATCAAGATTTAGAGCTCTGTCTTTTTGTATTGCTCAAGCACACCAAACACAGGCAGCATAAAACACTGTAACATCATGGTTCGGCTCCCACCTTGGATTTCAGGACTCGACAACTGTCACACGCGCGGGTGACGCGCCTTCGTTTCAGTCCCTCCTTGATATTCTGCTTGCTTGAGTCGGCCATGGCGACAGGCTGCGAAGAAGCCATTGCCTCGATATGTGTTGTATAACCGCACCGTGCAGATCAACTGTTCGTTTGAACGGTGGTTACAAAGACAAGTGGTAAGGGAGACAATCATGTTCCCATATTCTCGTGATAGAATTTTCTGCGAAGGGTTGCTGATAGGATCGCAATATCTGACCATTCAATTGACGATTGAACTGTCCACTTGTCGCGATAGTTTTGCTGTCATTCTCTTCATTGTGCCGTGTCGAAGCTCCCCGGTTGATCCGTCACAGCCGCCATTGCCGCCACTTCCGAAGATGCGGGGGAAAAACAAGGCGTCCTCTGCTAACGCTACATTGGAAACCCAATACAAACGTGGCCAACCATGGAGCAAACCCAGAAATGATCCCTTCACCGCTTCTAAACGAGGCATTGGTGGCGTCAGGAATCTTCCCCTCTACCCAGTGTGTCCAGATTGCCGGCATCACTCTTCTGTGCTGGTTTCGTCTACCCTGACACAATCCGCTCCGTGCTTACTCATTTTGATCCAGTCACGCGTGCGGTTGGTTGATGGTAATTTCGTGTGCTGAGAATGTCGATGACAACTATGGGTCAAGGTCTGTATCGGGTTACTGTGCGATAGGTATATTACCAGTGGTAATGAAGAAAGAGTCGATCAGGCTGGCGAGGCTCGCCTATCAGGCTGGTGGTCGTCCTCGGCAAGCTATTCTTGGTCAACTAGAGTGCTCAGCAAAGGAAGTCATGAAGTCATCCTCTCCACACCTGCTCGAGGCTTCTAAGCGTGTGATTCTGTCGCGGAGTTGCGAACCAACTGCCGCAGCATTTATTCTCACCCCAGATTTGCACGGAAGCTTACTGTGTTTCTGATACAAACTATCGGCTCAGCCGAATGTCAGCATCAACAGTGGGACATGCGAGGATATACCCAGGGGTACTGCGACTGACTTGATGATTTGTGGCGTTGCCGTTTGCCTGATTGAGGATTGCCTGTCAGAATCACTATACCGAAATGCCTGAGCCTGAAGATTGTCGTTTGGTATTACATGCCAAATCGATCACCCTCCCAATGGTATATAAGCGCAGTCTTGCTGTTCATATTGCGCTGTGCTGGAGCTTTGTTTGAGCCCACCATTCCTGCAGAGACTTTCTTTCAGCGATCCAACTCGGCTGCTCTATCCAATGGCTATCAAGGACTCTTTCCTCGCCAACGGGACGACTCATGTCGTCCAAAGTACGCTAAACTACTATCTTGATCCCTCAAAAGGTGGTGCCAAGGAGTTCTACCCCTCCACAGCTGGAGCCCTTCGCAGGAAACACGACCCGCACCCCGTCCAGATCGCAGATATAGGAGGCTTCGAGAAAGAATTCAATCTTGACAAGCAGGGTTTCGCGATCTTGCAGCACGAGACTAAAGAGAAGCAATTCACTGACGATGAGGAAGTGAAGGAGCGTCTCTTTTCCGAAGTCGCCGAGCTCTTGAAGGGAGTGTATGACACATTTAGCTGCAATTCGTGCTCGTATCTTGACCGGATGGCTGATTGAGGACGACAGGACTGGCGCCACCCAAGTGCGTCCATTCTCCCACCTAGTCCGTCGGGATGGATGGGAAGACGCTGAACGTGCCTGGGAGGGGAAGGAGGACCATGAAGTCATTCGCAAAAGGGTTCCGGTACGTTTTGCTCATGTTGATCACTCCTACGTCGGCGCCGAGCAGATCCTCCGTGACAACTTGTTGGATGAAGAGGAACGCGAGCGGCTCAACAAGACGAGGTGGGCAATCATCAATGCCTGGCGCCCGTAAGTATATCTCGACCGCAGTGCACGTCATGGAGAGAGAGAAATGTGAAATTGACTTGTCCAAACAGCATTCGCGAGGTAACACGCGACCCCCTAGCTGTCTGCGATGCACGTACAGTTGAAGACTCGGACCTCGTCGGTGTGATAGCGCATACGCCACCACCAGAGAGCGGCTCGGTCGAAGGGGTCTCGAAGGGGAACAACTTCGAGACCTGGCATGTCAAGGCGAATCCGGCCCACCGCTGGTACTACAAGAGCCACATGACACCGCAGGACGTGCTGCTGCTCAAGATATTTGATTCGAAGAAGGATGGCCGCGCCAGGAGGGTACCGCACACATCCTTCTACTCGGAAGAAGATTACGGGGATCCGAGAACCAGCGTCGAGATCCGGTGCTTGGTGTTTTGGGAGAATGAGAGTCGCGAGTAAAATGAACCACGGGTGAAAATGGGGCTGAGAAGTCGGTAGTCTGGAGTTCTGAGTAAGGACTACAGCGCTAACCACATCATGCATAAACAGTGGTCTTAATGGCTGTGTCGATATTGAATCTCCATCGCCACAACCGATCTGCAGCAGCAGTGAAAAATTTGTTGACTTGCAAAAATTGACCTTAGCTAGGGACTAAAGCTAACGGGGCAGATGAAGTGCGGCCCTAAAACTATTACCCATCACCCAAAATGTGTTGGGCACTGGCGACCAGGAATTACTGAGAACAGCAGCGACGAGATGGACAAGGGCGTCATCACGAGCACATTATTTTGCGACGAGACAAATAGGAAAAAACCTCCTAGCTGACAAACATCGAGATATTGATCAACCAGGCTCCATTTGACAAATTATGTTATCGACTATCGAAGAGAAAAAAGCTGTTGAGTGCAAAACCTGTGTCGGGTTTTCTCCCTGTTTTTCATGGGACCATCTCCGTCGTTACCACGTGCGCTTGTATGTCCAACTTTGCCAGGTAGAAGCTATTAGAGAAATGGAAAAAGAATCCCTCGCAGAAATTTACAACGCAGCAGCAAGACCCATGAGGGCGAGGACACCGAGCTCGACCTTGGGGAGCGAGGCGGCGCCGGTGTAGGTGGCAGGAGCGACAGGGGCGCTGCTAGAGTATGGAGCATAGCCCCAGGTGGAGGTTGACACAGCAGCAACGGGAGTGCTGGTGCTGACGGCGGCCACAGGGGAGACGGAAGTCGAGCTCCAGTCGGCCCAGGTGGAGCAGACAGGAGTAACAGTCACGGTGGCCGTGGCGCAGCTGGTCTTCCAGCCGCTGGTTGAGCAGCTGACAGAGGTGCTGGTGTATGGGCCGCAGGTGGTGGTGGTGCTGATGGGGGAGACAGGCTTGCTCGTAGTGGTGGTGGCGCTCCAATCACCCCAGACTTCGGAGGTGGTGCTTGTCACTGCGACGGGCTTGCTCGACGTCGTGGACGTGGCCCAGTCTTCCCAGCCAGAGCAGAGAGACGAATCCCAGACGGTCAGGGTGCTGGTGGTGCAAGACTCCTTCTTCCAGGAGGTAGCGCAGGAGACAGATGTGGAGACGGTGGAAGTGCAGACAGCCGGCTTGGTGGTCGTCGTGGTAGTTGTGGTAGTGGAGGTTGTCCAGTCGGACCACAGAGCCTCGCAAGCAGTATCCGTGGGGTAGATGGTGACGGGCTTGGTGACGCAAGAATCAGCCTTGCCAGCAACGCTGCAGGAGACAGTCGAGGTGGTGGTGATTGGGCAGTACAAAGTGCTGATCGGCTTCACTGGCTTAGAGGTCGTGGTCGTGGTCGTTGTTGTCGTGGTCGACGAGGTCCAGTCGAGCCATGGGGAGGAAATGGCAGAGCCAAAGGCAGAGCCGACAAGGGCAGCAACGACAGCAGTCTTCATTTTGATTTTTGTTGAACTTCGGTTGAAACGAGTGACAGAAGTTGGTTTAATTGAGCAAGAGCTAGAAACGAATGACTGAAGTGAACTTGACACGCTTGAGGGATAGAAAACAAGAACAGTTGAGGTGGTGGAAGATATAGGCTTCAAGTACTCGAAGCCGTGAGGACGGATCGACCCAAAAGGGGCTGGGGCATCCAGATGGCTGTGGAGAGGCGTGCAGGCGCAGCGCCATTCAGATTTGCCAGCCAGCAAAAGTTCTCATGGCAATTTCACCAAGGAAGTTGGAGTCGGCTATTCCACCGCCCAGAAGGCACCAATCCTTCGTTAGGGGATGGGACCAGCAAACTTTGACTCACAGAAACAACTCAACTTCCGCCATGGGAGAAATCAGCCTTGGAGCCGGAGATGGTCGTGGATCAATTGCGAGTGGATCGCGGGGGCCAGACTCATGAGACCTCAGCGCGTGTTGTGCTATGAAAAGCAAGAGAAGAGTGCCATGATTGGTCGGCTGTATGGGGAGAAGGGAGTTGATTTCCTGGACACGAGGTAGCTAATTCCTACCTGAGGGACCAACAATAGCTGATTTGCCCATTGTCGATTCCAGCGGATACGATCATAACCCATCTTTTTACCTCCCATAGCGGTGAAGCTGCCATTCAGTATGTTCTAAAGGGGCTGGGCCTCCTGTTCCTTTCCTTTTCGACACCGGCAATCTCTGTCCAGGGGGGACTCAGTCCCATTGTTGAATTTAGCATGAGCCAGGCATAGCGAGCACATTTCCCTGCAACCGTGGGGAAATACGCGGCCAAGTGGGGAGGCGAAGAAAAGCGGTTTGTATCGAAGCAAAACAGAGGCGAGAGGGCGAAAGGGCCAAAAAGCAAGAAAAAGTCGAGAAAACGGGTTTAGTAGAGATGAAACATCCACAGGTCTTAAAGGCGTTGCATTGCCAAGAGTGCTATTCTCCGCCACGAGGCGGCTGCAGCCTATACGCGGCGATCCCGAAATGAAGCTCAATTTTGCGGCAGTATCGGGCAGTATCGATAGTGGAATTAAGGTTAAAGGCTAGCATGAACTATATAAAGGGGGCCAATGAGCTTGACAGGCTTGGGGAATTGGCAGCGCTAACTGTAATTGTCCATCACCTGGAACCTCAAACACGCTTCCGGATTTGGTGGGACTTGCCTCATTGTTGCTCTCTCTCACCCCCTGGACATCCATGTGGCCACTGCTGATCTGCCTAGGTACATACGTCAATCCAGGGTTTTTACCATCACGCCAGCCAAAGTCCGGAGTATAACCTGGGCAACGCTTTGACAACGTGCTTTTTCATTCGACGGTAACCGCCCGAGTGGGGATGAATCACGGCTCAAATGAAATATCAACAATGAGCACGTTGACCGTCTCGCCGTTTACCCGTGCCAACTCATTGCATGGGATTTCCATTCTGGCCCTGCCTACAGGTAGGTACGAGGAGGTGTAGAGAAGCACCACGACTTGACTCTACACTGGCATGCCTGCCATAGATTGACGTTTGTTGTCTTTGTTGCCGTTCAGCCAAAAGCTGCTGTTGGGCAGTCATTGTCCAGCGTTAAACTCGGTACACAGTGCGAATGGCCGGCTTGGCAAAGTCTGTTTCACTCGTCACCTTGAACTTTCTTTTCGCATCCGTCTTTCTGCATCAACTTGCGAGCCACTCTGATCGTTATTATCGTTTGACCTCTGGAAAGATTGGAATTTCAGCAATGATATTACATACTACAATATACATAAACCCTCTGCTCGGATTTGGAGCCTTGATCTCCGTACCACAGGCTGATTTTTGGACACTGTTAGAGAGAGTCACATCCATATGTGGCGCAGGCTAGACGAATGACGTGATTTGAGGCTGCCCGTCTGCTGCCTCGTCATTTCCCCCCTGAACACCTTTTGCAGAACAGACTCTTGATGGGATTCCGGTTTCGATGGCTTCCGCCGGCTTATGCTCTACTTATACAGTGATGCGAATGAAAGGCGAGGCCAATCGAGTGGACTGAAATCGAACTCTCAGCTCTGTTTAGACTGGAGGCGTTTCAAAACTCTGTTGATACTCTTTTGACAGCTCTGTCTTCATCAGTGTCCACTGTAAATCTCGCTGGTATTTCACTGACTGAGGTCGCCAGGATGACTGAGGACTACGGCCCGGACGGTCTCGTTGGAGCTACATACCCAGGACCTTGTGTGATCCGTGGTGAATCGAACCGGCCTCAGCGAAATATTCATTTTCTTCCACCTTTAGCCTTTAGGGCAATGATGGAACCGCAGGTACATGCTCTTACTCCGCCTCATATCTTGCTTCCTCAGAGCAATATTGCACCTACTGTTTACAAGCGCGATGTTTGAATATGACGCCGAGACTTGAGATCAGCCCTTCGACCATCCTCCAACCAGACATGCAGTCTTTCTTGTTTCTTCTACCGTCCTTTTATTGCGTATTACCCTCGGAAGTGGCAGTTGCTGTTCATCGGGACAAGCGGGAGGAGGAAAAGATCAGAAAGAGCGCTATTTCGCAAGGCACAAACATTTATTCCAGGTCCCAAAGCTGGACAGATGGAAACGCGAAGAAGCAATATCCATCTCCCCCATACATCCCCGTGCTGTCTGTCAATCACTTTCCGTCCATTGTGATAGGACAGGAGCGCTGTCTGACAGCAGCAGCATCCTTCGCACCACATCCCCGGCCGGTCCCGGCCTCCGGCTTCTCCAACCAGGGGTCCAGCTTCATTTTCTTTTGGTCAACAAGATGAACTTCTCGACCTTGGATGCAAGAACGAAGTCTGAATCCGCAGAAATTTCAATCTGGCTTGGGTTGTGTAGAAACCGATAAGTCCGAGGCCTCGTCATACGGGTGTGGCAAAACATATGGTTGATTGCTGGCTCTTGGTTTCTTGTTCCCCGCTGCAGTGTTCGTCACTATTCACGAAGAATCAAGTTACCGATGCAGTACTCTGGAGCAATGGACGAGAGAGAATCAAGAAGTTACAGACCAGGAGGCAATTTTAAGTCTGCATGGACATAACAATCTAGGAATCACTTCTCTTGTCTCAGTTGCACACAGTCACGGCATCTGCTTTACTGCTAGGAGTCTCCCAGCGGCAAGTGCGCCTTCAATTCTAATGTTACCGCGCTCTCTTAGATCCCGTTCCCAGTCATCGGGTCCCGAGATAGACACAATGTTCTCACTCGGGGGCGCATATCGAGGAAGCTTGTCTCATTCGGCAAAAGCGAGAGCAAAATCCGAACCGTAAGTAATTACGATTTGTTGCGACTTCCTGCGCTGACCGGTATAGCCTGTGTGAAGTGTGTTGGGCTCTTCCGAACTTTTGCGTCGTGCCTCGTCGTGCCCGGAATCCATCGGGGTGGTGAGTCGTCCTGTTTCGCGATTGTTCTTGACTAACTTGGCGCAGCCTGTGGTTGCTGTGTTTTCCAGAGTAAAACTCTGGATTGCACGTTGGTCGGCCTAGGTCATGTCATTCGCACCTAGTCGAAATGGCATTGAGGTGTTTGGGAAACCTTGCCTTACCTCGAGCCAGAAGCCATCAAACTAGCCCTCCAGCTCACCCAGTACTTCGAAAAGGGCAACAGGTGTCGAGCTCCCCCAGGGCAAATACAAGGCGGGCGAGTACCGGAAGATATGGGGCACGTTTGCTTCAAAAGACCAGGCGACTAGACGAAGCATACCAAAAACCCAGAATCTCAACCGGTGGTCCCTGTGAAATGGCTTATCATCGACACATGTGCTTGACGACCTTCGATATCCGCCTCAACACTCTGCTGCTTCGTAAGAAGGGCCAGGGTGCGAAAGGTCGATACAAAAATACCTAGAGATTAGGTTCTCCTTTTTCGCCCAGTATTTCGGAAGAGCCCATCACCTTAGGAGGTGAAGAGGGCTGGATCCTCACGAAACTTTTTGGACGCGGTCATAAGTCCGGACAGGGAATAGAGAGGTCTTTTTTTTTTAAAAAAAAAAAAAAGAAAAAACCCCCCCTCAAGATGGGGAATGAAAATTCCTGCTAATGGGAAAGTTGAAAACATCAAAGCTCGTTTGGGGGATGTGGCATAGTGCAAAAAGCTTGTTGTATGTGGTTTGACGAACACAGAATGGCTCACAAAAGCTTTTACATCCAGCGCTGGTTCAGGCGATGATATCTCAGAGCAGAATGCCCACGCCTCAGCTGCAAAAAGACGCAAACTGAGCTACTGTTAGACGCTATGAGAGAATCATACGGGGCGCATAACGAAGCAAGCGATCACAGAGAGTATTGTAACGCAGCAGCAGCAGGGAGTGTCATCACAGCTCTAGAGGGAAAGTTAACCGGACACGTGATGACACCACGGCATTTAGGAATACTCGGTAGATCGACGATGGCGCAGTTGATCCGCGTTGCCCCCGTTGGCGCCTTCCAGATAAGTGCTAGTTTTACACGTGATGATAAGAAATCGGCATTTGAGCCGACGATGGTGGCATTGGGGATTTGAAAGATTTGACCGTATCGTTACACAACTCCGATCTCTTCTCATTAACTACCTTCCCTCGTGTCACAATTGCCCGTCCGATGGATCAGATCGAAGCAGAATAGATTAGCTTCACATCGACGTCCATTCCGAGCATGAGAGGCGGGAAGCAAGCTGCCAGTTGCTGTCACTGTCTCCAAAATCCGCGCTCGCCGCCTCCATTGTTACCGCATATCTGCCGAGGATGGGCAATCGCCACCCCAGCAGTCGACGAGCCTCGTCTGTACACCGCGAAGATCTAGAGGAGGCCGCTCCGAATTTGCTGGATCGCACTGGATCGCAAGAATTCAGCCTTGTTGAGAGCGTGGCTGTCCAGGAAGTCCCGTCCGAAGACGAAACACCTGATGTAGCTCCAGCGACATGGCCCCGGTCCGTGAGGTATCTGCTCTTCCTCTGTGCCTTCCTGACCAGTCTGAGCTTTGGAGTGACCCAAGTACCGCTGTTATATGTCTTCAGGCTCATGACTTGCGATGCTTACTATAAAGATCACCCTTCTGGAGTTTTGCACGGAGTTGGACGCTCATCCACAACAGGATCGTGGGCCGCGATGCTCTCCGCGGCACTGGCACCATCGGTTTACCCGACGACTGCAAACATTGGAGACGTGGCTGATCGATGTTCTATCCATCCAATTGAAAGCGCGACAGCTTTATCGGTGTCTTTGCTGGGTGCTAGCACCACCGTTTTCGGGACTCTAAACCTCTTTCTGACGGGCAGTTTGATCAAGCGCATCGGAGTCAAGCCAACACTGATGACTCAGGTGTTCTTTCCCGCCCTCAGGTTGGTGATCCAAAATGTGGGCGTCGAAGTCTGGGGCACCGCAGGCATCATCATCATCCAGTGCTCCCAGATTGTCACCATCTTTGGCGGACCCAGCGGGTACCTGCTAGCACTCAATACCTTTATTACGGACGTTGTGGAGCACGAAGGCCGAACAGCAGCTTTGGGTAGACTGACTGGAAGTATGATGTTTGGCTCTGCCTTGGGTTTCTTGTTGGGTGGTGTTGTGGCCGAAGCCTTCGATATCAAGGCCCCCTTCCGTTTGACCTTAATCCTGTTCCTGACTTCCTGCGCTTACGTTTTTGTCTTCCTGCCGCACATCCCACCCCAGCCGAAAGAGGACGATGCGAATTCGATGAAGATCAAGAAGACGAAGGTAACTTCAGCCATTACCAAGTTCTTCGACCCCCTGATGGTGTTTGCGCCTCGAAAATTTATCCTAAGAGACGGTGTTGTCAGAACAGAGTACGGTGCATTCCTGCTTGCCTGGGGGGTATTTCTCGGTATTCTAGCCACAGGTGAGCTTTTCTGGCTGGGGTCTGAAATCCTCGCTAACATTCAGCACAAGGGTACTTGCCAACTTTGCTACAACTTTATTCAACAGACGTCTTTGATTTTGGCACACAGCAGAATGGTGGCCTGATTTTTATGTACTCTATGCTGAGGGGTGTTTTCTTGACATTTGCGTTCCCGAAGTTGATTACCATCGGGAGGAAGTGGACAGTGAAGAAAGAGCAGCATATCACAAATTCCGAAGAGGTTAGACCGTCAGAGCGTGCGTCACTTTTAGCAGATCCCCGAGATCGGGCGGCTGCCGACAATACCCACAGATCAAACGACAAGGAGCTCCAGAAGGAGCAAACCTTTGCTTTCGACTTGACATACACCAGATTTTCGCTGGTTGCTGATGGATTTCTAACATTGCTTTGTTCCTTTGTTCATCGAGGTTGGCAGATGTATCTTGTTGCGATTGTTCTACCTTTCGCTGCTGGAACTGGTTCGGCGGCAAAAGGGACAGTTCTTCAAATGGTGGGAAGTTCTGCTACCAGCGGTGAGAGAACTGACGCTCTCGCCGGAGTATCTCTGGTCGAAAACATGGCTCGACTGTCAACGACGTTTGTGTTTGGTGTCATTTTTGCGGCGTTTGCGAGCATCGGAAGAACCGAGCTTGTTTTCACCTGCAATGCGGTAAGTATTCCTGCTCGACTAAGGCAACTTGTTATAAGAAGCGACGCTGCTGACTTCGCTTCGCAGGCTGTCGCGTTGATAGGGTTCGGAGTATTGCTATTCGCTCGCTTTCCGCCAGAAGGAAGTCGCAGGCTTGACCAAAAAGGTGTCGGAAATCCTGCGTCTTGAGGCCTTACATGCGCAATGATGTCCATATCATTCAACCCACGCTGCAAAAGTATATTTCAACTTCTTATAGGGAGCTCTCTCGCGACCAAGTTCGTTTCAGAGGACAACGAATAGTACATTCCAGTTATCCGAGTTTAAGTCACCAACAGTGTTGCCTTCCCTCTCTGACCTCCAAATGACCTGTTAGAGCTAGTCCGCATCGACTATCAGCTTCGAGAGCGAACGAGCCCAGATCGTTGACCTCCAGTCACAATCTATACCACTACATCACACTCTCTTTCAACTTCACCCACGTGGAATGGGGGAGTGACAAGGCACGACAAGGCACGGATATTATAGCTAAATCTCTCGCGTTACTTCCTCTAGACAACGTCACGGTTGCTTACTACGGAGCTTCGTTACCACTGTTCAAGCTTCGGCCGCTTCACCAGATTATCAGTTTCTTGGAATCACCCAGTGGCTTTGTCCCCGGTATGGTCTGGCCATATAGTCCGGGGTCGGTGAATCTTCGACCGTTGCCTGTCACCAGGCCCCAATGGGAGTCTGTGTGATGCCTCGTTGTTACAGCAAGACACTGCAGCTATCACCCAAGATTCATGGGCTTCGTTGGCTCAAACAACTGACACACCATGCTTGACACTTCTCCAAATATTTATAAGAGAACCGCTGCAATATGTGGACCATCGACCATCTGCTCAACCTTTCCGCGGCTGTCGTTACACACTTGCTCACCCGACATCAAAGCGACTTCGAGACCCTTCAGCAACAGCCAATCTTGCTTCAAATCAGATGGCTCTACGACCCAGCTTAACATGGCTCTCGCCTCCTACTCTCCTAGGTGCCTTTATGTAACTAACCCGAGACTGTCTCCCAAATCGTTCTAACGTTGGATCCTGTAGCCTCTGGGACTTTATCGAGCACCGAATATCGGACAGAAATCGAAAACGGTATCGCGAGTTTCCTTTGCTCTGTCCGGAAAAACGCGCATACAACCCTTCCGATGTCAGCATAATTATCCCGACGGTCGACACAGATCCCACATTCTCCGAATGCCTTGGCGGCTTGCTGAAGAACAAACCGCTTGAGGTCCTCATTATCACCACTGTGGAAGAAGAAGATAGAGTCCGAGCACTTGTGCGCGCTGCGTCCGCGGAGAACAATTCAGGGAGGACGGATCTCCACATCCTTACAGTTCCGAAGGCGAACAAGCGAGACCAACTTTTGCGGGGCATCAATGCGAGCAAAGGAGGTATTATGGCCTTGGTCGACGACGACGCTTTCTGGCAACATGACACTGTTCTGGATCATCTGCTGGCACCTTTTCAGCAGGAAGACATTGGGCTCGTCGGTGGTCCGATAACGTGAGTTGTGCTCGCAAAGATCAAATTTCCTTCCCCCTAGGAACTCAACTGCCAATTTGTTGCAATGCAAGATACTGACATCGAATCCTTTTGGAAGTTCATACCTACCAAGCAAAAGAAAGAACCCGGACATCATCACGCCGTGGGAGGTCGCAGCCATCCGTCTTCGGTCGAAACGACATGGAAGCATGAAGTGTGCATACGAAGCGGACGGTGGGATCAACTTTTGCGTCTCGGGCGTCACAGCACTACTTCGTTCCGAGATCGCGCGTGACCCAGCGTTGCAAAGTGCCTTTGGGAACGACATGTGGATGGGCCAACGACAAAATTCCGGCGACGACAGCTTCATCACGCGCTGGGTCCTGTTCCAGCATCTCTTTAGGCCCCCAGGGCCCAGCGACGATCAGAAGAAACCAAGACAATGGAAACTTGGCATGCAGCTTACGAAGGAGGCGGAAGTCGGCACCTCCATCATGCTCGATTCGCGCTTTGCCGGCCAAATGAAGCGGTGGTACAGGAGCGGTCTTCGTCACCGGCTGATGTGTCTCCTATACGAACCCGGCTTGCGGGGGATGTACAGAACATGCCCTCACATGACGCGGAAGATGGTCGAGGGAATGCTCAACCCGGTGCTGTTGTGGGTGCGCCTATATTGCTTCTGGAGAACATTCCATATCTGTCCGTGGTTCGCGTAAGTTCTCTATCTCAACCAAGGCAGCCCACACGAGGACGCTTTATGTATACTCTCTGAGCTCTCGCCTCTCCTCCTCTCTCCGCCAAGCTATCAGATCATTTCCGTAATAGTTCGTTCGTTCTCGGTATAAAGTTATATGGCTACATCAACGGCCTCGTCGAATTTGCCAACGAATATCCCTTCGCCACGCGCTACCTGTGGGCTGCTGTTCTCGTCGATAGGCTCTACCTCATCTCGGACTGGTACTGTTGGATCACACTAGGAACAGAGGCGTGGATGACGAGGCAGAGAGTGGACGACAATGCAGCTGATGTGGTCGCTCATCGAAGCGGCATCAAGGAAGAATAGAATCTTCATCTCAGTACCAGAGAATCCTTGCTGGTCGGTCCATGCATTTGGGACTGCTCTTCTGGAGACGCTGAACAGTGACGGCTGAAAAGTTATTACTTACACTTACTAGATATAGATGAAAGGAAATTGCGCACATAGGCACCAGTTAATCCGAAGACTGCACTTAAAGGTGCTCATGGTATGCTCTTCCGCCTAGCTCTCGTGCAAGAACTGCCTAAACCAGCCCACAGCAGCGTTTTTGGCCCTCGCCATCACCTCCCTCTCTCCAGCCCTCTCGGGGTCTCCTCTCACAAGACACCCATGCTCCACCCCGGGCAAGTGCAGGTAGTCAAAGTACACGCCCGCTTTGGGGACTGTCTCAAAGGTATGCGCCTTCAGTTCGGCCGTGTAGGTCGGGTCATCTTGTGGGGCCAGAATCTGCACGGGAACCGCGACTTCATCAATGTCCTTCCTCGTCAATAGACTCGGATGACCCGCCGTAATACAATCCACCAATGGGGGGTGGTGTTCCTTTGCCCCGAGACGGAAACAAGCCCATCCGCCGTAGCAGAATCCAATGGCGCCGACCTTCTTATACTTAGCGCGCAGGAGACGAGCGCACTCGAAGATCTCGGGTTCGCGGATCTCGCGAGAGTTTCTGTTCAAGAAACCTACAAAGTCGACCTCGTGGAATCGGCCTTGGAGGATCGGTTCGAAAGGGAGGATCTCGCCGCCGAGGAAGTCTGGTACGTAGACCGTCGCGTTGGATTCTTGAGCGTAATGGTCCGCGAGGAGCCTTGCGTTGGGAAACGTCCAGCCTAATGCGTCGTGGATAAAGAGAACTGCGCGATCCGCGTTGTCACCAGTGATGTATGTGTCGCTTTTGCCGAGCTTGTCCATGCGGCCGGTGGGCGTTCCTTCCCACTGGAAGCTTTTGAGGCAGCACGAAGACATGGCCATCTCTGTACGTACAACTAGGTCTTGATGTGCTGCGGACGTAGCGGACGTAGCGGAGTGTTGGAGGTGGCTTTGGATGTTCGCTCGACAGGTTTCCCTTCAATCGTTCAGCTTTAAATGGAAAGGCCAATCTCGTATTGGCTTGAAACCGTGAGTCACAGTGCCTTCGGAGATAAATTTGATTGGAAAGACTCCTTCGGTTAATGAGTGCTAGCAGGAGTGGAGGCCCCGATATCGTGGGAATATGATATCGAGACGTGTTTCAGCCGAGGACCGGAACGATTATCGGAAGCCCGACATGAATTGGCTCTTTTGACATGTCTGCATGGTACAACCTCGCATCAGCTTGAAGAAGGAACCCGCCGGCCTCGGAGAGACTCGCGAAAGGCTGGGGTGAAAAGTCAGTGGATGGCAATCCCGCTGACGGTGCGCGCTCGCTCGAAGCAAGAGCGGGAACATGCGAAATCCCATATCCCGCATACAGGATCACAGTATAGCTTTCTCAAGCTGAGATTGAGGATCGATGTCCCTACGATTCACGAGCTTCCTCTGTGTTCAACCATATCCGTATTCCTGCATGGCGTACCTTCCGATCTCCCACCCTCGCTGCGACCTGCCGATCTGCTGCACACAATCTTCCAGCCAGGCTGCTTGCGGGCAGCCACCATTCTGACGAAACACAATGAGTGCCATGCGGATGGGGATGACCAGTTGAATGGCATGGGCCCGGGTATCTGATGGCGTCAGATAGAGAGGTATCGTTCGACAGATATCAAGAGCCGCTTCGCGAGCTTGATATACCAGAGAAGAGCTGGAGATTCCAGCGGGCCCGCCGTTCAAGTGTCGGGTTATTTCGTTGGTAGAAAGATCAGGTAGCCGCCTGATGTCACCTTCGGAAATGGCGTTAGGGCTTGTGGATGGTCTTATTTGTGCCTTCCGGAGCGTCTTCCAGAGTTCCAAAAGAATAATCACCGTGGTGTTGTACAAGATGAACGTGTAGCCGATATTAGGTATGTTGTCGAAGACCAACTTGGAAGCAAATCCAAATCTTTGCTGTTCCAACCGTGACAAAGGGACCTCCTCGGCTTGTGGCTTAAGCTCACGCTGCCACTTGATGTTCCAATCCCGCAGACGTTGGAGAAGGGCCGCAAAATCTGTCTCGAGGGTAAGGTTCAGTTTTGCCTTTGCGGATGAATCTCTTGTTTTCAGATAGCGAATGAAATTCAGGTACAAGTCAGGAAGCTCAGAAGCGAGATCGATCAGATACTCTACAGGGGCCTTTGGTGATTGAGAAACTGACCAGGGGGCGTTCTTCCACTCTGCTGAGGCGAGACATGTCGGACATCGGGCGGCGATGGCTGCGATAATCATAGAAAACCGATCGGTTTGGAATGCCCACATGACGTATGGCTCTTTAAAAATCTCGAAGCCATGAAGCCGGAAGAACTCGGTCAGACCCAGCATATGTTGGATCCAGGCAGTGCCGCTTGTTGCAGTTAGATACTTGGTCTTAAGTCAGCCACTTTGCCTTGTTGAAAGGCCAACCTTAATACCCACCTCGCAAATAGTGAGGATCGTGATTGAGAGCACAGTGTGGCCTGGAGACGAGTGCCCAGGTTGAGAAAGACGCTCATTGAGCTCTCTGAGAGATTGGACATAGAGGTTCATTCCTTCTCGTTGTGCCTGTTCCACGTTGACCCTCCGGCCAAAAAAAGATGCAGCAAATGACCTCATGCAACGCCGAGGAAGGCAATCAGACATACGAAGAGCATATAGTCCTGGCCAGCGTTCGTCAACAAACGTATTGCCGTCCCGCAGCTCTTGGTTCATATAAGCGAAGTATAGATCATCCCCCAAAATACTCAGGCTAGGCCTCGGTCCTGGCATGTGCGATGATGCTTTCTTTCGAGGATGAGCTCTTTTACGCAGTCGGTATGCTGGATTGTCGTTGATGAACTCGAGACTGGTTGGATAACCTGCGCATTCGAGTTGGCTTTTCTGACACCGGACACATTTCGGTTTGGTCTCGTCTGGGTGGAAATTAGCACACGGTGCGACAAACTGACTAAAGGCGCTGGTGGGCACCTCACCACACTTCAGACGTCTCTGGCGGCAGGTAAAGCATGCCTTTGACCGCCTGCACACCCTGTTAGAAGTACCGTCCAAAACTAAATATTATTTGAAAGAGGCCGGCTAACTCACCCACCACGGCCAACCATAGTTGCTAATTCATGAAGGAGAGGAAACTCAAAGAAAAGGACGTTGCAATGTTGCACCTTCGAGAAATCAAGTCGCAAATCTTATACAAAAGTGCGGAAAGGGATGAGAGGAAATGCCGTCAGCACTGGCATTGTTCTCCGGTGGTCATGTCCGCAAACGAGGCATTGCTAGAGTCCTGGTGGCCTGAAAGGGGAACAGATCGTCTGTCTAGCTGAAAGTAAGACAGCGAGACAGTAATCTGGTCGGCGGGCAGGAAGGCCGGAGAGAAGTGCTTGGATAGCAACAGCTGGGACTGTTCGCAGTCATGAAGAGAGTGACAGCATGGGAAAAGGGCAAAGAGGGTGAATGTTGAGGCTGAGCATCACGAAAGTTGGTGGCTTGGATGTTTCGCTATTATGCAGAGCCTTCGAGGCTGCAAGCTGGAAACTGTCGGTTCAGATGGCCGGCGACATTGCAACAAACACACCAATCGAAAAATAGACCGCTTTAGGAAGGTGGGGCAAGTGGGGGTGAGATCCACAATGTCAAACTGGTCTATTTGATCGATTTGATCTATTGGGTTCCTCCATCAAACCATCGTCATGGCGACAACACAGGCACGAACGTACAACCACCTCATCCAGGGCTAGCAGAGAACAGCCTCGCCGCCTGAATCTATTCCAATTCAGGAGGATTCCTCGAGTGGCCTTACATCGTCTCGCCGGCCATGCTGGAGACAGTACTTGTATCCCTTTCTAGGGGTATAAGAACGCCAAAGGCCACGCCCTTAAGTATTGATCAAACACAACCAGCTCACGCAACGATTGCAAGTCTATTGCCATCTCTTAATCGTTATGGCATCCCTGCGCTTTATAACTGCCTTTGCCGCTATCCTAGCTTTCGATGTGGCACATTGTGCACCCGTCGCCGAGCCACTCCTCTCCGAAATGTCCAACCCATCCTACGGTCCCATTCCGGGCCAGTCTTCCTTGTACAGCACATACAGCGGCAAAGCAGCTCCGTTCCCCGGCAATATCACAGGTGCCATCCTCAACATCACCACTGGACCTCCTGGCGAAGACGACCTCCTCTTCCAAAACCTTCTGTCTGCCGAATGGGTCATCTTTTCCTTCTACCAACAAGGGGTTGAACGCTTCAACAGCACTGCCTTCATCGAAGCCGGCTTCCCCAATACCACGTACGAGCGCGTTCAGCAGATCCGTGACAACGAAGCCGGCCATCTGCGCATCTTCCAGGATCAGATCTCCACCACCTCGGTCAAGCCGGGACCATGCCAGTACCAATATCCCTACGAGGATCCAGTCAGCTACATTGCTCTTCAGGCAGTTATTGAAATCTCCAGCATGGCTTTCCTCACAGGTCTAGAATTGCAAGCCAAACTCACACTGTCCAAGGCGGCCCTTGTTGCCATAGCCGCCACGGAATCACGCCACAATACATGGTCGCTCATTGACAATTGGAAATCCACTCCGTTTGCCGGTCCAGCAGATACTGTCTACCCGTATGCGAACCAAATTCTAGACTTCACGAATGAATGGATTGTCAACGGTTCCTGCCCGCCGGAGAACCCTATCTATCCTACGCCACGCCAGAATCTTCCACAAATGGCACCGGCCGCCAACACAACGTCGATTACACCTGGTTCGACTCTGGTGTTCAATTTCACCCAGCCGGATAACCAACCTCATTTCACCCCGCAGAAGGACTACTATGCCGTCTTCTTCCACGGCGTCTACAATATATCTGTCGCCTTTAACACAACGACCTACAGCGCCGTAATCCCGCCACAAATCGAACCGCTGGGGATCATCGTTGCCGTTATTGCCGACGAGCAAGGTGCACCCACTAAGGAGAGTGTCCTTGCCGGAACGTTAATTCTGCCTGAGAGTCCTGCCGCCCTCAACAGCGCATATGCTTGAAATCGGGAGAAAATGGCGGATACCATACAGCCAGTATCCTGAGACTGAGACGGAAAGATAAGGTATTGGACGTTTGTCAGAGAGGGTTGAGATACGCATCTCTAGCCTGGGTACCGGCCGGGTCATCTAGATTCATCTGCTTTCCTCAATTGTATTGATATAGATCATAGACAGTCAGGTAACTATTCCGGCGTCAAGGTCAATTCATATCCTTCGCCCGCACTCAGACTACGGTTAAAGATATCGCCGTTCGGTTTGTTAGTTGTCGAAAGTTATCAAAGACCTAGAAAAGAGCAATCCATGAATCTACATTTCGGAGCAGATCTCTTTCAAGGGGTTATCAATTCAGTTATTCTCTACAGAACTCGATCAGTCATCGTCCAGATTCTCAAAATCTTTCCTTACTTCTTCCCCAAGACGCGGGTCGGTGAGTACGCGTAACGCTAGCATCGCCATCCCTTTGGCGCATTGGATTGCCGCCCTGTGCGCCTCGTCTGTTGCCGCGTGTCCGGCGAAGCGCGGATGGTGCATTGAGACGTTCGCGTCCGTGGGGATGGGGAATGCGCCGTGGAAGCTCGGGACCTCGAACGAGACGTTTCCTGCGAGGCGCATGGGTTAAGGTTAACCGGCCGGACTGACTGCGGTTTGCTTTTTGGCGCTGTGATGGTGATGTGATGGAATGAAGGAAGGGAAGGTGGCTTCTTTTGCTTACCCATGTCTGTTGACGCCGTGTACGACTCGTCGTTCTTGACCATGATCTTCTCCCCCAGCGTCGCCATGTCCTCAGCGTATTGCCGGCACAGGGGCAGATTCACCCGGAGATTCTTATATGAAGGGGCCCTTAGGACCGAAAGCCGCGTTGTCAGCCAAAGGACCCCATGCAAAACCCACGAAATCATCATCACAGCGTGCCAAGGGGCTGGAGGGGGGAGATGTAGAGTCAAAACTCACGGAATATAACTGATGTCACAGCCCGTGGCCGCCGCCGCTGCCTCGCAACACTTCTTGACCTTGTCCAGCAAACTGTCTGCCCTCACCATGTTCGGACCCCTCACGTACCAATTCATCCTGGTGTAGGCGGTGATGACATTGGGCACCGTCCCGCCATCCTCAATGACGCCGTGCACGCGCTCGTCCGGTCTCATCTGCTGCCGCAGCATCGACACATTGTTGTACGCCGCCACGGCCGCGTCGAGGGCATTGACGCCGTTCCACGGTTCGCCGGCGGCGTGGGCCTGTCTGCCACGGTACTCGACCCGGAATTTATGGGAGGCGATGAATTTCAACCCCGCCAGCCCCGTGTAGCCGCCGCGGAACTGGTGAGCCGTGACCGGGTGCGCCATAATCGCAGCCACGATGTCTTTCTCGCGAAAGGCGCCGGCATCGATCAGTTTGCACTTTCCCCCGCCACCTTCCTCAGCGGGCGTGCCGAGAAGGCGTATCCGTCCCGGTAAGCCGGAGGATTTCAAAGCTGCTGCGGCGCCGAGGAATGCTGCGATCGAGGACGTGGCGATCAGATTGTGGCCGCAGGCGTGGCCGATGTTGGGCAACGCATCGTACTCTGCGCAGATGATGACCAAGGGCCCGCCATTGCCGACTTCACACGTGAAGGACGTTTCGAGACCGTACGTCTGCTCGGTGACAGAGAAGCCTTCCTTTTGCAGGAAGGTAGAGATGGTCTTCACGGCGAAGAATTCCTTATACGCCAGTTCGGGGTTGCCGTGAATTGTCCGGTTGAGCTCTCTCAGTTGTGGATCAGCGGCATCAATTGCATTAAGAGAGATCTTCAAGTACTGTGCCACATCCGCGTTAGACGCAGACGTGGACGACGCAGGCCCAGCCATGGCAAATACGCCGAGAGATAGGATGGTCGCAGGAAGATGTGTATTGGTCAGGACCGGCTACTATTTCTGAGAAGTGAAGAAGACGGAGGAGCGAGCAAGAGCTGGGGATCGGAGCCTTTTCTTTTCCACTTTGTTGGCCCAATTCTTCTTACCTAAGAAAAGCCCAGGTGACGACAAAGTTTGAGAGAGTGAGACAGAAGAGATAAAATGGAATCTGGAAGAGAGCATTCAGCTGCAAGCTGCTAGCTGAGTTACAAACTCTAACTCGGAGATTTCACGAAATAATATGGCATGACATTTGGTGGCATGGCTTCTTCGCAACCTCGTTGGCCAGCGATTTACTGTTTCTGCCCATCCACTTACAATCCAGTCGACTTTAGGCTGCCATTCGACACTGGAAACGCCGTCTGCGACGCTGTCGCCGCTCTCGAGCTCTGGTCCAGCGCTCTTATGAACTCTCTTATCCGCCCGAAACATAGTTGAAGTGGGCTAAAAGCCGTATCAGCGTGATGTTTCTCGGTAACTCAACGTCCCACCATAGTGCATGGTGTATTTCCAAATACCGCCCACGATACCGCGAACGTCGCTGGACTATCTCGCGTCGCCTCCGTATCACGCCCAAATCGGTGGGAGGTTTGCTCGGAGCCAAGCTTCCAACATCCGAAAGGAATAGATGCATCTGCAAGCTCCTTAACAAAGCATTCGGTCCCCAAAAGTGCGGCATCATGAGCCAGACTTGCCTGCTGTGGCCGCTCCGCGGTCACAAACGACGTTAAGGTCTAGTGGTGATAAGACTTGGTGATCATCTAAAAAGTCTGAGACTGTCTCGGAAGAATGAGCTCAATGAGTAGGGTCATCCTGATCGGTCGGTCATAACGTCCCCCTGCTGTGCTACAACTCAAGGGGCATCAGTCAGTGATGGCCAACGGGTGTTTGGCCGACCAGTCTGGGTCAATTTGGTTCTTTCACAGCCTTCAGCCATAGACTATGTATGGACGCCTCGACTCAGTGGTTGTCCACGAATAAGCCGTCAGTTTTGCCATCAACAAAACAAGCCCGTGTTCGAGGGCCAAGATACCTTTACCTGAGCAAAGTGCGAACCTCAGGCTCCACCATCAGCTGGCAACTAAATTCGAAGAATAACTTCAGTCTGACCGCCAAAAACATGAGTACATACCCTAGTGGAATGGTTTCGATACCGACCAAGTGGCCGTCGTTCTAATAAACTTATCCTGTACGATCTAGACACAGGACCACGGTTGCCAAAGACATGATTAACCTCCACTGCAAGTGAAGGTCGCTTTCCTCTCGACCGCGAAGACCTCCCAGCGGTGGCCGAGGATACACGCTTTGTCAGACAGCGCCATTTTTGCTTCCGGTGAGCTGGCCGTTGATAGCCTCGGATGGCATCTCGAGGCCGTTGGGCTGTAGTGCGGGGTACGAAACCCTGTTGAACCAGAGATATGTATAAGTTGGAGGCTGCAACAATGGGTGTTGAAGGTCAAAGATTTTGGCCGCCATAATCAAACGTCTCATCCAAGGAACTTCCTAGCAGAATCATTCGCGCACCTGGCCGGCATAACCTCCGAGAGACGCAGCAGAGGATGCCTCAACAATATCTTCTGTGGGTCAACTCACGACCCTTGCCCGATTCTGGGATTGACGATGATTTGTGGGAGAAATGGTATATCGAAGAACACGTTCGTATCCTTAATCGTCCCTTCTCGGAGACGTCGAGCTCATCAATGCCAGGTCCCGGACTTAGTGAACAGCAAGGCCACCGTGCGCGCCGCCATGTATCGCGAAAACTTCGACTTCTCTCTTGAACCAAAAGAGAGGCGTCCACGCAAGTACTTGGTTCTATACCAAAGCAACTTTGAAGAGCCGCTGAGTTCCAAAGAGTATTTGAATGACGTGCGGCACTCCAGCGTTATGTGGCCTGACAAAAAGGCGACATCTGAGGTTGGCGATTTTAACGCAAGGAATTATAAGTTGGTGCAAGACTATGATCCCGATGGAAAGGGGGAATGTGAGTATCTGGGGCCATGGCTAACGACGTATCATCGGGGAAAAGATTAAGAGTTGCTGATGCCATTTCAGCCGCCCCCCCATTTTGCCTGACCGTCGAGATGGACCCGGTGGATGAGGCCGACTTTGACAAATGGTATCGAGAAGAACATCTCGATATGCTGCACAAATTACCTGGGTATCGTCGATCGTCCAGGTATGTAATTGGGCCAAAGCTGCCTATCACTGAAGGCGAGCCTCCGAAGTATCTGGCCATCCACGAAATGGATGATTTGCGAGGATTCATAGGGAAGGAGGCTGATGCCGCCAACGACACACCCTGGACAGTGAAGCATATTAAGGACAGCAAGGTATTCATTCCGAGAGGCTGGGAACTGATTTATTCGCAAGGGTATTGATCATGTACGCTGAGGGGATTGGGAGTACGAGTCCAACGTGCCGGATCCGTCTTCTGGAAACCCCGCGATGTATTGGTATTCTGCTGCAACCGGCTGCTTCACATCCGGGCGCGGGATTCATGACCCGGACGCCATGATGGACCCCATCCAGGGCCAGATGCTCTCATTTGCGGGTGGATAGCCCATGTGCAGCATTTTATCATAGAATCGAGCTTCTTTTGGGCGGCCGTAGCTCATGAGAAGAATATTGTCCTCGATAGGAACGAGTCCATCGTGTGTGCCGTTGATCAGGAGCAGTCTGCAGCAGGGTCCATTGACGATGCCGCTTTCAACAAGACTGAAGTCCTTTTGAGCCTTCTCCTTCATCTCTTCCCAGTCCTTGTATCCATACTTTGCGACATACGCTTCGCTGAGGATAAAAGGATATTCGTGGTCGTCGACGTGATCAAGCCATTCTCGACTCAGGAACAGATGGCACCCGGCGCCTTGAGCAACGACGCCAGCAAGCCTTGAGTGGTGAGTGTGTGCGAGCCGAATGGCACAGTACCCTCCAGCTGAAAGACCCCAAGCCATGCATTTTTGCATGTTGAAGTAGGGTTGCTCGTCCATCCAGTCAAGTATCGCCGTGAACAATCGTTCATGAGACTTCGGATCACGACGCGCCGCAGGGCAATCAGCTGTTCCTGGGATTTCGGTGATCACGCAGCCCCAACCACGGGCAAGAAACTCATCAGTCCGCTGTGACGGTCAGTCTGGGAGGTGGATCGGTGGTGCTGGTTGCCTTACCTCGGTGTTGTCTGGTCGATGTCCATCCAATCCTGTGATCAAGAGCACTACCGGGCACTTCTTCTCACTATTCGCTCCTCGGGGCAGCCTCACAAACAGCGGTATTTCCTTGCCATCGTCACCTTCAGCAGCCGTATGTGGGATCTTGACCTCTTTCATGGGAGCGTCCCACAAGTCGGCACCTCTTAAGTATACTTGTTTTTGAAGCTCAAACGCCTTCCTCTTCAATCCAGAGCCGGCCTCGAGTGAAGGAAATCGAGATATCCGATATACACACGCGGCGCGCTTGAACAGAGCGGCAGCTTTCGCGCGGTCCGAGGCTTGGGTTGACATGGCTGCATCGGTGAGTTTTTCGGCGGTCGGCATAAAATACTCGGTGTATTTATCTGTGTAGGCATCGTTCACGTTATCTCTGATCAGGCTCTCGAAGATGGGTTGAAAGTCTTCGAGCTTGCCGTCGTGGAAAGGGTACACCCCCAGGGAGCAGGGAAACTTCCATTTCGTTTCCCACAGAGCTTTGACGCCGTCCAAATGCGGGTACCGCTCGTAAAACTTGTCACCGAGGATCCAATTGACCATTTTGCTGAGCTTCAGGAGAATGTGTTGAGCAGAAAGGCCAGGGAAGCTGAAAATCGAAGAGACGGTGAGGAACGCGTCCTAGTACCCCTTGAGAGGTGCCATGCCCAGTAGGGAGCTTCGAGCTTCTGCCTCGTAGGCTGGCATCGGTCCATTGACCACCGAACCCCGCGGGCGTCCAGTCCCTTACCTCAAGCCCAGCTTGCCCAGCCTTACCTTGTACCATGTTGTAGACGAACTCGATCAGTCGAGATGGGTGCCGGATGCAGGAAGAAAAAGGGAGGAGATGTGGTTAGAGATCAAGCAATCCTGCAGCGCCAACACCTGCCAGAACTCCAGATCCGATGATCCTTCCGATCAATGCCAACTGCGTCCTGAACCACTGTTTCTGCTCCACATGTAAGCTCCCAATCCCTGAAGCAACACTTAGGGGCCATGCAACTAAACTTGCTACGTACGGCCTGATCTCCTCGTTAGTACCGAAGATGGTCAGCGTTTGATGTTCACCCGCATTTGTGACCTTGCATCTTTCAAGAACAAATGGTATACTTGAGGACAGGTCTTCAGCCGTAACTATGATGCGCGTGCGACACAGTTCCATTTGTTGGTTCCAGGCAGACTCATCTGAAAATGGCTTAATGAGCTCAAGGATCCTCAACCATGCTTGATTGAGCAGCATCCTTGTAGCAGAGTAATTGAGCCACACAGCAGCGTAGGCAATACTCGGGTAACTGTAGATGACGGAGGAGAAGAGGTAGCCCGCAGGTAAAGACGCATCTGTCCGTACCAGATGCCGTCGTGGATGCCAGGCACTCGGGATCTGAATTGCCCATTCCTGCAATGCTTTGTCTAAGCCTGCTGCTTCGCTCTTCAGTTTCTGGGCGCTTTGGAATAGCTCACAACTGATAGTTTTCAGCTGAGAATTATTCTGTTGAAGAGCCATGAGTTGATTACGAAGATTCGCAACTCGCACCAGGATGCGATCGTATTCGAGGTCTTGCCCACGCTCGCCAAAAAATCGACCGTCCTCGAGCCATGGCGGCACTGCAAGGTACCGTAGAATGGCAGAACGGATGATGCCTCGCCGAGAATGCTTGACGATATCAGTTGCCGGCTGCCTGTCTCTTGGATGGCGGTGTCTCCAGATTTTCAAAATCGAAATCGCACCGTCATGATGCGTAAAACTGTTGAATGCAGCATTCGACAGGGATTCTTCTGCGTTATACGCCGAGTCTTCATAGCGACTCATGAGGAAAACGGCAAGCAAGGCGGCATCGATATTTGTTTCGACTACGGTTGGCATCATGAGCTGGGCATGCCGCAGTAATTCATCATACCTTGCGCATGCTTCCATTGCCGCCACTGGATTTTGCTGCGTCCGCGAAAAGATAGCGAGAGCAATGGACGAGATGGCCAGATCAATCATTGGAATAGTCGCTCCCGAGACCCATTCAACAATGCTGTCTGCAACGCTTCCTGGAAGGCACTGCACATCCGCTGGCATTCGTAAATGATAGTTCAGATAATAAATGACAGCTCGAGTTTGCAGGTCGAAGTAAATGGCTGGGGTCAGGCTTGAGCGAGGTCCTCTCGGTCGCTTTGTTTCCCCACTGGCATAGCGATTTTCGATGTGGATCAGAAAGTTGGCCTTTTGGGCAGTCGTTCTGATGCATATTCGGCGAGACTTAATACATCTCTGACATGTCGGTTGTGTCTCATCGCACTTTGGGATATGAAATGTCAGCTGCTGTCCATATAATGACGAGAGGCTTCTTGCCTTGATGCGTCGTATTTTACAGGTGTGACAGCCACCATTGGGATATGTCATAGCACTCGATTCAAGCTTGTTGCTTTTTCGAAGAGGTTGGATCAGTTTCGGCATGTTCGAAGAGGCCCGACCGACAGCGTTCCCGTGTCGAGGGTGGCGAGGCATAGGAGGTGGTCTTGGATAGACTTGGTGCTGGACTCTGCTTGATCGATCTTTCGTAGATCGTCTCTAGGAGAAAACCATGTAGTGCTGTACATGTATGTGGCACTTAACTCCATCGCTTCATCTCCGTCAACAAAATACAAGAGAGCGAATCGTGCACTCCCGGGTTCTCGCTAACAGAGCTTAAGTCCGTATTTTACATATTTGTCCGAAAAAGGACTAGTTGGCTATGCTGTGAAAGTGGAGGATATTTGATGTGTAGTGGATGGTGAGAGATGGCCAGCATTTTAACACCATAGTTTGAGGGCGTCATAAAGGACGAATGATTCACGGATATGATGTTCACACCTGCTGGGGAGATTATCAAGCCGACTGACTGCATATGTAAGAGCCGATGGCCATCTGCAAAACTCCTATCTTCATCAACCATCCAACTACCAGGTGTGAAGAGGTCCATTCAAGATCGAGGCGCAAGGACAGTCTCATCCCTGTATTGCTTCAAGAACGGGATTGGGAGCGAGCCACCTGTACCTCTTTGCTCAACGGCAGCGTTGTTCTTCGCCTCAAGTGCTGCTGGCTGGACAATAAACCTCGACACGATGATGACATGACTCGTTCTCCATTTCTGAAATGCATCGATGACGCTTTGGAAGGCATCGTGCAATTCCCTGTCTCCTGAACGTCGGTCTATGATGTCCCGCAACGAAGGCATTAGTTCAACCGCTTCGAGAAAATCCCGGTGTTTCTTTGGCATATAGGCCCTCATCTCAATTAGCATTTTGGATTCATGGCGAATGCCAAACATGTGGTCGAGAAATTGAAAGAGAGAACTCTGTCCTGCATTGCCCCCAACGCACTTGACGACGACCCGAGATCCGTTGCTTCGTTTGAAGGCCACGCCGTTTGGCAGTCCCTTTTCTTCCGCACCCACGCTGCCTCCGAGCATTGGGCGTATCTGTTGGAAGAAGAACATTGGATCACAATTCTGGTGCAAGACCGCAAGGGTTTTTCCCATGGTCGTAAGTGTCGCTGCGCAAATATCCAATATTGGCACCAGATTTGGTGACTCGCCCTTTTGGTCTGCAGCTATTGTATCGAGCATCAACTTGATGAGCTTGCCGCCCTGGGCCTCGACCATTACAGGCACCAGATAGAAGGCATCTTCGTCCCGCGTGCATGTGAAAGAAGCAAATGACTTGATGTCCTGAAAATCGGCTAGAGCCTGTGACGACGGCAAGCGGATATCTTGATCTCTTTGCACCCAGTTCCACAGGCAGAGCCCGGCATAGCTCAAAACGGGTTTCGTCCCAAGATGGTCACAGACTTCAAGGAAGGGCTCACCGAGACTCGCTGGGATGACTGCTGAGGGCTTGCTTTTCTCTTGCCAGAGGTAGGCTTGGGTCAAAAACCCAAGGACAACGTATGCACGTTGCCAGTGTTCGGGAGTCGTGAGATGGTCCGTGGTGAGGATCTCGAGATTGTCCACCTGCATCTGGAGGGTCTTGGACTCGAGCAGATGTGGTAGATCAGAGATTAGTTTGCACCAGGGTGTATAGCACCCCGGTAGCTCCGTGGGCCTCACAGTCACAAACCCTGATAGGAAATCAACATCGTAGTCTCTTGGATCTGGCAGCGCAAGAAGGGAGCGCATTGTAGCTGGATTCTAGCAGGGAAAGAAATGAGATTCCGAGCCTTAGGAGACAGATTTATGAGCTATTGGAGTGCTTTCGCCGCAGTATATGTTCTTCCAGTCGGATCTGCTTTCGCAACGTTACGCCCTTCCTGTGACAATGCTAGTTTGGCATGCTTTCATTGGTCAGATGTCAGGGGTTTGTCTCTACCTTTTAGCGTCTTTCACAGCGTTATGGCCCTCTTTGGGGTCTTCATTGTCCGGTTCCAGTGCCATGTGAGACGAGCAATAGTCTCCATACTGATGGGACTTGAGGTGAGACTAACGGGTTTGTCGGGTTTGGAAGGAGGATGAGCCGGTGATCGACGAGAAATTCATCTCTCAGAAATGCGTGGGGTCGATATATGTGAGAATCAGGTGCAGCGGATTACCTTACCAGCTATAGGATCAAACCAGAGGTATTTCTTAGCATGGTCTGAAAGTTGTAAGGACTCCATGACGGGAAATTGAAGTCGACAACTTGGACAACCTTTACCATATGAAAAAGTCTTGGGCTTCCGGCCTCCGGCGAGGCTGGCTAAGCGCAAGGCCAGTAGGCCGCCAAGAATTTAACATCACGTGTGACCGTGATCCCTCGCCCTTTTGGCGGAGTCGCGGGCAGTGCGTAGCATGCTCCGTGTCTTCTTGACAATTAACCAAGTTCATTTTTCAACTGCACCGTACTCATCACGGTGATCAGTCCTACTTGATCGCTCTACCTTAATCGGCCGCATTGGCTTCGACGACAAAATGACCTCGCGCGAACCGTCTGCGGCACCTTCAGAAGGCGACACCATCGACGATCAGATGGAAGATACGAAACCCGACCCGGCAGAACTTGAACAAGAGCAAGTTGAAACTACGGAAGAACCGTCTGCTGGCCCAACCCCTACGAGCGGTCGTCGAGCACCCCGAAAGACCGTATCGGCAAGAAAAGCAAGACCGCGAAAAGGTGCAATTTGGATACATGAACAACCTCACGAAGGCACTGAGGATGAGGGCAGCGTCATCTCAGCGTCTCTTTCACGAACCAAAAAGTCAGAGGCCACTCCTGAGTCAGAGCCTAGAACAATAGGAACCGCGGTGGGCACGAGAAGACAGGCTAATGGCACTGTTGGCTCCGTTTACTCCGGGAGCAAGGTTAGGCACATCAAGAAGCCCGATGGCACACCTCTATGGCGCAAGGAAATCCAGTACGAATTCTTGCGCATCGTCATCGAGGACACGAAGCCAGTGTTCACGCGAATCAGTGATGGAAAACCCGGCTGCTTCTTCTCGGACATATACGTGGACTGCATGGCAAGGAGTTCCAAGACAAGCAAGATCCTCAAAGACAGGCTTCAGGTCGATCGACAGGCTGCCCACAACATGGCCATGATATGTCTGCTTGTCAACGTCGGCCGCATGAACACGACATTGAACTTTTTCCCGGAGATGAGAGCGCAGCTAAGAACCTACCATTCCATCCCTTCTCTGCAAGCGTACAAAAGCCAAAGAGACTATAAATCACTGCAAGATGCCCCAAGGCTGAAGAGCATCCTCAAGGGCGCAAGCGAAGACACCGATGAACCTCGGACACTAGCCACAATCAAGGCTAAACCAGTTCCAAGGACGAATCCGGTCAATTTGATATTCGTACTCTCCCAGTTTGCGCCCAAGATCAGCGAGATGCACTTCACTGATAAAGTCGATTTCTTTGATCTTGCCATGCGACCTACCATCTCATCCGGGACCAGGGCCAGAGCGTTTTTGTGGCTCATGTGGTGGTATCTCGAGTCAAACTTCACAAAGGAAGACGCGCTGCGGAATCCGTACGGTCCTGGAGAGTATAGAGAAGATGATGACCCCGACGATCCCGACACAATACCACAACTGGTTCCCAAATTGACTACCATCACAGAAGCAGAGGGTGATGCTGAGAATGTCGACCCGCCGGAAGAGATTGCCTTTGCAGAGAAAATGACCCAGGAAAGGCGGAGGATCATGCTGGAGAACGCCAGTGAACCACCATTGGTTATGGCTGACCCAGGAAATCCGGACCATAAAGCCCTGAAACGTCTCAAGAGGAGCGCCGCATACGGGGACGAGGACTCCCTTATCTCTGACGCAGATTCACGGGCAAGTCCCGGTGTAGGACGTTCCCCAGCGCCTGAATCTCTTGGTCACCATGGACACGTTATGAGTAGCGCCCTCGGGGGTCAAGCGGACAGCCTGGATGATGATTGGGAAGCAGTCGACCCGCACCCTGGCCGCGGACGATACAAGCGTGTCAGGGGGAAGAACACACCGACACGAAGCCGAGGGGGTGGTAGACAGAGCGATGGGCCCAGGAGCTTGCTCAAGTCAGGTCGCAATGCTGGGACTCCAGACACAACGGATCGGTACCGAGGGACCCCTCAACCCCTACATCCCGGTGGTGGTAATCATCCAGTCATCGGTCAGTTTGGCGCACACCGAGGAAAGAACGAGATTGACGTGCTAGGGGGCCGACACGAGCCGGCAGCCGGGGGGACAGGTACCAAGGCCAAGCCCAGGACAGGGTATCAGCGCGAACTAGAGGAACATAGACAGCGTCGAGTCGAATGGTCGCTCCGGAGACGTCGTAGGCAGGCCCTCAAAGAAGCACGGCAGTTGAGGGAAGGGTGCAGATGGCTGCTAAAGGTGGCTAGACGAGTCAGCGAGCTCCCTCCAACGTATGACAGCGAAGAGGAAGAAGAGACAGGAGGAACTGGTTTTGCCGGTCTTCTTGGCCACAGATGGCATGGCGAGAGCGTTGATCCCGAAGCTGGACCTGTTCCTGTTGGCTACGAACCCGACGATTACGGTGAGGAAGTGGAAACATGGACCAAGGTATTGAGGAAGACAGGGAGGCGCCTGGAAGTCTGGGGTGGAGACCGTGATCTGGCGGTATATCATGCCCGACTCCAACGCCACCAGGCCGCCGAAGACAATCTCACTGCAGCTCCCTCTCGACCACTCACAAATGGGACACGCAAGAAGCGACGTGCGCGTGAGTCTCCGGCACGCCAGTCCGTCCCTGAGGTGGTGAGGTCCGCGCAGTCTACGCGAGCTAGAGGGAGAGATCTCAATGATGAAATCACCCAAGATCTGCTTGCTGAGCGAAGTGACGAAGATATGGACGATGACGACTCCCATGCCGACGGGGACGGGGAGGGAGAAGAAAGTGACTTGGATATGGATTGATTGGCCCTGCTGTCAGCGCGTCCTTCGCAGCCCCCTGCGGCTTTCGGGGGACAGCCAGGTGAAGTGTGTTTCTGGCCACCAACTTCGCCTGGGAACTTTCGGTGGTCGCCTGTGTATTACTAGTATGCGGCTGAAAGCGACATTCTTTAGACGACGATGTGATGTTGCAGAATGCCTCCAGACCACAGCGAGAAACTGTAACGACGAAACCCAGCTCGCTAGATGTCTACCAGTATGCAAAATCTCAAAGAGTTCGGCCGTAGACGCCGTGACTAGTTGCTCTGGGGGCTGAATCTCTCTGCTCTAGAGGCTCAGCGTGGCAAAAACCATCCTTCGGGACCTTGAAGATCCGAATTAACAGGCAGCAACGAACGCGGTCATGCGCCTGCATATTCAACTGTCCTCAGCCATCTATCAAAACATCCAATACAGCATCACAAGAGACCTCTGGCCCTATTCTGCCATGGCAAATTGGTTTGCTGGCCATGATTATGAATCCCGTGTGGTGCAAGACCATATTTCCTTGGCTCAAGGAGGCTGTGCCCGATTGCCCAGCCCCGAGTCTGCATTACTAATTCAACTTCGAGGTTAACTTTCACCTTCCACAATACAATAGAGGGAACTCATTCTGACCTTCTGGGGGCCTCGAACGTTGCCTGATTGCTAATGACAGTGTTTTCGTGGGCCTTTTTCTTTTTTTTGAATTTTTTTTTTTTTTGAAGGAATCATCGGTCCTAGGCGTGTGCGGTTTGATCGATCAGAGTGTGTGTCCAGGCTCGATACGACGAAATGGGCGGGAACCAGCCAGCAAAGGGGTCAGTCTCTGAGGAATCAACATCGAATTTGCAATCCCAAAGTGCGACTGTCAATAAGACCGCTCAATGGAAATGTCGGACTATTGGTGGCTTTTTACGCATAGCCCAATGCACAGTTACCATCGAGTAGGAACAGTTACTAATGCGCAGACTTGTCACTTGCCCACGACACCATACCCGCTGCGTGTTGTGTCGTTTGATCTGTGGGCATCAAGATTTCACAGGACACACTGCAAGCTATAGACTTTTCATCTAGTCTAACAAGATACCAGTACCAATCGCCGTCGGTCACCTAGTTGCTATTCTCGCCTGACGCCTCGACCCTGAGCCGAATCAATCAAGAGAGCGACAACAATATTGCCACCCCCTGACGTCTCTTATGATGCCTAACAGCTGGCACCAATAGGCAATGCAATAGGGCGTATGGCCCCCCCAGCGGCTTCGATGGTCAATCAAATACGAGTTCGAACATGGACTGAGAGACGAACTGGTGTCCAGGACCGTGGAAATGAAGCCTGCCTGGAGACTCGTCGGCCTGTAGACGACAATGCGATGCTGCTGCACTCCAAGGCCGCTTGCAAACTGATTTTGGCCGTCCGACAAGATTTGAGCCCGTGTTCACGAGACTTATCTGTCCTGATGGCTCCAGTTAGTTCGGTGACTAGGTCACAGATAGGCTGCTGCAACAGGCGTATTTCCTGGCTATGATCCTTGAGCAAGTCTGGCCTCTATTCCGAACGAAGGTAAGAAACCCTCCATCAACCAAGATAGTTCCTCCTTGTGGGTGCCTCGAGCACGTTTGACTGGCGGCCTCTATGCCTAATATTGGGCAGGGCGTTTGTTCGATGATTCTCACATGTGATGGATCGTCACCGAAGCAGGGCTTTCGGTGCTTGGTCACTCAACTAACGGAAGTCTGAGAGGGCATTTGACGATGCAATCATCCCTGGCGTTGTCTTTCCGTTCCAACCCGTCTCTTTCCACCTCCGAATCACTCGCCTGTTCCCTTTGGACGCATACCTGCGACCTGTTCGAGGCAAGGCGCCTTTAGAGAGAGGCGGGTTTCGACTCCATACAAGACGGCTATCTGGTCTCGCTGAAAGTTAGGCAGGGCCCCCCAGCCGTGCAAACAGCCCAGCTCTATCTAATGGTACTCTTGGATTCGGACCCTAGCACCACTCGTGTCCTATAAGCTGGAGCTTTTGAAAACACAGTCTCAGTTCCCCCTTGCGCACCACCATATGCTTGGACTGATTCAGGATGGAACAAAGTGGCCATCCAACATACTCTCCCATGTCTCACTGGCTTTTGGTCCTGCATATCTTGACTCGTTGTTTTTATGTCTAGAGCAGGAGTCTAGTTAAAGAGGGGGTCTTGTGGACCAAATCAGCCCAAACACAAGGCTGCTCGATATTCACGCTGCCAGCACAGTCGCGAACAATCTCTCAATCAATTTAGTTGGTTTATCGCAGACGAACTTTCTTCTTACAGTGTCTTTACCATTGTTGCCACGTGACATTGCTTTTCCTTCTGTACGGAATATAGAAAGGGAGTCGTATTTAAGGCACTCGGCACTGTGCTGACTTATCCTAAGCGACTGGCTGACTCATTTAGGGAAGTAGTTCACTGGAGGACCTACACAAGCACGGGCGTGAGTGTCTCGGCGTTCTCACCAGGGTCTGACAGACGGTAATTGTGGAGGTGAGCAGGATTTCTAGGGGAAAGTCATGATATCACCACTCTTACATCCTATTGCTAGGGTCAACAACTCCTCGCAATTACCATTTGATGACCTGAATACCCAAATCTGCCACCCACACGCACCACAGACCCTTCAGGTGCTGCATATCCTGTTGTCAAATCGGCGTCGAGATCAGACCTGGGAATCCCTGCTGTTTGGAGTGGAAGCCCTACGATCATGCCAGGCACACTCGCATATTTTAGTCGGCTGCAAATGTCCCTTCTTTTTGTTCGAAAGCGGGAGGATGCCCCTCTCCCACTTTGGCAAACATAGACTCTGGGGCTGCATGAAACATGCTGATAGTGCAAACACTGCTGTGGCCGGTCGCAAGCTTCACAGCGAGAGGCCGAGATCGAATAGGGAGCATACCTGGCACCTGTTTACATACAGAAGCACTTGGGACACTCGCCGGATACTCGTCTATACTGGGTAACGGGAGAAATTGCTACGGACTACTCTGGCCTGACCGCCACCTCTAATTCGAGGTGTTGTGATAGGGCCGAATGCCCACATTTCCCCCACCGATTCGTGCACAGACCAATGGAAAGAGACCGTGTGGATCCCATATTAGGCTTTGAGCCCCACGTTAAGCGACCTACTGCTTGGGTCCTCTTGGTCCTCGTCTTCCTCGTCTTTCTCGTCTTGCATATCAACAAGGGACAACGGAGCTAACCACAACCATGATGATCGGCCAGGGCGAGACAAGCTCCAGGAGGATTCCCTTGCCCTGTAATGCACATCCAACGTACAAACATCCCTCCCTCCCTGCCCGGGTCATCACCGGCTTGGTCCTAAAGTTGTAACCGTACGGGTAGACAGTTCTTGGACAGGACGCCTGATCCAATAGGTGGCCTACTTCGCCGTTTTACTCGTCACCCTCTTGCCTCGCTCAGTCGGTATGGTACAGGAGGCACCCCAAATCCCTCTAGATAAGCCCACCGGTCTCGTTCAGCCCTGGAACTTTGCAACCATCTGGCAACAAGACAAGGTTGACCAATGTTTATATGGGCGGGCTTTCATCCACGTGGCTCCACTCCACCCCCAAGGGCCAACCTTTGCCTTGAAGCGTGCCCAAGACGCGCATTTGCTCTGAATGGGTAGCTCCGATGAGAAAGCTTGCCTTTTGCCATGGGAGGAGGGGGGAGAGACCGAGTACCTAGAGGCTATAAGCCCATGCCTCATGCCTCATGCCCGTCTGCTGCACGTTCCCAACTAATCGGTTTGTCACAAGTGGCCCAGCATCTCGCATCTCTGCGTACCCGGGAAAGGCACATCGCCAAAGATCCTCCTTCTGTCCTATTTCCCGTTCGAGTCACCCTGGCTGTCCCCGTCCATCTTGCGCACGGAGAAATCTACCCTCTAGGCTTAGGAGGCTGAGGCAACGAGCGCCGAGACACAAGCTACACGAGATTATCATTCTCTCTCTTTTTTCGTTGGCTGACCTTGTGTTTTCATCTTCCAAAAGTTCTGCAGAGCAATCTTTCAAACTGCCTGAATAACTCCATTACGCGCCGCTGCCCTGGTGGAATCCTCGACAGGAAGGCTGTAATTGCGCACACATCAGCTTGACCGCATTGTCCTGCCTGCACAGTAGTTGGGTACACATTTTCGAACACCTGTTGCTTTCTTCCCATGCTAACAGCACGCCCTTCAGCCGCCTGTCCACGATCATGAGAGAGAAATCAGCAAGACCGCGGACACAGCCTCCTCAGGCTGCTCGGAGCATGGATAGCTTCATCTCTGTCTTCCATGCAAGCAGTCTGGATACGCAATACGCCTCGTCACAAGCCTCTACGCAATCGCACCAGCCATCACAGCGGCCCGCAAGCAATCCCTATTGTTACATACCAGGGCAGTACTGGCAGACTTTGGACTATTACGATATGGCCATGGACATTTGCAGCGACTTTTCTGATGTAAGGACGATCGCAGAACCGAGCCTACAACCAAGCCCGTCCCTGACAACGCTCATAGCTCGGTCAAATAACTGCCTCTTTCGCGTCAAACAGCGGCGCCCTCAACTTTGCAGACGACCTCACGCCACTTGACTCTCCACTCGATGTTGCACTAGAGTCTTTCAGCAGTCCTGGAGACTCTTTGCCGCTGGCGCGCACCGAATCTGCCGTCCAAGAAAGCCCAGACACGGAGGCGGAGTGTCCGGGTCATGGGCGATGCAGCAGTCAGCAGCATCCCTGTAAGATTTGTGAGAAAGATAAGAAAGAGGTCAGTCTCGACGATCGTCGGCAGTGTTGGGCTGCTCGCATTCATTCTTACACCTGATCCCTGGGCGCTCATTTTCCCGCCAGAGGCTCAGTCAGCTAAACCAGCCCATGTACAGAGGAGGAAAGAACAAAACCGGAAGGCGCAACGGAACCACCGATTGCGCAGCGAAGCGAAGCTCGAGCAGTTGAGAGCCAAGGTCAAATCACAATCCGACGAGATTGTGATGCTCAGAGACTTCAACCAGTCGCTGCTGAGGCACATCGAGACGCTTGAGAGCAAATGCAAGGATGGCGGAACAGCCGACACGGGTAGAGAGGCTGAGGAAGCGCAGGCCCTGCAGCACCAACCGTCGCTGTCTCCTTGAGCGTCTTCTTGCGATTGGATGAGAGCACGACAGAAATTCGGGAAACCGCAGGCTGCCGAGTTGGAGCCTGAGGCTGAAATCAGGCAGCGTAGATGACGAAGACAGCTCTTCGTCCAGCTAATCTTGGGGACAATAGTGCACACGCACTTGACGGCTTGAACGAATTGACATGACATCGAGACTTTGAGGGACACGGAGTGGCAAATTTGTTCTTTGGGGGCCTTCAATGGAATGTGCAGAAATGGGTTAAAGGGGTGTTTTTTGGCGATGCTTATGGATCAAGTGGCGCTGTCTAATATCCCCGAGAAATCGGAGTTACCAAAACGCCAAGCGCCCTGGATTAGTCACCGTCGAGGGATCACCGTCGAGGTATCAGCGTCGTCGCCTGTCCTTAGCCTCGAGTTTGCCTCGAGCCTATCCCCGCTCACGTGACCGCTTATCGATAACCCTGAACGGGTGCCTCGCGCCTGGCGTAATAATTGCTCGTCGAGTTGTCTTTTTTCACTTACTTGTCTCTCTACCTTCACGCCTGCGCCCTCGTTCCATCCTCCCCCTTCGTTTTTGTTTTTCGTTCTTTTAGTCTGTGGACAATGGAGGCACTCGAGGAGCCAGCCCCGAAAAGACGCAAGATTTCAACGCACCTCAGCCAGCCCTCTGTCTGCCCCGCAGCCCCGTTTTCCGAATACATTGTCGTCGCCCGAGCGTTCCTGGCTGTCTCAAAGTTCGATTCGAATCTTTTCAATGAGTCCTCCGATGATGCCTCACTGGGAGTTACTGTGCTGGGAGTCGCAAAGCCAAAGAGATTCTATGAGCTTTGTGTCTCCGTTGGACGAAGCAGAATCGGCAAGCACATCTTAATAGACAAGTTGTCACCGAGCGATTTGCAAGTTTTGGAAGATGCTCAAAAGTTGGATTCGGCAGTGAAATACAGGCATCCTGCAGCATTGCCCCTCGCCTGTGCGTACGCCGTGGTGCAGCGTACGGGTTCCGCAGTCGGCATACAAGTGTGCATTCTATGGCAAAATACTGCTGTCGTTCGAGACAGGGTTGATCCACTATTGCTTGACATGCTGGGACGTTATCTATTGCCCACAGAATCCATCTCACCCACACTTGAATCCTGGAACCCCCGTCAGTTCTACGACAACGTCCACGTCCCCGAGAAGTCAGACGCCAACTCTGCCGACATTCAGATCCCACATCTCGAGTCGCGGTTATACCCGTTTCAGAGGCGTGCTGTCCGATGGCTTCTATTAAGAGAAGGTGTTGCTGTGCAGCCTAATGGAGAACTCGAGCAGCTTCCTGGCTCACCTGACAGCCGGCTTCCGACGGGATTTGAGAGGCTTGAAACAATGAGTAATGGAACTTGCTATGTCAATCATGCATTGGGAGTTGCAACAACAAACCTCCCCGCGGTCGAAGAGCATTTTGCATCAGTCCAAGGTGGGATATTGGCAGATGAGATGGGCTTGGGAAAGACATTGGAAATTATCGCTCTCATCTGTCTGCACCCTAGAACAGCTTGGACATCTACGCTCCCAGGCTTGAAACCATCCCCTGCCACCCTGATCATCACACCCCCATCAATTCTTCAGCAATGGAAGGACGAACTTCAAGAACATGCTCCGACGCTGAGTGTTTTTCATTATCAGGGAGTCAACAGTTACAAGAAATCTGGAGAGAAGCTCATTGATCAATTGCTGAGCCAGGACGTGGTACTAACAACATACAACGTCATTGCAAAAGAGGTGCACTATGTGGCCGAAAAACCTGACCGAAACCTACGCTATAGCAGGCGTGAGGAAGTACCGCAAAGTCCATTGACTCAAATTGCATGGTGGCGCGTCTGCTTAGACGAAGCGCAGATGGTTGAAAGTGGCGTGTCTTCAGCAGCTACGGTGGCTCGCCTTATTCCGCGAAGCAACGCTTGGGCGGTAACGGGCACTCCGTTGCGCAAAGGACATCGAGATTTGTTCGGCCTTTTGCTCTTCCTCCGCTATGAGCCATGGTGTCGGTCACCGCGCCTGTGGGACTATCTCATCAGCTACCATCGCCCTTTGTTCCGAGCAATGCTCGGGGAGATTGCCATGAGGCACTCGAAGGACTTCGTCCGTGAAGACCTACGACTGCCGCCGCAGAGCCGACACACCATCACAATCCCCTTCACGGCGATCGAGGAACAACATTATTCCCAGCTTTTCCAGGAATTTTGCGAGGACTGCGACCTCGATCGCACAGGCGCGCCCTTGGGAGACGAATGGGATCCAGACTCCCCTGTGATGGTAGAGAAAATGCGGACTTGGCTTACTCGTCTACGGCAGACCTGCCTCCATCCTGAAGTTGGAGGCCGGAACAGGCGTGCCTTGGGCCGAAACACAAATGGTCCCCTTCGGACAGTCGAGCAAGTTTTGGATGTGATGATCGATCAGCACGAAAGTCAGATTCGAACTGCACAGCGGAATCAATTGATTGCCCAAATCAGGAGAGGACAGTTGAAAGAGAATGCAAAAGACACCGATGAAGCCCTGCTGATCTGGAAAGCTGTCTATGAGGAATCTATTGGCATTGTAAGCGAGTGCCGGAAACAGTATGAAGAGGAGCGGCTGTCTTCGAATGCCAAGAAGGAGAAAGAAGACGATGAAGAATCCAATCCACGGCTGACTGCTTTGAGAGCTCGCTTGCGGTCTGCTTTGGAAGTGCAACACATCGCCATTTTCTTCATGGCCAATGCGTACTTTCAGCTCAAATCCACCCATCCTCCTGAAAGCGAGGAATATCAGCAATTAGAGAAACAGGAGACAGCGGCATACGAAGAAGCCAAGTCTATCCGTGGAGAACTGCTGCGAGAGGCCACCGGCCATGTAAACAAGATGATTGCTGCAGTTAGAACCAATGTGGCAAATGGTTTGACGCAAATTCCCGTCATGACGGAACCGTCAGGCTATGGCGGCATTGAGAGCAGGAAGATCTTTGACAAACTCCATTATTATTGCGAAGCAATGGAGTTGCAAGCACAGCAATTCCACGAGCTACGACAAAAGATGGCCGACTTCTTGAGCCAAGCCCTGATCGATGAGGACGAAGGCGTCGAACTCCAAGGTGATGAGTACGAGAGTTCCACCAAGCATCAAGATGAGATGTACGCATACATGGAAGCTCTCAGGGCATTGTTTGCGGACCGTACTGAAGCCATAACTGGTCAAGAAAACCTGCTTATTAAACAAGAAATGAAGCAGTTCATCCGGATAGCGAAAGAAGGGGAAGGTCCTGCACCTGAGTTGATTCTCAAATTGCTGGCCGAGCGTGAGCAAAAGCGTGTCAAGGTCAGTGAACTGGGTTGTTTGCGCGGGATTATGGCCGAAATCAGACAGATGGTGTCTGCTGTGCAGTGGCAAGAAGGAAACAACCACACTCGTGCGACTCAGGAACTGGCGATCCTGGAGCGTATTCTGAAACATGTCCAACAACTTAATGTAGCGCAGACGAAAGCCCTCAACAGCCTCGAGCAAGAGGTGAACAATTTCCGCGATACAATGAACAGTCGGCTCGAATATTACCGCGCGCTTCAGAAGATCTCTGACACCGTCGCACCGTATCAGGAAGATAACGTGGGAAAGCCTCTCTTTGAACCAGACTATCGAGAATTTGAAGCCGAAGAAGCAAAACTGCAGCAGAAGATTGCCTCTTTTTCTGCCAAACTTCGATATCTGATGCATATGAAGACAGAGTCGAAATCGACAGCCCCAAGAGTCTGTGTTATTTGCACCGATAGCTTTGTGGATGGCGCCATGACCAATTGTGGCCATCTGACGTGCAAAAGCTGTTTGATACAATGGGTCAGTCAGCATCATAATTGTCCTGTCTGTAAAACCAGGCTCCTCCTGAACGGCTTCCACGACATTACGTACAAACCCGCCGAGATCGCTGTGCAAGCTGAATCTCCGTCCAGCGCTGCCTCGTCGTCAACGTCTTTGAGTTCAGATCACCATCATGACCAGTCGATCTACTCAGATATCAGCACGACAATGTTGAACCAGATCAAGAACATTGACATTCGAGGTCCTAGCTTCGGCAGCAAGATTGATTTCCTCTGTCGCCATCTTCTCTGGCTTCGTGAGCACGATCCGGGCTCAAAATCCATTATCTTCTCACAATATCGCGAATTTATCGACGTGCTCGCCCGAGCATTTTCGGAATACAAAATCTCCTCGACCCGCATTGACGTGAAGAACGGCACTGAGAAATTCAAATCTGATCCAGCCATTGAATGTTTTCTGCTTCATGCAAAGGCACATTCCGCAGGCTTGAATCTGGTAGTTGCAAGCCACGTCTTTCTCTGCGAACCGCTGATCAACACGGCCATCGAGCTGCAAGCCATCGCACGAGTCCACAGGATTGGACAACATCGTTCGACGACCGTGTGGATGTACCTCATCGCCGACACTGTTGAGGAATCCATCTACGATATCAGTGTGACAAGGCGGCTGGCGCATATGAAAAGCAGCAAGGACAATGGCAGCAACGAACAGAAAAAAGGCAAGAGCAAAACAGCCACATCTTCGGCCTCCCAGTCGGGCAGGAGCACACCCCATATGAACAACACACTTCGAGAAAATGCAATCGACGTCGCCAATTCTCTGGAATTACAAGCCGCCGACCTCAGTCGCCTGCTCGCCTCGGGTAAGTCAGGTGGGGAGATAGTTGACAAGGAAGATCTTTGGCCATGTTTATTCGGCAGCCTCAGACGACATGACGGGGCCGCACCGGACGCGCTAGCTGACAATCAGCCTGCAAACACGGAAGTGGCGAGGTTTTTGAGGGCGGAGGCAGCGGAAAGGAGGGCTGCAACGCCAAGTTGAGAAGTTGAAACTGTGAGATGGCGCTTAGAAGTATCAGAAAGACTCGAAGAGAAGCGAGGCTACGGCAGAGGGCGAGGCGCTGTGGAACGGACTCTGTCAAACCATATCAAGATTTACTGCTGCAATCACCAGGCACTCCTTGAGTTGTCCGGTGGCCCTGTCCATTCAAAAACGCCGCCTCTTTTTTGCATCTGCTCAGACGCTGTGGAGTGGAGTGGGTGGGTGGAGCGAAAATCTCATCCGCAGGGTTTTCGTCGACATGTAAACGAATCAAGTTTTTAGTAGCGACGGCGGGTTTGGGATTTCACACCTGAAGGACAATGCGCTGGGACTAAAGACAGGTTGTTTTGGGTTTTCCTTGTGCCATTGTTCTAGTTTGGACTTGCCTTGCCCTGGCTTGCGAGCGACCAGATGAGTGGCTGGGTGCGTGCGTGCGTGACGCAGCGGGACGGCTCATGGTCTTGAATACTCTCACACACAGGGCACACGGCAGCCATCCGCGGACATGAAATACAAGCACTCTTGCTTTCGTCCTTGTTTGATTCTGATGATCCCCCTCCCTTTCTTATCATGATGGTGGCGCTCTCGAGTCTCGAGGCCCGTAGGCCTCTGATAGATTCTGAGCGATGATGACGACTGACTCTTGTCGCCGGCCTTCTAGAGAGGCACTGGGGACTGGAATTCGTGCACCCGTGAATCAATGAATGAGAACAACAGTGCAAGCGGGTGGGACAGCATAGGGAGGATCCTTTTCGTCGTTTGATTTCATATCATTTCATTCCTCCGTTGGCTCCTTGGATGTTCTACGCGTATATATATACTCTTGTCGCATATCATCTTCATACCCAACCTGTCATGTACTCGTCAAGGATATTTTCTGGAAGCCCAAGGGCTCGAAGCCATCAACTAGAACGCCGCGGTCCTGTTCCTCCCACCCACCCATCATGAGCCCCACCGGTCGCGACTCACAATGCACAGCGAACCATCTCTTGTCAAACATCAAAAATCAAGACAAAGGTTACAATGGATCCAACTTCAACCAGCCATAGCCGCCGCGGCAGCAGCACCGGCATCCCCCTCAGAGACAGCCCAAAGTAACGACCAATTCAACACCGCGATGCTCGCCATAACCCACCAAACCGCGCCTACACAATTTCCTCCTAATCCCAACCCTAATCCCCATCCTCCTAGGGTAGGTCCCAGGGTTCTTGCTCCGGAAGAGACACTCTGCGCAAATCCGTGGATCGTGCCCAACACACTCGGATGTGGCGTACAATTATTGACCAGAATCGTTGAGCCCGGGAGAGCGAAGGTGCGAGCAATGACTTGAAACGCCAACACCACTGTAAGTGCGGGCCAGATCAAGTACGCTTTGTTGGGAAGGAGGGCTAAATATGGTATGATGATGTATGCCAAGACCGAAAATGGAAGGAACCACCTGTAACTCGGTAAAGTGCCGAGTTTCGAGTTGAGGGACGGGTAGAGGAGGATTTGAAGAGGGAAGCCGATGATGCCGATGATGGCGGTTGCGAGGCCGACACGGTCGGAGCTGAGACCGAGGCCGCCGGTGAAGAGGAACGGTAATTTCGCATGAGTGTTGTTTGACCGGGGAGCTGGGAGGAACAGGAAGACTAGGGCGTTGAATGCTGATACATGCATGGCAAGAAGGTGGTGAGAAAGGAGAGTAAGGATGACATTCTTTGGGAAGATTTGTCGGAACGATAGATGGGGTTTCCAAGAAGCGGGTCTGGCAGCCGTGGGCGTTGCCGTCGGTGTCCTAGACGACTCGGGATCATCTCTGCCTTGCGATGAATGATCGTCTTCGTCAACATCCTGTAACTCGACTTGGTTGCCGAGTTCAGAGTATTCGTATTCTTGCTTGCCCCGACGACAGAGAACCCTGACCAGATACTTGCCCAATCTTCGGCCATGATCCGGTCTGTCCTTCAGCGCCACATGGGTTTCATCCAGACCGAGCACAAGAAGCAGGGCAGAGGCCAGGATGAAGATGGAGCTCACCACGTTTGGTAGAGCGTAGGGGAATGCCGTCATCCATCTCACTCCATCCTTGCCACCAATGAAAGAACCTGGCCCAAAGACGGCGGGAAACGAGGATATCGGATCCGCAAGGAAGCCGCCGAGTATAGGGCCAATAACCACACCTTGAACGCGTTTAGCCAAGAGTTAACATTGATCTCGTTCGCATGACTTACCAATGTTGAAACACATGGGCAAAAGAAGGAATGCCCTCGACTGGTATCTGTGTGGGCCGGTTAGATCACAGAATCATGAATGGGTGGGTGGAAAGGGTACTTTTTCTCTTTGATAATTTCGCTGATCATGGTTCTCATGACACCCACATTTCCATTTAGACAGCCAGCACACGCTCGGAAGAACAGCGCTTGAGCGAAGGACTTCGAAAACCCTACTCCAACGCAACTGATACACGTACCGAATAAACCCACAAGCAAGACCCTTTTGCGGCCGATCCAGGGTGTATCGGCCGCTCGTCCCCACCAGACAGCTGTTATGAATTGCGCCGCAGCAAACGAGGCAGTCAGCATCCCGCCCTGACTTGCAATCGTGCTATCCGGAAGGCTTGGGTCGAAGGATCGGAGCTGGTAGAACAAGTATGCCGCAAGAGACCGTTCTGTCAGTGGCTCGGAGAGTCGAGCAAAGGTCAGTACGGCCAATTGTCCCTTCTTAGGCAAGGACATCCATGTCACTGGTGCTTCTTTGTGGGACTTGTCAAGCCGGCCATTTGCTATTGTAGCAGTCGTTATCGGGTCTTCCTCTTCGTCGATGAATGAGGGCCGACGAGCGGTTGAGGATATGCCGGGGGTCAGGCTCGGTCTGGCTGGCAGTTTGGAGGAGGTGCTGGCATCAGCATTCTCCATGTGACCGTTCTTGCCATCGAGTTTCTCCAAATATTCAGTGCTTGACGCGGCTCCATCGAGCGCCAACGAGACATCCGAAAAGTGGGCATTGCTGCCTTCTACATTTTGCCTGGCTTGGTCGTCAGGGATTTTGAGCGGCGGTGAGGGCATTCGTTGGGGTCCACTTTGGGAGTTATCATGTGGAGCACAGCCTTGCCAATCTGAGAGCTTGTACGTGGTACAACGGGCTAAGATATAATTCGCAGAGCAATAGTCAGCACAGGATATGGTGAGCAAGTGAGGTGCAACGTCAACTAAGAGGGAGATGGTGAAAAAGAATCTGTACGATAAAGATGACGGCAACAGGCAACAAATTACGTGCAAGCGCGAGCCACTTTTTTCATGCCGCTCCACCCGGCGGGAAGCCGCCGATGAGGCTGACCTGGGTCTTGGCAAGGCTGTCTTCCACATGTTCCGGTATCGTGTCAGCCTTGCCAGCAACAACAGATGTAAGATCAATGGCTGTGGTATAACGAGCAAAGGTCCATTTTGTATCAGAGACCGTCCAGGACTAATTCTGAGATCATTCAACTGGGGTATCAAGTCACAAACTACTTACCAAACAATCAAGCACCAAATTCTCACCAGGTGGTTTGTCGCAACACAGCCTCTCCAACAAACGATTGTCCATCACAGTCTTCTCACCACGGTCTTCTCATCACAAGAGCATCTCTCATGTCATCAACAAAATCCACTAATCACATGGCATCGCCCAAGTCGTCCTTAACGTCCTGCGGCCTTGTCGTCCTTCTATCTCTCAAATCTCTGATGCCAATATTCCCCTTCCTCTTCGCTCCTACTCAAAAAATCGCACACAAAACTCATTCATGCTCACACAAGGCCATGGGGTTCCTGCCGTCGAGGCTGAGAGATTTTTGCTGCCTTCCCTCTCGGCAAAAGAACTCGGCATGTCTACCGTCATTGGCTGAGTGGTGTTGAACCCATAGTCTCCTGCGCATTCTTTTCCACCACACGACCAATTCTTTCCAAAAGTGTAACCCATCGTCTCAACACCTCAACGTGCAAAGTGCACGCATGCTGCCGGAGTTCGACTGCTGGTTTAATTGGTTTCCAACTTGTTTTATTGCGTGCTAGATTGACCAGATTGACAAAACTGTACATGTATCCTCTCTATGGACTGCCGCGTTCATTGGTGCGTTGCAGGAGCGCCACCAGATCAAAGATGCTTCCGTCTTGTTCGAATATGGCGTCTTTGATCGGTGTGGCCGGTTGTTGTGTGGATTGCGGTGTTAATTGCTTTCGTAAATACCGAGCGCTAGATTCGAGTGTTGTAGTCTCCTTTGAGATTAGAGCTCCTAGGTATTCTTCAACTTGAGCCAAAGCTTCCGATTTCCTCTTGAGTTCGAAAACCGGCGACACCATTTCCATACCATAGCTATCCCACCGTGAAACGCCATCCTCTGCAGCTCCTTGATTGGTCAAGTGTTCTCGGAGTTGGCTTCGAAGGGGTCCGATAACAGTATGGTCGTTTGTCAGAGTCCATTCTGCACAGTATATCAGACTCTTTCGAAGTACGAGTCTTTCGTCAGTAAAACCATGTTTTGGCAAAGATATCTTGGTGGCATCGGGATTGTCCAGGTCCTGCGGGTCAGGTCCTACCCACCCACCACGTTAGAATCAAGTCCCCGTTTGTCGAGTCGGTCTTTACTAATGAGAAGCGGTTCCACAACATATCGCCTTACCCATTGTTTTCCATTATATAACTTGTTAAAAAACATATCCTTCTGTAGTTTCAATTGGCATACTATGTCTGTCTTAGGTATATGGAGTGCCTATGACGAGCTCCTCGATCGGCACTCATAGGAAGGATTTGTAGCGATTTTGTCGAGTTCCAAGAGAGAGCGATGTTCGAGTCTGCAAGTGTTTTAATGATGTCTGCGTCCAGATTGTATTCTGATATGATAGACTCCAACAGATCATCCTTAAAAGCCAGACCAAAGTCAAGCTCGATTCCAAAATTGGTAGCACAGATCGAAGTGCCCGCATTGCCCACACAGTTATCAATCGGACAAACCGTCGAATTCTCGGATAATGACCAGGCACTTGTTGGGCTGGCCATGTTGTCTACCTAACATATGAACGAGGGTCTGAAGGCCAAGGAAAGACAGCCGACTGCCTTCAAGATCGATAAATGAAGTAGAATGTCTTCTCGAGTTCCAAGACCTTGAGAACTCTGTCCTGCGAAGACGAAATGACCATCTCGGCTGTCGAGGTTGTAGTTCTCTGCCACGGTGGGTGTTCCCGTTGTTTGAAAGGTGACCCGCTGGCTGTTTGCGGTAGTGCCATGGCTCCGACCCACAATGTCAACAAAGCGTGCGATTCCGCGTTGGATAGTTCAAAACATGAGAAGGTGTACCATAGACGAAACGAACCGCTTCCGATCAAGCCTATCCAAATGTGTTTTTGGTGAAATTACATTCCTCACCTTGGTGCGCCACGGGCATGGCACAACCCTGTATTCCGTCTTATTAGGCTGAGGGCGGCTGTCTTCGACTTGTCAAGGATTCACTTCCCAATCTGCCTTCGTCGGGTTATGAAGCCAAGATCCATTGTTCAACATCAGTTGCTCCCATAAGAAAAGCTCGTAAATTTGACTCTGAGTATTCTGCCACTGTGGAGACTTGATGCGATGGATGTTTTGAGCCGAACGAATACATTCTTGGGTCGGCTCTGTCGTAGGTCAAACTGTCATGGCAATCTGAAGTAGGTCTGTAGACCAAAATTTCGGCCTACCCCGTCGCAATGCCGCATCAGCACCAATTTTCGTGGTCGACGATCAAACAAGTGCACTGTTCAAATCTGTGATGTCAATTAAGGTGTTGGAGACCTATTCTCGAGGGTTTGAGCATAGGCGGCTACTTCTTGATGCATGAGGATCGCACCTGTCTGGCGCCAGGATGACAACACACTAGAGAGGAAGGCCACGCTCAAGAATGCACGTCCTCGGTCTCGCCAGCCGAATGCGAGTTGGCCAGAGTGGAGGGGTACCATGCCATTGCCTCGGCGACCAGACCGCCGCCCATATTACAAGCACCATAATCCACGAACCCTAACTTTTTATACATTGGTCGACCTTTCTTGCTTGCCACTAGAACGATGGGTAAATTGTCCTTCGAGGCGACGGTCTGCATGTACTTGACCATGGTAGATCCGATGCCTTTTCTATGGTAAGCTGGGTTGACGGATAGATGGTCCACCTCCCAATAGTCGTTGATGTCCGAGAGGGGTCCTCTGTCATGAACACTATTTTGAAACTGTAGCCAGGCTTGTCTGGAGATGGATCTATCGGCGTGAGTATACCATTCGAACAGGTCCTCGAGACGTAGGAGTTGAAGCTCAAATGCTGTGCCGGTGATTAACGAAGAGGACTCCGGACGGGAGGAAGTCATAAATATACCATTCCAAGAGAAAGAAAGCCACGATTTCTTCTCCATCTCTTCATCTTTTTGTTGCTTAGTAGAGGTAGCAGAAAGGTAGCCAACCACCTTCTCCTCGCCGTCCCACCAAGAGTCATTCTCATCCGACACAGCAGCAAGGACGAGATGGCCATCGTAGAAGCGCTTTTTGACACGTCTAAGACATCCCTGGCGGAGACATTCTGGATGTTCATGACGATGAGGAGCTAGGAACACGGTCAACTCATCATCGAACATGGCGTCTCTGGCGATGGTAGCCAGGTCCGCCAGATCTGAGGCACGGGCAGGTCGGACGTGCATTTTCTGAGTGAGATTGAGCAAATCAGAATAGGGTAACTTGGTTGCAAGAGTTGCAGACACAATGGATGACGGTGAAGTTCGAAGAATGAGATGACAGACGTCCTGTTCCTTTTCTTCTTAATTCGATAGTCACATTCTGAGTCACAGTCCATCCAACATACTTAGCTCGGGCTCACTAGGCCAAGCGCCGGCCTGTTGCAGGATGAGGTTGTAACGTCACATTGGTCGCTCACCGACATCTGCCTTCTGCCTGGCTGCCGATGGAGAAGTGATATAACAGAATCGGGCAGAGATAGCATAGCGATCGCTTGTCTCATATACGGAGTACTTGAGAGGGACACATCGAGTCTTTGATGGGAAACAGGATGGAAATGAGCTGACTGGTGTTGCTGGTGCTGACTACGAAGTACGAGGTACCCAGTACTCGGTATATCATTCCGCAGTCTGTCTATCAACGCTATTCCCAATCGAGCTTGGTATTGGCTTCTGCGACTTTTCGCAGCACACTGCACCTCGCTAACCTTTTCTTCCACGAGTTCAATGCGTCTCAATCACTTCCAAGTCCCCTGCTGCGCTCCCTACGCATGCAACACTCCTTTTATCAACTCTAAGAGGACGATAACTGTATTACTGCGACACCACCACTAGCCACGAGGGAAGCGCAGCTCCGCTGACCACAGTGCTCGCTCCGCTCCTCATCTACTTCCTCCTCTCGATCTTCCTTCACCCACTGTTGACACTATACCATCCTCGAAATGTCCCTTGTCCACCTCGCAAACACCTGTTCTCACCTCCAGAATGCCTCCCGCGCCCGACTAGGTCTAACTTCCATCCCGGACACAAAATTTCATCTGAAACTCATGCTCGCACTGCAAAGCTCGGGCTTCCTCTCAACAGTCGTGCGCGGTGGTCCAACACCGCCCCCAGCACACAACCTATTATCACATCCATCCTCGTCCGACCCTTCCCACCCTATTGAACCCGTCACACGACATAACGTTGCCTCTCGCCGTCTCTGGCTCGGCCTCAAATACTGGAACTCCGAGCCCGTGATTGAGAAGATGGAGCTCATCTCCAAACCAACGAGGCGGATATGGATGGATGTAGCAGGCTTAAGAAAACTTGTTTTAGGGCAGAAGAGCGGCTATGTTAAGGGAATGACACGCCCAGGGGAGTGCATGTATGTCAGTACGGACGTGGGAATTATGGAGGCGAGAGAGTGTGTGGAAAGGAAAGTGGGAGGAATGCTTGTTTGTCGGGTGCGATAACCACAGCCGAAGACAAGAGGGATCGAACTAGATGGGGCCTCGGATGAGTAAAATGGTCTGCTGGAGAATCGCATCGCAGACACCTAGGCCGGTGGCTTCTCTCCGCAAGAGCTGGGAAGCAGCTGCGCCTCGATCAGACGTGGATGCAACGACGAACCTTCCCAACTGACTCTTCCAGAGAACACGTGCAACATTGCAAGGTATGATTGGGGCACGAGGGTCCTGAAGAGAAGGGACACCCTCATGGGAACGCATAGCGAACGATACTCAACGGACCTGGTTTTGGAAGGGAAGTCTTTCGATTCCAGCAGAGCGACAATGGGAAGCAACAAGAGATATGGGAACTGGGTATGGATTTCTCTTTGCTTGGAGCTTCCCAGCGAGCGAGACACAAAGATTCAACAGGAGAGACCAAGCGCTCTCCCAGAGACTCATCCTCTAAAAGCCCGACGATTACATTCGCGCCTGTGTGGGACGCCACCTGTGTATTGCACCAAGTCAATCGAAGCTCATCCGAAGAATGTCGACCAACACTCAGCGCGCACGCTGTCCCTTCCTTCCCCCTTCTCACCCTCATCTTGATCCGCCTTACTGGTCGTGTATGTACGTACGATACCGGTCACGTTCGTGTATGTATATTTATATTACCGTTATGGCCATGTTTAAATAACGGCTCCCTCCGTCCCACACAGTTATCCTTCTCGGGCGAGGGAGAGGCTTGGAATACGTACGTACCTAGCTAGGTACCCTTGGTTGGTTGTATGTATAATCGCCTACAAGAATCTAGACTCCCCATTCTAAGCTATGTACCTCCTCGCCTTTAGCTCGTCGTAGATAGCTAGATTCAGGTACAATCTAGTAGCGGAGGTGTCTATGATTGGGGGGGGGGGGGGTCAAGAGTACGAGCCAAAAGCAACAGAGAGAGGACGATTCGATCACGCTCTGTCTAACTAAGGGACCCTGCCGGCTTTTGTCAGTTACACCGTATGCGTACGACCACCATGACGACGGAGCGAGCTGCTCGGTGCTTGCACGGCAAAATGGCGCCTACATACATGCATGGACGGAAGTGAAACGAAACCCCAGAGCATCTTGCTCGTTTGTCTGATTGTTTAGTCTTGAATTGTGATAGGAATTGGAATTGTGATACAAAGCAAAATACCTCTCGGGAACGCTGCTAGCCTAACCCGCGGGTCTCGAGGCTGCCACCACCGCTCAAGCGCAGCAGCAGCACGCAAGACGACATTGTCTTCGGTTCCTTCTGTCCTTTTGTCTTCAAGTTCAGAGAAAGGTGAAAAGAGCTCCAACCTCCTGGAGTACCCTAATTTTTGGATGGTTGAAATTACAACACGCCCCCTTTATTAGCACGAACTCGTTCCCTATTGTTCTTCCTCTTCTTGCTCACCCTCTGTCTCATAATCAAACTCCCTCGGCACAGGTGCATCCTCCACGCCCTCTTCATCCTCATCGATTGCCGTCAACACACCTACCGCAGCAGCCGCACCAGCACCCACACCTGCAGCTGCCTCCCGTCCCGTCCTCGGACCAATTGGGGTTTGGGGGAGCTGTGCCGCCTCGCCCAGAGTTTGACCTGCTGTCTGTGGCGCTGGGGTTTCAACCTTGCTCACCGACAACGGGATGATTTCTCTCTCCTTCTCCGGCTCGGTATCAAGCACAACCATCACACCCCCCGTAGGCCGCTTGACAGGCTGATACCGCTGGTCCGGGAACGTCAGATATTTCAATTGTGCAGGCAACACCCGGGACATGTTGCTGATATCGTACCCAACTTTCTCTTTCTCCGCTTTCTTCTTCCCTTCGGCATGGGTGTCGGCCTCTTTTTTCTCTGCATCTTCCTTGGATTTGTCCTTTTCTTTGCCTTCGGCCTCTTCTTTCACGGCCTCGTCAGTATCCATCTTGTCTCCTTTTTCGATCTTTGGCGTCACGGGCGTGACGGTATCGACGTCCATACTATCCCTTCGTTGCCTCTCCTTCCTCGCCGCCCGCCTCTTCGCTTGTGCGGTGGTACTCAGCACGGCCGTCTTGACTTTCTCGGGCGCTTCATCGGCTTTAGTTTGTTGCTCAGGAGGATAGTCGAAGAGGCTGGGTCTGGTGTTGCAGTGGAATTTGAAGACTGGAGCTTCTAATTTCTGATCCACGCCAATGACCGCAGTAGGGGTCAATGACAACGAGAAGAAATGTGTCAATGGGAACCAGTACCAGTACTGTGTGAAGACTACAGCACCGACAATTCCCATCATATTCAAGTTGCCAGTTTGGGTTTGCAAGCTGATCGTGCAGTTTCGCCCACCCGCGTCAAGAATACCCATGGCGATGGCACAACCGAACTTGCACATTGCATCCTCATGTCGGTCGCCAATGATCTTGAGCATCGCTTTGCGGATGCTGCCAACCTTAGGGTTCAATGCGTCGTTCTGCTGGATCAAGACCATAGCAAGAGCGATGAGAGCGCCTTGACGTACAAAGTCCGTAGGATCCTTCAGCATGGGCTCAAGCAAGTCGATAGCTTCAGCAAGACCTGTGCCTGCACAAGAGATACCCAGAGCCATGGCAGCGCCGTATCGGACGTGGGGATTGTAAGACTCGGCGAGTAGCTCCACCATTCTGGGCACACTGGTGTGTTTCCGGAATAGAATAAACCCCAAGCTGAGGACGGCGATTCGTCGAACATCGTCGCTGACATCACTGACGGCGACATGGAGCAGTTTTCGGACAGCCTTGTTGCTGCCCGTGCCGACGTAAGCCATGGCAATCGTCAGGATGCCACCGTACCTCATGGTTGGATCGGTGTCATTGAGAAGACCCTGAATGAGCTCATCGGCACCTTCCTGTCGACCATACATAATCAAAGCCATACCGACTGCGAGACCTCTTACGATCTTCTCGTGTTGAGTGTCATGGGCATGCTGGATCATATCTGACAAGACTTTGGTATTGCCCGAGCCAAGCATGACGAGGCCCATTGCCAACCCAACGGCCTCACCATTGATGGCAGAATCGGCCCAGAGCACGTTTCTCAGATCTTCGAAAATGGACTCATCGCCAGAAGCCATTCCTGCAACACCGAGGCCAAGCGCGCCACCGTGTTGCACAACCTCTTCGGTGGCTTCCTTGAACTTCTCTCGGATGAAGTTGACAGCCTTGCCTTTATGGTTGGCACATAGCAATCCATAAGCGTACAGCGAACCTCCTTGACTGTATGGAGAATCGTGAGAGGCGGCAACCCCAGCAGGCTTAGGCAGGTACGGACTCAGCAGCCGATGCGCTTGGTTGATATTGCCTTGATGGATGACACCGAAAACTGCCGTAGCGGTAAACTTGGACCAATTGGTAGCCTTGCCCAGCCACTCCAAATTGTTGCGGAAAAAGGTATCGTTTGCAGTTTTGGCGTGCATCAAGCCGGCGCAGAGAGTGACAGCGGTGTGATATATCGAGTAGCGGGCTTCCAAGCTCTCTTTTACCTTGTTCAGTATCGACAAATCGACCCGGTTCGATTTGTGCAAGAACTCAATGTTCAGATGTATTGATGTGAGACCGTCCAAGATATCCCTGATTTTCTCAACCGCTTCCTGCTGCTCGCGCTTCGAAAAGGTGGGTTTTCCTGAGGGCGCCGGTGCCCCGGCAGCACTCTGCAGTTCTTGTTGTAATTGGTCTTCGGTCTTCGCCTGCGTATCGGTTTCCATCTTGTCACTATCTTGAGTGGATTGGGGCTTTGACTCTTCTTGCGGCAACAGTTCGGCCAGTTCTTCCCGGACCTTTCGAAGGAACTCTTGGGTGCTGTTGTCGTAAAGATCAAAGGAGATTTGGTATGCCACGGCTAGAGATCGGGCATCGCCCTTTTCGATCAGCTGTTTCAAGATATTGGAAGCCATAGAATGCTGGTCGAGATAAACTACACATTTGGCAATGGCGAAGTAGTCAGGCGAGGGGATTTCGTTGAGCAATTCCAGGATGACCTTGAGGATCTCATTCCGCAGACCTCGCTCTTGCACCACGCTCATACAGATATCCAGCACGTATTCCATCAACTCTTCGCCCTTCTTGGTGGCTTCGCCGTTCTCTTTTCGCTCGTCCTCGGCCGCTCGTTTGATCACGCGACGTAGAATGTCCAGGTTGCGCCCCTCCAAAGCAATTCCCACGACCTGACGATAACGCTTTTCTCGGAAACATCTCTCAAATAGAGACTCGATGACACGAGTAAGGGCTTTCTGGAGACCACGCTCCTGAATGATACGCTCGGGGGAGCCGACTTCGCCGAGCTCGACGCCGGCTTGAGTAGGGTCAAAGGTTATCGTGTTCTGCCTGGATAAAAGCGACTTTGATGGGAGGACGGATTGGGAGAACGGCGTGAGGGGGGATGTTAAGCTGGCAGACATGCTGGCGGCACCATCCCCTCCTTGACTGAACGCCGTGTCAAGTTGGGGCTGGGCGGCAGCGTTGGCAGCGGCCAACGTCGGATCTCGACTGGCGGATAGGGCGATGAAGGTATCTACACATTTGGAGATTATGGTGTCCTCGAATTCTCCAGGGTCGTCCAGTCTGAAATACTTTCCGGCACCGAGGGCAAACGCCATGGACTCATTATATTCTTGCAGGTGGTAATACACTTTGGATGCGACGATGGCGGCGAGCTCGCGCTCCGGAAAGGAATCATCTTCGTAAAGCGCTTCACTAGAAGGGCAGGATTAGTCTCCCCAAGTGACAGATGAAGAAAAGTGTTTTGTGAACATACATCTGGCCCACGGAATCGGCAAGCTCTGTCCATAATAGATCAACCTGGCTGTCAAGCTGCTTGAGGGCGAAGCTTCTGAGCTCCGGATCAGGTTCTGACAAGAAGCCGACAAGGCCGGCGGCAGATACCAGGCCAACCATGGTTGTTGAAGGCCGCTGCGTAGCGCGGGCAGAGGAGGATGTGGTGTTCGGTCCGTAGAACTGTTGATCTACCAGCGGGAAGGGGCAAAAGGGCCGCAACGCAACCGGAACGAGGTTTTCGAAAATCGAAGGAGTGAAGACGGTCAGGGAGAAGAGAGAGTCTAGTGTACAGGAGCAGAAGATAAAAAGAGAAATCAGTGGGCGATGGGTGGATGTTGAAGGAGAGGAAAGGGAAGGGAAAGGATTCGCGCAGATGCAATTGACGTGTCTGCAGTCGATGGCTCTGACCGTCGCAGTTTGCATCACCTTCGGCAGCCTGGAATGATGGCACCACAACGATCGCGCTTAGTCATACAGGTCACGTGCACAATCATATTAAACAGCCTCGCAGCCTTGTCTCCACAGCGGCAGGCAAGAGTTGGGCTCTCATCACAGCATTGCAACTAGAATTGTATACTTAGTATTACAAGGGTATCAAAAAGGAGAAGTGAAACACATTTCTCATGTCTCTCCAAGATATCCCCAAGCAAAGATCCCAGACTGACATGGTTCGACCTCCTCTTCACCCTTACTTGGTCTGCCTTGGAATCGTCCCCTCCCGACACAAAATCCGGACATTGTCCACGAAACCTCCCACGAGCTTTTCGTACCTGTTAGGTTCACCGGCTTTCAGGTTGGCCAGTTCAATCCGGATCTGATCTGTGCTGATTTCTACCTCCAACTCGTGTTCCTTCACTGTCGTGTTGGGATAACTCACTTGGGTCAGATCAATCTGGTATGCCAAGTGCCTATAGCTCATCCTGTCCTTCTTTCTATCGCGCCCGCCTTCGGTCATCTCGGTCAGCCAGTGTGGATCTCCCTCCCATGGACTCTCAATCGAGATCGAGATACGGTAGTCGAAATCAGCCCGAGGGTTGTAGACTTCCAGGTCTGCAATCCGCGACTTAATGATCTGTGCCTTGACGGTGTTCGTTTTCTCGTCGATCGTCCTCCGCACTCGAGGCGTGTGTCGAGGATTGAGCCAAGTCATTATTGATGGCGGCAGGTTTCTTCGACCCTCTTCTGTCAGCTCGTAGAATTCGTCGTACTCATGAGGATGTTTGTAATCAACCCTGGGCGGTTCGCCAGACACCTGCGACTCCCGGTACGACTCGAAGACGAAATGGTTGAGGAATTTATTCATGGCCTGGTGCTGGGCCTTTATCCATCGTTAGCCATACACTCCAAGAAATCAAGCGAATGAACAAGATCCTCACCATGTTCATGGAACTCTTGAAACTCGTCTTCCCCCTGAATTTTTCTCGGCTGAAGACGGCCTCCGTTTCCACAGGTAGATTCAGCCGATTGCTCGCCTGTTCGTCAAAGATCACGCCAACCTTGGCTTCGACCTCAAAAACGGCTCCGCCAGCCGGGGGTTCAGCGTTGCCGATAACGAAATAGATCCAATCACAGACGTGCCTGGTGAGATCATCGTATGCTGGGTTACCCGTAATCGAAGGCTCCCACCGAGGCTCGCCCGGCGGTGTGGCCGCGTGATGTTGCACTTGCCCATTAACGACCTGTGAACCCACGGATTCCTTCTTCACCGGGACATCGTTCCCGGGGGTCCTCGGGGACCTGGGTGTCCTGGGCCGTGATGGGCTCAAGCGAACCGGCTCCCTGAATTTCAAAGGCAGATTGCGACGGGCGCTCTGTGCCCATATCGGGATCTCGTCTCGCCGTGGTCTTTTTGTGGGGGGCAACGACGTCGTTGCAGCATCAGACAGATTACTTGCAGTTCGCTTCAACGAAGGTTGGGGGTGGGTGTCGGCGGGAGAACTCCGCTGTGCAGGTAGGGACGAGTGGGTGAGCTGGGGTGTCAAGCTCTGGTGGTTGAGTGCCGCTGGCCCAGGACTTGGGCGGGAATTTGGAAATGGGGCTCCGGTTTTGGGGTCGTTTGACGTCGAAAAAGACTTGGGCGTCGTCTCATGACTTTGATTATCGACAACCCGATCTGGTGTGGTGTGAAATTGAGCGTTTGGGATGGAGTTGGAATTGGACGCCCGCGGAGGCTGAGCGATGGGATACGGGTCCGACATGGGCTCCTGATACCGGCCAACGCTCTGCTGACGACTTGGAGGAGGTTTGGGAATCGTCTTGGGACTGACACTCTCGATGCTCCGTTCACGTTCCCGCAGGTCTCCAGAATAAGTCCTTTGTATGCTCCCACTCGTGCTCCTAGAATGATCCGCCTGCGGGTATGGTGGTTGATTATATTCCCTGCTCTGCACCGAGCCAACCGAACCGACGGACGATCTTCTCACGCTCTCATGGCCATGGGACGTCGGGCGATGAGGGTGAGGGGATGGACGAGGGTACGTCACGGGCGGACCGAGAGGAGTGACGGGAGGAGGGTGAAATTGAGCCTGAGGGGAAACGTGTCTCTGTTGTGCGTGTGCAAGGCCGTTTGCAGCAATGTAGTCGTCTCGAAGTGTAGGCGACTGGGCGCTCAGGGACGGGTGTGCGCTGGACTGATGATATGTGGTCGCGGAGGAAGGCGTAGCAGTCTGATAGAGGTGGACGGATCCTGGGGTGGGAGGGTAAGGGGCCGACGGGGACGGCGAGGGAACAAAGGGAGACTGATACGGATGTGAAGGCGGGATCCCTTCACGCGGAGTGTGTATCTGTCCATGCGGCCCTGGGCTCTGCGCGTAAAAGGACTGCCCGGTTGCGCTTGGCGTCGACGCAGAGGCGGAGGCTGAATTTTGTGGTGGTGGTGACTGCACCGCAAAATAGGAGCCGTTGGCAGAGGTGCGGTATTCATTCGACGGCGGCGGCGGCTGGGGGGGATATGACGAGGAGGAGGATGGCAGCGAGGGGCGCTCGTGAGGAGCGTGAGACTCGTACGACGACGGAGTGTGTTCGTAGGACGATTGCGGTGTGTGAAGTCGCGGCGGAGGGTGCGGTTGAGGTTGAGGGTGGTGTTGGTGTCGCTGGGTCGAGGAATCGTTTAGCATCGACTTCAGGTCCATGACTGCCCCCAATATTGCTTCTGGCGTGAAGCTGTGTAACAGCGCGTGGGTTTGGCCATCAATTGATCAGTTGTCCATAGGTGGACTCGTCGTTTTGTCGCTGGCGCAGGATGTGTGCAGTGACTGCAGTGCCAGCGGGTAGGAAGAGGGAGGTCAGGGTTTCTCTGTGACTTGCGCAAACTGCGGCGCGACTGGCTGCTGGCCGACCGCATGCCAATGCCACCTTCCACCTTCCCACTTCTACATACAGTAGAACCTCCGCACCCTCGCTACTTAGGTCAACTACGTATCACGTCTTCCTGCACAAAATGTTACACATCTCTAGTAGGTAGGGTGTCACATGGATGGTTTATTTTCCTATGCTATGCGTGCTCTCTAATGCTACAGGTCTTGAGGCATACAACCAAAAAGGGGTATCAATACTGTCGATGAAAAAAATGCATCGCTGATTGCCGCTTTCCACCATCCACCATCTAGCCATGCTCGTGCCCAATACCGCTCCTAAAAGGGAGCCCTTCGTCTACTAATGTTGGACACTTCCGCAGTATGGCCATCTATATTCGACCCATCCAGTGAGTTGGAGTCGGTGCGCGTCATAACCAAAGCGTCACTGAGGAGATCCTGGTCGATGCCAACCTGAGGTGATAAATAGGGTGTCGTTCGCGGCGTCGTGATGGAGAAACTTGGTCTCACGGAGATATTTCCCAGGCTGACATTGCGGCGGACTTTCAAAGGCTGCGGCACTGTCAATGCATTGTCGCCCTTCACAGGAGACTCGATGCTAAGGCTGCGCCTTCTCAAGAATGATGGACGAGCTGAGCGACCGCGGCCTGCCCGGCCCCTGCTCCTGGATCTTTTCTGCTCGCGGGCCGCTCTAGCCTCGGGGCCAAAGTTCACTCGGTCCCGCAGGGTGTGAATGGCCTGTATCAGAGCCAGCTCGATCGCAACACAGTTCTTGATGCGACACATGCGGGGCCACGTCGCCCGTTCTCCGGCCACGGTGGCTTCCACCATGAACTCCGGCGTGGGATTCATCATCATGTGGAGATACTCGCTGGGCTTGATCTCGGGCAAAACGTTGATGTCGCCAGTGTACTGTTGGTTGAAAAGGGAGGCCCATCTGTACAATCCCTGAGGGAGGCCGAGATCTGAGAGCTGTTGGGCGCGATGTATGATTTCCTGCCTGAGCAACTCCTTGGCTGTTTGAAGGGGGTTCCGGACGCGGACGGGCGCCGTGGGTTGCTTCCCGCGAAAAACCTCCTCTTGGTCCAAAAACACGCGAACATGCGGATTGACTTGGGAGACGATGAAGAAATTGACGTTGAACATCTCGGACAGTTTCCTCATGGGAATGTCGTGGTCAAGGGACCCATCCACAAACGTCTGCTGAGCATTTTGCATCCACAATTTTTCCTCCTTGGTGATGGGGTCCTTCTCGTATATGTTGGCAGGTGGAAAGACATTGGGCACAGCACAAGATGCGCAGACGGCAGACCAGATGAAAACATCCGGAGCAGTCACGAAGTTCAGGAGCCGTGGCTCGGCATTACCGGCACTCGACACGCAGATGTTGAGGACCCGGCCGGTTTTGTAGCGTGCTTCTCGAAAGGTGATGTCACCCAGCCACGATTTCATGACTCGCTTCAGGTTGTCCATTTCGAAGAAAGCCCCCGTCCGCAAGAAAGTGTGAAGCCGTTGTACGAGCCATCCCGCGCTGCCAGTCCCTGGAGGGTCAAAGACGGCCAGGTCAGAAAAGGGGAAATATTCGAGCACTTCCGCCATGCGCTCATCGGTGCTACTTCCCACGATGCCGGCCACAATGCTCCCTGCCGACGCGCCCGAAATGATCTCGGGTAGTAACTCTGCTTCCCACAGCGTCTTGACCACGCCAATGTGCTTCATCCCCAAAAGTGCTCCGCCCGATAAAGTCAGAGCCGAACGCCCAAAGAACTTCAGTGCGTCTTCTAACGATTGCTGATGGAGTCGAACCTCGGCGGTGGGGACGTTGGTGCGAATACTGGTTTCGGCAAAGGTCTGGATGGTTTCCAAGACGGTGTTGATGTAGTCGTCTATCAGAAACTTGGTGCCGAACCACGAATGTTTGTAGAGTCGCGACATGTTCATGCCTCCCAGGTCCCGACTGAGCCCTGTTCTAAGCAGGTGCTGCATGGCATCCAGGTCCTGATCGGCCACGGCGTTCTTCAACCGGATGACTTGGCTCTCGATCACGTCAGGATTGTAGCCGGGCTCAATGGACTCCGTCTCTTTCTTCCATGCCTCGTGCCCTTGCAGATTGTCCAAGTCGATGGTGCAGTTCTCATACTCGGTCAAGGTTTCGGCTTGCTGCATGCGTCTCAGCAAGGCCTGCTCGTGTGTCTCGGGAGGTCTTCGGCTGTATCTGGCTATCTCTTCGGCGAGTGTCTGCAACCTCCTGCTCGGAGAGAGCAGCTTGACCGCGTCCGCGTACAGGCCGACACATGACCAGAACAGTGGTGGAGTGTGTGCAGGGACGAGGGATAGGGAGATGACCATGTCGACGGTGAGGTCGTGGCCATTTGACCACAGGGCGGCCTATGTCGGTAAGAAGTCGAGGTGGGAAATACAAACGCCAGTTTCTGTAGTCTAGAGGAGTAAAATCCAGCCAAACAGCAAACCACAGTGATGACTGGCAGGCGGAATCGTCGGGTCCTCCTATTGAATCAGAGGGCTGTGTCATCAAGGAAGGAGGTGTTGGCCACTTCCATACGCGGGGGGGGGGGTGGTTGAAGCGTGTGACCTGGTTCCGTTGTAGATGGCCAAATCAAGGCCGTCGCGAGAGAGGAAGGAGTAAGAGAGCCAACAACAGGCCAACAGACCAACAGACCAACAGATCTCTGTCAGACGTGGCAGATGATTGAACTGATGGCAATCCAAGCCCGGCGGAAGACCGAAATGTCGGTGGCCGGGTGTTTGTGGTAAAGGAAGCCAGACGCCCACAAAGAAAATTGCCAGAAAGCGAATGGCACGATCATCAAGAAAAGCAAGAAGGACTCCGGTGTATCAGTACAAGTGTCGACGGGCCACGATCCACCATCCACCATCCACCATCGGGGGAGTGGAAGTGACGATACTGTGGGAGGCAAACGGATGCAGAGAGCGACAGAGAGGGAGACAAGCGGTGGGGCGAACAGGTCGAACCATGACATCGACAACTGCAGTCGAGAGATGGCAAGCCCAAGGCCTGGAAACTCGCGGATGGGTAACAAGTACTTGGTATTGGGTACGAGGTCCAATTACCCAGCGAGCCAGTGTCTACGAGATACTCGGTACATACTGTACTGTAGGTACGAGCAATACGAGGGACTAGCTCGCCAGTAACCAGTAGATGAGACTGAGACTAGAGTGAGCTGGAGGTACCCAGTACCCAGTACCTTCCACCCAGTGCATAGCGTGTAACAAGTACAAGCGTGTCCAAGCGTGTCATGACTCGTGCCGCGCGTCTCTCCCACTTTTCCCTCCCTCCTACTCCCTCTTCTCCCACCCTCGTCACTCCAACTTCCTGGGGAAAGATCAAACGACCTGGAGTAAAAAAAGAAGAGGTCACGCTCTCATCCTTCAGTTGCGGCTGGCCTTGTTAGGCGATTGGCATTCCGTTTCTGTCATGCCTGAGGGTGTCATGTTTCTTTTGTCATCTTGGGCGCGTGATGTGTCCCTTGTTGCCCTTGTCAAGCTGGTCGAATGGGAGCACAACCAAAGACCGCCCCCCCCCCCCCCCCAAAAGGCGCCACAATGACCCCCGTCGCAAAGCACGTCAACAGGCACCCTCGGCACGTACCACGACGCACGATCGCCGTCACATGCAAATCCTGTCGCCCTTTTTTTTTGGTCTCTGGATGCCGAGATGCTTCTGGGTTCCTGACGAGCAAAAGCAGTCCCTGCGCTGGCACCCAGCATGCGGCATGCCTCCCTGCCCTTCTCGGTTCTGAGTTCTAGCCTTCACCGCCACCATTTCCCTTTCCGTCCAGACTTCGTTGCCCAACACGCGGTCCAATGTCCCGTGTTCCCCTCCAGAGTTCAAGCCCATCGAACCAGATGCAGGGCATGAGGCTGGCTTCTGCTGCACGATCGGCTCTAACCGACCCGCAACTGCGCCCTGGAAAGAATTTGCGAACGAGCATGTGCACTGAAGAAAAATCTTGAAATCAGCTAGCTCCGATTGCACATGCGTCTCGCAACTTTGCGCCAGCATTTCGCCCCAACCACTGGGCTTTGTGGTCAGCCCGAACCATCTTTGTCTGTCGCTTACAAAGGAAGAAAAGGAAGCTCCAAGCATCCGCGTTCAAAGCGGCCATTCCTGATTGGAGACCCAAATTTTTCTCTCGGCCGTCCCAAAGACGTCGGTGAAAGTTTCGAGGTGACTCGGAGACACCGTTCCGTCTTCATCGAAATCGCATTTCTCACGAACCACAAAGGAATCGGGCTGCCGCGAGGTGGGCAGCGCCGTCTGGGGCTCACCGATGCTCTTCCAAGCTGGTAGAGGCGGCTTCGACAATCTCTGCGACCCCACTTTGCTCAGGAGCAGAATTGTGTGGTCCCAAGGTCTCCAGGAATTCGGCAAGACCTTGCCGCAGTCGAACAATCCCTTCTGCTTCGTGCCAGAAATGACCAGTGTCTGCCCTGACCGGAACAAACCGAGATCCAGGTTGCGATTGTAGCTCTTGGGTCCATCGTTGCAACTTGCCCGCGGGCGTGAAGCTGTCCCTAGTCCCATAACAACAGCAACACGGATGCACCGTTAGTTCATGGAACTCTCTTCCCGGATGAGGGGTAATCTCGCGGTCCTTCCGAGTAAATCGAAGTTTCGAGAACATCGTAGTCAACCCAGCAGCCATCGATAGGATAGGGGAAATGAGGACATAAGCGATCTCTGGCAGTATCGGGGTGGATTCCGTTGGTGGAGCTTTTGTTAATGGCTTTGTTGGACTGCTGGGCTGAGAACCAATCTTGCGACGAATCTTGTCAATGCTCCGCCTGATTCTCTCCCCGTCAATACTCCTTCTCGAGTTTTCCCGGCTGACTCGTCGACTGGCGGCGTCTGACTCGTAGCCGCCCATGATCACACCAGGACTTGGCTTCCTGGTCTGTTCCCCCGCCGCACCGCGCACCCGCGGTACCGTCAGCGTCGCTGGAGCTGCATGCATTTCCAGATAGGCACGAGCATCCTGCGACAGGTCCGTGGCTCGGCGTCTGATTTCGCTTTCCGCCGAGCCTGACGCGGGCGAGTGGAACAGGTCGACCACGACATCCATCGACGGCAGATGAGATGCGATCATTGAACCATACGAATAACCTCCTAGGATCAAGGTAGGGGGCTTTGCCACGGGTGCCTCCTCTCCAGGTCGTAGCCGGCAGATGGCGTCGATGTAGCACAGCAGGAACCCGTAGACCGACACGTAGTCGCCCAATTCGGCCTTCCCTGTCCAAGACGTCCGCCCTGCTGAGCCGGAAGCACCTCTGGGGCCACGTCAGTAAGAGGAGCGAGGAACAACACGCGCCACCGGGGCCGGGGGCGGGGGGTTGTACCTGAAGTTGAACGTGGTCAAGAAATAGCCACTCTGAAGCAGGACGCCGCCGACGAGCGCAACCACAGGATCGTCGTAGCACCCACCCAGCGGCGCATATGGGTGTGCGAGGATCGCGAAACCCCGACCGAAGACTCTTGAGCTCCCCTCCGTCCGTCGCGGGTAGTAGATTCGACAGTCGAGCTCCAAGTCATCGTGGATGCTGGGGATGGCGAAAGTGCAGTGTGCTTTGGGAAGCGTCATGGTTGGGCGATAATAAAAGGACTACAGCCTAATTGTCCGCACCTTTGGGGCTTGCTGGCATAGCATTTGGCTGATCCACACAACAATGTCCTCTATCGGCACACCGTATACTGGGAGGGGTCCATGTTTAATAAAGGGATGCTGGAGAAAGCGCACTTTTGATTGTGTATATACAAAAAGATTGGAGGTTGGAAGTTTAGAAGCACAGAATATCATAGACATACTATTCCGAATATGGCTAGCTTGGCTAAAAGAACAAGGAAACTTCACGATCAGAACTGCGTTATGGTTCAGGAGACCTTTGTAATAATGTCTGTGAACTGGCCACTTAAGAGGGGTTAGATATGCACACGTCGTTGAATAAATCAGATCGAACGGTTGCAGGAGCTGTTAAGGTTAAAAAGCATCTGAAAGCAATCCAGACGGATTTGCGTTCAACCAAGGACAATCTCTTTCCACTGCGGACCAGGCTTCAACGACTTGTCCACAGCACTCTGGAGAATTTGGCCGAGCCCTCTTCTTTCATAGCAGTCGCCGCTCCACGCAATCGCCAAAACCCAGTAAAGTTGCCACTCGGTAGAATCGCTCGCCTGGTAGGGCTTTGACCAGATGGGGTGGATGCGATCCTCCATTCCCTTGCGATCCAACGGAGGGAAGCTGCTCGTCTGGCATTCCGACAGGATTATGAGTTCCACACGCCTGTGCTCTATCGCCGAGTGGCGAACATCAGGCGATAGAAACCCGCAGAAGCCATTTTCGTTGTCGAATAAGGCGTCAAGGTGCAGATTCCGAGCCTCGAGGAAAGTTCCCGGAACGTAAGACGAGGTGGTCAGGATTATGGAGACGGTGTAGAATGCCAACAGTGTGTACGACACTTTCTTGACAAAAAAGCTAGATGGCTCCGTTCGCGACGTCCTCAATTTGGGAAAGCGTCCTGAAGTAGGAAGTGGAGATCGTCTCTCGTACATGATATCTCGAGTCACTCGCTCCCACGAGGCCACGGGCTCGGCGTATCGCACGATCTTGACAAGTTGCCCTTGCTGAATCTTGTACCAGACTATCCAGGTGCGATTATCGAGCCAGTCGTTGATTCCTGCCACATCATGCGAATTGTAAAGCTCGTGGAAAGCGTTCCAGTGAGTATTGCCAACCCAGCCCGCCCACGACCATGATGGAAACTCGCACCTTCGGCGGCCAGGGCTATGCTGACCGATTGGGTGAAGATGAGAGAATAGCAAAGCGAGGTCGAAGGCACAGCTTGGAAGACCTTCCAGAAGGGGTGTTCTCATTCGCTTCGACAGGGGCTGAAGGATGCCGGATACTGCGTTAATTGCGTCGCTATCCCTGGTGAGACTGCGCAATTGGAAGCCTTCGATGAGATCGAAAAGCTGGTCGAGAGGATGGACGATTTGGTGAAAAGCGACATCCTGTATGAGAGCAACCCAGCTTACACTCCATTCATCCAAGTCTTGCTCGGTTGGCTTAAGGTCAGCCCATGTGTCCTCGGCCCAGATACGTTGTCTGCAGCGGTAGTAAACTTGGTCATTGACAAAAATGATTGAACGATGGGAAAAAATCTCCTCTTGATACCTGTCCCAGATTAGGAAAGTTCTAACAAGGGCAACGCCTGTACTGACGTCCATCCTCGCGACGCCCAAACCGACGCTCGGAGGTAGCAATCCACGGCACGGACAATAGCGAACCGTAGCCCAGGCATGATCTCCTCGGAGCGCTGAGGCGAAAGGTTTCTATTCGGATCCCCATGAATTCGGGGCAGACCTGCATCTGCACTGGACCCATTTGCGGCAATAATAGTTAGTAGGGCACCTTCATATATCAGTCCCATGAGTTGAATGCCGCGATTGAAGTCTTCAGGGTTGTCTTGCACAAGACACAGAGAATCTGCCCACAGGTACCTCTGCCCGATAGTCGCAACAAAATGCATGGCGTCCCAAATCGTCTTAGAGACCTGATTTCTATAGCTCGCGAGCGCAAAGGGAGATGTAAGAAAGTCGTAATTGCTTTGGTTGAGACTCAGCTGTGTCGTCTTACCCCACACATAGCTCAGAGCCACATAGTCCTCAGTCCACGGACGCTGGACTATGCACTTGTTGCCGACGTCAATCAGGTGAAGCTGTTCAGACGATGATCGCAAAACACTTAGTCTTGGGTTTGAAGAAGGGCACGTATTCTGGTGGTCCCTTTGGCAGAGTTCAATCCAGTGCTTGACGAGGTTTGGATGTATACCGCCGGGATCTACCTCTCTGCCGGCGCGATTGGAAAGAGCCTGTGACCTGTGACATAGGCGAATGCGCTCTCCAATAGGAAGGCTTCGAGGGCCGTTGCTGTCTGTTGGTTTTGGGCAGCTCAAATTGAATGTCTGCCGTTCAGGATCCCAGAGGACGAATATATCTTCGTCGCCAGACCATGCCAGTCTCTTCGTAGAATGGCGGAATTCGCCAGTCTACAAAATGGACATCTAGTCTTGGACGCTATATCTGACCGAGTACCGAGATATACGCCATGGTCCCGGATGTTGCGCTCATCTTTCTCCAGACGTTGCTCGCAGCTAAAGAATCGAGTTAAATCTTCGGCTTCAGATATCCGCTCAAATCGGTTCAGTTTGGACAGGAGGCTGCAAAATATTGAGTTGCAGAGAACCTGTGAAAGGTTTTAGTCAGCCACGATTGATTGACTGTCAAAGCATTACCGATTTGTGTCGTTTTGCCATAGCCCGAGGGGGGGAATGGTGGCTAAGCGACAGCACTATGCTGCTATTTGTTGCTGCTGTTACTGTTGCCGCCACCGCCGCTCGGTCGCTAATCACTGGTGAAAAACCTTTGCGGGACGGGTCCGTGGCATGATGGGTTGGTTTGTGTTCTTGTCCGTAGAATTGAGTCGCTGGAGTTCAGCTTCATTGACGAGATTTACGGCGAGGCTGAAGAAGCCGAAACGTCGCATCTGCGCCAAGGATTTTAGTCCTGAACTGCGGACCATTTGGACATTTTGCTGCAAGATTGTTGTAGGAATTTGTATGAGAGTGCAGTATCTTTCTAATCCAAGACACCAGTCCAGAAATTCCCTTCCCCTGGGTATTCTTTACAGCTCATCCCTCTTCCTAACCTTCCTACTGTGGGTGGCATCCCATTCGTCCAACCATCCTGTCACTTGCCGTAGCTCCCACTCGTGCGCCGCTTTGATGAAGTCTGGCTCTGCACTGATGTTCAGGATTCCAGAGCTATCCCAGTGGTGGCCTCCTCCGGTGATGAGCATCTGATTCGCCCCGTATCGCGTGCTGGCATTGCGGCCATGGTAGCATACATCTCGCCACACATCGCTTCCACCATCGATCAATGCTAGCCTCGGCGCCGAAAGATTAAAATCACCGTACTTGTTGTACCATGTCAGGTTTGGACCATCCTGAGATGGAACAGCTTGGGGTGAGAGTGGGCCTGGCGGGAATGCCCAAGTGCACCATTGCTGAGTGTAGTCAAGCCCAATGACACGGGAAAGGAGAGAAGGTTTACCATGCGGTTGTGGAAGTTGGTATGCACCCTGTTCTATACAAGTACTGTAGAGATAGGAACGAGAGCCCGAATTGGTTGGGTCGGCGTAGTAAGTCGCTGCCAAATGGTTAATAGATGCGACATTTCCCAGAATTCTGTCTGCGAACTCACCGTTTTGTGTGGAAAAGCATTCAGTTGTATCAATCAAATCTGTACTGTCACAAGTCGAGACAATGACTTCTTTAACGTAGTTCGCATACGCTCCGAGACCGGTCCAGGCTGATCCGTTGGTATAATTCGCCAACTGCATGTCGATTGCGGTGATGTTTGCTGGGGCGTCCATGTTGGTAATGTTGTTGCAGAACCAGAAGAAATCTGGACTGTCATACGCCGGATACCAGTTGAGCTCTTGCCAGGTGTTGGTGGGATAATTCATCGGTCCGCCCAGGGGAAAGGCAATCTGAGAGTTCAGACACGGGTTTTGACCGGGGCAAAGATCTCACTTACGGTCATTGCAAAATCCCTGAGATCACTCAAAGATCCGAGTCCGAAGATATCCTTCAATTGCTGAATAGCTTTTGTGTTGTTCTGCTGAATCAGATGGTCCATCTTGTCGATGATGTTGTTGATTAGGGAGATACAATCCTGGGGCCCATTCTCTTGGATCGGATCGTACCTAATCAATCAATCAATCAATCATTCCTTCAGCGGGTTCAACTGACCGTACCATTCAGGATAGCCAAGAACGGCATGAATCACGCCTGAAGCAGCAATGCCTCCCCAAAGCAACCCTTCATATTGAACTAGTGAAAAGGCCGTCTGTGCGCCAGCGAGGCTGCCCCCATACAGGATCCACGGGTGACCCGGGGCCGTAAGGTTGTTTCCACCTGTGATGTTGGGGAAGATAGCATGTTGCGCAAAGTAGGCATTGTCAGCAATAGTCTGCTCTGTGGTGAGGAATCGGAGATTGTCGGTGGTAGAGTTCGGAAACGGATAGCTTTCACCATAGTATCTGTTCTCAAGAATAACACCTAGACCGCCGGTTGCGTTCATCAGGATCTGGATGATCCCAGTCTGAAGATTCGAAAAGCGCGACGGTCCACTCGTCTCGCCACTGATATATAGAAAGACCGGGCCTCCAGGCTTGTAGTAGGTGTCGTCGAAATAGTACCGTTGCTTGAAAGTGGCATTTGTGTTGGGCGCATATCGAGAGCTATTTTGAAAATGGTCGATGAGCTGGTCAAAATGATAGGCTGTATAGGTCGTTGGTCTTCCATTGTCGCCTAGAGGGCCTACTTGCGCCGCAACAATGCCGAGACTGGCTGCGAAGGCGAGCAGAATGGTTCTGAAGGATCTCATCGTGAGTTCTGGCAACCCAACTCAGACAGACTGGAATATTTTCTGAGAGATGTGCTGGGCATCGACATCCGATCAAGCGCTTGAAGTAGGTTACGTTGGAGCTTGCCATGGTCGATGTCGTGCTACAAACGGCGGCAGGCCACATCAGGTCCACTCATGTTGCCTAACGAAGCTTTTTGGCACTTTGCACGAGCTTACCAGGAGCTTGCAGAAGCTTAGAGGAACTATAACCAGGAGTACAGTATCAGTGTTCTTGGGACGATCCGATTGGATTGACCAGGATCTCGACAAGGTTCAGTGATGTGAACTTGTTGATCTTTTCCCCGACAGGCAGGTTGGAGCTTCTTCTAGGTTGCATTGCGGAGGGGCAACTTGATCCCAGAGTTGGCAATCCATCGCACGATAAGGCATCAAGGATTCCTCCGGAAATTCCGGCACGAGCTGGAAACGGGTCTGACGTCTCGCGATTCCGAGCACTGTGGCATTTCGTACAGAGAGTAGTCAGTGCGAAGGATGTAGAATGATGGGACATGGACTGTGTACAGAGACGAGAAGAGAAAGAGAAACGAGAAGGGACAAAGAGGCAGCTTGCTGGTGCCAAGACGCTAGCCAGCTACGGTCATTCCACGAAGTACTGGGTATCTGTGACTTGACCCCTTACTCCTTCATCATGATCGATCTACTTGAATAAGTGCTGTGTATTTCTTGCATTGACAGTAGAGTGCCTTTCCCTCTCTGCTTTCCCCGTGGCGACTTCAAACTTCTCCAGCAACCTGTCAGCCGACAAATTCACGCAGTGTCCCCTGTAGCTTGTGGCTTTTGTGGCTTATGGATCGGGCCGGTCGCGATTCTCCGCTTCAATAGTGCTCGCTGTGCATGTGTGGTACGTGGCAATGAACATGCGGCAGGCACAGATCTGGTCGAACACCCTACTCTTCCAGCGGAGCGGTTTTATTTCGAGTGAGTATCAATTTTAGGATTGCAACGACTGCTAAGGCGAACAAAACCGTGTGTGAAGGCTTCAACCATGCGCTCGCATTCCTTCAACATGGAAGAGAGCTACATACATGATTACTTTACTTACACATTAAGCCTTCGCGATGGGAAGGGCGGCTGGCCAAAAAATGTCCCCGAGTTGGCAACAAACCCACCAGACTCACCGTTTATCTAACACGCCCTTACCTTTATGACAACGCCCTTCGATTGCTCCGATCAAGCCAAGCCGCCCAAAACAACTAACGTACGTATATATTTCAGTGGGGGAAAAGGTATATCTCTTTAGTCTTTTCCGTTCGATTAGAAGCGCCTCAACCTTCTGCGCCCAAAGACCAGTTCTGTGGCCAGACAGATGTCCGAGGGGTCATTAACGCAGGAACCGGGCCCGTTGTCGACCCGCCGTCGCCAAGCTTGCTACACAGGGTGCTCGTCTTCGAGGAGACGTCGACAAGGACGCTCTGGCAGGCAATGTCCTGGTCGCATGAGTCCGAACAGTGCTCGACGTGGTTCTTGCTGACTCCCGCCAGCGAGGTACCCTCCGGGTAGCTTGGATTGGAGCTGCACAGCACACAGTATGTGCAGCCGCAGAATCCATGCGCTTGGTATACTTCGTAGTCAGTGCAGTCGCTTGTTGGAGCTGGTTTGGATGTAGGAGTAATAGTGGTAGCGGTAGACGTGATCGTCAATGTCGCGGGAGAAGGAGGGGAGAGGAAATTATGAATGAGAGCTGGCTGTGGCGCTGGCTAATGCAAAGGAGAAGCTGTATACAAAGTTGGATGGAGTTTAAAGGCGCCAAGGAGGGGATTGATGTTTTCTGGAATGCAAGTGGATTGTATGGTAAGCATATATAATCCGAAAACACATAGCACTTGTCCTGTAGCTTATCTAAGGGTGCGAACTCGAGGAACAAAGGTAGATGAGTCCATAAAAATTGGGGCGAGTCGAAGAATATTGAAACCGGAAGCCACTAGCCGTATCGAGTATACTTGTGGAGGCATAGTAATAGAGTATAATTTTGTCCATTCAGAATGGGAGCTCTACGAGTGCTCGGTACTCTAGACTCATGTACAATTTAATACCCCGTACTTGGCACGGCGAATATCGTGTACGGCCATTACTTAGGTTACTCAAGGGAGTCATCCGCAGGGAGTACGCCGTCTCATAAATTAGATACCCTCTTACCGTCATCTTCCTCGGGCACATATAGCACATAGAGCCGCCGCTCCAGACGGTGATCATCACCCATTATCCAAAGGATCACGTGGAACAATATTCAAACAAACCTCAAACCCCTACTTGACCAATGCGCGTGCGTCCACCAGGATTCATCGCAGCGCGGTTATCTACGCTTTATGCTTCGTCAACGTTGGCAGCGTACCTTATTTCGCCGTAATCCTCATGTCTGGTCAGCATCTTTCTTCCGCCGACTACCCCTGACCTCGCGGAGTCGTCTTTGGTGTTCCGAGTCGACTTGGCTTCTTTCCGGATCACTATCCAGATCTCTCCGCCCTTGGCTCGTGCTACGGCTTCTGGCCGCATGTCTTGTTTCGGACTCAACCGGCATGATTTCATCTGTCGCCCTGGCTTTGCCCTTGGAGGACGAGTGCTGCCTTGATGTCGGCGGTCTGCCGCCACCGAATTCGGCCATTTCAGGGAGATCCCGGTGTTTTCCTTGGGAGGAGGCTCTCTTGGATTTTCTGTCGCGTCTGCTGGAAGAAGACGCGAGCCCACCGCCTCCCACAATGGCTGGGTCACTGTGATATTCCCAGCCTTTCGTATAATGCATGTGCTTCGGCAAAAGGTTAGCACGACGCTCCACCAAACGTTCCGCAGTATTGACCCACCTGATGCGGACCCCAGAGATCTGGAGTTGCCGAGCGAGCTCCTCCTCTCTGCTCGTCAGCTGTAGGGAACCCCGAGGCCGCCGCTCTCCGTTCCTCAATCTTCCTATTATGTCGCCGCTTGAACCAGATTGCTAGCCACGTGAGAAGTCCAAACCCCACTGCAAGGACCCCAATCATGAGGATCCACCGCCAGTGGCCATCGATCCTGCATTTTTCGTCAACACCTCAGTCAAAAATCCCATCGAACAGACCTACCAGGATTGGTGCGAAGGAGGAGCCGGCCCGGAGGCACTGCCCGTCCCTGTGTTTGTAGCTGCCGGAGGAGGCGTAGAATAGCTCGTGATGGTTACCACGGTTGTAGAACTCGGCTGGAGAGCGGAAGTCGTGGTCGCCAATGGATCGATACCGCGACCAACCTGTTGACAGAAATTTGTGAACCATGTTTGCAATAGCGTTCGATCAGACTCGCTCGAGCACTCGGCAGTGCAGATGGCGTCTGGAGAACTATACAATGCCTGTAGAAAGCTGCTCTGACAGAAGCAATTTTCGTAGGTGATCTGATCTGTGACTGGGACAAGCGGGGGCACACAAGCAGTCTGCGCCTGGAGTAGGACCGTGCAACTGAGGGCGCAGCTAGGGAATTGGGGGGAGGACGACGTCGGAACAATGCTCTGAGCCGATACCAGCCGCAGGAGGCTGAGCAGGAGAGAGGAGGACTTCAGGAGGAAAGAGGAGCGCAATTTGATCATGGTTGGCTTGTTTCCTGCGCGGTTTGGACGAGTTCTACAGGGTACTGATGGAGGTCAATTCCCGATCGCATGGATGGGTCTTTGCAAGGGAACGAACGTGGGTCGGACTGTGGAAGTAGAGGATGTTGATCGAGACTAGGGAGGGCAAAGGGCGGACATGGTGAATCGCCGCATTTACCAGCAATTCAAACGAGTGAAGATGCTAAGTCGGAGGCGGGCAACAGCAGGGAACAGAAACAAGCTGAATCGAAAGAGAGTGGAAACTGGACGTTAAAGACATGCTTGAGATTGTAGCGGGGAATTGGATTGGATGGTTCATTCGACTGGCCACCCCCGGTTCCAGAAGGGCAAACAAACGAGCCGGTAAAAAGAAGGAGGGCAAGCTCGAGGATAAACGCTTGATGCAGGTTCGCGCGGAGGAGCCAAAGATGGGATGGTTGGTACGAGGTACAGTATGTAAAAGGGCTGGCAATGGGGAAAGTGACAGGGGCCGCTAAGAGCGGGCAGCTCTCATGCCGGCAGCTGGCGGTCACCAGTGGGCTGCAGGGGCATCGGGGTTCCGTACTGGGTAGAGGCAGATGATAGGTGAGGCATGGTGAGCAGCTGTTCCCAGGGCAGATCAGTTCATTTGTGGGCGGACCTCTCTGCACGCCACACTCAAGGTTTAGGCGGGGCTGCCGCCTAAGAGAATTAGAGACCAGCTTTGGCCACTTTTGGGGCGCCACCACACCTTGGCTATTCACTACCCAAGACATGGCTGGGGGAGCACGGGAGGACGGAGCTTGGGCACTCCAAGGGCACTCCTGGGCACTTGCACTCCATTTCCGTTCTCCGCACCCCGTAGTACTGTGAAGTGCCAGGCAAAGTGCTTGACAGTGCTACCCAAGATTTCATGCTTTACTCATCCCTCACCTCCACGCCTCCGGCAACCATCTGACCATCATGTCGCAATCCATCCCATCCCACTCCGCCCTTCTCACAAACCTCTTCCAAGACCTCTCCGGCACCTGGCTGCTCAACCGTAAGTTACAAAGTGCCGACAGTTCCGCACCATCCGGGCGATGCTCTGGCACAGCGACATTCACCACCCGTGCTCCATCACCCGTGCTTGACGCCGATGGAAAACTTCACATTGCCCATGCAGAACTCTTGTATCATGAGCAGGGCGAGTTTGAGGTGATAAAAGCCGTCGGCAACAATTTGGCGAGCGTTCCCACCTTCACCTTTGCGAGAAAATACATCTGGCGTCTGCAAAGAACCGAAAATGCCGTCACAATCAGCATATGGTTCACCAAGCCAGGAACCGAGACTATCGACTACCTCTTCCACAAGATAGACCTCCCTTTCGACAACGATCCAGATTCGCAGTCGGATCATAGGCTCGTCCTCCACGGCACAGGAGGACACCTCTGCGTTGAAGATTTTTACAACAGTTTCTACTCATTCACAATGAGCAGATCTGACCCGAGTTTGCCGTTGACTCTGTCCTCCTGGACCACCGTCCATGAAGTCCTGGGCCCGAAGAAAGATCAACACATTGAGACAACTTTCGTCAGACCCGAACAGGCTCGACTCATACCCACCTTGGAGGCTCCCTACCTCAACGATTCATCCATTGAGCAGTGATATAGCAGATTGGTCTCGATTCATTTCCCTCCGGCGAGGTACACCTGATCGAAAAGGAGATGGAAAGCAGGAGAATCCATCTTCAGCGCCAACGAACTGGACTAATCATACTCTGAGTTTCCCGAGTATCCACAGCTGCCAATATCGAAGAATATGCATTGAATGTGACTTCAATAGCCGTTCTCCGGCTTTGGCAAGACGACGGATAACGCCTCCTTACCGTGTTCAACCGCTTTTAGCTGCCAAGTCCATTTTCCGACGGTAAATTGACATTATCATTGGTTGTAGCTAACCTCAGCCCATGTTTTCTCCATCTACAAAATGTTCTCACACCCCCCGATATGAACATCTTCACCAGTAAGTGTAGCTTAGGCACAGGGCATAGAGTAAGGGGAATCCACACATCCATCGCAACATGGCAGCAACCAAGAGTCTTCATTCGAAGGCCGACGACGTTTCCCTCCCCGAACCCTTTGCCTCCATCCCACGATACCCTCTCACACTGGCCCCGTCCCCGATTCATGCTCTTCCAAACATATCTGCTGCTCTCGGTGACAAAGTCACTATTTTTGCCAAGCGAGAAGATCTCAACTCTGCTCTCGCATTTGGTGGTAACAAGACCCGCAAACTCGAATATCTGGTTCCCGATGCCCTCTCAAAAGATTGCGACACGTTGGTCTCCATTGGCGGATTCCAGTCAAATCATACCCGCCAGGTTGCTGCTACTGCTTCTAAGTTGGGCCTGAAGTGCAAGCTTGTACAGGAAAAATGGGTGGATCATGAGGATGTTGGGTATGACAAGGTGGGGAATATTCAATTGTCGAGACTTATGAGTGCAGATGTGAGGCTTGATAAGTCAGGGTTTGGCATTGAACACAAGCACACGCTGAAGAATTTGCAGGAAGAAGTCATTGCCCAGGGAGGGAAGCCTTATGTAAGTTTGACCCATTTTTTTCTGATCATTACGAGTCGATGTCGGACGTGACGCTTGGTCTCGAAACATGAGCGCGATCTAGAAACACTACTCAAAGTCGAGCCCTTGCCACCTCCGTTGGTCTACAATCCCAGTAGCGGGCGCTGACTGCTAGCTTCTGATGCTAGTATATCCCCGCCGGTGCCTCAGATCATCCTCTGGGCGGTCTCGGTTTCGCTCGATGGGCCTTCGAAGTGCACGCCCAAGAACAACAACTCGAGCAATTCTTCGACACAATCATCGTGTGTGCCGTCACGGGCTCCACTTTCGCAGGCATGGTGGCTGGCTTTAAGCTTGTAGAACGCATCCATCCGCGACCTGACGGGAGGGAGAGAAAGGTCATCGGCATCGATGCCAGTGCAAAGCCAAAGGAAACGTTCGACCAAGTGTTACGCATTGCTCGTCAAACGGCTGTCAAAATTGGGCTCAAGGAATCAGATATCCGCGAGGACGATATTATTCTCGATACACGTTACCACGCAGGAACCTACGGTTTGGCCGATGCAGCAACGCTCGAAGCGATACGGTTTGGGGCCAGAACGGAAGCATTCATTACGGATCCGGTGTACGAGGGTAAGAGTCTCGCGGGGATGATTGATATGGTCAGAAAGGGGGAGATTACCGAGGGAAGCAAAGTGCTATATGCCCACCTGGGGGGACAGTTGGCGCTCAGTGCATATTCGGAGATTCAGTGAAGAGAGCCTAGTCTTTGATACAGTGGGGCAGGAGGAAAAGGAGAGATGATTCGAGGGAAGCGAAAGCGTGTCTGGCGATTGTGCGTGTGTAGAACGCATGCTCTTCCTGATCTCCCCCTATATAACCCTGGTCGGGGTCCGCCTGTGACATTCCCTTCAGGCTGGTCTCTAAGATCTTGGTTGAGCTACGCTGACGTCCTTTGTCATCGTCAGTCTCCTTATTCTCCAATCCCATCCTCATCTCCCCCACGATCTCTCTGTCCGTTCCCGATACGTTGCTTGACAATGCAGCTTCTCTACTGCCCACTATCGCAACACAGACGCTCTATCAGACATCTTGTCTAGCATTCTTGCTCAAGTGACGGATTCTCTCACCATACTAGATGGCCCTAGGTGTTAGCTAGGATGGCAAATAGCTCGAGAAAAGGGGGGTAAGATTTTGGTCCTGGTCCCCGCTCGGAGGGATAGGCGGGGGGCTCATCAGACTCACTTTGGAAAAGATGTAAGGGAGAGGCAAGAAGCAGACTGCTATGCCGCCGAGCAATGAATTGCCCGGCCCGATGCCCAATGTGCGGAAGAGCTGGCGCGCCTTGCTGACATACATACGTGCCTTGTCATCAGCTACGACTTTTCATCAGGAGGAGAGGGGAAGCTTTGAAGACCGATGCCGTGTTAGGTGGGTGGTTGAGTGGACTTACAAAGAGCGGGAATATGGCGCCGAACGAGGCGCGGAAAAGCGCGTTGCCGGCGAAGATGGAGGCGGCGTACGCAGGGTACGCGATCCCGAGATAATGAAGCACCGGATTGAACAGCGTGACGACGCCGACGGTGAAGAATCCCGAACCGACGATCGGCACCATCCAGTGGACGTGCGGCCTTGCCGACCAGCCGTACCAGAACAGGCAGACCGGCAGCGCGGCGGAGCCGAAGAAGGTCGGCGGGAGGACCATCTCGGGCTTGAAGGTCGGGCTGGCGAAGCGAGGAATAATGCCCCGGTTCACCCACAGCAGGAACAAGGGTACCGTGACAAGCCCACCGACCAGGATCCCCAGGAAGACCAGCCCCTGCTGGCCCAGGTTGAACCCGTACATGTCGCCAAAAACCAAGGGAAACGACTCGAACCAGACAAAAAACACGCCGTACAGCAGCGCCGTGTACAGATCCCACAGGAAGACGATGGGCTCGGAGAAAATCAAGGTGCACGCCCGACCGAGCACGCTCAGATGGTCTGCCGTGGTGTGCTGTGCGGCGTCGACTTCAGACTGGCTTCTCCAGCGCTCGTCTCCCGTGGCCCTCCTCAGCCTCTTCGCTCTCCTGTACAGGATGTTCGCGGCGCTGGTTTCGGGCATGCAGAAGAACAGCATGACCGCCGCGCCCGCGCAGAGCCATGTGACCACCCAGATGGTCCAGCGCCAGCCCTTCGCCGCCGCCGTGAATCCGCCGAGGATGGGCCCAAAGACGGGACCCAGGATCCCAAATGATCCCCAGATACAGATGCCGTATGCGACGCGCGCGGGGCTGTACATGTCGGCGAGCGTGGCGCCGCCCGTCGCCAGGGCGGGACTGCCGCAGAAGCCGGTCAACAGTCGAAAGACGAGGAACATGGGCATGTTCACGGCGAAGCCGGTCGGAAGCTGAAGCAGGACAAACGCAAGGAATGTCCAGAAATAGACGTCGTTTCTGCCGACGGTCGGCATTTCAGACATGGGACTCCACAGCATCGGACCGCAGCCGTAACCCCTGGGGTAGAAACGAGAAATGGCGAGTTAGCAACCGTGACCTCGTTTCTTCCGGGTAAAACGTTCACAGATGGGCTAATATCCATGTTTTTGAGAGAAAGGGGGGGGGGGGGGGGTCCTTCCATACAGTGTGAAAAGCGAAAGCCCCAATGTCGCCACGATCTCACTGGCGCCAAACTCCTGCATGATGCTCGCTTCGCCAGGGACATAGATCGAACTAGCCATGTAAAACGCGAAGTTGAGCAGGCAGATTTGGAATCCGATCAGCAACTTCCGGCTGCTGGGCCAATTGCGGGGATTCTGTGCATTCGGCACGTGAGAAAACGCTCCTTGCGTCTTTGAACGAAGCCGAGGGAGGGAAAGGGGTGGCAGCGGGGTGATAGAAGTGCCTGACTATTACCTCTGGGTCATCCGGACCATACCAGTCTACCAGATAGACATCTATGCCATCCTCAACGACATGGTCAGCATTTGAGCGGTGTTGTTGATTAACCTGCCTCCTTTTGTCAAGGTTCTTCGTGATAGGATCGGTGAGATTGTTTGGGCGTCCTTTTGTGTCGGAACTATCATTTCGCACTCCTGGTTCCGCTTGTCTTGGGCTTGCGACGTCCGGGAGGAGAGGCTTTTGCCATAGTGAAGGATCAATCTCGTCTGGGTAATGGAACAGCGTGTTGCGCGACAGGATGCGGACGAGATGGCCAAACTGGGTATCGCGAAACAACTGACTGGTCATGTCGAGGAGCGACGGAACTGCGCGATCCGGCCGAAGGGGGAGGTGCCGTCGTATTATGTCTTTCTTCTCCCGTGTATTTGACTCTCTCCGGCGAACAGAGAATCGTCGACGAGTGGGTAATGGAGATCAAAATGTCCTCTGACGACGCGGGAATACTTGGCAGATCGAAAGAGAAATTTCCATACCTGAACACTTTTACCTACCGGGATGTGAGATATATATTCGAGGGCAATTCCTCCATTCCGAGCGCCAGAGATGCAGCTGTAGCAGGACCCATGGAGCTAAAAGCTGCTTAAATCCGACAGAGCCTTCGATATTTGGTGATTGCTTGCCCAGGTTGCGATGGAGATCGAGTCAGATTAGCGGACGAGGGTGTGAGTCTACGAGCAAATACACTATATCGCTCCACCCTGATCCACTGTTGACTGCCCGTGGGAAACTAGCACGAGGCTGCGAAGCGGACACTAAACCATTTTGGGCGTTATTTTGACTAGGCTGATTCATTCTATTCACAGATCTTAGATATAGGGTGGGTAGGTACCTTGCAGAGAGACTCGCTTGCTTTCTATCGGTGTTAATGTGACGGTGGGATCTGAAACGACGGGCTTTGAGTATAGTATTGTTTCATAAACCGGATCCATCTCCTGCTGAGAACGGCTATGACGGATTCCGTGGGCTTTACATCTATCCGTCTTTCAAGGGACAGGGTGTAACAAGGCTACCCAAACAACGACTGAAAGTATGGCATGAGCACACCACCTTGTATTCTACTCCTTCTCTATCCAACCATTTGCTGTGACGCGGAGAAATCCCGTTCGAATATGTTAATTGCTTGTCGCGACGTTGAGGGCGCCTCTCTACGCGTCGATTGGGCTGTCCTTTTTTCCAAAATGTTCTGATGTCCTCCAGACCGAGAGAACTGTAATCCACATCTTCCCCACATGCAGTTCCACTTGCGCCGTCAGGAGGGAAGAAGCGGTATCCATTTACCAATCATTTATCTGCTTGGTGCTTCGTGGGCATTCGGTGGGCGTAGTCCTCGCGGCCGTCATCCGCCACATCAGAATTGGAACCAAATCAACTCCCTGCAAATTTCATCTCCTCGCTGCGCAAGTTCCATTCGCAGCTCGTCCCTGCGACCTCCGGACCATCTCAACCCTTCAGTCTTCCCGGCATCTCCGCCCCGCCCTTCTTAAACCCGTTAACATTCCAGTGAACCCACTTCAACACGACTGTGTTGCCTGCCATGACCACGGCACTCGCTCCGAACAACCCAACGCGTTGAGTTTGATTCAACATGGCGAATAATGGATAGGGATAGAATCCATTGTAAGAGTAGCACAGTTCAATCCAAAACCAATACAGAAAAGCGATGACGGTACTGAGGAGAATAGCGGGTAAGACAGTGATAGTCCAAGGCGGACTGAAGAGCAGGAGGTCGAGAAGTAACAGAGCCGAAGGCGTGAGATGGAAACTTATATCTGTAGGGAGAGGTAGCTGGAGCTCCTTCGGCACAACCAAGTCGGGATCAATCGCCCTCAAACCCCAGTAGAGGAGACTAACCAGCACCTCCATCGGAGCTGAACACATGCTCGAGATGTTCTTGGCGGCAAATAATCTCGGTGACAAAGTTAGATCAGCCAACAGGCCTAAAGTGAATGTGATGGTGGCGAGCGTCAGGCCGATGATGGTGAGGTACTGGAAATGCCAGCCATACGCACTGTTGATATGGTTGGGGTGCGTGTTGAGCCAATTGAAGCTGTACGCGAAACTTGCGAGGCCGACTGAGTGAAGCAATGCCGAGGCACCTCGCGAGGGAGAATGTAGTTTTTGGAGGGGATGGCGTTGGATGAGGCTGCCCATTGCAGATGTCTGAGACCGTGGGTGAGATGCCATGGTTTGCTTCGATGGCTTTGGGGACATGTCAGAGGGCTGGGAAAAAGGGGGGTCGACGTGTAGACGTTTGTGATGGCGCCCAGTTGCAGCCTAAAAAAAAAGAGGGCTGAAATTAAGAGGCTGGAAATGAAAGAAAAGGAGGGAATGAGCGTCCGGTGGGGAGATATCCTACGGCTGTACACAAGGCGTCTGATCTGTAACGCATACAAACTGAGGTAAGGTACCGAGTAGAAGGAGAGAGAAAGAAGGAAAGAAGAAGGGAAGCTGGTGGAGTTGGCGGAAAGCGAAGCGAAAGCTGACGTAATTCAAGGTCCCGCATCAGGTGCCTGGTCAGCATTGCGGGCGCCGATTCAGCCTCGCAGCCTTAGGACGTACAGGTACCAGGTGTGGAGTAGATAGGCCAAGATGGGCATAAACGCCTCTGTTCTCATGTGGCAGGTGGAAGAATTCAAAGTTTACATCAGATTTGCCACCTGTGATATGTACCAGATATCAGTGCAATATAATGACAGTCTGGGTATTTAGACGACGCTCGCAACTCCAACGCTCAAGAAAATTGTCCTGTCAACGTAACCAGGCAAAAGAAAGAGGATTGACCTCTTCCTTGTCTCTGCTAAGATTCATGCCCCAGTCAGATGGTCATCCAAAGAACTCGCCTGTGACCGAGCATTCCCAGCTGACCCCTGTTCTCCAAACCTCCTCCATAATCCGGCGAGCCCGACTGACCTGACACATGCCAAGACCTTCGGCTCCTTTGATTCGGCTCAATACTTCTGCTCGATCCAAGGCATCTTCCGCCTCGACTCCGGCGGTGAACATGGGGAACAGCAGGCATGCTTCGGCGCTTCCGCCGGCTCGGATCTGCTGTAGGATCTTGACGATTTCATGCACTGCCGTCTGCACCTCCGGGTCCCCACGAGGTAAATTGTGAATTCGTCGTAAGAGGTGGACCAACCCAGCCCAGTGGAAGGCCGAGTTTGTCGCCAGAGATTCTTCCACATCCTTTTCCGACATTTCTGCATAGGCCGAATTGCGACGCGTGCCGTGGGTTCCGCATAGAGATGCTTTGGTGACCTGCGGGCTGTGATGGGCGCATTGGATCTGTTCGTGGTTGCGAGCTCGTTCAAGGTCTTGGCGTAGCTTCTCGGCCCTCTTGAGCATGCCCATAGAAGGTTTCCATTCTTCATTGATCTGCCCTGTGTCAGGATCAATTCTGCCTGCCTGTTCACATTCCCTCGCCAACAGAGCCACCTGAGCCAGGATTTGCACACATCGAGTGGTGAACCCGAGAAGACAGTCGATAGTATAGTCATCTTCATCATCGCCATCGTCATCGGTCAAGGACAACTCTTTGGCCGACGTGCTATCCTCATGCGAGCTGGACCAATAATTGCCTGCAAACAGGGGCTCCTCATTGCGCCTCCCGGATAGTGAACCCATCACGTCGAGATATGCCAGCCATCTCGTCAAAAAGTACATCACAGGGTCTTTTCGCGAAATAGAATGAGGGCCTGCTCGGGCACGGATGATACTTCGAGCGATGCTGAGATGATTCTGCCATGGTATCGACACTCCAAAACTGGACGGTGAGATGATTTCTAACGAGGCTAGCATGATAGCTGTCGCCAAATTCGCGTTCGATACCTCGGTATTTGACACATTATCCAGAGTCTGCCGCAGTGAAGGGAAGACATCCCGGACCCAGTGCGCTATGCGGTTTGCAGGTTCGGGGTGGTTCAAAAGCCTGGCTCGGTGGCACGCTGAATAAGCTAGCATCAGATTCAGCAGATTGGGGTTTTCAACGGCCACTATGTCAAGTCAGAAGATTAATCCAATTATGAAGCATCAGAGATCTTGTAGACATACTTTTTGGCAGTATCGTTTTAAATGGGTTTTCCGGACAATCGTGGGGGACGAGGATTCTAGCCGTATGGTTGAGGAAATGATGGAAGTATAGCAAGTTCATTGGATTCTCCGACAGAGTGCGAGGCAATTGTCCCAGTTTTCGAGGAATCTTGATGGGCACAGGTGAGGCATAGTACCCTCCACTTGCAAACACGGTCTCGCGGCTGACCAGACCGAAGCCAAACTCAGGCACGCCCAGATCTGTATCATTCAACCAAGACTCGAAATCGCTATGTTCTGACGGCGACATGCCTGAAATGGCCATAGTATCGTTGTTGCGGGGTATGTCAAGATCGACATTCCCCCGATCTTGACCGTATGTCTCCGTTTCCGAGTATGATATCATCCGCTGGTGTAGAGAGCCCCGTCGTGGGATCTGCTCATCGCCAGCCCCATTCTGATCGTCTTGCTTAGAGTCTCTCCGATCTTCTGGCTCCGGATCTTCAGACAGCAGGGAGCTAACAGAGATGCGTCGGTCCTCATTGTCTTGTGTCTGAGATGTTGACGAAGTTGCTGGTGTTAGGGGATTACTGAGATAGGAAGGGAAGAAAGTAGGCGTGTGTGGATTGAACTGGACTCTCGGGGCGACCTCGTCAGTGTCATTTGGACCATAGGATCCTGCCCGCTGGTAGTTGGAGGCGGTCCTCCCGAAACTGTCTGTCCTCGGACTCAATTTCATCCTCTTGGCAGGATTATAGGGCGAGTTGATGGATTCTTGATAAGTCATTGGGTTGGATGTGTGCATAGGCGGAGGCATCTGCATGGAATAACCATTGAAATTGTTCATTCCGTTGCCGAGGTTCGGACTGCCAAACCCAGACTCTGAGGGAGAGGGATAGGGTTGCAGAGATAGCGGATGTCGTACGGAGGGCGGGATGAGAGCAGGGTCGGGAACAGAGTGAGAATTCACATTGGGGCTGTCCCCCCACTGGGGAGTTCTCAGCATTGGCGGCGGAGGAAGGATCGCAGGATTGAAATCGGTCGTCGCCGGAACAGAGAGATTGTTTGCGAAATGGTTAAAGGGAGGCAACCCCGATTCTGCGATAGGCTGATCGATTGGATACTCAGGAGCCTGGATAGTGACCGGAGGGGCTAAGATCTGGTCGTTGACCATGGGGCTCTGATCAAGGCTGCCGTTGGCGTATCCATTCGAGGGTTGAGGAGTGCCAAACGACAGAATCTGCGCGCCAGGTTTTGCGTTTCCTTCTTCTTTTTTTTTATTTCGCCCATCCCAGTTCAATCGAATACTGTAATCGCAGGTTTCGCCTTGTCGCTGGCAGTTGGCGCAGGTCGGCTTCTCTTCTCCACTGGCACAAACGTGGTCAGCATCCAGCCAGGCGTTTCACATGCGAGCGGGAAGATCAACGTACCATTTCACCTTCCTCGACTTGCAGGGCCTGCAGAAAGAAACTTGAGTCATTGAGCTCGCTACTTTGAAGAGGTATGAACCAACCAGCAACCATTCCTAGAGCGCTTCTTGACCTCTTTTCCGTCCTGATCGGGTTTCTTGGGGCGCGGCATGGCGTCGGTCTGCGGAGACTTGTCACCGATGATGGTCGTAGGACAGCGACATCAGCGTCTGTGTCGTGATGAAATCGGGCTTGGAGTGGGACGGAATGGTCATCTCAGGGACATTCTCAACAGGAAGTAGATAAGTTTGTGGAAGGAATCGAGAGGGCTAGTTAAAGTCGAGGAGCGCCGACGCGGGACAGACTTTTGACCGGCGAGATGCTGGCACTGGGCGTCCAAGGTTCAAGTGCGAAAGCGGCATAGGCGGGGAGCATACGGCGGAGAGCATGCCATGACCATACAACCTCCAACTCAAAGGTACTCGGTCCTTGGGATAAGAAAGGGGATGGACAGTATCGACACTGATAGGGTTGTTGGACTGTGGAAGGTTAACCAAAAGAGGAGCAGTGATGAGCCTTTTCCAGGCGGCCCAGGCGAGGGCTATGGGCGAGTCAGCACCCTAGCCATTCTCTTCGGCTGGGGTGGACGGCGGACGGTGGATGGTTGATAGTGGATAGTGCGATGGCGCACAGGGTGTGGACATGGTGAGCCGGGCGTGAGCATCCGGAGAGGTTCAAGGCTAGACCACATCTCGAAGCAGCCCTCGAAGACTTCCAGAGGGTCCATCTTTACCCGAGCTGAACTGAACACTCCGTGCTGCAGACGCACGGGCCACGGCTATAGCGTCAAAGACGGGAGGTTATGCTGACTTTGAAACTCGCGGATGACGATGCGAGCAAGGGCTAATGGGCATACTTAACTCCAGCTAAGACGGGGTAAGACTGGGCTACGCCTGAGCAAGATGATGGCTTATCTTGGTTAACTAGGGGCGCCAGAGGAGCGCCCGAGGTGCCCGTAGCGCGACCAGTTCAACGGACTTTTAGTGAGGGACTTTTGACTTTTGGGGAGCTGCTCCATTCTGCACGTGTTCTGCCTGCTGCTTTCAACCACCGTGCCACCACCACACCACCACCAAAAGCTGCGGTCGGCTTCAGATCAGCTACCACTCCAAACTCCAAATAATCACAAAGTGGCTACATGGTCTCGGAAATTCATCCTCGATTGGTGAAGAGCTACTATCGGCCCCTTCCATTGGCCGCATCTTGTAAACGCACCGGATCTTCACCAGTCTTCTCCAGCTTTTCGATCTGGTAGACTGGACTGAGACACCTTCGGCATCACCTTTTGGGTCCAAAAAAACTTTTGTTCAATTCTCACGCCATCAGCAATCAGCTGGAATCCGACTCAGAATGTCCACCAGGACTGCAAGGCTGGGTCTACAGCTCATCCAGACTCGTACCATCTTGGCCCCGACCAAAAATGTCTTGCCGACATCACTACGCGAAGCTTCTTCGGTAGCTCTGGTTGCGCGAAGCCATCACCGAGTCTCAGCTTCGAAATTCACACCTCTAGCTGCGAACCCGCCGTGCTCAACCACGACGCCTTCTTCATTCTTCACCCCGTCTCTCTGTCGGACGAGAAAGGCATCGACATCCGCAAGTGCAACCACTTCCACAACCTCTTCACCTCCCTCGTCGTCGTCGTCGTCGTCGTCGTCCTCCTCCTCCTCCTCCACCGCTCTAGATTGGAATACTTTCTTCCGTCTTCGAACCGTACGGCGTCGTTATGCCCTCACTTCCTCCATCATTACGTCCTTTGCTTCTACGGCTAGTGCACTGGTCGCGTTCTCTGAAATCCCAGCCTTTGCTGATAACATCACGAAAATCATCCCTACTGATCCCGTCATCGGCATCGGAATTGCCACATTCGGGGCCACCTTCTTCGGCTGGTTGATGGGCCCAGCCTTTGGAAACACTCTTTGGAGACTGCTGCACCGAAGTCGGCTGCCAGAATTCAATAAAAAAGAGCGGGAATTTTTTGAAAGAATTAAAAAGCACAGAGTCAACCCGAGTGGTGCAAGCACCAACAACCCGGTACCTGATTTCTATGGGGAGAAGGTGGGAAGTGTGGCTGGCTACCGACGGTGGCTCAAAGACCAGCGTGCTTTCAACAGGAAGCGGGGAGGAAATTATCCTCCGACTGTGTGAACGGAGAGATGTTTTGGACCCCTCAACCAATGGCTGCGGAAAGACTCGCGTCAAATGTTTCAATGTATGGCAAAGAGCGATTCCTCTCGAGCTACTTGTGGTTGAGTTTGCTGATCATGATGCTACAAATGGCAGCTGGGCGTTAGAACAAGGCAACGGGGGGGGGATTCTGCCTTGCCAGCTGTGCACATGAATGTTCTCAAAAGCCCATCATTCTCGTGTAATAACACTGCAGTTATCACCCTCGTTGTACAACCACTGACACTGCGATATGACAAGATCCAGCTATGTTCCAAATGATACCCTCCTATCAAAGCTTTGGCTTCTCAAAACAGGCCTTGTGACTCCATCGGCTTCCCTCCGTTTGCTTCACGTCATGATGCAGCCTCCCGCGCCAGAGTGATGTATCGTATCTGTCCGCTGCTGCTCGGGTTCAATGATTTTCTGCCGTGTTCCCATACGGTGAGAGACTTTCTCCCGCGTCTCACATATGGTATTGGGCGTTCACCACCAGGTCATCGGCCAGTTCCAGCTCAGTGAGCTTCACCGGCTGCTCCATGTAATGCTAGCTGAGGATGGCTGGAATTTGGATGATACTGGGAGCGAAGCATCGGGTGTTGATTGAAATCATTGGCTGCCATTGAATTCCTGGAAGAGCTATGGCGCATTGCCAGGCACTGTCTCCCATGCCGGATGCTGTAGACAGGGCATTGAGAGCGGTCAACAAATGCTTGATGAACACTGGCAAGGCGAAGCTCATGGTTTGGTCTCTGCGGGCCTTCTCTTTTGTCCTACTGTGGAGGATTAGACCTGCTTTCCTCACCGTGTTACATTCGCATGGCACTGGCCGTCGCCATCATTTTCCAGGCCTTTTCCAACGCAACCAGAAGCCCGACCAAGCCACCACGCTTTTCCTTTGTTCACTCCTCAAGTCTTCCTACGACGACAGGTCCTCGGAACAATGCGTTTTGATTTCGGCTTGGATGTTCAATCGGCCCTGGAGGTCTCCAACATCATACCTGTCAACCGTGTCGTGAACTATGCAGCTGCCCACCTGTCCGATGAGCCATTCAGGCGTTTCGCAAGTCCGGGTCAGATCCTTTCGTCGAACAGGAGTTGGCGGCCGTCTTTGGGCGAGGCTGAAGAGATCCAGCCATCGAGCGTGCCTTTCGGAGAGCAGTCAAGGACAACAAGATCACCCCGTTAAGAGAAGGAAGCGAGGTCGTTTTACAAAGTGGCCCAGGTCCGACGATGATCCGTGCGCTGCAGTCCTCCGATTACCTTTCGACAGCCATCCAGCTGTCCTTTCCTCTGCTTCATGCACAACAGAGACACTCTCACGCAGATATTACACCTTGGTTTCATTCGAAGATACGAGAAAAGAGTGCCGGATGCTTGCTCAGACCCGGGTTACGATGATATTTCAAAGACCCTGGCAACCATCAGTTCCCAGGCTGCTGCGTTCAACTGGGCTCCTTACAGTCACGCTGTTCGAAACAAACTTGCCAAAGGCATCTCTACATTCCAATACTCGGTCGAGCATATACATCTCACACCCACCATCATAGAGGCCGCTATGGATTGTCTCTCCCATGCATAGCGCCTCCCGGACACAATTCAAAGTTCAACTCTCAAATGAGATACATTATGTTCTCGGCCTTTCCGTTGCTGTTGTCGGCAAGGTGGAGAAAGAAGTCCGCTTTGAGGTACCGCGAACGTCAACTGATCATTGAATGGACTCGGGCGAACGCTCTGGAGGCAGGCATGCTATGGTATCCTTCGGCGGTAGACAAATACTCCCACCCTCCTGAGATACACCTCATCGACAGGAATGTGAATGTTGTGCTGCGGACGATCCTCCCTGGCGAAGACACCCATTCGTAGGACGTTGCTGCTGATGAAAGGCACCCTCTCCTCGGTTGGCGGGCCGAATATCTGCGACGCATCTTCAACACTAGACTATTGACTGACAACACTGTGCCAATCTACGATGAAACTATGATTCTGGTCGACTGCCCAAAAAGGCTCTACCGATTTTCTCCCGATCTTTCTCTGACCGCCGCCAACACACAGCCAAATTGTCATCAACCACATTCAATGTCAAGTTGTGCCTTCGGAACTGGACATTGGAGGATTATGAAGGCCGCTTCCATGCTATTCCATGGACTTCCTGCCCGAGAGACTCGGGAATCGCATGCACAGTTGTTGGGAACGATCAATACATATCTCCCGCTGTTTGAAACGAGCAGTCTTACCGCAGATCCACTTCCTAGCTGCCTGGATAGTTTCTTGACGAAAGCTTTGGAGATGCAAATAGTTACACCAGCCGAACGTCACATCAAACTAATTGTGCATATGGCCCAAGTCGTTCTGTTCATTGCATATTCTGGAACTTGAAGAATGCGCGTAAATCCCATTGAGAGTCGACATTGAAACGTCCATTGTGGGTCAGGGCGTGGATCGTTGATGGCCGGAGCGCAAAGATGAAGATGCCCCTCACCAATTGTCCCATTGATGTGAGCAACGAGCTGGCCCCGTGAGCCTACGCCGAGATTGTCGGGAGGACCGATATCTGGATGATTGGCCGAGACTCCTTCAGCCTTGCCCATTGGTTCGACCTCTCACCCTCTCTTAAATAGATCTCAGCGAATACAATCTCTATTCCTGGCATGATTAACTCAAATTCGAAGCAAATGGTCGCGGGTCACCCCGCCTACCAATTTGACGACTATATTGGACCACAGGAAGCCCAGCGGTATCTATGGCAAACGTACACAACCGCAGCTTGCAAAAGCAAACATCTCGGGAAGAAGCAGTCCACCTCTCTCCCAAACATGCGCCATTCTCGTCGGCTACAATAGCCTTTCTGGAGAGACGGCTGAATCTCCTCGACGACAAAAGGACGTCTTGGTCCTTCTCACAGGGAGAGACACAGTACTCAGGCGGTTAGCCGTGACACATCATTTTCAACCAGTCTCTGAAGCAGAGCCTCGCCACCAGATCATGATGAGAACCCGGGATTGCTGCGTCAAATGCGCCTTTGATATGGTCTCCAACATGGCAGGCAAGTGGGTTCTAGTGCTCTGATGCTAGTCCGACACGCCCGCTTTCTATGGGCGCCATACCTATGCAGCTGATGTGGAACAGAGCTCTAGCAAGTACGTGTACAAGCATGCCAAAAGCGATTCGGTCTGTACTCCGGCGTGGGCCAATCTTCTGGATGGGGCGACTTCAAGGGGCTTGACGTGGATCTCGACGGTGAAGTCTCGGGGAAAGTCGTGAGTCAGCAAAGGACGTCATGACATTGGATGGAACACATCGGAGGCGCACTAGAAACCGCCAGGGGCTTCGGCCAACCACGAGGCTGTCAACGAGCGCCAAAATGATAACCCCCGGACAAATTGCCGCAACGATCTAAGCACGAATTCTTCTGCCTCGACTCGGAAATTTCAGCACATGGCAATGCCAGAAAAGACAACATGCGTGATTTCATGGCCATTCCAAATGTCATCATCTCTTTTCCTTTCTCTCATGGCTTCGATTTACTGGTACATGCACTGAAATCCGGGATAAGGCCGGCCAAAGGTAATATTCGACCACGAGATCTTTTTCCTATATCAAGTCCTGCCCTTCTGCTGCCCTTCCTACCACGATCTTGGGTAGCTCTCCTTACCTTCCAGATCCGGTACTCCAAGACCGTTGCGTCCTACCACCGTCTTCGTCTCCTGTTCGACGAATCATTTGACGTTCCTCTTGAGTCTCACGTCCATCAATCTTGATTACTTGTTGATACCACAGTAGCCGAGGCTCTTACTTGGTTTCATTCTCGCCTATACCTGTTGCGCATACGAGAAAGGTCCAACTGGACAGGCACTAGGTTTTGCTGCCTTGTGGTCCCTGCATATCAGTTGACACTGTATTGGTTATTACCAGGTTAGGCACACAGCCACCAACAATTCAGGTGCTCTGTGAGCTTAGGAACGACAAGACCTGTCAACGCGTAAACGAATTCTAGACAGGAAAGAAATTGAGAAGGACTATTAAACGAACCATTACATCACACATACGGCCTGAGAAAAGCAGACGTATCCAAGCCGCCCCGTTACGAACAGAAGGCGACGGCAGAAGGCCTTTAAAAGACAAAAACATCTTGTCGCCTCGAGAAGCCAAGAGCATTCCAATTCAAGAACCAGCTTATCGGTCCAACTCCGAGATTCCATCTCATTCAAGGACAATATAACATACCCCATTGGAAATCCAAGATTTCGAAAGGGGGTCCATAGTTTCTTCTTTGGCGTATCACTCATCCTCACCCATCAGCCGCAGATCACTCATCCTTACCGCTCCTGCCAGGGGCAGCAGCCTTACTCCGTACAGTCATCAAAATCAGCAATCCCGGACCGGCAGGATTATCGCCCCGACTTCATTTTCAGAACTATCAGACAGCATCCATCATCAACGACATTTGATAATCATCCCCGCGAGCTCTTTCATAAGCTCTTTCATAAGCTCTTTGAAACCTGCGAAGGCATATAGGAGCCTGGGTTCCTAAAATTTATTGTTCTTTCTTTTTTTTTCCTTTCCACGGCAGGGATTTGGGTGTTCTATTTTTCTTTTCTAGGGTCGAATCCGTCAAGAACGGAACGAGGTAGCTTTTCTCAGTTTCTCAAGACGACGAAGGAAATGTCGCAAATCTCAGTGCTAGGCTTCTCACCTTCGCGGTCAGCCGAACAAGGGATCAACGCCATCCACTGGGCAATCCTGCTTACACCAACAACCGAAGCACAGCAGCAGCAGCAGCAGCAGCATGGTACACAAGCGTCACCGGCACCGAGGCCGAAAGCCAAGTCTTTCTTCTCGACTCAGCGGCTCCTGTCGAAGACGAACAGCAACACCGCTCCGCCGCCTGAAACGGCCCTCTTTGACATGCACAATCACCAGCTCCGCCAGCAGGTGTTCCCTGTTCCCGTGAAAGCCAGAGGAGACTCGAGCGAGCAGACGGGCTCGTCATCAGATGCGGATGATGCTGCAGCAGAGACCCCGCGGGCGACAACTACAAACATAAGGTCGGACATCCCCAACGAACCGTTCCGTCTGTCCCTGCGGATCCTTCTGAGCGCGCATCATCTGCCTGTCGCCAAGCTCGCGTCAAAGGTCTCCACCTTGCTCTACCGAACACCAACCTACGGGCCGGAGGAGGACTGGCTGCTCGCCGCGCTCGACATGCTCGTAGGCGCGGGCATCCTCGAGCCGGCACAGAACTTCGATGCCGATTCTGTCCTTGCGTTCGCCGGAGAGGCGATCAAGGAGTATCTTTCGCAGATCGAGGAAGGGCATCAGCGGGAGCGGGAAGTCCTGGAGCTGGATTACGCGAGCCACGTGAGGAGCATGGAGCAGGTCAAAGCCATGTTTGAGCGCCACCGACCACAGACCACACCGCCTTATACACCATCGCAGACGCCGTCTCCACCCGCTGCTGCGGCTGCTGCATCAGATGCAGAGAGGCGAGGCTCGGGCACGAAATCCCGCCACTCCTCCAAACCCAAATCGTCAAAAAGCCCAACCGAGGTGCTGGCCAAGTCGTACAAGTTTCTGGGTCTGCGCATCTCGCCATCACCGACATCCTACGCGCCGCGGCACAGGTGGACATCAGGCGAAGGTACGAAGCGCGCGTATTTCGAGCGCCAGGATGACCCGTACGGAGGGCTGATGTGAAGCCCTTGTATTTTTCTGGGCGTCTTGTTCTTTTTTAGGGATCATGAAGAATTCCCGCAAAAACAAAAATGTCAAAAGTCATGACATCGATATGAACGCTACGAGGCCGTGGCATTGGGCCTGGGACACGGATTGGGAACGGGCTAGTATGGCTAGCTGGAGGTGCGTGATATGCAATTTTTTGACGATGAGGTGGAAGAGGAGAATTCCATGAATCCATCCTTGATCAATCCATTCATCCCTATTCGTATATGCATATATTTATCACCACCTTTTGCACCCTTCCCTCACCTTTTTGCTCACTCTTCACTCCCCTCCCTTTCTCAACCGTCTACAATGTCCCTTACCCGAGATGCGACGCGACGCCCAGTTCTTTCAGTCCTATCGAGAAATCTACCCCATTCCCCTGACCCAACCCAGCACAAGCCAAGATTCGACACCAAGGGTGGGCCAAAAGCTGACGCGTCGTGCCCATTTAAAGCCAGATACCGATCTAATTTGGCTTGATTTGGAGGACTTGGCTTGTTCTTGTCTTGGTGGCGAAATTAGGAAGGTGAGAAAGGTCGAGAGGGGGAGAATTTACATTCGACTGAGTCCTCTCGGAGGGCTTGATACATGCTTGGGACATGGCTTTAATCTGGATAGTCTCTCGTCCATAGTAGATCGATGGGATCTAGTATGAGTTTGGCGTTCACTTCAAATTCATGGTTTATCAGTTTAGGTCTCGGCTTAAGTCCGAATGGTCGACCATTCTGAGAGTTCAACGGGCCAGCGCAGAGGCCAGCAGGGCCAGTCATCTGAACATCTGGTCCAAGCACTTCATTGGTCCTGTGCCTGATCGTAGCGAGCAGTTTCGATCATCCAAGGTAGTAAGCATGAGTCTCCGTCTCTCCTCCAGGACACCACATACTAGTAGTAACCGAACGCTGAAGTCATCATTATGGTGATATCTTGACAGGGCTGACCGTAAAAACGTCATCTAGTACCATGTGTTTGGAATTTAATAGCCCTGGCATTGCCGATCACAATGATCTTACGACGAGTGCATGTTATGGACAAAGTTGTACAGTTGCTAGATTACTAGCGGGTGCTTTGTTTCCAAGACATCACAAGATTCGGCTTCAGCTCGATGCCGTGATTGTGTTCAGTGAGCACCATTGTTGGACTCATCGAAAATGGATGGTTCTCCCACGGCCGGAGAGGGCAGAGACTCGGGAAGTACACATAGACACATCGCCCGGGTGCAGCCCAGCGAATCCCTGAACTGTCGACGCGAGCAATTGCGGAGCTGACATTGGTCACCCTGGCGTGTCGAACACCCGTCTTCAAGATTCGCGCTACGCGGGCGAGTCGATCGAAGAACCAACCGGCAAACGTGGCATACAGCCAAGTCTCGTAGCCAAATGTGCCCTCACCGTCGTACCGGACGTGGTACCAGCAGCCTGTGAAGCAGATAACCGCCATCACAATATGTGTGATGAGGAATAGGTCGTATGACCGTTGACGTAGGACGAGAACGCTCGCGAGCACGATGATCATGGCCGCAACCGTACCAACACAACCCCAGATCCGTAATGGCGTCCCAACCGTTTTCTCGTACGAGCCATCGTCCTGGTATAAAACTAGCGCGAGGATCGAATGGAGAAGAGTTTGCAAGAGGAAAAGCCGGGCCAACCATCGGTGGAGCAGCATGCAAGTTGAGTGCGACCAGTTAATCAGCCATGGTTTAACTCGACCCAGGATGCCAGCCATGAATGGAAGGTATCCCAGCCACATTAGGACGATTGACAGAGCGAAGGCTGTCAAAAGAATGGAAAGACATTTGACGATCAGTAATCCGGACAGAAACAATTGTTTCGTGCTTGAACGAGCCCGAGTATGTGGTAGACGAAAGAAAAAGAACGAACAGGAACCCTCACTGACCCGTAATACGATTCCCGAGCGGTCTCGCGGAAGAAGTACATCAAAGTATCCTGAGTAGTTTTCCAGGTGTTTCGGTTGTGAGCATAGTCATATTCAATACCGTGTCTTTGCCCGTGGCCACGAGCGTCGGCGGCTGTGTGATATTCGCCATGTCCTCGCCATAGCTCCATTTCGGGCGATATTGATGTCTCCCGTGATTTCGGTTTCCCAGAACTTCTCGATTGTCGAAGCGCGCATCATCCGGGTACAGGACCAGTCGCGCCGGCGGTCAAGGCAAGGCTTGAAAGCGCAAGAAAGAGGTACCGCATATCGGAGAGGGGTTTTGAGCTCACCAAAAATGATGACATCCTGGAGCGTTTGCGACTAGACCTGTTCAACAAGTTGAGTCTGGTTAAATTCTCAAGGTATATTAGGGAACAGGGCACAATTATGAGCCGTGTGGCCACATTCTTCACAAGACATCCAAGAAAGCTTGCCCAGGACCAAGCATGCTAGACTAACTGGGTTCCTCGAATAGAATGAAGGCTGAGAAGCTTGAAGGGGAGATATCGTGAGCCCCAGCTTGCGTCTGAAAGAAGCGGTACTTGTGGAAGCCGACAACGTTCGTCCGAGTCAACGTTCCGTCCATTTCCAATGGCGCCCAGGATCACCCAGCCTTGACTAGCTGCTAGTGACCCACCCTCGTCTCTGGGTAAATCAGGTGGAAGTAGACAAAGTAGCTGCAGCTACGGTCTTGGCAGTTTTCGGTTTTATAACCTCAGGATTAACCGGTTCCTAGCTCGCTAGGTAGATATCTATACAAGTTGAGCATACGCAGGGGAGACCTGGAAACTAGAGCTCTATCACCCCCAGCCAGGACCCACGTAGAAAACCCAGTCCATGGATAGAATACCGAGCCACGAACCCGTCCATTAGATACTTAAAACAACTGTGGAGCGAATCCGCTACAAATCCCTTATATTCCTACCTGTATATATAGCTAAAGCAAGCAAGAGCGGGTACTAACAAGTATATATATATATATATGTATAATCCCCGAATAATCCTCCTTCGTGCTCATTCGGCTGACTAATCACCCGGCGCTTTGCTCTTCCGTTAACGACTATTTAGTCGACTAGCTCCCTCGTCCGCTACCTCACGTGCCAGTGAGGCTCCCGTTTGGGCTCCAGTCTCACACGCGCCAACGTTACACACACCCAGCCTTGTGGTAACTTTAACCGATCACATCTATGATGGCCCGTTTCGGCCCTGATGAAAGGTGGGATCCCTAAAAGGATGCCCTGCTACGTGTTACGGATCGTTCCTTGTGGTTCGATTAAGTAATGTTTACTTGATGGGGAAACCCATAGTCAGTTATGCCGAAGCAGTATACGTACCTGAAGTATACTTCACAGGAATCTTCCAAGACTGGTGATTGGATGTTCACTGTTAACGTCCGATGTATTAACGAAGTTGACTACGAGGCATTATTCTTCGTGCTTCGCTGCCTCTATATAGGCACGAGAGAGGTTACTCTACAGTGGACTATTGTCACGAATGGACACCAGGTGTCCAATGTACAACAGGGGCACACGCTAACTGTTGTACGTCATACCTCTCAACTGCGCTTCTCTCCTGCGCGCAACACCTATATCAAGTCAGCCTCGTGCAGCCTTGCACGTTCTAGACATTCTGGGGCCAGAACTGTTCGAATGCGCCTCGGGGGCCAAATTGGGAGCCATATTGGGCACTTTGGTCAAGGACTTTTGGCACTGCAAAGGCGTATATAGCTTCAGCCAGGCACCCATGGCGTTGTGCAAGGAGACAGACAACAAGAGACCCTTTCTCAATCCTGGTTCTATTCGCGTATTCCTGATGACACTAACCCAATGTACGACAGGCGGGGTGTGTACTTAATTCGCACACCCCTCGCATGAGAGAAGCATCCTCCTCTCATGCTTCGAGTCTTGTAACTAGTGTACTATAGTGGTATTGCTACAGGAATACCCAACCTACTCCCTATCGCTAGACTCTGCCTATTCACCGAGTCATTCCTGACATTCTCGAAGCATCAACCCCGAATCGGTCGGAGTACGCGATAGGAGCACGACGCACAGGATGTCTATCGATGATAGAATGGCGACGCGTTCTATGTCGGGAGGCATACCTGGAGGACGTCGGTCTAACAACGCAACCTTGAGCCAATCGCGTACGGAAGGGCGTAATGACGAGGACGACATTGACGCGACTCCGGCGCGAAGCGCACGCGATGCGCCTACACCACAAGATGGCGAAGAAGACGAGGTTCGACGACGGCACCAAGACCTACAATAGCAACTTACGAGACATCGCCTAGAGAAAGAGAACGAGTATCAGGGACCTACTTCACGCGGTAGGTAACCGGAGTGAGAGTAGCTGTACGCTCTGTATTCCTATCTGTAGTGCCCTATGGATAACGACTCAACGCTTAAGAAAGAAGAAGAGTGTCACGGCACAACCCCAAGGAAGCCTCAGAGTTATGCCGGACAGGTTAGATCTGGCCAGAACCCGCCAGATCTAGCTAAGTACATGTGTTGACAGAGAGCGCCACTGTGGCAAACCATCCACCAATGCTTCAACCGAGGCCTCTCTATAATAGCCTCGGTGCCACCGTTGATCGACAACGAGGTCTGGACAGATCTGGCCAGGTCCAGATCTATTCAGTGGATCGCTTCTTGCCACAGGGCAAATAGTATATAGACAGGCAGAGTCTCTCTGAAAAGCCAGAGGACGGAACACAATCAATCAGATGAATCCACTCTCATTCTGTGTACAACAACATGCAAGGCCCTCCTGGAGCCTCGCCATTACACAGACGCGTGACGGGGCAGTCCATAAACCCCTCTATACCCTTTCCGGCCACGCCAGCCGCCCTTACATTCCTCGAAGCCCTTGCATACGACCATCGAAACCTGCACGACCCCTTCGAACCGTCCTGAGGCATCCGAAGGGCTCCAGTTAGAGAGATTAAGGGGCAATGTTTCATCTGGAATGGTATATAGATCTCGAAGGGCGCCCAAAGGACCCTTCGAGCCGTTTGTCTCTCGCCTTGTACTTTACAATGCATCAAGATAGCAATCTCAAGGACTTCCTACCCTCCAACGTTCTTCTATAGCCCCTCGAAGCCTCCCTAAGGTCTTCGAAATATCCCGGATCCCTTTCGAGCCCCCTCTTTCGTCTTCGTCCCTGACAGAAATACTTTAGCTGTCGAAACTCGAGAATTCAGGGACATTTCTATGATTGGTGTGCTTAAGAGGCTAGTCTAGCCTGGAAATGATAATGCAACCGCACCACGTAAACTAGGAGCGGGGCGGAGGCATTTGGAGTTGCTGTTGGGGATGAAGACGATTTTGCAAGCGACTGTACACAGCAAAATCTGCGAAAATTGAAGTTCCCCAAACATGCTACAATCTCAATTGAACGGAGAGACAGTCAAGGCTCCCGATCGCCGCAGCAAATTTTCTTTACGTAGATGCTCCTGTTTGGGGCTCATTTGACCCGGTACGCATATGGGCAGTCATTAATGTATCCATTTCCATATCGACGAAATCGAAGTAGTCGTAAGTCAAGCATCTGGACTCATCCAAGCCATGACCGGCCCCACTTCCTGGAAATGAGTTTCCCACAGTAAACGGAGCGCCGCCGATGTCCATCTGGGGGCCTCCAGCACCAGATGCAGATCCTCCTTGTTCAGTCTGGGTCGGAAGAGCTCTTCTCTGTCGCCTCTCAGTAGCCAGGCTGAAAAGACGGAGGTTACTCTCCAAGATTTCCGCCATTTCCTGCTGACTCTCCTGGGTATCCAGTAGTGGCAACTTTTTCTGGGCTGCTTTTGTGTTATAGTCTGTTAGAGCTCTCCTCAGCAATGCCGTTATGTTAGCTGATGGGAAACTGATGGTCCCTTGATGAACGCCGTTGGGAGGATGGCCAGGATATCCGTTGGCATTTATTAGCTCCCACCATGCAGCCCATGTTTTCTGCAGGTTTGTGGGATCTCTTTTCTTATACTCCTCGTGCATCTTCTTCAAGTCCTTATATCAATACTATATAGCCCCTATTTCGGGCTGCGGCTATATGTAGCAACGCCAACGGAGATAAGGTCGATAATCCTCTTTGCCAAAGCATGCTAATGCCAGCACGAAAAAGGCTGTCGTAGAACATTCTAATGAAGATAACTTGCGGTCAAAGATATGGACAACTCCAAATCCATTGCAGTGCGAACATGATTGGACCATCCTAGCGGACACGACCCGTAGTTAAAGCTCGTTGCCATTCGAAAATCCTCGTTTCCAAATCCCCTGCAAACTAACATGAGAATCCTGGCTGGAGAATTCTGGCCGGAGAATACTATCACCACTGCCAAAGACGAAGGACCCGCAGTCATGATGTCGAGTTCGAGTCTCGTCGCCAAAGCCAGGAAGACGCCGAGTCCTCCTTGCCAAAGCTCAAGATGTTGAATCTCGTTGCCAAACCCATCATGATGTCAAGTTTCGTCATCAAAATCCAAGAAGTCGACTCTCGTCGCCAAAGATGTCGAGTCCTCGCTGTCAAAGCCATGGCCGAAACCATCAACAAGTCGAGTCTCTGGCCAACAGTCACAAAGACGTCGACAACTGCCAAAGCCTGTCAACGCCAACGCAGAGGAGACTGTTTGTCGAAGCGTTGGGCGAACTGGACACGACCCGCAGCAAATCGTCCTCGCCAAAGCCATGAAGATGTTGGGTCGTGGCCAAACCCATGTGCTGGAGGGCAGATAGGAGTCACTTGAATTGATTCGTTAGCGAATTAACTGTGCGTGTAGGCGAGCATCTATCTAACTAAGCATGCGATCAGTTTAGCATGTTTGGCTAGCATGATTGGTTTATTTGGCTGACATGCTAAGCTGGCATGCTTAGGTGAGCTGTTGGGCGCGCCTCGGCGGGTCAAGTCAAGTATTAACGCAAAAACCCTGCCGAGCCTAGGAGCTTCACATTAGCACAGTCAAACAAACTTCACTTACTGACTCACCACTCTCCCCTCCTGCTCGAACCAGGACTTTGCTTCATTCCCGATGGTTAAATGGGAGCACCCAAGGATCGGCAAGATGCTATCGCCTGTTTGACTCGATGACCTTGATATTGCGGCTTCAAAAATTGAATGGTAGGTGAGTTGTCGGAATCGAATCAAGAAGTGTCATTATCCTACCCGTCCCTTTTAGAACGGAGAATTTTCAACATTTGAACCAACATTTTTGCAAACCTAAGTGACACCGAATCAAATTCCATCAAGTTATCTGTTGAGAACTGCGGAACGCAATGAGCATGAGAGATGGTAAAGTTCTGTCTGTCTGCTCAAGAGAGTACCTGTGGCTACATACATCTCATGGTGGTCCTGGAGGTATCTCCTTGAAACAGGTGATCCCTTCGCAATGCACAGAATGCCTCAGATGTCGTCGCAGAGTCGACAGATGCGACGACAAGGTGTCTCACACCAGAAATGACCCGTAAAGTGTACAGTCATGTGACTGTACACCTCAACATTATCTTTGTTTGCAAGCCAAACAAAAATAATATGTTCCAATCCTTGTTACCCAAGCCAAGCCTTGGCACTCCCCCCAACCCTTACACAACCAAACTATGCTACTGGCTTGGAACTCGGCATTTCCGTGTTGCCTGCAAGGTTACCCCATGTGAAAGAATAACTCATTTGCCAAGGTAAAAGGTATAAAAGAACTCGAGTATGATCCTGGCCAAAAAAAAAAAGGTCAGCGTCCGGTCTGTCGGGAGTTGTCATCATTGCCCCTCGGCTCAGAGATCCTTCGACGCCTTCATTGACTGAGTGGGGATCGAACCCACCGATACTTGTTTCTTTGAAGGATGATGAACCCAGCTCTTGAGTGGCACTTTATGTCAACTGGTATTTCTGACTTCAAACACTGCTAGTGATCTGCAGGGAGACACCCAAGGTCGACGGACTGGTGGCATATCTTGGGAAAATTTGAGGCTAGGGATTGTTTACTGAAGCGCCCTTCTGGCATAAGAACTGTACTGGTGACTAGTGGTGCTGACCCATCTTAGGTGCTTGAATGCTCGTGATAATGTACGATGAAGCACGAGCCGAGAACTGGAAGCTAACGTGAACACTGATTTGATACATGGAATAGCACGGTGAACAAAGCAGAAAGGAAATAAAACATGGAACAATGGACAACGATGCAAAGGACGTTGGAAATTTCTGGCGAGGGTGGTGCATAAAGAGATGAAGGAAGAGCAGAGAATGGAGAGACGAGAAAATTAAAGAGCGGCCAGACTTGGTTCTACGGCAGGATCACAAGAAGGAAGGCGAGTGATGGATTTCATTTCCCAGCACGTTAATGAAGAAGGAACAGCGTCAGAGTCGGCAGCGCAGTTACGAGAGATATGAGGACCCCCTCCTCTCGACTCTGTCGCACCTGCCTACCACAATTTTCTTGCCCGTGAGCAAAAGACAGCAATTCCTCGTACGAAAACAGGAGGAGCAACTAAATCACAACAAATCGCGAAAGCATCGAAACCTTTTAGCTCGAGCAGCCGAGACAGGACACTCCGACTACTAGCGCAGCAGCAGCTCATCTGTCAGGGGCAAGCACGAGATGGGGCTGCGAGGGGCTTCGAGCGGATTGAAAGAGCTGGGGGATCCTGATATTGCTATCTTGATGCACTATGAAGTACAAGACGAGAGACAGAGAGCTTCCAATTCCAACGGGTTCTGTTATCAAGTTCTTCTGGTCCTTCGGGAGGGCCTAACCCCTTTCGAAGCATTCCTTACCGAGACAACTTGTATCCTCCTTGCTCTGTATATCATTACTAGCGTGGAACATTGCTTGTCTCAATGTCGAATATGGCATTCCCAGAGGTCAGACATTGCATTCCGGCGGCGTTGACTATTGCTCGTGGCTGCCGCAAGGGTTTAAAGGGGTGGCCAATGATATATGTGTCCCAAGTAGGCAGGTGTGCCGGAGGAGCTAACCCGAAAAGATCGTCGGACTCCAGTCCCGACGGTCTTGGTCAGCAAGGCTGGAGGCCCATGGGCAAGGCTGTGCGGACCTGATCCGTGACATCATGGGTATTTTTGGGTACTTTTTGGACAATATAAAATATTATTGTCAAGAGGTGAGGGAAAAGTAAGAAGGTGACCTCATGCATACAAGACTTGCGACGGTGAGGAGCAATATCATTACGAAGATGCATATACTACCTTGTCTGATGTTTTTACCACCTACAATGAATACACTGTCAAGGATTGCCCCAACCGAGAGAAGAGAACCCGTCGCAACATGTGGCTCGAAGGACCTCACGGCTCAAACGTTGTAGCCAACGACGGAGGGAAGTGCTAACACCAGTGCTTCTGATGACAATAGGATATCGGGAATGCTTCTTCGAAGGATTACTTAACGGGGCGCCGAAATCTACGAGTACTACAAAACCATCTAGGTATCGTGCATTTCTGTGAGGAGCGAAGGCTAAGAGACAGTATACTTATTCTCACCGAGGATGTAATTTGGGCATTAGGCAGCACTCCCTGTGGCTCCCCCATACTCTGCTGTGGCTCCCACGACGCCCTCCCGTGCTCGGTCAGGCCGCTTCGATGCTCCGTCACGTGCCCAATTAAAGCGGCCTGTCTCCCTTTCCTCTCCTACAACTTTTCACAGGGTGAGCATATGAGGCTGTACCTGGCACTGATCGATTTGCCTCGTTTTGAGCTTCAAACCATCCCTTTGTTTTATTAAATTATATAAAGTCTTCGTGGAGATAGGGGCACTCAGCGTATCTTGGAATTTTGGAGATGCCAAGTGGACTTGGCTAATAGAATCGCTTCGCTTAATGTTAGCCTCTCGATCTACCCAGTACTGGTGGATAAGAGGCTAGCCGTTAACTTTTAAAACAGGGTAGCTAACCCTAAAGAATTGGGAACAGTAAGTTAGCCTCGTCAAGCCCGGGAAAATGCTTTCTTTAAACCATGCATGCCGAGGAACCGAGGTACATAAGTCAGATCAAGGTGGAAGGCTCCGTCTCGTCGAGGAGTTTCTATGAGGAGGTCAGGTCCTTCCTATGTATGTGTACAGGACTCTGAGAAGGCTCCTCCCCACGCTCACGACTCCGTTGCCTTGGGTCTGCCAGGACCTTCGAGGAAGCTTACAATTTGCAGAGCTGGAACTCTCAAATTTACCTACAGCTTGCTGAAGCATTTGACGCCTGAACAGCTTACGACTAACTGGACACGTTGCCTCCATTCCATTGACCCTTTGAGTACATACCTGGAAAATTGTCAAATTTTCTCTTGGAATTTGCGACGAATATCTATACCAAGCTTGCATCAGCAGCGCAAACAACCATGCCCTTCAAGACATGGCTCACCGAGAGCCTCGGGATACGCATCCCGCTCGTGCAAGGCGGAATGATGTGGGTAGGGCGCGCCGAGCTCATCTCGGCCGTGGCCAACGCAGGCTGTCTAGGCTTCCTGACGGCTCTCACGCAGCCTACGCCTGAGGCCTTGCGCGACGAGATCCGCAGGTGTCGCGGCATGCTCAGACCTGATGCCGTGCAGTTCGGCGTCAACATCACTCTGCTGCCGGCCATCAATCCGCCAGATTACATGGCGTACGCACGCGCGGCGGTGGAGGAAGGGATCAAAGTTATAGAGACCGCGGGGAACCCCGGCCCGATACTGGGGTATCTCAAGGCGAACGGGGTCACGGTGATCCACAAGTGCGTGAGTCTGAAGCACGCGTTGCGGGCAGAGAAAATGGGCGTGGACTGCATCAGCATCGACGGCATCGAGTGTGCTGGCCACGGAGGAGAGTATGACACGACGAGTTTGACTCTGTTGCCCCTGTGTGCAGAACAGCTGAAGATTCCTTACCTGGCATCAGGAGGATTTGCCAACGGCAAACAAGTCGCCGCGGCATTGGTCATGGGAGCCGCAGGGGTGAACATGGGGACGCGGTGGATGGCGACTGTGGAAGCGCCCATCCACGAAAACGTCAAAAAGGCAATCGTCGACGCGACCGAGCACGATACAGTCTTGGTGTTGAGGAAGTTCAGGAATACATCGAGACTGCACAAGAACAAAGTCAGCCTGGAGGTGCATCATATTGAAAACACCAAGAAGGATGTCAAATTTGAAGACGTAGCGCATCTGATGAGCGGAAAACGAGGCAAAGGCGTGTATGAAACTGGAGACGTGGATACAGGAGTGTGGAGTTTGGGAATGTGCGCGGGTTTGATTCATGAAGTCTTGGCCTGTGACGAGTTGGCGAGGAAGTTGATGGGGGATGCAGAGGATGCGTTAAGCAGGGCGAGAGCGCCGACGCGGGTGGGTGAGACTGCTAGATTGTGATGAAGTCATGGCATCTGTTCAAGTCAGTCTTGCTGATAATTGGAGACGAACTGATGCACAAGCACCCCCATACGGTCGTTGCTCCTCGTCGGTCTTTCGTCTTCTGAATTTTCGGAGTCGGTAACGGAAGGAAAGACCGTGTCAATGTCGTGTCCGGTCTCCATCGCCCCAGCAGCATTGAGTATCTTCATTGGAATGACAGAGTTCTTCTTGTGCCAGGCGCGTGATGCTCTCATCGTCACCTTCGGGCGGCTTCAGTCGCGTGCAGGGCTTCATATTCTGCCAATGCTTCTAGGTTGCCGAGTCTTGATCGGTGGGATCCCCCAGGAATGCTTGCCGTTACGGTGTGATGCCCTATATCTTGGTCGCCACGAATCTTTCCAGAAGAACGATGGACTTAGAGTAGAGTAAGAACATCGAATTCTAGCGGCTGCTGCCAGGAGCTTTTTCTGAGATCAAGTCACGTCTTGGCGTGACGTGAAGTCGTGCAGTATGTTGCCAGGCCAGCAAGACCTCTAACAGTACTTATTCATATGTATATTTCCAGCCGCGGTTCGTGGATAGGTAACTGTGGGCCAAAAAGGAACCTGAAAGAAGAAATCCTAGTCTGAGCTGGTGGTTATCATTTATTCCGAGTTCGATCAGGGGATATCTCGACAGAAAGAGTACCGAGTACTTGTAGATGAGATTTCTGGCAAAAGAAAAGGAAAGTTTCGACTTGACAAAGTCTTGGTGTGGTGGTCCTGCCTTTGGCCCATGATTTCCCATTCCCTCCTTATCCTCAAAAAGGCTCCCAAAACTGGCCCAATACGAGTATCGCTCATGACATTTCATCCCACATACACATCCCGTCCTTCCAGCTTCGGGCCCCCACTGAATTAGTCCTGTACAATATCTTTCGATTAACTCCATCTGGTTCTCTCCTTACACACGTCATCCGGTTTTTCTTTTTATTTTGCTCGCTTAATACGCCTGCCCCGGCTGCTCTTGGTTGTGACTGGGGGGGACGTAATTTGCCCCAGGAATCGGGACGGCCTCGTATTGCTGTTCTCCGGGCGCCGCGCCCATATGTTCGTGTATCCGCTCCTCCGGCGGAGGAGACATGGGCGGTTGAGGAGGTGGTGATGACGATGACAAGAGTCTCGGTGAGCTGATGCCCTCCGTGGCGGTTGACACGGGAGTCGCCTTCGTTACTCGGATGGGTGGAGCTTGGAGTTTGAATGGTGATGCAGTGGTATTACTGTTCGGCGAGGCGAATTGTGTCGGGGAGGTGCCTTGTTCTGCAGCCGAGTACATATCTCTAGGAGTCTTGAGTGCAGAGGGGAATCCAGGAGTTCTGGGCGTTTGAGCAAAGCCCGGCGTATTTGGCGCAGATTGTGTCCTCAATTGGGCGAGGTACAGATCGGTTCTGGCGCGATCGCGTGCGTCCATGGATTTCCTGAGTCGGTTCTTGCTCCAGAATCTGTAGAAGACAATGCCGTAGATGGCGATCACGATCACCTCGACAACAACTTCGATGATGCAGCAGATCAAGGACCAATCTTGGAGCCGACACACAAGGGCGTAATGGATATCATCTTCGAAGAGTTGTCGACGTTTGTTGTCCTTGCAGGACCAGCCCCACAGGTCCTGTCCGTTGCCCGAGGCTTTGCTGCCGTGCAAGATGCCCGCGCCAACGAGCCACATGACAATACTGAACATGAACCACCCAACCGCAAACATGGTGTAATATACGGCGACCTTCTCTGCACGCTTGTGTCCACCACGGCAATGCGCCAAAATGACAATGATGGAGAAGAGGAGCGAAACACAAGCAACAGACAACACAACGATTTGCGGCCAGAGTTGTTGGCCGTTCGCCCATGGCGGCAGGTTATTTCGGGGTGGGAGCGATTTGGTGGCGTGGAAGATTGTCAGGACCGTCGAGAGCATGGCGAGGACGATTAGGGAACAAGAAAAATTGACGCCTCGGAGGACCATTTTGGCCATGCGTACACGGGTTTTGACTTTCTACATTTAAAAGCACATGTTAGGGCTGATGGTTGAAAGGGGCGGTGGGTGCACTCTTACCAGATCTTTGGCCTGTTGGATCTCCGTCTTCATCTCCTCCTTCTCGAGGAGTTGTTCTTCTCGAAATGTCGGAGAGAGAGGGTTCAACATTCTGGATGCGGTGCCTGGCGTCTTCATGGCCGATTTGAGAGGCTGTCCGGCGGCACCATTGGGATCACTTCGAATGTACACCGTCTGCTCGACGGGTTGATTGTCTGCGATGTAGCCGAATCCCACATCTGATGGTTTGGGTCCTGGAGTGTTGGCGTTCTCCATCGGATCGGCAAAGGGCGATTGACTCTCGCCAGGACCTGAGGCGGGCGAGAAGACAGAAGTCGCTTCGGCAAAGCGAGCCCGCCGCACGCGCGGGTTGCCGCCCCCGGTGGAAGAGCGTGTGGAGGCCGTTGAATTTGTGCGAATGGAGCGAGTGGTTGCTTTGATATCTGATTTCTCGTCGAGGTCTGGGTCGTTGGTGAAGCGTGTAGTGCGGTGGGAGCGAGTTTGGGAGTCGACGGTGAGGTCGATGGGAGATACTGGTTCAAAGTTGGATGGAGTCATGGTGGGGGAAGCGAGAAGATCAGTTCTTTATCGGGGAGACGTTAAATCCAGCCCAGTCTCTTGGGTAGCGTGGGACGGGGTTTCCCCAATGCGCAAGTGGCAGTTGGTCGGTGCAAGCCTTGGTGCTGCTGTGCGGTGGCTCGTCTGTAAGTCGGGAGGTTGGACTAGCAGGTGACCGATGCTGACGTGAGACGGGAGCAGATATACAGGCAAGGCGGCGGCACTCTTTCGAGGGAGAGGTGCACGATAATAATAATAATAATGTTTTGTTATACTGTCGAGAACCAGCTCTGGATTGTGGGCAAAGGGAAAAAAAAAGGATAGAAGGTGATGAGGTGGTAGAGGGAAAGGTGAGAGAGACACAGGCCGATGGGCGAGCTGGTCGAGTATTAGGTTGGAGGATGGACGACTTTGACTTGTGAGCTGACGACCCGAGGCGCTTCGCGGGACCCAAATGTGACTTGTTCTGGGCAGTAATAGTATGCAGATGGGCGACGACAAGACTACCACCAAGTGCCCTGTGGGATGTGCTTGGGTGCAGGGTGGAACAAGCGTGGTCGCAATTGGCGCTTTGAGGTCGGTCAACCGGTCTCTTATTTTCCAGGGTTTCCAGCTTCTCTCCTCTTGGGAGTTTGCGGTCAGGCGGGCAATGGTGGGCGGGCGGTGCTTGGGGGCAATGGGCCAGGATTCAAAGAAAAGACACAAGTACTCCGTACTCAGCGAAGCCTGCGCGAGCTTGGAAAAGGGAATATAAGGGCGCAGAGAGGGCGAAGGATCGAGGCTGGAGGTGAGGATGAGGTGCAGGTGAAGGAAAGGTGAGAAGGAAGAGGAAGACCTACGGAGATAGCGAGTACTTGGAGTAGTAAATGAAGCTTTGCCTTTGGATGCCCTGTTAAGATCAAATCCATTTCTTCCCGAGATGGGGATTGACTGGGCGCTTGAGAAAGATGGAAGATGTGAGGACGAGCAAGAGGAGGCTGCAGCATGATGGGGTTTGGATGGGCGGGTCGAGCGCAACGAGAGCAACAAGAAGACAGAGGAAAGTGATGAGGAACGAGCAATATCGGCTTGATTGGACTCGAAGCATTGAGGAAGCGCCGAGACATGGCGAATGAGCAGCGACATAGCTGGGCCATCACAATGCAGGCCACTGGGAGCAGGTGATGGCACTGATGGGCATGCAGGGCAAGAATTAGGGCCGCCTCCAAGTTCAAGCAGGGCTAGTGCATTAGGCTAGTCGGCATTACTTACAAGTACAGGTACTTGTACCTGGGACAGCCAAGTCATGCCTAGGATCACTCCAGAGAGCAGGTGAGAGGGGTCCTGGGGGGTCTCAGGTACTGTATGTACCTACCGAGGACTGTCCCGTAGTGGCATGGTGGCCAAGTTCTAGGCCTGGTGCCTGCCAAACCTGCAGCGGGGAATAGCGGGGCCCTACCGGGCCTACCCAGCCTACCAGCGGACAAGTACAAGTATAGCACACAGAGCTCATCATTCGGCCCATCTCGCTATTTTTGGTCATTCTATCGAGTACGAGGCACCTCCTGGCACCTCGTACACACTGGCTGGCTGCCACCTGCATGCCTTCAACCCTATGATTTTCTATGTTTGGAAATTCTCTGCCCTGCTAGCTATGTACCGAGTACTTGGGCTTCAGCACTAATTTCTGATTGGCGCTTAGCCCTCACCAGTCCGGAGAGATACTCACTCTGTAATCTATTCTCTTTGGTCCCTCTGAACGCAATATGTGTGGTGTGTTGGTCATGGACAGTCACGGTACAACCTGCTCCGCTCGTGGCTTTTTCGAGCCGCTTTGTCCCCGATCCGCCTTCAATAATGCTGTTTAATCCATCCCTGGTCATTTATTTTCATCTTCCCCATAGCTCGCATACTCTGAATAGCACCCTTACCAGATCCATCTCATGTCCCACCCCACGCGTCAACAGATCCGACTCTCAACAATATGCCACTGGCAGTTCAGCCACTGCGTACTGCTCCAGACCTTTGGTCTTGACAACTTTCTTGACTGGCATGTTCCAGCTGGGAGTCTGGTCGCCAAGTGGGAGTTTGATGGTTAATGCCTTGATCTTGGTCGCTTTGCGCTTGCTTGCCATCTCCGCTTTGAGCCTTTCCTCTCGTCTCTTCTGCTTTGTGCCCTCTGCGCTCATCATCATGTTCTCCAGCTCCTTTGCCGTAGCTGCCACCTTGACCGGGTGGAATCGCTCGTGTTCTAGAGTGAAATCCACGCGGTCCAGGCCGTCCCCAGCAAGTTCCCGAAAAGGACGAGCCCAACTCTCAGTGACATCCAGTCGGCACGGCCAGTCGAAGAAAGTGACGTCAAGGGTCAGCTTCTGAAGCGCCGTTACCTGATGCTTGATCTGTCGCAACAGAGCGGCCCATCTCGCATCGTGTCTCAATTTCCACTGGCGGTCAGCCAGCCACCTGGGTTCGGCGTACCCAACGTGGGTAATCTCAAGGGCTCGGATGCTCGTGCGGGCATGTTCAGGAATGGTTTTGAGGAAATTTCGCACCACAACAATTCGGTCGAAGCAGAATGTGGTTCTGGCATAGATGAACGGGACGGCTTCCTGGTTCATCTGACGACAGCTCAGGAGGAGAGAAACCCCAGTTGCCTTGCCGGTAAACTGGCCCAGCAGGCGATGAGGGGGTAGCTTGTGTTTCTTAAAGGGCTCTCGTTGCTTCATCAGCTGGAGTTCCTTCTGAGGATGGTTGGCTGAGATGATGACCCGAGCTTCAGGTATGATAAGATCATAGATTCGATTTCTGATCTCGCCGGGCAGCTTGAAGAAGGCGAAAGGCTTGGGAGGTCGGGAAGGGGCAGGTTTGGGGATCTTGGCCATGGGCTCAGTGGTTGGACGACGAGTCTCTGCTTGGGGTCGCGGAGCAGGTGGGCCGGTGAGTTGAGCAACCGGTCGGAGGACATGCTGACGATTGCGGTGGGGAAGCAAACGATCACGCTTTGGAGATGGCATGATGGCTCTTTGTTGTCTGCATGAGCAAGGCTTGTCTGAGGAATGATGCAGGAAATCCTCTGTAGGCGAGAGCCAGGATGAGACGAGATGCCTGCTCCAAGAGACAAGCAGAAGGGAATCGTCAAAGTGGGAACCAAGCAGGATAAATCAAAGGTAGGTTGGGAAAAATGTGTGTGAAGAAGAAACTAGTGATAACCAGCAAAAGCGAAGCACGTTGAATGATGTCGACTGATATTGAGTTTGCAGTGAATCATGAAAGCGGCAGGCACCCATGCGTCACATGATCCAGCAAGTGAATGGGTGAGAGTGACGCGGTGTTGCGACAATGGTCTGTCCAATTCAGCAACAACAATAGGCTACTGAATTGGACATGGGCATCTGTGTGCAGTTGGAGAGCCAGAGGTGAGAGGGGGAGCTGGGGCGGCAGCAGCAAGAGCGAGGATGACGGCGAGGTTGAGGTTGAACCGCGGGATCTCCTGGCGGGCGCTATCTTAGATCAAAGCAACACATTTAGTTACATACCCATGTGTTCCTCCCCGAATAGAGTTGGGCTTGGTGCTCTTTTCTGCGCGTTGCACAGATTCCTTGCTCCCCGGGTGGCTCTCCACAGGAGCAAAAGGCACTTGTCTGGAAGCGCTGGCGATATAGGGCATGGTTGTGTGCTTCGCAGAGTGATCATTAATAGGGGGGAGAAGGGAACTCTCCGGTGGTCTTCCCTGGCATGTTCGCCAGCATAATCGCATAACCTCAGCTAGGCGAGCGGGGAATGTCTCCTGAAGACGTGAAGGCCTCCATACCAAGCAAGGAGGCACAGCAAAGTTGTCTAACCTTTGGGGCTCTCCAGAAGCCAGCGCTGAGTGAAGCCAATGGATATCCGCCCCCTGACAAGTACAACCATTTTTTCTCGCTATTATTAAACCCAAAATTAGCAGCGGTGCCCGGAAACGGAAACTTCCCCGCAGCTTCCTGTCTCCTGCCAAGCCGCCTGCAACTGAGCCGCTCACTTGGAAAAGCCCTTGGTCCTCCGCATATCACTACCAAATAGCGTATGGTAATGCTGTGTTGATCCCCCCCTGGCCCATGAAACGGCTATTTTTTGATATGTCATAGTGTACAATCCGCGCATCACCTTGCAATCCTAAACTTCTTGCAAAGGACAGCAGCACATTACTCGTACAGTGCACATCTCCTTCCCCCCCGAGCCAAACAGTCACAAATCCTGTTTCTTCCCGTGTCGCCTCTTCATGTCGAAGTATCCGCTAACGTTGTCGTCTAGATCGGCCTGGTTGGTTCCTGGGAGAGTTTTCTCATCATCTGTTTCGCCGCTCTTGGAACCCTCGGCCTCCTCATACAAGTCCCTGAGCTCATTGATCCGAGCAAGGCGATCCAGCTCCGGGTTATACTGGAGGTGCCGCTTCAGGACCACTCTTTCGTACCAACTGACATGTCTGGGCTGGATTGTGATGCCGTGGTAATCTTGAGGTCGTCCTTCCCGAATGAAATGCCAGTATCGTTCCTGCTTACGAAGGCCGAGACCTGTCGTATCCGGGATGAACAAAAGAGTGAGAATAAAGCCTATGAGGCCAAACCAGCTGACAACCTATCGGGCACATCAGTCCACTCCTCTCGAAATTCAATCAGTCCATCACGTATGCAAAACTTGGTCCTACCCCCGATGTAGTTGGTAGATACCAGTTGCACATAATGCACCCAATTTCCCGACTGCTGCACTAATACCATGCGCTGTAGCACGAATTGGGCCCGGATACACCTCCCCGCCACCAAGAAGGTAGTAGAGTTGGGGTCGAATTGAATCCAGAAACAGCTGAAAAAGTAGATAAATTCAAACGCCTTCCCTCCGGCTCCCTTGACATCCAACAACAGCTAAAGCTCCGCCGCAATGATGAACGGAATGAAGGACACGATGAATCCCATAGTTTGCATTCTCTTGCGGCCATAGATTTGTGATCCACGAAGAGGGCTGCCAGGTAACAGCTGGCGAGCTCGTTGCCAATGTTGATCAGGTGATAAAGCCACAACGCCCCAACCTGGCTGGAACTGGAAGCGACAATCTGATCTGGCGTCGCAATGCAACACATGTATCAAATTATTCATCTGATTCCCCATTTCTGACCAGGCTGAACAGAATTCTTTGTTAAACTGATACAACGAATCAGATAATCAAAGCCAATATGTCCATGTGGTTCGAGAGCAGCTACGAACTGGTAGACAGCAAAGCAGGGTTGTTCCCTTCGTCGCAGATCGATCTGGCGATTTCCGTTGATGTCCCGGGTTTGATGTCATAGAGAATCGCGCCACAGGTTGGGCCACCTTGGTCGATGCTTGCGAGGCCTCTTGCTCTTCAGCCAGGAACAAGTTTGTCAAGTCTTGGTCAAGCTTTGTCAAGTTTGAGTCATGCTCTCCACCTTCATATGCTTCGCCGTAGGCTTGGCATTACGTCGGGAATGTAGACCTTAAAGCGCAGTATCGAAATTTCTTGCTTTGCATGAGTGGCATGGTGGAAGCAAAATCATCAACGTGAAGTTCTTTTTGTGATAAACTCCCACAGTCATACAGCGAACCATCACTTATCAATGCGGCTTGCCCTGTAGACGACTTATCCATCGACCCAGGCAACCTCCCTTCCAAACCTCCGGAATTTAAGCCCGAGTGGTATTCAACTACGATGGCTTCCCAGAAGATAGGCATGTCACCTTTGCCACGTGGACCCTGCACCGCTTACATTATATTCTAACCCTGTTAGCTATCCTTTCGGTATACGACAAAACCGGCTTGCTCGATCTCGCCAAAGGCTTGATCAAAAAGGATGTTCGGCTGCTGGCTTCTGGTGGGACAGCGAAAATGATCCGAGAGGCCGGTTTCGGTGTCGAGTGCGGGATAACACATCTTGTCCAATTTGGCAAATTTGCTAATGCCCTTTAGAGATGTCTCTGCTATCACAAAGGCACCCGAAATGCTCTCCGGTCGAGTCAAGACCCTTCATCCAGCTGTCCACGCAGGGATCTTGGCTCGAGATCTTGCTTCTGACGAGAAAGATCTCGCTGACCAGAACATCAACAAAGTCGACTTTGTCGTCTGCAACTTGTACCCGTTCAAGGACACTATTGCTAAGATCAACGTGACCATCCCGGAAGCCGTAGAAGAAATCGACATTGGAGGAGTCACTCTTATCAGAGCAGCGGCCAAGAATCACGCTAGGGTAACCATTCTGAGCGATCCCGAAGATTATCACCACTTTCTTGAGGAGTTGGACAAAGGCGACATATCTGAAGAGAGTCGCCAAAAATATGCTCTGAAGGCTTTTGAACATACTGCCGATTACGATGCCGCCATCTCTGACTTCTTCCGCAAACAGTACGCCGGTAATGGTGTGCAACAGCTCTCCCTTCGATACGGCGCCAATCCTCACCAGAAGCCTGCCGCCGCATTTGTGCGCAATGGTAAGCTGCCTTTCAAAGTTTTAGGTGGCTCGCCCGGCTACATCAACCTTCTCGATTGTCTAAATGCCTGGCCCCTGGTGAAAGAGCTCCAGCAAGCAGTAGGACTGCCAGCTGCTGCAAGTTTCAAGCACGTGTCTCCTGCGGGCGCCGCTATTGCAGTACCGCTGAACGAAAAGGAGCGACGAGTTTACATGGTCGACGACATCGAAGGGATCGAGACATCGGGTCTAGCGCAAGCATACGCTCGAGCGCGTGGTGCGGATCGCATGTCGAGTTTCGGCGATGTGATTGCTCTCTCCGACAAGTGCGACGTCCCCACCGCGAAAATCATCTCTCGAGAGGTTTCTGATGGAATTATTGCGCCAGAGTATGAGCCCGAGGCGCTGGAAATCTTGAAGAAGAAGAAGGCGGGTAAATATCTGGTACTCCAAATGGATGAGACCTATGAACCTCCGGCGCAAGAAACACGCACCGTGTATGGAGTCCAACTAACGCAAGGACGAAACGACGTCAAAATCTCGCCCAACGAGACATTCAACTCCATCATCCGTCCGAAAGATTCTCCGAAGCTGTCGGATTCGGCGCTGCGCGATCTCACTGTCGCGACCATTGCGGTGAAATATACCCAGTCAAACTCTGTCTGCTACGCATTGAACGGTCAAGTCATTGGTCTTGGTGCCGGGCAGCAGAGTCGGATTCACTGCACGCGACTAGCAGGCGACAAGGCCGATAATTGGTGGATGCGCTTTCATGAACGCACACTATCGATAGTATGGGCCAAGGGTGTCAAGCGGGCAGAAAAATCCAATGCCATTGACATGCTGTGCTCAGGCCAGGTACCTCCTCAGAGCGAGTTCGAGACCAAAGATTATGAGCGCAATTTTGCAGAAGGGTGTGTACCCAAGCCATTCTCTCCTGAAGAGAGACGGCAATGGTTGGACAAGCTTGGCGAGGTTGCCGTTTCAAGCGATGCTTTCGTGAGTTCTGTTTCCCATTCCTATCGTCTTCACTGACATGAGCCAGTTTCCATTCGTCGATAACGTATACCGAGCCGCCCGAAGTGGCGTGAAATACATTGCCGCCCCGACTGGCTCACAAAATGATGGAGCAGTGTTTGACACGGCAGATAATCTGGGGATAACCTTCATTGAGCAGAGCACGAGGCTGTTCCATCATTGAATACCTTTTAAATAGGCCGCGAGAAACTGTCGGAAGGAGGCTCTTAACGCGTGGTTCAACGAGGGAGACGGATATTGGCCTCAACGCCATATGACGATGCTGTACGACCGACATGTCAAAGGAGATGCTTCCATGCGGAAGATCTCGACTCATGATGGATACCCCCCCAAAAACGTACATAGACACGCATGGATATTCCAATTCACACCAAAATGTCTTGACTCTGGGGGGCCTCAGCCCTAAAATATCAATGGATCCTCGTCACCACGACGACCCCTTACCTTTTATGGTAGTTGGGCGATGGTCCAAGATTCAAATTCTTTAGGCAACCGGTCGTTGCTCCGATGCCCGTGATCCTTCAACCACCAGCATCCTGCATACCTATGCCAGGGCAAAAACAATGTGAGTTCCATTGTGCAGCTGTCGTTACTGATAGGTACTGACATGTGTCAGGAGTGTCGATGGATCGCCTCAATCGCGTGAACAATGTCTGAAAATATATCGTAATGACGAGTTATCTTCGACTCCGACTGCCGAGCTGATAGTGGCTTCGCCGCCGGTTCTTTGACCCCTATTCTTTTGGACCCCAAGCCCGCAGGAGACTTCAATCGTTCTCCGTCATACATCAGACCGCCTCTCCCAGTGCTGCTCCTCGAAGATTCCTAAGAAACTCGACTTGGAGCACTGGGAGCAGGCCGTTTCTCGCACGTTGGACTCTTTGCCGTTCCAAAATCAGCAAAGATGGTCTCACCACAAGACATCAGCTTCGGCCTGGTCACGACATGGCTCGGCCTTGTAGGCTATCTTATTCTGGCCAAAGTTGTCTACGACCTCGTCTTAGCAGTCTACAGAATCTACTTCCACCCGCTTCGGCGTTTCCCCGGCTCCAAACTTGCCGTCGCCTCATACTGGTATGAAACTTACTACGATGTCTTCAAAGGCCATCAATATGTGTGGAGAATCAAGGAAATGCACGAAAAGTACGGCCCCATCATTCGCACCAATCCGGACGACGTGCACATCCACGATCCCGACTTCTTTGACGCGCTCTATGGCTTGAAACTGGACAAGTGGGCGTGGTGGACGCGGGGTTTTGCGGTGCCCACCGCCGGAGGTATGACCGTTGAGCATGAGATCCATCGCAAAAGACGGGGAGCGTTGAACCCCTTCTTCTCAAAGGCCAGCATTGTCGCCAACATGCCTGTCATTCAAGAGAAGTTGGCCGTCATGTGCGAACGGCTAGATAAGATCAAGGGGAGTCGCGAGGTGTTGGATCTCGAGGCCGTGTATTTGGCCTTGACCACCGATGTTCTAACGCAGTGTTCTTACGGTTGGACGTACGATTACATCCACCATCCGGAATGGGCCATGACCTGGAAGCTTGTCAACACTGGTGGACGCGCATCGGCAGCTATTGTGCGCTCGTTCCCCCTGATCGGCGCCATCGTCCGCTCGATGCCCCTATCCGTGGCAATCAAACTGGTTCCACCAGTCGGATTCATGAAATCCTGGATGCAGCGTGTCGGCATCCAGGTGAAGAAGATCAAATCCGATCCGGAGACAATGCAAGCCATCAAGACCGAAAAGAGGCGCAAGGACACCATCTTCGCCCAGATTTTGTCGAGTGACCTGCCCGAGGATGAATTGAGCGATGAACGATTGATTGATGAGGGCGTCTTGATTGCCACTGCGGGCTCTGAGACAACCGCCTGGGCCATTACCATTACGACGTACCATATCATGAAGAACCCGGATGTGCTGGCAAAGATGCGCGCCGAGTTGTCCCAGGTCGAAATCCCGCCCGGTGACCCAGTGGCGCCCTGGACATCGCTGGAAAGGATGCCCTATCTGACTGCCGTCATCAAAGAGGGTGTACGGATGGCCGGTGGAATGCTGTCACGCTTGCCAAGAGTCTATGACAAGCCAATCCAATATAAAGAATGGACCATCCCAGCAGGCACGCCCGTGGCCATGACACCACACCTGGTCCTCATCGACGAGAACATCTTCCCCAAACCCCGGAAATTTGATCCCGAGAGATGGCTCGACGAAGACGCCATCGCCGAGGGCAAGACCACAAGCCGTCTGGACAAGTACATCGTCGCGTTCGGCAAGGGATCCCGGAACTGTATCGGCATGCACTTGGCATATGCGCAGCTGTACATGTCCGTGGCGGCCATAGTGATGCGATATAATCTGGAAATGTACCAGACGGATGACAGCGATGCGACGCCCACAAGGGATCTATTCACGGCCGGGGTCAAGCTGGATAGTCAAGGGATCAGGGTTATTGTGCACGACAAGGATGAGAAGATATAGATAGCAGAGAAAGAGCTTGTTAGATTGCTGCGGTTCGCGCATGAAAGGTTTCGGGCATTGGCTGTTTTAGAGCAGGCTTCCGCCTCTTCTTTTGAGATCGTCAACCGTAGAAATCGCTTAGACATAGATGATGTAAAAAGAGTCGGGGACGGCTCTTCCAGAGGAAGGCTTTCTTGTATTCGATCCAATTCCACCCAAGGTCTTGTTTAGCGTCATCTCATCTCGTACATGTCGATTTCACTCGCCCAGCTGTTTCGCCCTCCAGTCCCAGTACTTCTTCCGGATGGGGTCCCACTTGTTGCCCAGCGCCTCCAGGCACGCCCTGCTCCTCTCGATCTTGCCATCCAGGCGATAAATGTCGGCCAACCAATCAATGGCGTGGCTGCTCTTGACGCTGCCGCTGTCGCTCATCAGATCGGCGCCCTTGCCGCCGACAAAGCCCTCGCAGAAGACCTGGAGATCGGTCACGGGGATGGCAGCGCGCTTGAGCACACCCTTGAGGTAGTTCCATGGCGACGGGTTCTGCGGGGCCCACGCAATGTGGTCCTTGGCGTAGTTGATCTCCCTTTCGACCAGTTCCTCGTCGACGACTAGCTTGCCGCTCGCGAGCACGTCTTTGCGGATCTTGCTGTCTGAGTCCTCGATCGCCGCCAGTTCCTCGGCGCCGAAGCAGACAAAGTACCGGTGGTTCCAGGCCGAGTTGTTGCGCACGTCCTCGTTGATGAGGGCGTCGACGGCCTGCAGCTCCATGTCCGTGGTCAACAGCGGGTCCGGGAAGCGACGGCAGAGCCATTGGCGGTACGTCCAGACGTGGTAGTTCTTGGCGTCGAAGGAGAGGATGTGCGTGATGAAGTCGGCTTCGTTGGGTGGGAGGCTCGGCAGGAGCGAAACCAACAGTTGGCGGTGGTGCCTGCAAACGAGAGAAGGCATAAGTCGGGACGGAAGATGTGACAATTTCTTTTGGGCGCTGTAGTTTGAGCATGGAATAAAGAACAGAAGAAGAAAAGCCAAGTGTGCGAGATAGGCAAACTCACCAAATCTGATAGTTCTTCAAGTTCCGCTCACTGACTCCTTCCAACCACTCCAGCTCCTGGCCGACTCCGTCCTCGACACTCACTTCCTCCTTCTCCCACAGCACCTTCAATATCTTGGCACGATACAGCCACACCGTGTAATGCGCCGGGTTCATGCCGATAATGTCCTCGGTCAGGTCCAGGGCTCGCCGGCTTAACTCGTTGGTGGCCATCAAGGCCCTCAAGTAAGACATGGCTTCGCTGTACCGCACCGAGTAGGCAATGGTGGCGAGCGCCGGACCGGGATCTTTCTGGCCTGGAGGACCGTCGATGAGGGGGATGGGGACGACATCTTTCCACAAGGGCGACACGGCGTAGAACGGTTCCTTGGACTTGGCTTTGGGTTTTCTGGGTGCCGTGGTCGAAGCGGCTTCAGCCATGTTTCGCAAAGCAGATGTCAGCCTTCAAAGGGAAGCTTCGATGGAAAAAGCATGTATCTTGTCAATCCGACGAGCAGCCTCGTAGAACGCTGACACGACTGTCCAATCTAGCCTTGTTGAGATCAAGTCGCCCAGTCAAAAAGGATACAATCTCACGACCATGTCACACACCTTTGCCGGAATGTCTAAAAGCCCGCACAAATAGACGAGTAGATAAATTCGCACGATGATGTTCAATCCATTTAACCAAAAACGTCCGTGGGAATGAAGAGAACAATACGAAGTTGAAATCCACCTCGGAGGAATCTGAATGTTTGTCTCCGACTGATCCACGTGACTTACAGATGTCGTCTCTTCGCGTACTAGAATTTGGTCATTGAAACAATATATAATACATAAACCGCGACGACTTTTGCTCCCTCATTAACTAGATAGCCCTTTCATTTGATCCTTGATGCGTTGCGCCTTCGCTAATAAGACACCAAGGAACAGGTTCATCGTCGACTACCTCCAGAACTTCCATTCTGGCCGCCTTTCGGTCAGGCCAACACCCACCAAGGCTTCAATCCCCTCTTCACCTTCGGCGTTGAGGAACTTTTGCTGGTCAATTTCTTCACCTCCTTCTTCCTCTGTGCCATTGTGCAAGACTGCAGGGTAGAGCATGCCGACACCACTGCCCCCTAGGGTAGTCGTGTACTCTTCAAATCCTGCAGCCTCGAACTTCTCCTTCAACTCAATAATCGCAGCTGGGTCAACGCCTCGCTTGAGTAAGGTGATGGCACATCCACCGCCACCAGCACCTGTGAGTTTGGTCCAACCAATATCGGCGTAGTCCACCAACTCTCGAATGTGTTCCAGCTTGGGATGAGACACTCCCAGCGATACCAGCAACCCATGATTGATGCGGAACAAATCACCGAGATGTTCGATATTTTGCTCTGACACGGGGTCAAATTCGTCCGAAGTAATCAAAGCGTGCGCTGACATTGTAACCTCGTCAATGCTGTCCAGTGTCGCCTCGGTTACCGCTGGATATTTCTTCTTCAACGCGGCGACTTTGGCGACCTCTACCGCGGTTGTACGGGGCTGTTTCGTGTTGATTAACAACAAGGGAAGTTCAGGGAAATCTTTCAATGGCGTGGCACTCGGTGGCTTCGAATAGTCGAGTCTCTTGAACAAAACAGCCCTGCCATGTGTTGCTACAGTATTGTCCACTCCACTGGGATTGCCATGGATGCATAACTCGCCAACAAAAGCCCACTTGTTTATTCTCTCAAGTTGCATCTCGATTTCCTCTTCCGGTTGATCGTGGTGCGGTCCGGATAACACATGGATCTGTTTGAGAAGGGCAGCGCTGATGCAAACGCAAATGCTAGCACTCGATCCAAGACCTGCGCTAACAGGTAATGTAGACCGTAGTGTATAAATACAAGCCTGCGCAGCAGGCGTCTGAAGGCACAGAAACAGATACAGGAAAGCAGAAGCCGCATTTTGATGTATCCTTCTCTTGTCTCCGGCCAAATGGACGGACACCGTTTCGATATGCGGTTTCATGGCAGCGACGAGCTCAGGATCCAACGACGTCACCATGTCGTAGTATCGAGGTTTCCGCGTGGTCTTTGTGAAGATATGCCAAGGTAAATCATCGATATTCCAGGTGTGATCGAGTCCGATATCCGGAAACACGAGCTGAATTGTCCGATGCGATTTCGAGAGGGTCGTAACCAGGAGATAGGATCGAAGGGAGACGGCGGCGGCCATTGCGGCCTTTCCGTGAACAACAGCATGTTCACCAAAGACAATGACTTTGCCTGGGGCAGAAGTCATGAAAGCGGGAGCCATAGGGGACGACTGTTTGCGTGATGCGAGGGATTGTCGCGGCAAGCCATCCTTCGAGTGGCCGTTGACCCCGTTGACCCCGTTGACCCCGTTGGCTTTGGAAGTGCCATTCATAGCTACCTCGACGCGATGGACCATTGCCTTGATGCAAGACGTAAACAAGGCGACTGGAAGCGCAGCCCCTCCTCAAAAGAGCGGTGCTGAGATGGTTGCGGCAAGTAGGAAGGTGAGGTGGAAAGAGGGTGTTTAGGTGAGGATTATTTTTGCCAGCGCAGCACAGCCCGCAGGTTCAACACGTTGTCGACTTTAGACGATTCTCCGTTCCAGCCACTTAAGCTTATCGCTTGGGGTCTTTAGGGGTTCACTAACTGCGAGTGTATGCAGGAACCGGCCACTCTTGGCCACCCTCGCCCCCCGCTTGCCCGTGGTCGGCCCCCGCTGACTCCCTATCCGAGTGGCGCCAGCAACCAACAAACCAGCACAGCGATGAATGTAATACAAAGTGCATGGGACTTGGCGACCAGTCTTGGGAGTATTGTACGAGGTCCCGAGTAGCTACTAGAATACCCATCCAGCCATCCTCTCCTAAGAGCCGCGTCTACCCCAAATCACTCTGAATCAGAATCACTGAGCTCCTCGAACCTCCCTTCATCGTTGGCTTCCTCCACTGGGTTCTTGACGGTCACCACCCCCGTCCCTCTGAGCCTCTCGAACAACACAAACATTCTTTCCGCTTCCCGTTCTTTTTCTTCTCGCGTCATCTCGGGTAGTTCAATTGGTTGTTCTTTGTCGAGTCTCTGTCCAGTGATGGGATTAACAGGGATCTCGCTGGAGGATTCACCTGGGACTTGGGACCTCTTCGCACTTTCTGGGATAGGGATTTTATGGGTCATCAAATATCCTGCAGCGTAGCCATATCCCACGTTCCTGACGTATTGATTGGCATCTTTGTCGGAAAGTTCAAACATCAGTCCTGAGATCGCTTCAGACAAGTTCAGCGTCCCCGAAGACGTGGTGAGTCGCAGAAGCTGTGAGGCCAGCGAAGATGATTTCCCAAGGGGTTGGTCCCTTTCCTTATCGTCAGGCAAGAGCCGTATCCTCATAGTGTTACGGAGCTCGGGTCCTGCAGCCTCGTTGATGTTCCTTAGGACTGTCAACAATGGAACTACAATCGTGTCTAATTCCGTCGAGGAGTGCTCTTGGATGGCCCGTTCGAGGATCGTCATCAACTTGTCTACTGTCGGTTGTACTTCGCTGGCCTTCGTCATGTCAGGGTCAATATCCAGGTTGGCCAAAGCGTTCACGAGCAGGCTTATCGGCGGCTGAAGCGCTGGCGACGGGATATCTGAATGGATGAGAATACGGAATAGCTCGACGACAGCAGGCTGAAACCTTGCAAATTGATCCGTTCTGACACTTGTGCCGTTGAAAAGAAGTTTGAGGGTTTCCATTAGCGCCACATTGCCCGGACTGGCCGGGCTCTTCGGCGTGGACTTCTTCGCCTCGTCTGCGTGACGAGAAAGGTGCTTCACGATGGTGTCTGCCAGACTGTGATCTGCTATCAGGGATTTCAGGTCAATGCCAGGGTCATAGGTCATCAGGAACAGTATTCGGGATAGAAGAAATTCGTCGTCGTCGTCCGCATCCTGGAGTGCATCCGTTGCTTTCTTGTCGAGACCGAGTTTGAGCGAAGATTGACGGGCTGCTGGAAGCAAAAGAAGTGCATTCGCCATGCATCTCAGCGCTTCCCGGCGCACTGATGGGGGAAATTTTCCAAATGCGTAGCTCCCCAGTGCCTTGATGCCATCGTCATTATAGATCCCGGAGACGTTATTGACATTGCGGCCCAAGACTTTCAGATTGGCCAAGGTCTCTTCGCGTTGCTTTTGTTCCAGGGTTTTGGCTTCCAGGTCCTTGGTCAGCAGGGCAAGCAAAGCTCTCGTCTCATTTTGTTGGGTCTGGTTCGCCATTGTCAAGGCGCATAAGCGCTACGGACGTTTCAATGTCCGGCTCACACCGAATACAAGGACTGTGTAGGTAGTTCTAGTTGATGATCCCAACAAGATTCGAATGATAGGTAGCCGCGGCGTACTTGTACTTCATCTACAAACTTGGAATAATGTGTTGGGTGGGAGTGGTATGACTGAGCCATGGAAGTGTCGACAATCTTCGATCTTCGGGTGAGTGGGGCTTTCTGCTTAGGTAAGCCTGGCTCGCGAGGCTGGACAAGGCCCACCAATCAGGGCACCCAGGTCTCCAATTAAACACGAGATCCGCGTTTCGACGCGTCCCGCGAATGCGGCGAGGCTGGTCATGTCCACAGTGCTTCGCTTTATCTTCAGTTGTCAATGCTTCTTCACCTCGGACGCCTCTCCTGGAGTTTTTGCGAATTTTTGATTGATGGATGACTGCTGGCGGTCCTCAGTACCTTGACGATCATTCATTTTGTTAACATCAATGACGGAGTCTATCTCTGCAGTCTAATGCTGGTTTACTACCATCATGTCCATTCCCGATGTTCTTCCTCTGAGTCCCCCTTCGACGTCTTCACGCCGCAAAATATCTCTTCCTAATGCTTCGACAAATGCTACCAGCACTCCAGACTCGGCTGCATCTTTCCCAGGCTCATCAAACACAGCAACTCGAAAACGCGTGGGGTTTTCAATCTCTACGCATGCCCAAGAGCTTTCCTCAAGTCAACCGCCCTCTAGCACCACGAGACCACTGCCCTCTGTTTCAGGCTCCCAGTCAGCTCTGAAGTCGATTCTCAAACCTTGTCCCGTCGACGGGCACACTCTACAAACTGATGGTTCGCAAGAGGTCAAACGCTCAATGAGTGAAATGATGGAGAGCATCGTGCAACAGTTATCGCGTGATGACAGGTCACTCTCTGTCGACGCATATCAGACCCTTTCTGCAGTCATTCGAGAGTACGATGATATCCCAGAGGAGGATGTGCTGAAAGCCAAGATCAACACGATTATGAAATATATCAAACGGGACCTGCAGAAGCAACCTAATCCCGACGAGCCGCCCATCGCCGACACAAATCTAGTGACTCAAGCCTTGAAGGTGCTTGTCATTTTTGCGTGGAATCGCGACTATTCCTCTCTATTGACGGACGAGTATCGCATTTTCATCCTAGATCGGTCCATCCAGGTCATTGCTGAACATGCTGCACCAAAGGGGGTGATAATTCACTACCTCCACCTGCTAGCAACCCAAAATTTTCGCCCAGTTCTCGTTAACAACAACCGTGTTACACGACTGCTTGAAGCGCTGAAGGCTCTGACTGAGCATGTGAAGGGAAATGGTGTGGTCTCGGAAAGGCTCTTGGTCTATCAGAAGCTCCTTGACCAAGCAAGACCCACAATGAAAGCTAGGGCCAACCTATGGGTTGAGGAGCTATTGACAGGAATGACCAACTCGCTAAAAGATGTGAGGACAAAGGCGATCACTATGGGTCTGAAGGCATGCTCAGTGTTTCCCACATCCTCGTCCATCTCAGTCACTTTCAGGACTATACTCGAGAAAGAGCTGACGCCGGGAAAGACCTTCAGCTTAGCCATGTGCCGTAGACTGGAGAAGATGATCGCAGTCAAAGAAGAGGGGATTCAGGTTCCACAAATATGGACCATCATACTCATGCTCAGCAATGGTGTCGAGGACCGAGACCCCAACGGCCCTTGGCCCCGTTTTGACAAATGGCCACAGTTTATGGACTGGTTGAAAGTTATCCAGACATGCTTCAACTGCAGCGAGTTGGCCATTAAACAACAAGCCTACATGGCCTGGGATCGCTTTATCCACATCATCCAGCCTCACCAGACATCCGACACTTTGATGGCATTACTTGCAAAGCCCCTCACTGCCCAAATGGAACGTCAGTCCATAGAACAGACAACCAAAGGCACCCGTCCGACGGCGGTTTCTACTTATTGCACCTTGCTCTATTATGCTTTCCGACCAGCAGCTACACACAAGCAATATACCCGAGTCTGGAATGAATACATTGTCAAGGTCATGAAGAGCTCATTTTTTGAGAAGAGTACTGCCAATGCTGACCTAGCGTGTCGCATTTTCAAGGCGTTGTTCTGGAACTCTAAAAAGAGTACCAAGGTGTGGAACGAGAAACGGGCCCTGGAAAATACTCGAGTTGAGCCTGAGGAACTCCCCACGATTGACTGCAAATGGATTAGGGCAAAGTCCGAAGCGATTCTCGACATGTTTCGAGTACTAGTTCGACACAGCTCCTGGGGTGCCTCGGGTCAATCTCAAAGAGCATTTATTGCTATCGCCTGGTCACATTTCCTCAGAGCCTTACGAGAGGCGAGCAGCAAAGAAATCATACTTTCACACGAAACCGTCGACGCCATAATCAACGTGACCAACTGGTTAGGAGATGAATTCCTCTTGCAAAAACGTTCAAGACCAGATGCTGCAGATCAAGCAGATAACGCTCACCGACTCAGCTACGCCCAAGTGCGACGTTTGACGCTTGTTGTCATTACTGAACTTGGCAACGACCTGATCAAGCCTGGACTAGATTACACCATCCACCCATCCCACATCAACAAGATGCTTGTCATCTATGATACACTGGACTCTATCATTCCAGAATTAAAACATGATGAGCAGGATAGTTACACCTCTGAGGCGTTGAAGGTCGAATCCCGGTTATTACTCTGCAACTGCCAAGAACTTCTCGACTTTCTGAACGCCCTGCTTCTCCGAGATTTCAGAACAGTGCAAGCTCGAGAGCCAGGTGCTGAAAACTCGATGGTAGTGTTCGGTATGAGGCAGTTGGTGGAGAACGACATTGGTTGTTTTCCTCCGGGATATAATGTCCTTTTGATGAGAATGCTCCAGCCAACTCTTTGCGCGTTGTTTTCAGATTGTGGGGAGCGCTCCTCTCCCGACTGGGAGTTAGTCACAACTACCATGAACGCCCTTACCAAGGTACCCCCTGGTTCTATTGAAGAACTCGATGGCATTTTCGCCGCTCCATTCGAAAGTGCCCGCGCATTGGTGCGGGAGGACGCTGTCACGATCTGGAATAAACAGTTCAGCCATCTATGCTCAGTCACTATAGGCAGTCGTCTCTCAAAGGTCTTGCTCACGTTACGAAAAGAGGGTGTTGACGTTCATATTCCTGGCGATCTTCAGCCTGCTCGGGAACTGATGCCAGCTGAAATCCCAATACCCTCTGGACCTGGGGAAGCAATTACTCTCATCTCTAGGCATACATCGTTAAGTCCCAACAAAGCTGCACATGACACTGGACCTTCTTCGGAACTAGGGAGCGAGCACTTCGGGAATGTTGCTGCTGGACGACCTGACCCGGTTTTCTCAAGCCCGAGAAGACGAATTTCACGACCCAGGTCGAGACACGATGACTCTCAGATACACTTCGTGCCGATTGATTCGTCGCCAGCACGTCGACCTGATCCAGACTCGCAGTCACTGACAGAACATCAAATGGAAGTCCGGAATAGGCAGCGTTCCGAACCTGCTGATGTATTTCTGGATCTTCGATCAAGCCCGAGACCACATAGCAAGGCTCAAAATCAAAGCAACTGTGGTATTGCGCGTAAGGCAGCTGCTCTATCAGAAAGACCATCGACACCTACTTTGCCGACAGGTCAAGACCACCAAGAACCCGAAATACCGGCATCTCCAACCCCTCGGGCTAGACACGTTGCAAATCAAATAGCGGACATCGATGTACCTTCGTCACCGCCTTCAATGCCTGGAAACCGTGACAAAGTGGAGATTACTTCTTCCCCACCGCAAGCGGTTGCTGAAGATGGACAAGTGAGGATTGATCTTGCAATGGAGACAAACCAACTTGCGCCAACAGAAGATGTGACAGGTCAAACTTGGGCAGTTGTCGAAGAGAAAGCCGTCAACGTCCAAATGGATGTTCATATGCAAGATCAAAGCACTGAGGAGGACATGAAGCTTCACCCATCAACCGCGATTGCGCTAGCAATGGACGTAGACACGGAGCTTGATGAAGTGGGTTCCAGCCAGGTCATAAGACCTAGAACTGACAGCGACGAGATCGATATGCTTAGCGCCTCGCAATTGTCCCATGACCTTGATCAACATCTCAGCCAGGTAGTCGAGGATGAGGCGTTGCAAAATCTAGTGGAAACCACTAGTGGGCCCTCCGCGGAGCAGCAGGAACAAGCCAACCAGCAAAAGCCTCAGGTGCGAAGAGGCCGCAAGCGCAAGTCTAACAGCGTCAGACTCGGCTCGAAGAAGCGGAGAAGGCCAGAATCCTCATCACAGACGTCCTCCCAATCAATCGCAACAGACAGCGCCATGTACGATACGCCAGAAGAGATGTCGGGCTGCATTGTGGTTGCTCCGCTGCGGGCAGTCCAAGCGGTTGCAGCAAGTGAGCTCGCAGATTCAGCATCAACCGCCAGTGAGTCAGCGGGTGCTCCGAAGCGTCGGAGGGGCCGACCACGCCGGAAAACAGAGAATGTCAGTTCAACCACTAACTCACCTAGACGTCTGCGTGCCAACGTCGAAGTCATCGTGCCCGAAACTTCGACCTTTGAGAAAGAGAGAACGCCAGAACGTGGGATGTTGGCTCCTGCGTTGAGCGATGATGGAAATCCAGCGGCCGAGGATCCGCAGCCAAATTCAGATGGTGATGAAATAGCAGCCGCAACTGCTGTAGAGGCTGAGGAAGAAGGTGCTCGCCCTGGCATCAATGCTTTACTACAACTTGTCCTGGATCGGCTCGAGTCAGCCCACCCTGGAGATGTGGACTTACGGGCTGTGGATGATCTATGCTTTCAAATTCGTTTCCAGGCTCAAGTGATGGCTCAACGGCATGATGCTAGGCAGTGAAGATGGCTGGATAGACGTTATGGAGAGCTTACCTACTGTTATATGAAGAGAGTACAACATAGTGATCCTGTACGGAGGACAGAGGCACTGACATTGGTGTGAACATGATGTGAGCTCTGTATGAAATACAAAGGCGCAGTAGGTTGGGTTCCCATGCGCAAAGGGCCACCTCCGTAGCTGTCTTACAATCTTGTGTGAAGAGCGCTGTCTTTTTGCCCTGGACGAGGCGGTTGAACGATTTTCCTTATAGTGGCTCACGTGACGTGATCTGCGGAGATTCTGCTAAAGGCCGGGCTCCTTCAAGATGGTCATCCCCCCCATCCGCCATTATTATGCATTGACTCCCTGTCCATCAACTACCCCGAAGGCCGACACCGCAGCTCATCGCTCCTCTGACTCAACAACTCTCACGCTCTCCTCCTCCACTCTCCTATCCTTCCTGAACCTTGCGTCGCCCTCCTTTCTTCTTGCGCCAGTCGTTCCCTTGGGGTGTGTTTTGTTTGGGATTTTCAAGAGGAAAGCAAATTCAAAAAAAAAAATTCTAAAAAACTGCCGCAGCAGCAATGGCCGCGACTATCAAAGCCATCAATGCGCGGATCCGCTCCAACAAGGTCCTCGATTATTTTTGTTCAACACGTATGTTTTCCCACATTTCCTCCGAACCAGACGTCCGTCTTTGCGAAAAGATACGGCGTCCGCATATTGGCGTGACAGTGGTGGCCGGCGTGGAAAAGTGTTGAGCCGCGCAAAAAGAGGAGGAAAAATGGGCAACAGCAGAAATATAAGCATACCTGATCCGAACTACATGGGACTGACTGCGGTTTCTGGATAGATTTCTGGGGCCCAGCTTCGAATTTTGGTATCCCCATCGCCGCGGTGTTGGATACACAGAAGGACCCTGAGATGTACGTTCGGCCCCCCTTCCCTCCATCGTCTGGTTTGGAGACTACGACCTACGAACTCGGGATATGCAGTTTCTCTCTCCAACAAGCCCCGTCTCCTCTCCTGCTGTGTCAAGTTGCCTTGCTTCTGTTCCCCCTTCAACAACCCCCAGACAAAACGACTCCGGAGGACTGACATTGTCTTTGATCACAGCATCTCGGGACAATTCACAGCCGCGCTCACGATATACTCGGGGACGTTCATGCGATATGCCCTTGCCGTAACGCCGAAGAACTACTTGTTGTTCGCGTGCCACTTTGTGAATTTCAACGCACAACTCACGCAGGGATATCGGTGGTATGATTACTGGTAGTAAGTACACTCTTGCCATATACCTCCGCTCAGGTGTTCTGTTCTGCACTTGTCGTGCACGGATGTGCATGATGGCTGGGGATCCAGCCTCTGCAAATCAGACTGGTGACTTTAGCTTATTGCAATTGCTTTGGGATAAGCTAACCACGTGTGTTTGCAAATGTTACAGTGGCTCCGGGAAAGAACGCTGGGAAAAGATCCGTGCCGAGAAGGCCAAAGCGGAACTTGAAGGCACGGCCGACTCGATTGCAAGTCAGACGAAGGACAAAGTCCAAGGTGCCGTGGAGGAGGTGAAGAAGACGGTATCGTGATTGAGCAGACGTGGATGTGAATCGGAAGTGGGTTGAGACGTCGTGCATAATCCTGCATGTACGCAACTGAGACGTGCTTTTTTGATAGAGGGAACGACAACGAAGGAAAGCTCTCTTGGGCGGGAGGTTTCGGAGCTAATACATAGGAAACATGCGGAGCTGGCCCTTTCGACAGCACTAGGACGCGAAGGAATGGAATGGGAGAGTTGGTACAAAAGAATTGCTTTTGTTTAGGACTTTTTGTTTCTCTCGGTACTTTTGCATTCTACGTACGTAGAAGTGAAAGAAGTTGTACAGCTCAGTCCACCCGAGCGCGGTGCAGAACTGGAAGGGCCTTGAACTGTGACTGGATCTTTCTCTCTCCCTCTCTTTCCGTCTACGTGTGTTCTCACGCACGCTGTGGTGATGGCGATTGTGATGGTGCCGGTTGCGACGGGGGCCACCGGTAGGCACTCACTCTCAAGCATATAAATAGACTATACCGTTACAACACTCGCTTAGATTTGAGTCTTTTTTTGGGGAGTGGGGAATAGGGAGTACATATGAATCGCCTTGCCCTTGACCTATCACGCTTTTTTTTTTTTTTTTGGAATTGCTTTTCTCGACCAAAGCTCATCCAGTCGCGTTTGTTTGTTTGTGTCTATCTCTCTGCTGCGTGCTTGCTTCGTTCATCGACACTCACTGTGCACCTGACCTGACACACCAAAAGGGATTCCACATCTCGTCTCGTCTCGTCTCGTTGTGACATTCTCAACCCCCCACCAGGGATTCTCACACTCACTCTCCACGCTAAATGTGACGCTTTAAGACCCCTTGGTGAAGTTCTGCCACATGCCGCCCAGGATGCCAGGCTGGCCGGGCTTCTGCTCGGCCCAGTTGGCCTTGCGGTCGTCGTGGTTGTTTCGCTTCTGTCCCGTGAGCCCTGCAAACTTTTCCGACGTTGACGACTGTAGAACCACCACGGGAGGTGGAGATATGTCAGTCAAAGAACGAATACAAACACCATGTGTTTCCACGAGCAACGACATGCCATGTCCCAAAGAAATGAATGCCCCAATATATACTGCGGAGGGGGGTTAAAAGGTTACGGAAAAGACAATGCACTCACCCGTCTTCGCCCAGCGGCCCCAGGATTGGCGTTGGCCGCGGTCACCTTGGTATCCTCCTTGGGCGGGCTGCCAGAGGTAGAGGTCGAGCCCTGAGAGGACTGGCTGTTGCTGCGTGGCTTGTAGTTGTACTGTTTGAACCACATATTGTTGATTCCCCGTGTGTAGAGCTGGTCAAGGCTGAAAGTGGGTCCGGAGTGGATTCGTGGAGAGGTTTCGGAGGGCAATTCGTCCAAGAGGGAAAGGGGATGGTTAAGGTATCGTAGAATAGATCAATTCAAGGACTCGATGGTCCTGAGGAAAAGATACCAGGGGTACTTATATCAGTGGTAAGTACCAACGGTCCGTGTCGAAGAGTTCCTGTGGAGCAATGCCGCGTAGATGATACTGGTGACGTAGTTGACTGAGGTGGATGGATCAAAGAGTTGAGGAGATGGATCCCGGCTGTTACTTTTACACACGGATCGCTCAGATGGCCCTAAAGGCTCTTTGATCGAGCAAGATCGAGGCTTGGAGTTTTGATGTGGCAGCTGTGGCGCGTTATAGGAGCAAAGGGAGGTTGAAGCCGGGAAGATAACAGGGTGATGGAGGGGTGTGGACGACCATTTATGTACCGTACCGAGCCTCTGCATCTCCTTCGTGTTTTAATTACCCCTCGTTACACGACGCGTTCCAGCGTAGGTAAGCCTGAAGCTCGAGCTCGGTCCATCGAACCAACTGAGCACAGCACAGCGGCGACGGAGGGAGGCGAGGACTAACCGCGGAACAGCGAGAGCGAGAGCTGTTTGTCAACCCTGGCAACTCGCGTGCCGCCTTCCCATCTTTGGGTCGCCCGGGATAAGGATCAGTTGCGTCCACAAAGCAGAGGAAGGATATCAGGCCGACTGGACTGGCAGATGGACAAGGGCTGGATGGTGTGAGCCCTGGTCAGCATTATTCAGAGCAGTCATGCTGGCGCTGGGAGGCCACCACCTCGTTGCCTTCACAACGCCGTGTCCCAATCAAAGCGGTCGACTGCAGGACGGGCCCTTGGTAGCGCGCAATAGTGGGCTGTTCCCCGCATGCACATGAGTGGATAACAGAGACATCGTGCCCGCTTGAGGCCACAGTATGAACCTATCGAGAGACAGAGACAAGAAAGAGACAAGCTGCCGCGACGGAGACAGATGGAACGCGCCTGGTTGGCCAAGTAAGAGCAATGGGCCGAGGGCTCATCATTTTCACATGCCCTTTCGATCTTCATGATACATAGGGCGGTTATCAAGCTAACTCACGTGTATCGTAGGAGACCAAGACATCCCCCGGGAGCTAGGAGATAACAATATCGACCCAATACAGCCTTGCCTGAGCCCATAATAACAATGAGGGATACCTGCCCGTCTTGCCCCTCGGAGGCCCTTCTCCCATAACATACCCAAAAGCTGTCGTTCCCAAGCCACGTTGGCAGTCTCCTCCCCCATTTTCAAGCCATCTCTTCAATCTAGATCCCTGTCCTCACGCCATTCATGCCTTTGCAATCTTGCAAATCAAGTCCGATCCAGCGACAGAGTCCCCTTCTTTGACCAGGATTTCCCCGACTTTGCCAGAGTGTGGAGCGCTAATCACCATTTCCATCTTCATGGCGCTCAGCACCGCGATTGGGTCGCCCTTCTTGACCTCGTGTCCCTCTTTGGCTCGGACTTCCACAACCACGCCTGCCATAGGAGCGCCTACTTGACTGCTGTCGCCAGGATCAGCCTTGGGCCGGCTAGTATTCTCAACCGCCGCCTTGTTGTCGTCGATGGTGACTTGTCGAACTTCACCGTTGACCTCGTAAAACACTTCGCGTTGGCCTGTAGCTTCCGACAACGGTCCCACAGCCAGCAACTTCATGATCAGAACCTTGCCCTTCTCGAGTTCCACGTGGAATTCTTCGCCGATCTCGGGCTTGTTGAGGAAGTATTTGGTCGGGAGCACTGAGAGATCTCCATATTTGTCGACAAACTTACGATAGTCCTCAAAGACCTTGGGGTACATCACGTAACTGGCGATGTCGGTCTCGGCGCTAGTGTTGAATCTCTCCTTCAAATCTTTCTTGACTTTGGCAAAATCGACAGGGTCAAGGTAAAGTCCGGGCCTCTTGTCCATCTTCCGGCGACCACGGAGTACATCACTTCGCAACGGTTCGGGAAATCCGCCGTATGGCTGACCCATGTATCCCTCGAAGAATTCCAATACAGATTCGGGGAAGTCCAACTCTTTGGCCCTGGCCTTGACGCCTTCCTCGTCCAACTTGTTTGACACCATGAACTGCGCCAGATCACCTACCACCTTGGACGTCGGAGTGACTTTGACAATGTCCCCCAAAAGGTCGTTTGCCTGCTCATAGGCCTTCTTCGTCTCCAGCCATTGCGCGCCAAGACCGAGCTGAGACGCTTGGAAAATCAGGTTCGTCAGTTGTCCTCCTGGTATCTCATGTTCGTACACTTCCTAAAGATATTCGTTAGCAATGTCTCGATGATAACAGAGGGAATTCGGGGCTGAGGGGATCTCACTGGATCGGGGCCAGTCAAGCCAGCTTCGAATGGTGAGTAGAGTAGTCGAAGTTGGGACCAGTACTGGTCAAGAGCTCGAACATTGTGGCCATTCAAGCCGGGATCGTACTGGGTGCCCTCGAGAGAGGCAAGAAGAGCGCCGCAGCTGGGCTGAGATGTCATCCCACTCATGCTGTCAGTTGCAGTGTCGACTGCGTCAGCACCAGCTTCTGCACAAGCGACGTAAGTCGCAACTCCAGTTCCTGCTGAGTCGTGGGTATGGACATGGATCGGCAAATCAGGATACTTCTTGCGGATCGTGCCCACCAGGATCCGAGCAGCCTTGGGCTTCAGAACGCCGGCCATGTCTTTGATTCCGAGAATATGAGTGCCAATCTTGACAATCTTCTCCACTAGGTTCATGTAGTATTCCAAGTTGTATTTCTTCTTGGGGTTCTATTAGAGGGTTAGTGAATGTTCCAGCACTGTTCAGCTAAAATGACGAGGAAAAGTGTAATGACGGAGAGAAGAGAATCCAACGCGGTCCGAGAAAGTATCACTGTGCGACAATGTTGACGCCTGGGAGCTCCGTGGGCACATTGGGTGGTCCCAGCGTCCTTGTTCTCGACGCGCTTCTTGAGTAAATTTATGGTTCCCAGACGACCTCGGCAGTCGGTGGTCGTAAGCGCTCTCTCGACCAGATGGAAAGGATGATGAAGAACGAGAAAAGGAAATTGAAATCGAAATCAATCAACTCACCAACATATCACCGGAGTAGCAGATGGCGGCTTCGACAACACCACCAGCCACCTGAACAGCTCTCATGCCTACCTCCAATTGGTCGATGTCGTTGAGAGCATCGAACACTCTGAAGATATCCATGCCGTTCTTCTTGGCCTGTTTGCAGAAGTGGTAAATTGCGTTGTCCGGCAGTGACTTGTAAGCAACCCCGTTGGCCCCACGGAGCAACATCTGGAATGGAATGTTGGGGACCAGCTTTCTCATTTTGCGGAGTCTGTCCCATGGGTCTTCGTACAAGAATCGCATGGCAACATCAAACGTGGCTCCGCCCCAGCACTCCAATGCCCATGCGTTGCTAAGAGCATGGCTGGTATGTTTGGCGATATTGCACAGGTCAACGGTGCGAACTCGTGTGGCCAACAGAGACTGGTGCGCATCACGCCAAGTAGTGTCCATGAGCAGACATCCCTTGCTCCCTCGAACCGCCTTGGCGAACGCAACAGGCCCTTCTTTGTCAATGATGGACTTCCATCCCGTGGTGCATGGCTCGTCCACGTTGATCTCTTTGCCATGCTCGTCGAATAATATGGGCATGATGATGTCACCCTTGAATTTCGACTCTCCAATCTGGCCTTTGATGTTGCTTCCGTTGACCGCAAGGTCGCCAAGATACTGAAGGAGCTTCTGCGCCCGATTCTGACTGCCAATCAATTTGAACAGCTCGGGAGTATCGTCAATGAAGGTTGTCCAGCACGTGCCTTCAACAAATGTAGGGTGAGTCAAAAGGGAGGCCAAGAAGGGGATGTTGGTCTTCACACCGCGGATGCGGAATTCAACCAGTGCTCGTAGCATCTTCCGACGCACAATCTCGTAGGTGGAGCCGTGGCAAGTACATTTGACCAACATGGAGTCGTAGTGAGGAGTGATAATAGCGCCGGCAAATCCATTGCCGCCGTCGAGACGCACACCGTTGCCACCAGCCGATCGGTAGACCTCGATCTTGCCGGTATCTGGCGAGAACCCCTGGGAAGGATCTTCAGTGGTGATACGGCACTGAATGGCGAAGCCTCGTGTGGAGATACGGTCTTGGGTCAAGCCCAATTGCTCGAGCGAGGCCCCAGCTGCGATTTGGATCTGAGCAGCCACGATATCAATGCCGGTAATCTCTTCAGTGATGGTGTGTTCGACTTGAATTCGGGGATTGATTTCGATGAAGTAGTACCTGTTCTGTTGGTCTACCAAGAACTCAGCGGTGCCTGCATTGCGGTAGTTGACGGACTTGGCTAGTTTGACTGCGTCGTTGAGAATGGCATCCCTGACTTCGGAAGGGAGATCTTTGGCGGGTGCCAGCTCAACGACTTTCTGGTGCCGTCTTTGAACGCTGCAGTCTCGCTCGTACAGATGAACAACATTGCCGTGATTGTCGCCGAGCAACTGGACTTCAATGTGCTTCGGCTTGTCCAAAAAGCGTTCGACAAAGACTGTGCCGTTGCCAAAGGCTGACTTGGCCTCCGAGGTAGCTCGCTCAAATGAATCCTTGAGGCTCTCTTGGTCTCGGACGACTCTCATGCCACGGCCACCTCCACCAAAGGCAGCCTTGATGATGATGGGGAAGCCATATTGGTCGGTGAATGCTTTGACCTCCTCGAACTTGGCGACCGGGCCTTCGGTGCCGGGCACGCATGGCACGTTGCACCTCATGGCTAGTCTTCGCGCTGAGACTTTGTCTCCGAGAGATTCAATGACCTGGTAAGAAGGACCCACGAAGATGATGCCGGCCTCTTCGACCTTCCGAGCGAATTCGGAGTTCTCGGACAAGAAACCATAGCCAGGATGGATCATCTGGACGCCGTGGGCGAGGGCAATCTTGATGATCTCATCCCCAGCCAGATAGGCGCCAACTGGAGTGTACTGTCCTCGCTTACCTATCATGTACGCCTCGTCCGCCTTTTGTCTGTGCATGCCCAGCCGGTCCTCATAGCTGTAGACAGCCACAGTCTGGAGGGAGAGTTCGTGGGCAGTTCGGAAGATTCTGATGGGGATCTCGCCTCGATTGGCCACTAGGATCTTCTTGAGCTGCATGATGGACGAGTTGGCCCTCAGTCGCTGGTGGACCGAGTGCTCGAGGTGATGGGATTGGCCATCTTCATGGTCTGCGTCGGTGCCGTTGGTCGCCATAGTTGAGGCTGGAGGGGAAGCCTAGCTGCTGGCAAGGGCAGCTGCTGGCTATGAAGCTCCTCGGAGCTAGGGAGAGACGACAATAAGAATAGAGAGGAGCTTGACGTGCAGATATTTGAGGTGGGGGAAGAATAAAGAGTTGATGGAGGGAAGCTGGATAGCGATAGGTAGGTCAAGGGGCTGTAGGAGGGATGCTTGTTTTTTTGTTGAATGATGCGGCGTGGAGCCGGATGACGGGAGAACAACAATAACTGTTACGTCGATGGTTAAGTGGGAAAGATAATACTGTGCCAGATCAACCAGTGAAGGAGGATCGGGGGAGCTGGAAGCTCTGGTTTGGCGTGGGTAGATAAGCGGCTTGAGGGATTGGTGGGATGGGCAGGTCCTCGTATGTAATGTAGCCAGTTGTTGAGCAGTGGGTTATGTAGACCAGGACGACCAGCAGCAGCTGGTAGAGCTCGGGAGGGGCAGCACCAAGGAGCTTGATGCACCGAACAGCCTCGGATTCACTTGGGTGATGGAGGGGCGGGGGAGGCAATCCACGGTATAGTTTCGGGTCCCAAAGGCAACAGCTCTGCCCAAGAAGAACCGATGTTGGCCGATGGGGGGCGCTAGAGGGGCTATTAGGCTAGGCGGCCAGGGGCTAGGGGGTACGGGGGCTAGTGACGCTGCTTGGGTTATGATGCCCGAGATTCTTGCCCAACTTGTTGAACTCCTTGGGCTGTGAATGAATGCCCATGGTGATCATTGTGTGGGGTTCAGGAGTCACAGCTTTCAGCCCTCGCTGTGATCTCCCCGCCATGCCCATCCATCCACTGGAGAAACAAAACACACCCGAACTATCACCTTTCACCAGACGGACGTCTTCCCCCTTCTGTCACGCTTCATCCCTGAACCGTCTCAAGATTCAGCCGTGTAATCACGCAGCAGGACAAGACGTCGCCAGGCCACTGGCACCACTGGCACCGCCGATCAGCCATTGCAGATAAGGCTTTGCTCAACAGCCCACTTTGAGGCTTGCTCTCCCCACATTGTAGATTCACTAACGATGGAGGTAGAAAAACTCGATGGAAAAGAAAAAGTGCAGAAATTGAGTTAGTCATCGCTGCTCGCTTATCTTCCCACAGCCAGTGGTCCCAGTGATCAAAGCAAAAACCCATTCATTTTTGACTCCCCCCCTCCCAGGAACAATCTCCAGTAACGGTACTCATGCCGTGTCCCGTTTCCCGGAGCACAGGGGAGGAGCCCCAAGCAACTCTCTACCTTACTAGCTACATCATACAAACATAGAGAAACCATAGCCTCGGGAGAGAGATGCTTCAAAGCCTATTCTCCACCAAGCTCTTGAATTATTTTTTTTTTTTTTAATTCTTTTTCCTCTCTCGTGAGTAGTTCTTCCTGTACTGAATTCCCAATGTCTTTGGTGGACTCCCGGTTTCTCCCTGGCCTCGGATGTCCCCACTGCACTCGTCCGCTGCCATTTCCTTCCTCAGCGCGTCCATCTGACCCGGCTATTCCCGGACCTCTGTCACCTCCCGCAGTCCCATCTCGCAAGGCTGCGTCGCTAGAATGCCCGAGGGAACCCGGTTGGTTGCGGCGTGATGCCATTAGTGTGCCCATACCCCGTGGGTTGCGGTGCAACGGCCGCGGGTCCTTGAGTCAGCATGAGACGACTACCGATGATCGGGGTGTTGTCGTCGGTCTTTTGCTGACTAGCTTCGCGCGCTTTGCGTTCTTCGTTGTCCTTCCGCAATTGCTCAATGGCTGCAGCTTGTTGGCTCATGTAGCTGATCATGAACGGCATAGTGAAGTCGTTAAGTCCATGTCGCCACGAGATCTCCATGACTGTGTGGAGTGGAATAAGATCGTAGCAGGCATACAGCATGCCAACATAACATTCGCGGCTGCCAATGTCCACAAACTAGAACAACGTCAGTATGACCTCTCTCTCGCTCGGAATTAGTTCTACTCACGTATCTCAGTAGGTCTTCGACAACCTCCGGCTTGCTAGAGATCGCCGCTGTCTCGATGGCGTCGCGGAACAACTTGTCTTGCTTGGACAGCGCAATTGACTTCTCCCATCGTTTGTTCTTGCGGTAGATCTGTGCCGCGATTTGTCGGAAGAACACCAAGTCGTGCTTCTCGAGACGCTGTGCAAGCTCGACGGCATCATAATTGTCGTAGTTCTCCACCGAATCTTTCAGAGTCTTGTAATCCTCTTCTTCGATGAGAAGATCATGGATCGCGTTGTTGACGACGCGCTTGTTCTGACCCTGCACATTGAGCAAGAAGGGTTTGATGATGGGGATGTTATCCGACTTCTCAAACATACGCACCACTCGGTTGACGTCAATGCGAGGCGTCAGAGCTTGCAGCAAGTCGGTCAATAATAGTGGCTGTTCCTGAAGATAATGGTTGAGGGCCCGGTAATAGATCTCCAGGTTGGCCACTTTGACGATGATGTCCTTGAAGGAATGGTGCTCCCACGCATCAGCAGCGCGCTCCATCATGGCCAATGCAGCGTTATCCCACTCATCGTAATGACAGTAGAGGAAGATCAGCTCGGGCCAAAGGTGCGCCTCTTCGCAGGCTCGAATCATCTTGGGAATATTGATGCGAGACCAGAAGAGCTTGAGATGTTCCATCACCCGGTCAGGATGATACTTCGACAGAGCGATGCCAAGCTCAGTGAACATACCCATGTGCGCTCGCTCTAGGCCGAGGCCGGCTTCCAACAAGGATATAAGTTCTTCAAAATACCCTTCGCGCTCATATTGTTTGACGAGATCTTGCAGTTCTTCTGCATGCACAATGAGGTTGAGACCGCAAATCTGTGCAAGACGGAATTCCTTTTTTGCAACGCATGCCTCGTTGACTTGCTTCCACACCTTAACGCTGTTTGCTCGTCGAGCACAATCAACGGCGTTCTGGTATTCTCCAAGGTGCACAAGAGTGGTGGCGAGTTTTGCCCAGTTAGAAACGCTGGTGAAGAAGATCTTGGCGGCCTGGTGGTAACCCTCTTCATAAGCCTTGTCCCCGGATGCTTCCACATCGGCCACGTTGGCAGAACGCAAGAAGTCTTCGAGCTCGGGCAGTTGGTCAAGCCGAGCATAGCAAAAAGCGAGGGCAGTATCGATGGCTGGTTCACGCATGGTCTTTCGTGCCATCTTCAGGTATCTTACAAGATCTTCGTCTCTGCCGGCATGAGTAGCTGTCTCGATCACCTCGTTGTAGTTGCTAGGATCTTGAGCTTTGATGTACGACTCGATGGCGTCGCTAACTCTCAATCCGTCAAGTTCTGCCTTGGCAACCTTGCTCCAGACCTCTGGCAGATCCACCTTCTCCGCATATTCTTGGGCACGATCAATGCTAACAATGTGATCAACAAGGACATTGGCGGCAGAAAGGTGATCATTGACCTTGACGTAGATGGCCAAAGCCTCTTCAAACAATCCTTGTTGGATGCACATGTTGGCAATTTCTTCGGTGTTGAATTCATTCAGACGTTGAATATAATCCATGAGACGACCTTTGTCAGCTTTTGCAGCTGTAAGCATAAGCAAGTTCTGTAGGCTGCTGTTCTCGCTGAAAGGTGACGGCTCGAGGATGATCTTTTCGAGCAGTTCAATCAGTTCGGCTGGCAGATCAGCGTCCAAGAAGGCCTTGACCGCAACAGATACCTTGTCGGGCTCCGAGCTCTCAGGAACGGCGGTCGCGATGACCTGGTCAACAAGGGATCTCCGGTGGGTGTTGTTTTGAGCTAGAACGAAGGCCCAGAGCTCGCTATCAGCGCGTTCAAGAAGATAACGAGCTTGGGCTCTGAACATGGAGTTCTCATTGGTGATGTTGATGAGCTCAATATCATTCTGTCCCTTGCGGTATGCAATATATGCCAAGTTGGGATCTCGCTTCTCACAGTATTTACCCACTGTCAGAGTGTCGTACAGGTCGTTCTCCTTGAGAAATCGCTCGGGATCATGGTTTGAATCTTGTTCAAAGAGTTAGCAGGGATACAAGAATAGTGCGAACGGAATCAGGGAGGGTGATTTTGGAGAAAGGAGGAGACTGACCAATATATATCTTCGCCAGAGCATTATAAATCGCTGGTTGCTGAAGCCCGGCTGCCAATGTGGACTCAAGAAATGGCAGCAGCAGCTTGAGGCGATTTTGTGTCTCGACCTCGCTGACGAGCTCGTCCATCGGGACCTGGGAGGGATCCACCGAGGCCAACAGCGACTTGATGACTGATTCTTCGCAATCAAGAGCAAGCAATGCTCCAACAACAGCCGGTGTTCGTGCGGGATTAACTCGCTGAACATAGACCTCAATGGACTTGTATTGCTGATTGCGGTAGAGATAGTTGACTAGATCCTTGACAAAGTTGAATCTATCACAGACAATAATGAGTGGCAATTGTTCTGCGAGTCGAGCTTCGATGAGAAAGTTTTTGACACGTTCTCCCGAGTAGTAGTTATTGTCGCGGCAGATTCTCTCCACTTCCTGGAACTGTTGCATGGTGACTGCGGCCTCGAGGTACTTGAAAACCACATCTCCATCTTCGCTGAGATTGACAATGCTCCCGAGGTAATAGTAAAGACCTTCGGCGGTGCGGTGCTTTTCGAACAATGCAATCAAGCGGCTTGATCCCAGAAGGTCAGAGAATTTGGTAGCAATCTGGATCACGGCCGCCAAGTTCTGGCGAATGTTCGACTTAAGCATCTCATCCATGCAGTCCAGCGACTGTTCGACAGACATGCGGCCGAAATACTGCTGAAGCCATTCAGGGTTGAGCTTATCGGTTTGGACAATAATTCGCTTGATGGAAGCTGGATCGTCCGTATTTTCAAGGGCACGTTGCAGAAGACCAGCCTGTTCGCAGAGGCGGGCAATTCTAGGCTTGTCGTAATAGGAGAACATCTCGTTCCCAAGGATGGCATCCGCAACTTGTGGTGCATTGAGAAGGTTCATTTCAAGAAGGCGAGTCTGCAAGTGGCCTTGTTCCGGCCGGTTCTCCTTTAGAGCGTCGAGCAGGAACGCAGTCGCTTGCTGAACCATATTTTGCGACATGAAAATATCAACGACCCTGTCAATATCAACGAGGGGACCGCCCTCGTTATTGGCTAGCTGAGTAGCGAATTCAGCACCTTTCTCAGGATTTGCTCGAACGATGTGTTGTAACAGGCTGGTGAAGTCAGGTTGATATCCGACCTCACGCGCATAAGGGAGGATCTCCTCAAATCGGCCAGTTTCCGCCAAAGCTGCAACCACCTTTGGTGGAACATTTGACTCACGATAGATCCTCAGAGCCAGTTCAAGGTCGTGCAACCGGACAATATCACCGAGCTCTTCTGAGGACTCTAACTTGCCTTCGCTCATCCACTTGTCGAGGAGATTCTTACGATTTTGTGCGAGAACCGGTTTTATCAGCTCTACGCTCTCGTATTTGTTCAGCTTGCCTTTGTCCAGCAGTTTGCCAAAGTATTGCAGAATGACAGAGAGCTGCCCAGCTTGTTGAGGTGCACTCTTGAATCGGTTGATCGTTTCCGGTGTTCTCAAAAACCCGCGTGGAGAGTTTGCTGCAACTTCGGCAGCTTCTGAGTAGTTACCCTGAGCAAACAGAGTTTCGAACTGTTGTTGGTAAAGGTTATCGGCACCAGGCAAGCCTGCTCTCGCAGCCAACTTCACAGCCAGGGTCGCGTTGGCGGGATTTTGGAGCAGATATGGGATGATGGTGTTCTCGTCAACGCTAACGGAGAGAACCTGACCTTTCCGATTAATCCCAACAATGCCGGCGGATTCTGAATCGGGAGTCGTGATGAAGATCGTCTCGCTGGAAATACGATTCATGAAAATGCAGGTGGCTGTTTCGAGATCATACAGGTGGATGAAGCCGTACTTTGTGATCATATAGATGATGCTGTACTTCTTGGAGATTTGCATAGCCACGGGGAAATCATTGACAGCCTCATCGGGGAAGTAGACGTCGACTGCCTTCTTAACCCACCGCGCGTTGTTCTCGTTGTGGTCAATCTCCACTACGTGCAGCTTGCCTTGACCAGCGGCATTTCGAACTGCGAACGTGAAAAGCTTGTAGGGAGCAGGATTGCCCTCTGCATGGAAGGTACCAAAGGCAGCAGCATGACCCTCGATGGGTTGCGAGATCCCACGGTTACGTGAGTAGAGCTGCATTGTACCGGCGACTCGTCCTTCTCTTTGAGAAATACCAACTATCACCATCCATTGCTCATCGTCGTTGACGCGATAGTTGATGATCTGGCATCCATTCAGATTGGCATTTCGCTCGAACATCTTCACGGGAGCGGATTGAGTAGGATCAAACACGTCCCAATGGTACACGGAGGTGTCGGTAACCAACCCCAGACTTCGTTCGTTGTACCACTTCCAAAAGACAACGTCCTCATTCATGATTGTAGATTTCAGCTTGGATTTAGCCGCGAGGTCGAAGACCTGGATTGTTCTGCCCTGCGCCTTGAGGGCCAGGATCTCACGGTTGAAGTGCATGATGGCACTGTCAGCGCTGATGGCGCGTTTGATGACTTCATTGTTGTTCTTGAGATTTACAATTATGACCTGAGGTTTGTCTTGCTCATTAAGTTTCTGCCGTACGCAGACAAAGTGATCGGATTCTAGTGTCTGGGGAGGGTGTTAGCGGCGGGAGGGCTGGGAAGAGTTGGGCCACTACTCACACAGGTGTTGAAGGATATAGAGGCTGGCTATAGGGGAGAGAACGTGTCAGTAGATATCCTTTCAAGGATGGGAGGAGAATTGATCAGGTCGCGCATTTGCCGGCAGGCCAGGTTGAACTGCGCCTGCAATCTAGAGAGCGTGGCCTTACCGCGATATCGAGATTCGTTAACTATAAGAGGTCAGCCGAAGAATCAGCACAAAATGGAAAGGCCATCAACGGACCTGAACCAGTTCAGTGAACCGAATGGGAAGCGCCATGATTGCGACCGGCCTCCTTGCGGCCTCATGCACTGTGGGAAAAAGTAATTGATCGCTCGCTGGATGGCCCACGAAGTGATTGCAAAATCCACGGACTCAAAGGAGTGTAGGAAGGTGAGAGAGGGACAGCAACAGGAACAAGACCACGAGAGCGTGGCGTGGCGAGTGGTAGAAGGGAATTGAAGGGCAATTGATTAAGTTGTTGATGAGCTCCTGGAAAGTAGAGACACCTTTTGAGAAAGTGAGCGGATCTTTCTGGAGTCGCAACCCAGAAGCAGGATGGTCCGTCCTGGCGGCCCGGGATTGTTGTTGATTCGCCATGCCAAGCGGGAGGCTGCCTGTGGGCTGGTGCTGCTACCTTGGAGGCTTCGGGGGCTGTTGCTGTCACGTGCCATCGCTAATGGTAAGCTGCTAATATCACCTGTAAGGGCCACTAGGCTACCCAAGGACACCTAGCAGGGCACCTAGAAGTGCACCTGGCGCGTACCCGACGAAACCACTTTCGTCATTCTTCACCATAAATTATTTTCCCTGAGCTCTGTCTGCGCCTCCCTCATTGAAGCCCCAGTCTCAGCTCCCATTCATACACTCTTCACCACACTCGTTCCAAGGAATGATCGCGTGTAAACTGCATACATCTTTGAGCAGGCGTTCACTGTCGCCGCTTCGTTACAGATCTTCCATACCCTTCCTACGCTCCTATTCGGCACCACCAACATCTACGGCCAAACCTATCTCCACACCAAATCCTGTGAGCAAACATCGACCAGGGGGACAGGGTGACAGATTACGGTTCTTCCCTTTTCTTCTTTTGTTCCTTGCTAGCAGCGGTACCTACGCTCTGCTGGTCAAGAAACGAAGAGAGTCGCAGAACAACCCCTCCAGCGAGGCCCGACGAAAAGCACATACCGAGCGGTAGTGACTGAAAAGCTGCTTCCCAATGGCGACGCCTGCGATAGATCCTACATCAGGGACTTCCCCTTTAGCCCAGCCGGAAGCGCCGCTTGCTTCAACGAACACTTCCCCAGCGTTTGATCCGCAGGAAGTCACGGTGGTATACGTACTGGGAGGTCCTGGAGCTGGCAAGGGTACACAGTCCGCCAATCTAGTGCGAGATTATGGCTTTGTACATCTCTCGGCGGGCGACCTATTGAGAGAAGAGCAGAATACTGAAGGCAGTGATTACGGCCAATTGATCAAGGACTATATCAAAGAGGGCCTCATCGTGCCCATGGAAATTACGGTCAAACTACTGGAAAACGCCATGCGCTCAAAACTCGGGAGTGACGGAACTGGTAAATTCTTGATCGATGGATTTCCCCGGAAAATGGACCAAGCCATTTTCTTTGAAGAGTCAGTCTGTCCCTCAAAGTGCACGCTATTTCTCGACTGCCCGGAGGAGGTCATGAGAGAGCGGCTGTTAAACAGAGGAAAGACGAGTGGCCGGTCAGACGATAACGAGGAAAGCATCATCAAGAGATTCCGGACGTTTGTCGAGACGAGCATGCCCGTGGTGGACATGTTCGAAAAGGAGGGCAGGGTCGTCAAAGTCTCGTCCGTAGGGAGAGTGACAGACGTCTACGAGAACGTGATGAAGGGACTGGCTAAGATGGGGATACAGCCTTTGAAATGAGTCGCTCGTCACTTTCCACTTTGCGTTAAGCTCTTCACTCGATTCCTCAGAGCGGTTGCTTTGAGCCACTTAGAATAGGGCATTTTTACGATTCAATCAAGAATAAATCAGCCTCGGACGTAAATGCTGTTTGGCAGTAAAGGGTTCCATGTCCATGGTAACTTTCCATTTATCAGTCTTCATCACTACTACTCTCACTCTGCTCGCTCTCCTCCTGCTCATCAAATCCCATGAATTCCTCATCTTCATCTCTGAGCTCATCCTCATCCTCGGTAACATCAGGAGGCAGCATGACGAAGGCCTTCAGGCAGGTGATCCTATTGCCAGTCTCATACGTCCCAATCACTATTCCGGCCTGGACCGGTTTCTTGCTCTTTGAAGCGGCTAATACCTCAGATAACAACAGGAGTATAACACGGATCGTCCCGTCACTGCTTGCTGCAATAATGGCCATGTCATTTTGGCCGTGGGCATTAGGGGGCAGGAAGAGGATCTCAAAGTCCTTGATACGTGTCGTGAATCCTGCAGAATTGCCGCCGACTGTTGCAACAAGAGTGGCGTCCGGAATGAATGGTCTGCCGGGTTGGTCATTGCTGCTTTCTTCACATGCTGAATGCGGCGAGATTTTGTCTGTGTCATAGAAGAGTATCCGACCATCCTCGGTCGAGAGTGCCAGAAGCGTATTGGGCGCACCTTCGCCTAAGTCTGAAGGTATGGATTGATAATGAATCTGATGTAACTTGGTTAGGGGCTCTGGCAAGACTTTGCATTTAGGTCTCGAATCTGCCCCGAACACAACGACGCCTCGTTCAAATGCGACGGCAAACTCACTGCCGTCGGGATTCCACCGTATTCGCCTGCCCTCCCCACTGCTGTACTTGCCCTCCCGGACACTATTCAGGATCTCCCGCCCGAAATTGAGAACGCCGGCTTTCTTCCCAGTCACAAGATTCCACAGCCTCATACACCTCTCGCCTCGGCCGACGCTCAACATGAGCTTCAAGCTCGGGTGCACCGAGAAGTCATTGATCCCCGCGGGAGTGGCACCCGGTGGTACAGTATCTCCACTGGGTTGACCTTGAGCCTTGGGACGTGGTGCTTTGATCGTCGATATTACCGTTAAGTCTTTCAAGCGGGTGACGGCAATGGTGTTGTCTTCTGAGCCGGAGAGCAGCTTTCCCCGCGATGGGAAATGTAAGGCAGTGATATGGGAGGAGTGCTGAAGAAGAGTGCCTAGCTCTCTATTCCTGGGATTTTCTGAGATGGCGTTCTTGCCCAGAGAGGGCATGGGTGGAAGTCTCTCATTGTCGGCGACTGGTGAGGCGGAAAGGGTGAAGATGTTGACCTTCTCATCCGAGCCCCCTGTGGCCAGATAAACGCCCTGGCTTTCAGAAGAGCCATGCAGTGGTAGAGGTGATAGTGCTAGACATTTGATCGCAGAGGCATGTGCATTGAATAGGAAAGTGTCCGCAAATTGTACCGACACAGTAGACGATGCTGACAACAGGTTCGAGATGGATGCGGTAATACCGTGCAGAACTCGTTCATATGAGCCTACGACGATTTGGACAACAGGAGAAGTTGTCTTGACATCCACATGACCGTTGGTTTTGATGATTTTCGACGCCGTGTTCTCGTCATCTGTTGACTTGGTTGCTCTGTCTGCAGAGCGGGCGGCACTGGTGCCGTTTTCTCGCTTTCTTTTGACCATGAGACACTTTTGTGGAGAGGGATGGCTTTGGGGAAAAGCGCTGGCTTGAAAAACACCGCACAAGAACTCAGAATAATTTTGGATTCTCAGGGCCGGGGCTGAATGTTGGAGTAAGGAAGATTTACGGAAAGATCAGACTTGGAGTTCTGACATGGCATTGTGCCTGAGTTCGCTCCGTGCTGTGTAGAGACAGAGAATGAGCGGGAAAGGGGAAAATTTTACTAGCGCGGTGTTAGCAAATGGATGCGCCCCAAAAGTCTGAGAAAACTGGTTGTGGTGGTTGATGATGGTGATAGTGATGGTCTTGGTGACGGTGGTCTCCCCCCTCCCGGTGGCCCCCCTGCCTAAAAAGAATCCTAGGAGGTGGAATAGGCTGCTTTCCCTCCCGCCGTGCACTCCCCCCGCCCGAGCAAGCCTAACAAATTGCCGTGCTTCTGTAACCACAACCACGCCCTGTGCCTGCAACTCTGCACAGAACACCCAAGCCAGAGGCCACATCCTCTACAAGTCGACCAACTTCAACAGCCTCAAATCATCACAACGCGCCCAAACAATTCATTCTGGGTCCTTTGTTCATCTCTACACACTTATGTTTGCATTCTGTCGAAATTTTAGCAATTGATTCGGATGGTTTCTCGTCCTTCTCATCGACCTAGCCGATGCCGATGAAATGCCCGTCGAGCACTTACGCTCGAAGAAGTCTCAAGCACAGTAAGTAATATCCATTGCAACCCTCGACGGCATTTATAACCTCTCCTGCAATACACTGACCAAATATCACGAATTGTAGGAGCCTGGTGCTGTCAAGAAAACGCAAATTAAGCGAACTCTTCTCTATCGTTTTCTCAGTCGAAGACCCGACCTACAAGCAGAAACTCCAGGCCTTTCATGATGCAAATGATCTAGAAAAGTACGGCTCTCATTTCGCTACCTTCTGTCTGCCATTGTTGCAATTTCCATGAATTGTGAGGCTTGTTTGGTCTAGTTCTGCTCACTCTTGCGCAGAGGCCGTCGGTTCGACGAAACAACCCTCCCACCCCGAACCTATATAACTCATCCACCTCGCAAACATGAACACGTCCAACCGCGTACGGCCCCTCCGTCGCCTCCCGCTGTGCTGCAGCCAGTGATAGGCGTATCAAAATCCACTTCGCCGCCGTCTCCAGGATTCAAACCTGAACCGACGCCGATTCCTCCGGGGCAGATCGTGCCAACACAGGAGCTGTTTGACGGAAACAAGAGTAATGAAGGTATCGCAGCTGTAACTGAACACAGGAGCGAGGAGGATCGCCTGAGAACGACCACAACAGCTGTCAACGTGCAGAATGGCGAGCCCAGCACCTCCGGCCTCTCCAGAGTCGACCGTGCAACGAGGTCCCCATTGCCTCAATCTGCTGAAGCACCGTCTATCGGACAGAAGACTAGTGTCAAGTCTGAGCCTCCTGGCACGCTGGCAGCAGTGGCTGATCTTCCAGAGGACACAGGCCCACGTCCTTCCATCCCTGTCGACCGTCAACCAAGCCAAAGTCCTCCGCTTAGCGTACCGGTCCCGGCACCTGCTGAACCACAGTCCTCACCAGCCTCCACAAATGGACCAGATTCAGCCAACACCCCTGCGCCAACCGCTGGGTCGCCAGGAACCAGCCCCGGTGTCGATTTACCGCTCATTACATCCGATCTCGCCCACAAGACAAAGCCATCGGATGCTGGTCGTGGTGAGGTGGAGCGATCGCCTCTCTTGCCGACCGCAAGAGACCAGCGCAGTGCGAGTAAATGTCATGCTCCCTCTACCGATCTGGAAATGGCTGCAACAGACAACGTAGGATCTGTGGCTTCAACTTCTGACGGTAATGGCGAGCTCTCTGCAGAGACAGTGAATGCGTCGCAAATACAGCGACCCGCAATGCGGATAGACACCCAGGCAGAGACTGACTCATATTTCAAAGCACGGCCCGGTGGTGGCTTTGTCGAAAGTCCGGCCCCGATTACGACCGGTACTACGATGAAGAATGTGCCCACAACGCCATCATCTCAGGAACCTGCGAAACGCGCCACAAGGATATCCTCCGGTGTATTGCAAAAGAAATCTGTGTCGGAAATTCTTGGTGAGACGCCAAAGACCGCGACTTCACTGGCCGAATCTCCATCGTCAGCGACCAACCGCGATGCATTTGGTGGCACAACTCCTCAGGGCCGAGCAACTGACCGTGACCGCCGTGACAAGGAACGCAGTAGGTTGTCAACGGTGGTTTTTGTCAAACCACAGAAAACTGCGGGTGATGAGGAGAATCTCGAGTTGACACGCCTTGGTGATGGCGAAGCCCAGCGAACAGGGCCTGGTGAGAGAGATTACCTTTACACTTTATTTGAGAACAAAGCACATTCCATGTCACGGCAGACCACAATGGCTTACCTTATTCAAAACGCCCACAAGACACTATCTACCTCGGATCACCTCATCGAGTACGAGTTATCAGCGGAGTGCAGAATATTGAAACGACTGTATCAACTGCAGGAAAAGCAACGCTGGCCTCTCAGGCAGTACAAACGTGCCGACGAAGGACCAAGACCAACCTCTCATCGGGACTTCTTGCTTGACCATATGAAGTGGATGCGTACCGATTTCAGAGAAGAGCGAAAGTGGAAGCTAGCAGCTGCAAGAGGTCTTGCAGAATGCTGTGCGAAGTGGGTGGCAAGCTCTCCTGAAGATAGGAAACGTCTGCAGGTACAAGTTCGACCACCGAAAGTTCTACCTAAACCAACCGAGTCACACGACGTGGCTATGGAGGACGGACCTGGACCGACTCTCTCTTCACACCCCACGCCCGATTTGGTGCCCTCCAACGAGGACGACTCCGCGAGCGACGATATTGTTGATCCTCGAGAGGTGCAACTATCGAGCGCTCCGGCTGCGATATTCTCGCTGGGTGCTTCCGACTTCAATTTTGCTGTTGACAAAACACCTGCTCTCGACAAGCTTTTGAACGAGTTACCCCTTTACGAGCCTTCCATTGTCGAGCTAGATAGTTCCACATCCAATTTGGGAGAACGCCTGGATGCTAAGTGGAAGACCGACATTGTACCTGTCTCAAGGTGGGCCACTGAAAAGCTATCGGTAAAAGAGTACGAGCCTCCAATGAAACGAAGCCGGTACGAGTACGAGCCTGAACCTTCGACAAAAAAGAAGTCAGAGCCGCTTCCACCAGAGGAGACCAATGTTGCGCTGTTCATGCCCGAGAACAAGGCTATTCGAGACAGGATCCATCCAGGACATTCTTTCCGCCCGCCGTCAGAACACCCAATGCCTACACAAGCCTTTTTCGAGACACGATCGTCGTCGCAGTGGACGCCTGCAGAAGACGACGAACTCAAAAAGCTCGTCAAGGATTATTCCTACAATTGGTCCCTCATTTCTAGCTGTCTTACTCCCCCGAGCTTGTATACGTCTGGTGCTGATAGACGGACACCGTGGGAATGCTTTGAACGATGGATCGGACTGGAGGGTTTACCTGCCGATATGTCAAAGACGGCCTATTTCAAAACGTACTCGGGTAGAATCGAGGCAGCCGGCAGGCATGTGGCCGCTCAGATTGAAGAGGCCCAAAGACGGGCCGGTGCCAACATTCAGATCTCGGCACGCAAGAGGACGACACAGCCTGTTAGAGTCGAGCGAAAGAGGACCCAACGACACCTTTCTATGCTTGATGTCATACGCAAGTTGGCCAAAAGGCGAGAGACAGCTCTTGAGAAACAACAACATCAAGCCGATCTCGCCGTCATGCGTAAAGCCAACGATTCAAGCATGCCCAAACCCTCTTATAAGACCCCGGCAGAGTTCTCACAGCTCAAGCAAGAGCGGGAGCAGAAATATGCGGAACGACAAGAGATATATCGGCAGCAGCTTATTGCACACCAACGCGCCACTGCGCAGCAACAACGTAGTCAAAACGGTCAACCTAATGGATTGCCAAACGGCATGCCCCCTGCTGGACCTAGAATGCGTGCGCCTTCAACTGGCGGCATGCCTGGAATGCCAAACGGTAATGTGCAAATACCAAACGGCCATCCTCGTCATCCTGCGATGATGGCCGGAATGCAAGGGAACATGCAGCTGCCACCCGGTATGATGGCACCCAAAATAACGCCACAAATGCAAGCACAGATGCAAGCACAACTCGCTGCTCGAGGCGGAGTGACCTCGCCACAGGAGATGCGAATGCTTCAGGAAGTAACAAGAGTGCAACAGGAACAGCTTTTGCGACAAGCTCAGCAAGCCCAGAATGGTCCTCATTCTTCTCCGAACAACCCCCATGCTGCTCTCGCAAATGGTCAAGGCATGAATAATGCTGCTTACAGGGCTGCAATGGCCGCTGCTACTGCAAATGGAAACGGGTCTCCTTCGCGCCATATGAACGGAAGCTCGCCCCGCCCCAATACCGCCAACTCCGGCCAAGCCTTGTCCAGTGGACACGTTCCCGTTCTGACTCAAATCGCTAACAAGATTCGGGAACATCATCCCAACTTGTCAGAGGAAGAGGTACAACGGCTTGCATCGCAGCAGCTCCAAACATATCAACACCAAGCAACAGCAGCCGCTGCAGGACAGAATCACAAACGACCTCAGCCTCACAATCAGGCAGCGTTGAACGCCGCGCTAGGTGCTGTGAATGCCGGGAACAATGCCTCTGCGGCCGCGGCGGCTGCGGCGGCTGCCGCACAACTGGGACATCCAGGTATGATGACCAATGAGCAATTGCAACAGTATAACCAGCGCATCAGAATGCAACAAGCTCAGCAGCATGCGGCACGCAACTTGCAAGCGATGCAGATGCAACAAATGGCCGGCATGACCAATGGAATGGCAAATTCCCCTGTAATGAACATGGCTCGGCCAGTGAGCCAGCACGGCAACCAGGGGCAAATGAGTCGGAGCGCTACCCCGAGAGACCAGAGGGGGTCCAGCCAGAGCAATGTTAATGGTAACGGAACTGGGCAACAAAGCAGCCCGCGACAGGCGCCGCAAAGCATGCATACATGAACTTGGTGCTCACTCTATTACCGCCCATTTTGTATAAAGAGATTCGACTTCGATTGATTTGGTACTTGATATTTGGCAGTGGGCCCAATCAGGGATGGCCATCGGAGCCGCATATCGCTCCTGGGGTTTATGGGGCTCAGCTTAAGTTCCTCTTGATATGATGTGATACACTACGCTGGGGGGGAAACCGTGACCGGCCGTGAGATAAGTCCCATCCAGCCTGGAGAGTGCTGTAGTGGCGATAGCAAGGGGAGAGCGGACGAAGGACTCACTCTCTGGCACGGTTGCACCAATGTATTCCTGAGGATAGCAATGATGACAGCAGACTTAAAGAGTGCTCCCAAGTCAGAGCAATGTTCTAATGCAAGCTATTTTATGCGTTGCGCATATCAAGTACATCAAGTCTGCTTGGTAACCCCCCTTCTGGGCTCAAGGGTTTCCTGCATATCAGTTATTCCCATTGTCGACCTTTCACATAGTTCTCTGGTCCTCTAGGCGCTGCAACAAAGCATCCAAGAAGGCATCGACTCTCCAGGTCGACCGCCCACGGCGATGGGAAGACTCCTAATCTCCACCACCAACTTCAATCTCTCGAGGTCCTTGCTGCTGCTGATCTCCCCTATCACGACGCTGTCCTCGCCCACCGCCACCACCACCTTGCCTTCTCTGCTGCTGGCGCTCTCCTCCAGCCCTCTGACCCTCTCCGTCACCTCCATATCCATTGACACCCGCGTCTCCATTGGCCGTTGGTCCCTCCCTCAAAAACTTCTCCCTCTCGCCACGGACAACGTTCAAGACGCTCTCCAGACTTCGTCGCCAGACCATCAAGCGCCCTTGGATTTCGGCCCATTGCTTCTCCCCGAACACGCGGTAGGTGGCTCGCTGGACCAAGAACTCCTGTTTCAGTTGAGAGAGTTTGCCCTCGACAAGACCGGCCCGGATAGTGTCGATGACCCACATCTCGACGTCCTCGGAGGGGATCTGTAGCGCGGATGCGATTGTGCTGTAAGGGACGGAGCGGGTCGTTGAGGATGCGGCAATGGTAGCCAACGTCAGTAGGCGGATCTTGTGGCTCAGCGTCTCAGCTGCAGAATCGGGGATGCCTAGGTCTGATAGGTTGTTCGTTTCTAGGAAGTCGGTGTATGAGGAATAATCGTCCGAGGAGAAGACCTCCAGGAGGTCGAAGAGGTTGCCGTCTGTGCGGCGCAAAGCGACAACGGCGTCGTTTGTGGTCAAGGGCGTAAAGTCAGTGATTGTGGGGTTAGTCAATGCCACCCTTAGCGCGCGTCGTGCGAGCTCAGCGCTCTCTGGCTCAGAGGCCGATTCGGGAGGGATTGTTTGCAGGGCAGACAGGAGGTATGTGTAATGGAGATCTTCATTTCCCGTTGCGGAAGCCACATCGGCGACCATGACGTATAAATTGCGGGCGTCTTCGTCGTCGAGTTCCCATTCGGACAGCCAGTTAGGGATGTTTGTCTCGAGTTGAGGGATGAGCGCCTCGAAAGCCTGAGCCGAGGACATCCGGCGCATGACTTTGAGGATGGCAAGGAAGACATGGTAGCGAGATTCACTCGTGGGAGGCAAGACGTTAAAGATCGTAGTGAGGGTTTGCAGGGCGAGGCTGGTGCCGTAGGTGGGGGAGGAGGTGACGGGTTGCTCAGACAAATACGTGCATATTCTAGAAAACAGTCCGTCTGCGATGGAGGATTGAGAAGAAAGGCTGATTAGGAGGTTGTACGCTGCGGAGAATTCTGCAAACAGGTGTCAGCGCTTTGGGCCTACAAGAGCAGGGCGTCTTGCGGGTTTTCATACCTCTCTCGGGGCCGCTGTTGAGGACTGAAGCCTTGGTCACAATCTTTTTCAATACTTCATTTTTCTGATTTTGGATTGCGGGCTCGTCGACGGCCTCTTGTGACTGCTCGGACTCTCTGATAGTGCTGATAAGTTGTCCAATCTCTGCTTGGACGCCGGTGCCCTCTTCCGATTTGGCGAGTGTATCAATGTACTGGGCGAGTTCTTCTGCGAGTTCGGTGAAGGTCCCTTCGATCAGAAGGGTATTTGTGGGCGCAGGCATGGGCGGCGGTATTTGTCTGTGAGGTGATCTGAAGGGAACAGAACCTTAGAGGAGGATTAGAAGGGGCTGAAAGATATAGTCACCAGCGCTCTTTGTCCCAATTCAATCAGGGCCGCAGATACTGTAGTTGCTGAGTGCAAGTTGGGTGGGCTTTGGTACACGCCTGTCGACGCTGGTGACGCCAAGATTTCCTCTGGTGTTCGAGGGCAGCGGTTTGCGCGAAAATCCATTCTTTGGGACTAGCGTCTTGGCATACTTGCTACCGGACTTGGTGGGGCGGCGCCCGATCGAGACCTATACCAGTACATCTGTGCGCTGGAAGACGAGTTGACAAAAGGACATGTCCCATTTGCCTTGAAAGATTGCATACTATCGCTGGGACGCTTCTTGACTCAATCGTGTCTCCCACCCCAGCAACCACACAACGATCGTTCAAAACACGTCGTCTGCGCCCTTGACTTCGCCTGTGCCCGGCACAGGAATAGCCGCGTTGTCCTTCGCGGCCATCTCATCCTGGATAAATACTCCCAATCCCGCAAATGCCCGCAGAAGACACTCGTCCATGTATTGTCCAAAGTCATAGCCTGCAGCAACCGTGGCCTCCGCTGGCTTTCCCCTTCCACGGACAACGTAGCTCTCTGTAACTTCGTAATACTCTCTTTTGCGTGGCATTCCCATAAAGGGGTCGTATGGAGCCACAGCCACCGGAATGGTCTTTTTCTTCAAACCCTTGACCAGACCACTAGGGTCTGCAACAGTTGGATCAACATCTCTCTTCTTCGAGGGCTTAGAGCCCGCCTCGGTGGTCTCGTTCGTATCCACTTTCAGGCCATTTGCGATTGCGTACTCCCTCAACTTGCGGTTCGTGGCTGCCACGTCTGTGCGGAGGACTAAATGCATGATCATTTCTTCTCGGAGCTCCAGAAAGTCATCGTAATATCTTTTCGACTCAAATTCCTCTTCCTGCCGGTCGAGGCTATTTGGGTCAGGCCAAAACGCGCTAGAAGGGAACCTTGGATAACATACATCTTGGTCACCCTTTTCCGGATCTCCACCTCGCGTTCAATCTTGAGATCTTCAAATGTCTGAGTTCGCCATTCTCGTTTCCAGAGACTGACATGACATCCTCCGACCGGGCATTCGGCCTTGCCGCTTGAGAAATTTCTGTCCACACAGCCCTCACAGATTCGGTGGTAGCATTTAGTGTTGATCTTGAAGCGAAGTCCTGGGTGTGTTCGAGGATCGCTGCCACAGACCGGACACTTATTGGGAGCTGAAGTATTCATGTCAACATGTCTCATAAAATATGGTAATGCTGTTGGCTGGGACCGTACGGATTAATTCATCATCGTCCATGATGCTTTGCCTTCATCGAAGGCGGTTTCTTTCAACCCGTCCCTGGTCAAATATAGTTTCGACGTTGGTAATATCGGTGGCAATCTTCGCAGCTAAGCTGTATCATATCGAAGACATACAGCTGCCGTTTAGCTCTGAAGGACCGATGAGAGCGAAGAGAGGGTGACGATGTAGAGCGGGAGAAGTGAAGGGATCAAGCGACAAGGCGTCAAGTTAGCAGCATCAGTTTGAAATGACAAATCATTTTCCACAGGTGGCGTCAAATGACGTTCAGCCTCTCAGGCAGTAGCCTCTCGAACATATTTTTTTTTTACCACTCGCAAACTCATCATCATACCTTCTCACACCACGTTCTTGTCTCACAAGGTCGACTACAGCGTGTCCTGTCCGGTGTAACTCATGGATGACTCTGCACTTGCTCGCGTTGAGCTGCATCGAGCCGAGCTCGAGAACAACATTGCAAAACTCCGCAAATCCCTGCGACACTGGCAGACACTTGAGATCGATTACGAGGGGCTCAAAGAAGAGTTCCTGGGTATTCCCGAAGATGCCTCTGCCGATGACTGCCTTCTAGTAGCAAGAGCCTTCAAGCCAGACATCATCGATGAGAATGAGTTGCAGGAACTTCTGAGGGATAAAAATTCCCGGCCTCGCCGTCCTCCTCAACTGGCGGATTTGTTGTCAAAGCGTGTAGACTACGTCACTCGAAATGTCGAGACAATCAGAAATCAGCTCTCAGACGCAGAAAAGAAGAGAAATGCTCTTCTTCTTGCAGAGGAGCCTGATCATCGAGATGAGGCCGGCCTCCCTCTGGCCGAAATCACCGAGGAGCTCGATGACTCTGGGCAGGTGATATCCAGCAAAGTGGATAATCCAGGCGCCGACGCTCCTCAGCTAATAGATGTGTTAAAGAAGGCCGGTGTGCATGATCTGGAAGAGACGAATGGTACAATCACGAACACCACCCCGGCGAGCAAGGATGTGAATGAAAAGATTCCTGCATCATTTTTGGATGAGGATAAGGCCGAAGAGAGGACTTATCTCAAGGATGTACAAGATACTGGTACAAGCCAGAAGGCGAAGCCTTCATCAGATCTCTTCCCAACAAATCCGAACGACACGGAAGCCGAGGCTGAGTTACGGCGAGAAATGCTTGAATACTCACGGGGCCTGGACGAAGTCGGAGCCATTGTAGCCGAGCTTGAGTTAGAAAAAAACGCTTCAGATCTTTCTTACGACGAAGATGAGGTCGACCTGGACTTTGACTCTGACATGGACCTTGAGGAGGATTTTGAGGAGGACGAGTCGGAAGATGAATCTGGCAAGAGCAAACATCCTCTCTCTTTGCCGCGAGGCTATCAAAAGAAAATGGAGCAATTGCAGGAGAGACTAGGGCTAAAGAATGTTGGGCCTCAGCCGGAAGTTGAAGCAATGATCGACCAACTCAAACAAGCAGAGCGGCCACCGGCAGCCGAAGCAGCACGGAAGGCAGCAATCGCCAGACACGAGAAATCTAAAAGGGGCAATCTGAAGAGTGCTATGAGTCAGCCTCCGGAAGTCGACGAATCAATCAAGGAGAAGCCCAGCAAGAAGAAAGTGGCGTTCTCCGCAGAATTGGATGTCGCCCCCGAGAGGCCTCATGCAAGTATAAAACCTCTGTCTACCAAATCATCTCTCAAAGACAGTCAAAAACCAAAGTTACGGCCGATTAAAGATTCAGTTATCGAGCGAGTGACTGACCAAGATGAGAAAGAGCTTGCTGTCCCAGCTGCTCCGGCACCAAAGGCGGCCAAACAATCAAGGTTCAAGGCTACGCGCCAATCTCTAACACAGACGCCCAAGTTCGCTCCTCCTATGACATTTCCGTCAGAAAGCATCAAAGACGAAGACTCCTCTCCTCAGCCTCCATCCAAAATCATCTCTGCGAAACTAGTTGAGCGGCCGTCCCCAAAAGTAACGAAAGCCCCCGGTCCGGATGACTTCTCGGAGGAGGACCACCGGCGAGAGATTGCGATGGAATATCAGCAACACAGAATGAAGCGAATACTCTCCCAAGAGGGGGGGTTCCTGGGTAATAGTGAAGAAGGTGAGATCACCCCTTTGGAAGACGAGAACGGGCGGAAAGTCAGCAGATTCAAGGCTGCGGGAATCAAGTGATGAGGTCCGAAAGGAGTGTCCTGCCCCAGTACTCTATTCAATCATGACACTTGCACAACGTGGCAGAGGCGCTCATACTTTGAATTTCCTGTTTACCCATCCTGGGGTCGTGTTTGATTTCTCCGGAGCTGTCAGGAATCTCTATCCATGCTACACAGAATTTGTAGGATCAGTCTACCTATTCTTACATGACAGGCTCCTAGATTGAATGATGGAGGCTGGGCTCTCTGACGCCTAATCCTGTTCTTGATGGACATGGCGATTCGTTTCACCCAGTACATCCAAGCGCATTCTCAACAATTCTGGGCATGACTCCCGCATATTATTCAAGTCAGAGTTCAGCAGCGGCGACGCTCCGGCTCCACATTTGTCGATCGATGACCGATTTTTATTTGTCTACAAGCGCCGCACGATACGTTCAGATTACGAAAAGTCAACTCGTACTCGCAATGGCACGGACTCGATCGACTCGAATGATCCGATCCATCCAGATTCCTCCATGGGTTTTGTGTAATGCCATGGCTTGGGCGCCCACCGCCCTTTGACTAACTTACCTATATTGACCCTAGTAGGATCCTTATGGAGCCGAGACCCCTCCCAAGCAGTTGTCCTTTAAGGGCTCTTCATACTCGCGTGCCGCCCTACGTGCTTTTTTTTTCCTACTCGCTTTTCACCTTTCGATCTTTCAATACAACAACTTAGTCCAGCCGGGCGTTATACTCTCTACTCTCCTAATACATATTTGGCAAGCAAGTAAACTCAAAAACCCCCCGGCATAACTGCCCCTCGATGGAGGGAAAGGAAGCTCAGATGCTCGATTTCATCGGTCCAGCCCAACGAATGCAAAATGTATCGACCGACCATGTGCCAGTGGAACCTCTCTCTGAGCTGCCTGAGCCGGCTCAGCAGGTGCAGCCTCGCAGCAAATTTCGCATCATTATGATTCTGACTGCCCTCTATCTCTCGCTGTTCGTGGCTGCTCTCGATGCCACCATCGTTGCCACTGCCGTCCCTAAAATTACTGCTGAGTTGCACTCGGCAGCTGGATACATCTGGATAGGCGGTGCCTATCTCATCGCCAATGCTGCAGCTGCTCCTATCTGGGTCAAATTCTCTGATATTTGGGGGCGCAAGCCGATCTTTCTCATCGCAGTGGTTGTATTCTTCGCCAGCTCTGTGGTCTGTGCGACAGCCGTGGACATGCAGATGCTCATTGTCGGTCGCAGTATTCAGGGTGCTGCGGGGGGCGGTCTTATTTGCATGGTCAATGTCGGTATTTCCGATCTCTTCAGTGTCCGCGAGAGGAGTTTGTGGCTCGGTCTGTGCGAAGGGATCTGGGCTCTGAGCGGAGCCGTAGGGCCTCTCTTGGGAGGTGCCTTTGCCCAGAAAGTCAGCTGGCGATGGTGCTTCTACTGCAACCTGCCCATCGCCGGGACGGCTTTCATGCTGCTTGTGCCCTTCCTCAATGTCCACAATCCTCGAACACCAGTCTTGGATGGGGTAAAAGCTATTGACTGGTTTGGCTGCGTCTCAATTCTTGGTGTAACGGTGATGCTGCTCTTGGGCCTTGACCTGGGTGGATCTGTGTATCCATGGGGTTCAGCAAAAGTCATCTGCCTCATCGTATTCGGCGCATTAATGGTTCTTGTCTTTATTTACAGCGAAAAGAAATTGGCGAAATACCCGGTGATTCCGCTGTCTCTTTTCGGTACCAGGAATATCGCGACGATGCTCGTGACATTTGCTCACGGAATGGTAAGTATCCCACGCTGGCGTATACTCAAATTTGTCTGCTAAAACACGATCTAGGTCTTCATTGCTGCCGAATACTACTTGCCCCTGTATTTCCAAAGTGTCAAAGAAGCTTCACCCCTTCGATCAGGCGTTCTCTTGGTACCGCTCATTGTCGCCACGGCAGCCACCGGAGTTCTCAATGGCGTGATCATACATCGTACAGGCCAATATAGACCCTCCATGTGGATTGGAACTATCCTATTGACTCTGGGCACTGGCCTCTTTATTTCAATGAACGCACACACCTCGACCGGCACAATAATCGGGTTTGAGATCATCGAAGGTATTGGTTCGGGTCTGCTATTTGAACCTCCTCTCATCGCAATTCAGCAGGGGGTTCACCAAGATAATGTCGGCACTGCGACTTCGACACAAGCCTTCATCAGAAGCCTGGCACTCTCGCTAGGCGTCATTCTAGGCGGCATTGTGTTCCAGCAAAGCATGGATCTTCGACGCTCGACACTCCAACAGATGGGACTGCCTCCTTCGGTTGTGGAAGAACTTTCGGGCAAAAATGCCGGCGCCAACGTCATGGTGGCACATACTCTTCCTCCCGCGCAAGAACTTGCAGTCAAGGAAGCGTTTGCTTGGAGCATAAGAAACATGTTCATCATGTTCACTTGCCTCGGTGCTCTTGGTGTTCTTGCGAGCTGCTTCGTCGTGAAGACAAAGCTCTCGAAGGAGCACAGGGAGACTATAACTGGTCTTAAGAAAGAGGAACCTAGGCCGTAAGTTACTAAGCTGTTGCATATTTCCCAGCTTCGGTAATCCTGACCAAACAATCGGCGGTGCCTTGCGCACATTCAACGTGCGGATTATGCAAGCGGAAAATCATGTCTCCAAGGCTGGCGGCTAGTGACAAAATCTTCAACAGCAGAACGTCGACGACAGACTCTTTTCAAAATGAGCGGTGCGACATACGCCTTTACCGGGGATGCTTCAGCCCCGTCAACAACAGCACTCCCTCCTTTGTTGGAATCGATATCTTCTGGTATACAAACCGGTGACACCTCAGCACCGATGTCATCTGCCAATCCGTCATTTAAGACTCTGCTCTTGTTCAGCAAACGACACGTGTGCCTATATCTGGGTATGCCGAAACACACGGTGAGCTTCTCCACCGTCGAAAAAAAAAAAAACAGCAGATCTTGTCAGATAGTCCACGTTAGTCAGTCCCAGCCGTCATCATCAGGTTCGGCTGGAACTGCGGTGAGCTTCACACCGTTAACAACAGCAACGCATACATCTAGATGGTGATGCTCAATCCAAATGCTTGGTATCAATACCGGTGAGCTACGCACCGTTATCAACAGCGCAAGGTTCAAAATTCAGCAAAAGTGTTGGTGCCAGTGCGGTGATGTGCTTGATGATTGCTAATTTACAGTTGTATTCTATTGATTTTGTCCGCTCGTGGCGACCTTTCAAGGTCCTGCAGCTCTGCTGATGCACTGGCCAAGCCCGTAAAATGCTGAAGGTAAGGACGTTGATACTGCAGTACTTTTTCGCCTGGTCGGTGGGCATTTGTCCGTGTCCGAGGCCCGCATTGTCAGTTGAACAGATCCTGGATGTTGATGTGACCGTGAGTCTACTTCTTCGAAGTGGAGGAGCCTTTTTGAAGCGTTGCAAGCATGCCTGAAATGCGAAGGTCGTCATATGCACCATTTATGTATACCATGAACAATTGACCGTAGGATGTGCTTCTAGCAACTTCAGAATTTAAGTCGATTTGACATTGCTTTCTTCGTTGTCGAGGCCCGTTTGCCATTCTCCGTCATCGAAACCTGGCCGAATCAAATATCGTAGTTGTAACTGCTCCACGAGGCAACTATTCCCTTTAGCTAAATCCGTGACGACGGATCGGCCCTCCCTTAAGTTGGATTAAGCCCATCATCGCTTAATCTAGGTTCCACCAAAGGCTAGTAAGGCTTGTACCTCGTAGGCTCTCGAGAGTCTTTCCTGTCTCCCAGTTGTCCACTAGGGCAAATTCTGTGTTTCGCTCTGTTGACACCTTCAGCAACATAACTTTCCACTATCACTGTGAAGTTAAAAAAAAACCCCCCAATGATCGATCTCCTTTAACCAGAGAGAGTGGTCACGTCCGAGAGGCTTTGGGCAACACGGGGGGCCAACTTTGCCTTCAAGTCTTCTCTAACGCTCCCTTATCGTTTCCCCTAAGAGCGACTGCCTTGGACCTCTGTGGAAGAAAGACTCATCAAAACAGAGAACGGGTGGCCGTCTCAAAAGCGGAATGAATTCAGTGGTTCAAGACGTGATCGCGTCGAAAGGTAAAGCTCATCTCTAAGACCCTGTCCTCTTGACGCTTGGGCAAGGAACAATGACGATAACTGGTTACATGATGCCGCAGACATGCGGCAGAGGATCGGCTCCCAGGTCTCTTCTGCTCCAGGCTCACGGCCTTCCCGCGTCACCTTGACTGCGACAACTGTTGTAGTGGAACCACTCACGCCATCCCACGCCACTGATCTTTACGACAGTGTGAAAGGCGACAGCAATAACCATCTCTGGACCTACCTATTCGACAACCCTTTCGCATCACTCGCGGCCTTCCAGGAAGCCGTCACTGCAAAATCTCACTCCGAGGATCCCATCTTCTTCGCCATCGTTGATAAGAAAAGCGCAAAACCAGTAGGCTGGATAAGCCTCATGCGCATCGACACGCGACACCGCGTTGTGGAAGTCGGAAACATCCTCTTCTCACCGCTATTACAACGGACGAAGGTAGCTACCGAGGCAATGTATCTACTGGCCAAATATGTCTTTGAGACTCTGCAATATCGACGGTACGAGTGGAAATGCGACAACCTGAACGCCCCATCCCAGAGAGCGGCGATAAGGTTCGGGTTCATGTTTGAAGGTGTGTTCAGAAAGCACATGATCTACAAAGGGAGGTCCAGGAACACATGTTGGTTTTCCATGGTCGACGACGACTGGTTTGAGGGAGGTGTGAAACGGGGATTTGAAGACTGGTTGGACGAGGGCAACTTTGATGAAGACGGGAAGCAGAGGAGGAGGCTGGAGGATGTGAGAAGGGAGCTGAAGGGGCAGAAGGGTCCTGTGGTATTGGAGCTCTAAGCGGCAGACAGCTAGACAGTGAGACAGGCGCGGCAGACCGCCTGATATAAATGCGGCGAGGCTCTTCAGTCTTCACTGCTCGGACATGCACAAAGAACGAGATACTGCATTGCCTCAACCTCTTATTTGATTCGAGGAGCTATATAGTCAATGGGACAATGCATTGGCCGTCCCGTATAGGAGTGATCTCTGCATGAATGAATGGGCTGCAGGGGGGGCATTGTTTGCTTGGGAGTGGTTTGCATGTCTGTCCAATGGAGATTGACTCGGCCGTCCGCATGGCCATGGTGGTTTGCGACTTCCGGAGAGGGCGTATTTGTTCTTCTCTACTGCCTCGTCTTCCTCGATCACTCAGTCTGCAGCCTTTTTGCCTCGCAAGGTGGCAATCTCTTTTCCTTGTCGCTTGTCGTTCCACCAGCAAAGAAGCCACAGCGGGCGGGAGGCACTAAGCCTGTTTCGGAAGGAACCCGCACAAGATTTGAGCCACCTTCTTCCTCTTCTCGTCTCTTCGTGCCAGATCAACGACCTTTCACTCTCCTCCACCCATTGCCCTCCTCTGGGCTCATCAGAAGCCATCAATCCCGCTCCTCCGAGCATCGGCGCGTATCCGCCTCGCTGCTGAGACTCCTGCATTCCCGCCTGCCCGCCGTGGCCTTTGCTGGTCGAACGGCGATGTTCCTCAGGAAACGCCCTCAGCTTCCGGCACTTCCTTCGATGCGATTGAACACTCTCCGGGCCCGCTCCAAGCCATCTGTTTCTGCTTCATTGACGGACTCGGCGACTCCCAGTCCAACCGAGTCGACTCACGGCACCAGCACTTCTGCTGGCGGTGCCACGTCGGTGAGCGACCCTGATGATTACGCTGACAGTCTGGCCGCCAAACCCGAGTCATCAGCAACAATGAGGTCCAAATCCTCCACCACCACCCGCGCCTCCGACAAAGCTAGCCATGCTGGCCACCGACGAGCTTCTAGCCGGGTGCGCAAGCCTACTGCCAAAGCCCAAGCTCTGGGTGGCAGCAGATCGTATTCGCCACCACTCTTGGACACTGTTGTAGTTGAGCCTCTGACTGTAAGGTCTGGGCTGTCTTCCAACAAGGAGCCATCGGCGACCGTTCCTCCGCCCAAAGACGTACCTGAGAAAGTGCAACCAGAGCCGGAGGTCCCAGAAACTCCATCGGCCGCAAATCGCATCAGAACCAAAACTCCATCTCCCCCCGATGTGGCTGGAGAAGAGAGTCGAGCCGATCTTGCCGAGACCCCGTCCCGCAGAATCTCTCAGAGGGAGCGGAAGCCCACTGCAAAGGTATTATCAGAGTCTTCAACCGCTCAGAAGCGTCCGGCCGCCGACGATGCTCAAGAGGCTCCTCCCCGCAAATCGGCAAGAATCTCCTACTCGGGCGCGAGAGTGCCGTCCAAACTCCGCTACTCTATCTCTGCTGAAAACAGTGAAGCAGATGATGCTGGCGGGGTTGAGAGGGCCCCGACGTCTGAAACTCCAACCACCATTAAATCCAAAATTATTGTCCTAAAGTCCAAGCGACTCGCTGAAGTGTTTGGCCCACCCAAACCGTCAAAGCCCGATGGCAGCTCTCCCTCATCCAAGAGGAAATCTAGACGGAGATCCAAACGCGGCCATGTCACCACTGACGGCGTCATCGCGAAGCCGAATCCGGCCCCTGTTGAAATTCCCGGTTCATGCAATCTGTCTTGCCTTCCTCCATCGTCTCGACTGCTTGCCTTTGCAGAAATTGCTTTTCAGATGCCAGACGAAGAGGACGAGAATGAGGCAACTGTCCCAGGAAGCGTGTATGATTGGCGAATGTACACCCAAGTCTGGTGCCGGTGCGACCAAGGTCAGCAACTGAAGTCTGATCGCACAGGCTCGGTCGAGCTTGCACGAGCATTGATGCCGAACCCTGTCTCTCAGGGCACAAGCTACGACCCAATCGATTTGTCCTCTTCACAGACTCCTGAAGCTGAACTGTTGTCTACGCCTGTCAACACTGTCCTCCGTGCAACCGATGCTGAGCGGCTGTCACAGCGTTTTGCCGGTCCTCCTAATCACAGCACAGGCCAAACACCAAACGGCGCTCCAGCAACGAGTGGCATGACGACTCGGGATGAATTTGTGGCCAGTGCCTCCCATCGCCCATCAGAGAAGTATGCATCACTTTATGAGGGCCCGAGCCGCAACGTAGCGTATCCAATGTCACATCCAGTAACAACGAGGCGGACTTACGAGGATCGCCTCCGAGACGACCACAATGCGCTGACAGACATCCGCAAGAGGGCAGCCGCGCGCGGAATATCGTGGAATTTTAATATGACGTTCGATGATATTCACGCCTTAATCATGGATGCAGAAGAGCGCGAACAGCAACAGCAACAAGCACAGTATCGCCAGCAGGTTATAAGTCCGCCACAAAGTGTGATTGATCGTGTTGTTGAAAACGTCGAATCACCCAGCGGCTTTGGGGTACTCTTGCCTCCTCGGGGGGCGCTTCAGGCACGAAGATTTGGAAGCATTCAAAGAAGCCATAAAGACAGCTTCGCCGCTGCTGCCGCAGCCAACGCGGCGGCGGAAGTAGCTCAAGAACGCCCACGCTCGAGTACTACACCCAGAAATATCAGCTTTGTCGAGGAAACCAACCCGGCAAATCCTTCTCGAAATCGTCGACCTTCATCACCAAGTCGACCCAAGAGTTCACGGTTTAGAGTGGATCCAAGGGGGTTGCGTGGAGAATCTCCCGGACCAGGAACGATCATCAATATGAGTGAGAAACTCGAAGCGGCCGAATTCAAGAAAAAGGCAGCGGAACTCGAACGCCTCGCAAGCGCAATGAGGCAATTCGAGGAATACCAAATGCGCGAGGAACAGCAGTGGGAAGAAAGAAGAAATGAATGGCGGCAGAGACGTGAGCAAGAAGGCCAAAGATTGAACGGACTTGGCCACGAGCAGCCTTGAACAAGGACACTCGTGGGGTTCTATCTTCGTGAGGTATGCGCATCTCTTGCCTAGATCTCAGGGAAGAGTCCCGGCATAGTTTGCACGGGGCCGGTAGCAGCGATATCTAGGTTGGGGAGGCGCATAGAGCAGGTTGCTGGATATCACTACAACGGAGCATAGCGTCGGACGGCATCGGACGGGAGGTCATGGGGAATTGATGTCGAGCACATCATGTACACAAATATATCTTTCGCTTTCTTTTGTTCGGGCGGCTATGGGACTATGGGACTATGGGACCATTCCATAGGCAAATATTCATCTTCCCGGGAGTTCAAGGTATTGGAAAAGCCGGTTGAGCCATTAGACTAATTAGGTCAACTTTTATCCAGAGTATAGACTAGTATAGCATGATTGGCTGTTTGCAACAGCGTCCAGACATCGAGCCAGAGATGTGTGTACCTCGTATTCTGCTACACAGGATGTTTCGTGTATTCCGTATCTTGAGGCGACTCTTCGGTTCTAACCCCCCTGAGAGAATTTGGCGCCCCCACTCCACTCCCCAGAAGGCAATTTCCATAGCGCGTCTTTGAGCGCGTCTTGAAGAGTATCGTGCGTGCATGGCCTCTCTTCTGGAATTTTCCTGTGGCTTTACAAGGCAGACAGAGCTGCACAGAGTAGAGTACGGAGGTATTCACGACCGCGACAATGGCGGAGGTGACGACGAAGAAAAGAGGTCGTCCTGCGAAGAAACAGAGTCCAGAGGGCGAGGTGAATTTGCATCAGAATAATACAGACGTGGGTGATATTGGTCCGCTCCCAAAAACACCATCCAAGGCACCTTTGGCTTCTTCGACGACGACAACGACAACGACAGCGGCAACTCCCATTGAGGAGGTGACTGAAGTGTGCACGGGAGAGAAGACAAAAGCTTCGGCGTCGGCCAAGAGGAAAAACCCCGTGGTCAAGAAAACGCCAGATTCGGCGACTCCCTCTGGAGTGAAGACGCGCAAACCTCAAACCAGGCCAAAGTCCCTCGCCAGCCCACACGAACTCTCTGCGCCAGTGCCAGAAGGAAGGAAAAAGGCGAAAGCTGCGTCTAAGAAAGCAGGCGCCTCATCCGAAGAAAGCAGGACTCGACTGGCACAGGAAAGGCAGCCGACAACAGCGACGACAACGACAACGACATCGAAATCGACATCGACATCGACATCGACATCGACAATAACTGCTGACCTGGTATATCCACGACAATCCATGTCCAGGATCCTCGACCACACCAAAGCGTTCTCGAAACAATCGGAGCAGCTGCAGCTGGATCTCTTACAGCTCGTGGGCCAGAAAGAAGCTGCTTATACTCAGGGGTTGTCCGACGTGGACACAGTTCCTATTCCGGCGGATGAATCTTCCTCGATGGCTCCTTTGATACGAGGGACGGCGAGCACGGCAGCCAGCGCAGCACCGAGTTTGAATGCTAATCCCACCTTGACAAGTGATCCAGCACATGCATTTTCAACACAGACCGTTGTTTCTCTCAGCCAACAACAGCAACAGCAACATCCACATTCCCATCCACATCCGCCGTCCTCGTTGCTGTCGTCTCCCATCGGCCCTGCTCAAAACCCCCAGCACCAGTTCCGCCCGTATTCGTCCACAAAGGCACTCCCTATGTCCACCACAATCGCCCTAGCCGCCCGTCAGCACAACGCCACAGGCCAGTCATCTGGCTCAAGGCCTTCATTGCCACCACGGCCGACCATCCCTCCAGAGGTGCCTCGTGGACCGAAATTGTCTGAACTGCCGCTCGAGCAACTGAAGAAGGACCCTAGGTACCGGAAGGCATCGACGCGGTATACCACTTTTGTCGTGGCACTGCCCTTTGCCATTGTGACGAGCTATTTCCTGTGGGAGAGGTGTAAGTTGCAGCATCCCTACTTTCTATCTTCGTGCCGCGAGTTCCATAGCTGTTGTCCTGATTCCCTATAGTCTGGCCCTGTCTTTTTTCTCTTTCCATCTACTCTCCAAACTTTTAGTGCCAGCATTTGATGGAGGTGAATTGCTAACGCACACCATCAATCTTGGCGGTGGTTGACAGATCGCGAGCACCAGGCGTACTTGAAAGTTCGGGATGCCAGAGCCAAGGGCCAGGGCCCGGGAACAGAAGGCCCAGCCTCGACGCCAGCGCCAGGACAGCACGATCGGGAATGAGCAAGGCTTCTAAGGTCGACAGGCAGACGATACAGCACGGCCCTCTCGACGGGGGGAATGTACCCTCGCGCGTGCTAGAGAGCAAGGCATGCGTCTATGGTACAAGAACGGAGGAAGGGACATACGCCCCGAGGGCTAGATTTATCATGTCCTACCCCCTGGCAGCCTTTACATCTGCATCTACATCGACATTGGCATAGGCATGGGCATGGGCATGATAACATTTGCATTCCCAAGTCCAAGAAGCCGCACTCAGCACAGCTCGTTCCATGTCTGTGGTGCAGTGCCCCACGAACAAGACGAGAGCAGAGATTAGGCGACTGCTGGAAGGAACAAAGGGCCTTTGATCAACTTTCTGTGTGTGGCTCCATCGCTCTCTGCCCACCGCGCTTGGGACTGCCAAGGGAATGGAAGGTTAAGCAGGGTTAATGTGAGATGACTTGTTCATAGTTGGGATGGGGAAAAGGAATACGAATGAAAATGTCTCTGCTCAAGAGTCGCTCGTCGCTCGTCGCTCGTCGCTTGTTCCCAACGTCAACGATTGCAGTCAACGAGGGGCAATGCAATGCAACGCATGAGTCTATTCCGCCCATTCACTACGCCATGTCGAAGTTAAGCCACGTTAATATACGCCATGCCACCGCTCTCGATGCTCCTACAAACATGTACATACAGTACAAGCCACGATGGGCCTCCTCCGGCTCCGGCCCTAGCTCTAGCTACTTGTGACTCTAGCAAGTCCCGAGCGCTCAATCAATCAATCAATCAAGCAAGCAAGCAATCAAGTAATCAAGCAACCAATCCACGTCTCAGAGGTATATACATCCTCATACCGACACTTGTATACGCACTCGTATGTATATGGTGTTGTGTCGGATCATACTTTATGCCGGAAGGGGGAACTAGGAGCTGAAGTGTAACTTTTCCCCCTTGTCCCTGATAAACTAAAAGGAAAAGAGAGAGAGAGAGAGAGAGAGAAGAAAGGAGCGCTTGGGGGGGGTTACTTCCTGCCTTTCGGGCGAGTATCTTTCGTCTCTCCTCTTCCCTCTCTGGTAGTCTACTGTAGAGGTTTTATTTCCTTGTCTTCATTGCATTGCCATCCATCTATCCATGCATTCCCTACTGGTGCCAATGCGTGCTTCCGTTTCATTTCATGTCATCTTGCGTCTTGTCCTGTTTCTTTGGCGCTCGGTATCTAGTTCGATAGGCACACCTCCCACTCCCTATTCCACTCGCTCTGCCACATTGACAATCGACATTCTCGGACCGCTGGCTGAGAAAGAGAGCCCCAGTTCTCTCCCTGGTGACCCGTTACAGCTTGCTCTCGAACGAACATGCGCCCTCCCATGCGTCGCCGGCCTCGAGCTTCGTCCACGAACTAACGCACCCTGGCTCAATGCAGAGATATCTCTTCCACCCGTCCTTGGGTTCAAAGTCGCCCATGCCCTTGATCTTGTCCTCCCACCCGTTCCACACCGTTACGTCGGGCAATGCGTCCCGGGTGACCACGAAGGTGTCCTTTCCATCTTCGGTCACGGTCAAAGGCACGAGGGTGTTGTCTTTGGGGTCTGTGGGAGGAGTGTAGACGCGGTCTGTCTCGCCCGTGAACGAGAGCGACGAAGAGTCTTCAGTAAAGGTCTGGGCGGAGCGGACTTTGTCCACGTATGGTGAGGATTGTAGACCTCGGACGGCGGTCTTGTGGATGTCCTTGGCCACAGTTAGTAACGAATGCTCTTTCTTAATACTTCGACTTCGCCACCTTACCTTGACAGCCAGATATGTGTGGAACAAACACTGAAACTCAAACGACTGCTCTCCCTTGTTCTGCACATGCATTTGGCACTCCAATTTCCCCTTGCCCAGAGTCACGCTGTACACCAATCCAAACTCGTAAGGCCACTTCTTCCGTACACTCTCGTCAAGCATCGAGGAACTCAATCCAAAATCCAATTTGACACTGTCGTCCGCCTTGCGTCCCAGAGATTCACTGCTGCTCTTGCCCAGAAACTCCCAGTAGTTGTTCCTCGCAAACCCATGTTGAGGCAGCTGACCAGTTGCGTGGGATTTCGGAGGAGGCCCGAATACAGGAAAGACGAGTGGGATGCCGCCGCGGATGGGTTTGGAGCCGTCCAGGGCTGCGGCAGAGGAAAGGAAGAGTTGTTCCGTGCCATTGGACGTCTTCCAGGATGTGACGGTGGCTCCATACAGGTAGACTGTCACCGAGTCTCCGCTGGGGAGCCGTGCCGTGAGCACATTGTCTGAGAGGTCAACGACGGGTTGGGCCATCAGGGGAGAGACTGGGATGGAGGAGGGTTTGTGTTTGCGTTCCATTTCTGAAGAGGCGGTGGGGGAGGGGCAGTGTTTAATGAAGAGGGCGTGTGAGGGCGAAGAGTCGTGGAGATCCTATTTGCTCAGGCTGAGGAACAAAGGTCTGTTATGTCAGCCGTCTCTGGCTGAGAGGATGCAGAAGAGGGTTTGTGCAAAGGGGAAAACGCATCAAAGACTTGTGACTTGGTCTGTTCCATGCATTGAGCGAGACACGAAAAGATGCCCTTGACGTGACTTTCGATTGGTTGGTTGCTTGGTCGCCGCCCTGGCGAGCTATGACGCATTCAGCCTCATCAGCCTTGCTCAGCCTTGCCATGAAGGTGGAGACTTCTCCGTTCACTCATTGTCTCAATGCTGTAATTCTCCCGATTCTTTGACCACATCCAACAGATTACACTGCTTTTTCTCTCTATCGATGGGCTCGTCAGCTTCCAAGGTCGCCGCCAGAGCTGGAGGAGGTGCAGCTCGCCGCAAATATCCTTCGACGCCCTCCATCGTCAACTCCGCACCCTCACCCACCCATGCAGCAACAGAACCCACGCCTGCAGCGGAAGTCCGCCCCAGTCCAACCGCCGCTCCTCCCGCAGGCGAGAAGTCAGAACATGTAGAGCTCGATGCACGAGATCCGCAATTTGGCTCGGCATTGCGCCGGGTGGGGGCAGCCAGACCTGTGACAGAGAGAAGACCCGACGAAGACACATTCCCGACCTCGAGCCAGCCAATGCATTCCGGTCAGAATATCTTCCCCTCTGACGCGAACAATCCGGCCATGATGCTCGTCCAGGCCAGGAAAAGAATCGCCGCTCAATGGGAATCGGAGATGGAAAACCAAGGTCGACCCGGCTTTGCGGGCAGGACACTGGTGAGCGCAAAGGATATCAAAGAGGCTTTGACGTTGAGAGATGAAGTGGGCAAGACTCGGCAAGAGGTAGAGAAGCAGTTGAGACTGAAACCGGGAGCCCTTGACCAATTGGTGCCAAAAGGTGTTGTGGCAAACGTTTGAAAATGAACATTATCGACAATGGAATCGTGGCAGGCCAGCGGATGGAAAGAAAACTCGAGAGCCGCAATCTTTGGCACTGGGATTCGCAAACCGCCACTCACCCCAAACAGAGGCGCCGCGAATACAGAGCTTCCATTTAGGCTGGGCTTGATCGGGGTCCTGAAGACGCCGTCCATAATGCTCACCTCGTCCAGAAAAGGACACAACCCGGACCTGCTGAACCAGCGTATGCCTCTCTAGAGACACATTTACATGGATCTGCATTGGCCGCCAATCGCATCCAGGACGTGGACCTAAGGAATGAGGCGGGAAGGGATTATCGTCCTGGGGGGGGGGGGGGGGAACACACCCAGGAGATCCGCGACGATGAAGCCGTCTCTGAATGTTCCAGCACTTATTAAAAACCCTACGGCACGTGAGTTTGACAACAGGAGATGCAAACTTCAGCGGATCAAAGGGTTGAAGAATCTTGTAAGTAATAAAGTTTAATGGGGACATTCTGTACCTGGAGTTAATTGCTGGAAGGACAGATTGTGTAAAAGGCTCGTTCCTTGTATGGGTATATATGTATATATATGTATCACCTCATAGGATGCAACAAATTGATCTCACTGCATACCTCCGAATCCCATCCTTTTGTTCGTTGCTTCGCTGAATTTTCACCAGGTCAAAAATCCTTCAGAGCATTCCGTCTTTTCTCTCGCTGAGGGCATTTTCAAGCACTCCTCGGAGCCTTGCATTGGTTCTGTGCACTCACAACTTCCCGCCCATGGCCCTCTTTCCGATCCCCAGCTTTGCCTGTCCCCGAACGAGATCCTCAATCTCAATCTCACTCGTACACAGGATGCACGTATCCTCCAACGCCGGGACGCGGTACTTCATGTTCACGGCCTGGTAGTCTTCCGAGGCCAACATGTCGGCGAAATGCATGATCGAGGGATAGCTTGCAAGGGCGAATTCGTCCCACTTGCCGCCCGACTGTCCTGGCGGGTTCTGGTGCGTGATGTTGCCGACCAGCTTGGCGTTGCCGCCGCGGCGGGAGCCTATGGACTCGGCAAAGGCCGCACCATACGTCAGGTACGACGGCTTCATGCCCGGCTTGAAGGCCAGCAGGTTGAGCATGGACAGGGGCGACTGGCCCGCGTTGGTGCGCGAGAACTGTTGGATCCACGACTGCAGGTCCGCGCTGAGCTCGAGGGTCTGCGATGTGGCCCCCAGTCGTGGTTTGTCCAAAGAGCCTGTCAACGGTGGAACATCCGACGCGGACGGATGCAGGAGCTTGTCGTTTCTCGACGGGAAGTCGTTCGTCAAACGGCTGGGGATTCCGGTCGAGCAGCTCCACTGACAAGCTATCTTCTCCTTCAGAGACGAAGGAAGGGGATCAGTTCCGAGCACGATGAGCAAGATGTCCCACGGCTTCAGTGGGCGAAGCAATGCTCCGGCGTCGATCTTTGTGGGCGTGATGATCCAGCGGACCACCTTCGAGATCACCAGTGGCGTGAGGGGGGAGGATTTGACGGAGCCGAGGAAATCAACCAAGGAAGTTGAAGGGGTGAGAGAGACGAGGTGGATCGTTGCGAGTGGCATCTTCGTGAATTTGCGAAGACGGAGAGGTTCTCTGTATGTGTTCTTCCTGAGGGAGTGCCAAGACCCGATTGAGGACAGGCCCAGGGAATTGACGGTCACAGCAGCAGCAGGAGGGGTCAGCGACGGAGAGGGAGCAGGAGCAGAGAGTCGTTCTGCGCGAATTGTCCAGGTGAGAGACTTACTTATGTAGTCCGTATCTTGAGCTCGATTACTTGATCATTAGGAGGTGACGAAGAAAGAGAGCCTCGGCCCACGGTCGAAGAGAGAGAGAACAGGTATCCGTTCTGTCCGTTCTGTCCGTTCTGTCCGTATACAAGTGGGGCTTGAGGCTGCACCATCGAATCTGATCGAGGATTTTTATTTTCTCTCCGCAACTCTCAACTCTCAACTCTCAACCTGGACCGACGAACGAGCCGCTGTCGCTGAACAAGGCAGACTCCTCTGTATACCCATCAGACCAATTCTCTTGCGTCGAATATGAGCTGAAAACTCGTCCTCAATCTCCTCGTCGTCACCAAACCTCACTTGCTTTCAAAACTCGACGGAGTATATTTCACTTATTCGTCCATTGCATCCTAATCAATCTCAATCCCGATGATGGCTTCTTCAGCAGGTCTCACACCTCTACCCACCTCCGTGCAGCATTCCACCACCCGCCTTACCCACTCTCAGGCGCACTCCTTCCTCTCCGCATTCCTCGACCGTGCAGAAAATGACGCCGCATATAGACCGGACAGCACACTTACGGAGCGTGGACCCCAAGCACTGTCGAGTGGATCCACGCCCAATTTGACGCTCAGTCATTTAAAGAGGATCCTAAGCGGGATGGAAGGCAAACGTATCGGTGGAAGCCTCGAACTAGGGAAGGAAACGGGGGGGAAAAGCGACAATACTGCGGACGAAGATTTCGAAGGTTCCGGAGAGTCAGACGAGAATCAGAAGCCGTGGAAGAGGGGGAGTCAGAAACGCCCCTTGAACGAAGACGATGCCGGGGACAATTACCAACAAGCCCCCAAATCCAAGAAACAGAAACGAAGAATCGTCTACTCTCTTGATGCCGAACCCATTGACGACCCAACTGACGGCGCTGTCCTTGGAGCCGAGACCCCAGATCAAGATCAAGCAGAGGACGGCTGGCAAGATGCTGAAACCTACGCCCTCGCCCAGACCCAGTTGGACGATGGCGACGCAGCCAGAGCCGAACACAAGGGTGGATTCCACGGAGACGAAAACGATGAACAAGAATTGGAAGCACCAGAACCGACAGAGGTTGATAATGCGGTCGAGAATACGGGGCATACACCGGGAAAGAAGCGGAAGCAGCTCGGCGGCGATGAAGGTGTACATGGAGACGGGGCAGCGCAGAAAGCGGAGAGAAAGAGAGCGAAGGACCTGGATCCGCCCGAGAGAACAGCGGGCAAGAGCAACCAGGAGTTGAGTAAAGAGGAGAGAAAGAAAATGAAAAAGATGCGACGGAAGGACGAGCAGAGGGAGAGACAGCGGCAGAGGGAGGAGAGGAACAAGGCTCGGTAGAAGCAGGAGATTGATGAGATATCACTTGGGTCTGGCTGGGAGGGCGAGTGGGCGAATAGGTCCAAGGGACAACCGATTCTGCCCGGGATGGCGAAAGCCGACGATAATGGCATTCGATCACATTGTGGCTATCGCTTTTGAGCCCACTTCTGAAAGTCCTTGTACTGACTCTCAGAAATATCCAAGTACTTGCAGAGAAAGTCGCAAGAGCAACAGCAACAGCAACAGCAACAGCAACAGCACGACATCGGCCCTCACACACTCCAAGCATCTCATTCAACGTGTTCCCTTTCACTTGGTCTTCTTTCCCTCCCTCCCGCTACTCTGCCTTTTCACGGTCGGACTCGAAGCTTCCTGTTCCTTCCTCTCTCGTTCCGCCTTTTCCTTCGCCTCAAACTCTCTCAGGGCATTTTCATCCGTCCGGTCCGCGTACCACTGGCCGACCTGCAACACCAACACGCCCACAAGCACGAGCGCCAGAATGGTGTTGCTGGCCGCCAACACCTTGAGATTGTCCTCCCTTCCAAGCACGCTGTCCCCCGTATTAACGTCATAGCCACGCGAATTGACATCATCAAGTTCATCCTGCGTCAATGTTTCCATGCCCAGCCCGTATGTACCGTCGTTGACAATCCTCAGTCCCTTGACAATATTCGCAATATACACAATCACCGCAACCATGTACAGCACCAAACTGCCACCGTCGAAGAGCACATTCGACTCGCTGGGCTTGTACAGTTTAATAACAAGCCCTAGGATGCCGACGCCAAGCATCATATGTAGAATCCGCACAATCAGGTTGGGCGCATTGTGGAGTAGTTTTAGATGTGATTCGATGGCGTCAAAGTGAGAGGGAGGTGTGGGCAGCGAGGACCACAGGAGCGGGTAGTCATAGGGAAAGAGGGAGAAGAGGATGCCCAAGAAAAAGGACACGGCTGGATCACGGTTATGTCAGTGCTCTCCTGTAGACTTGTGCAGGGAAGATTCGGACGCTCTTACGGCAAATGATGAGGAAGGTTGCGAATGAAACGGAAGGCATGTTGAGTCGAAATTGTGGTCGCAAACTCGAATCACTCCAACAATAAATGAAGTTGAGACAAAAGTGAGCCTGAATATAGTTCGCAATTGAAACAGTCCAGCTACCGCTAATGTAGACACCCTGTCGCGGACGTGTGAGAGGATACTATGTTCGTAGCTGAGTCTTGTCGATTCGCGCCGGACCGGAAGATGCGTATCAACGGGCAGGGACAGAGAAGTCTCTGAAGAAAAGCAAATAATATGAACAGGCCCGCCTCTCAGAGGGGCGAAAGAGCTTCGAATTTATGTGCAGAGATAATCAAACGGAGAGCTGCGGCGGATTAGGAAGCGAGCGCACATGTGGCACAGGAAATGCTCGTCGACCAAATTTGGCGCAGGATGATGTTGCATTTGCTGCCGGCGCTGCGGCCTCACTAGGTCTCGACGAACAGCGCCCAGCGATAACGATAAGGCTGCCAAGCCGGATGATATGTTTATCCGAATCCGAGTACGGAGTAGAGCACGAGAGCACGAGAGCACGCATACACCAACGTCCTGTGGACAGCTCGACAGCTAGGCAGACGGCGACAATGATCTGCTGCATGCGTGTTGTTAGCCTTGTATATGCCTTGGCTTCTTCCACGGTGATGAGCCATGATCGTGACTCGAACTGGAGATACCGATGAGCTAAGCCCCAAGGCTTGCCCTGGTGCCCATCTTCGCTTCCCAAACCAATTGGAAGACTCCACGCAGCGAGGTCTAAGGCTATGCAATGGACGGTCGACGACCATGGAACCTGTGGGATTCGCTGCGTCCCTACTGGCATTGACATCCACGCTGATCCAGGTCTCCAGGGTCATCAGAGAACTGAGAAGGAATCATGGCGAATGTCCAGCACCTCTGGCACACTTGGCATCTGCCGTGTCGGAGCTCGAACGCCTCGTTGCTTATGTGAAGGATCTCGACGAGGCGCGCCTCAAGGACCAGGGAGGCCTTGATAGGACTCTTTTCGAAGACTCTAAGGTTTTATTGCAGAAATGCATGCAGGATCTATCGGAAATCCAGCAAAAAATTGACGCAGCTTTGCCCTTGTGCGGCAAATGGTATTCAGGTGAAACTGAGAAAAGCTTTAAAAAGAATGAACCATCGTCGTGAAATCAATGATTGGTGGAACCAAGTTCTACACTATAACCAGCTTTTCTTCGCCATCTTGACGAGAATCGGGACGTACGGCTTCATAACATACAACACAGTTGATACTGTCTGACGTATGTAATAGGAATGAAAATCGTCTCAACTCGAATAGGCGTATTGGATCACTGGAACACGCCACAATGTTACAGTTTGGTCAAGTTCCCTCCCAGCTGAACGACGTCCAATCATCCACAGCAACATTGGCATCAATGTACATAGATCTCCAATCTCAAAAAGCGATTGCGGATCGTATGGCAGTAAATCGAGAAGAAGAAGGCCAAAAGATCCAGGCCATCCAGCAACTTGTATCACAACAAGTTCTCGATTCCGTCCAACACCGGTAAGCCGCTCTCTCGGCATTTTCAGGCATTCACTCGAAGCTCGACGATATACGAGGAAACGTCGCACAAACATCACACATGTCGCGACAAGACCAAAATATATTGGCTGATATTCTGACAGGCATCAAGGAACTTCAACTTGACATGGATGCTCTCAAAGGGAACCCCTCGAAGATCCAGGACACCGAATTTGATACTACAGTGCAGCAAGCCTCGGCTTCAATACTTCAGATGAACGATGCCTTTGCAGTCAGCTTCCGGCAGCTCGTCCAACTGACCGAACAATCTATAACCAAGATATCGTCAACCGCACTGCAGACTGTCATCAAAGATCTAGTGCAGATCTTTGATTACATGAAAATGCTGATACAGAGAGGTATCTCTCTTCCTGGGATGCGCTGCAGAGGTTGCAACTTGCTAATGCTGATGGTCAGTACATCATATGCCTTACGTCTCTGACATATTCATGGCCTGAGCAGAGTCGCTCATGCGCGTCATAAAGGACCAAGTGATAATTCGGTGAACAGGTATTTTGAGGGCAAACTCCAACCGCTCAACATCAGTACATTTCCCACGGGAATCGTGCTTTCACATCGAACAGCTGTAAGGACAAGATTTGCAACGTTGGAGACATCCGTTGGCCGTCTCGATTTACTTCTCAAACTGTCACAATCACATAAGGCTGGACATGTCACCTCTGAGAATGCCTTGGAATCCAAATTTCTTGCCGAGGTGTCGCTTTTGCCAGGAGCGAATCTTCCCCAGAAGACTCAGATCATATTCCAGTGCGAGCAACTATATTGTCTCGGTCGAAGCGTTTAAAACCGACAGGGCTATCCTTCAAAGCAATCAGGACGAGCGATTCACGAGTGTTTTGCGTGGCAAACCGCAGCCCCGCCCCCCGGCCGGAAAGAAATGGCGAGACTCTTTGCAGATAGAGAAGCCTCAAGCACAGACTGCGATGAATATGGCCGGTCCCTACTTGGTGTAAGTATGAGCTAAATTACTGTAACATAACTCTAACATTGCAAATGTGCTATGAGGGGCTACAATGCGGCGATGGTCAAATACCTAGTCAATTGCGGTGCAGATGTTGCCGCATTCAAACCGGTAGTTTTTGCCCAAGCACCAGTGCTTTCTTCGTAAGTTGAAACCAGATCTTCGAAATCCGCTTTGTTCGTCTCTCGCCACGGTCTATATTCTCTTCGGAATTGAGTTCAAGAATTAACATCTCGATTGAAGTCCAGTAGCTATACAGATGTCGTTGTCTGCAGGTAGTCATCACAATCGACTCGCCTCTGAAAGTGCGACGGCTATAGCTCAGGCAGGGGCCAACTTTTCTGTCGCAAATGCAAGGGGGGTTACTTTCGCAACGCTCGTCCTTGCGCACTCGTCGATGGTGAGTAAGTGAAAATCTTACCGCATGTTAGGCGAACATGGCATGCTCACTCAAGATAGCAAACTCTCCGAGCGATATTTGACAATGCTGAGCCGTTTGTGACCCCCCAAACTCGATCATGGACTCACCATGGACACCTCTGCAGATCTGCCTTGCTTATGGCGTGGGCGTTCACTTTTTTGACATCAAGGGGAGCTGATCCGTGCGTCACTGACGAAGACGGAGGAACCCCCCTGCATATGATTTTGAGCTCAGGGAAGTGCAAATACTGGGATTTGGTATACGGCAGTCTTGTCACCAACAGACAACATGGAGAATTAAAAGACATCCTAATGCTCTTGGTTCCTGCGGGTGCATATGTCTTTGCGGTGGATCATTCCGGAGAGAGCGTTTCAGGCATTGCAGTGAAGCATGGCTACAGCGTAGAGTGGAAGGAAACTCTCGAGGAGTGCCGGTACGACGTTCTGAACGTACTCAATCATGTCCATGGGCAGGACGATGCCCCTACCAAGGAGGTGCAGCGCTCTTCACTCAAGTTCGCCGAGTATCTCGAGGTGAGAAAGTCAACGCTCCTCAATCTTGAAGTCGGGGATGATGAGAGGCCTGCATTTGTCTACCCAAGATATTATGAAACGACTGTGCCAGAATATCTACGTGGTCAGGAGGTTGGCTGACGGACAGTGAGACGAAAGAAGATGAGGAAACCCGCAGCAACTGTGATGCCGAGAGCTTCGACACCGCACTAGAACTGCCAATACAGGGCACTTGATTGAACAGAGCATTAGCAAGAGGCAAAGATCCTTGCATCTCACCCAGTGGTGATTGCTCTCGCGGTCAAGGTCGAACCTCTACTAGTTCAAGAAGCACTACCAGTTCTTCTCGATTCGGCTCTTGAACCACAAATCGCCCGCGGTCTTTGCAGAAGACTCTACCCGGCATCGCCCTGTCGCAAGCTAATCGAGGCGGAAGATGTCATTCCGCGAGGGCAGTTTTGGGCGGAGACGTGACATGACTTGATGGCACAGGCTTGGGCACCGAGCGAGCGGCGAGAGCGCGACAAAGTTACTGCAAAGGTGGCCAGTGACACTAGCTAATGCATTGTTGCCGTCTTCAAAACAGGCTTTTCAAACAGGTGCAGCGGGCGAAGGTCAAAACCGGTGGCACACAGGTCCCGACAAAAAGGACATATCTTCTGGCGCATGAAGCGGCCACCCATCGAAAATGGGAAGCGGCGTCTTTGCATCTTTTGCACCAGTGGCATTTCCCGCCTCAATGAAGCGAAGAGTTGGGTCCATGCCTCATGAATGGGGGGGTCGTGCCCGCTTGCCTTCCACCACAGTGGCCCCGAAGCTAGCATTGCTTGCAATGCTGCTTGGGACCTCAGTCCGGCTGGACGGCCCAGCACGGCGCCCACCACCGTCGAAGAGCGGAGAAACTCACTCAAGTCGCGACTCGAGGAGGGAAAGGAGTTCATGCAGACTATCTCCCAGCAGTCACACCCTTCCCCGTCGACAATCAAATCACAGCGGGGGGAAGATGGAAATAGCGGGTGTGGCGAGCGAAGATCTCGGGCGACGGGTTCGTCGAGCCGAGTCACCACCAGGTCTTCTTCGATAGCCAGCGTGAACTCTGATCTGTCGGACACCCGAAGGGGTACAACACCATGCACACAGAGACACAGCGACACACCAGAGCCAGGCCCGAAGCGGTATGTGCGATATGCAAGTTGAACAAGAAACCCTTTGACGAACCGTTGGGAGGGTGGTGTAGCGTGTAAGCGCGCTTCAATCGGCTCTTGATATGGCCATTGTGGGTGGACGGGAAGTGGATGATGGGAGGCGAAGGATAAGCAACTTCAAGCCCCGTGTATGCAGAATATCGATAGTTTGGAGAATCTGGCAGGTGGCAGAACAGCAGGAAAGGCCCCTGGCCATAGATAGATCCATTGGATTGTGCTCGGTATGTAATATGCATGGAGATGTGCTTCGAGATGGGAACACCCAAACCCTAGCCTCACTCATAGCAACGCACCGCGTCCCTTTTCCTATGTATCGGTATGTCCCATCCGTCCCTCACTCTCACCCTCCCCTCGCTCCCCACCATTCATTCCCGTTGGCCGAGACAAAAACAGAAACGGGTCACATTTTCGGGCCGGGGAGCAATGTAGCTAATTATCTAACAATGTAGCTAGTTATCTTACTAGCTACTTGTGGCAGCGAGTAGTACATGATGCGTGATTAACAAAGGAAAAACAAGAGCCCCGGCACCACGTTTAACTACAGAGCCGGATGGGATGGGCGAGATGGGATGCCATGGACGGATTGGAAACTGATCTGACCTGTTCTAGCCAGTCATTAGCTGTGAGTAGTATGCACAGAGGGATATAAGCAGCATGGCAGAAACAGGGCACAGCCTGTCGATCTACCTCGTACCGTCCCTGTTGTTGCATTGATTGACGGATTGATTGATTGATTGATTGATGGACAGACATGGAACGGGGATCATCATCATCATCATTGTCCCCTCCTCGGCTCCAGGAGCGAGCAACAATCTCACTCACCGCGTCGCAGAATGCCTACCCAGTACCGGGTACCTAGTACCAACGGCACTTGTACGGTAGATAGATGAAGGTGCAACGAAGGGGCGAGAATTAAGCGCTGGGCCCCCTTTTCGGAAATGCCATTGCTGCCAACCCTCCACCATTTGCTGAACCTGCATCTTGCATGGAATCCACAGGACCTAAAAATAACGACAGATGCCCTCTCACGGCTCCACCAATCACGGCCATGCAACACAGACCGGTCTCAAACAGGGCCTGATCTCCACCTAAAACGACTGGCTGTGCGTGCCCGAGCAAGCGCCGGACCCACAAGAAACATGGGCGGGGCGGTACGCCTCTGTGGCCCAATCAGCAAATCTCCTATGACTAGCGCAGTTCCAGCGTTGCGGTACAGCGGGGCGTCCGGACTCCTCCCGTGTCTCACCATCCAATCGACGCCAGCTTCGAAGCACGCTAGAAGGTGCTTGGCGGTTTGGGGCCCAAGACCTGGTTGAAAATTGGTTTTGTTGATCCCAGACGGACAGTGCGTTGGCAATTTGGGAATCAGGCGAGCAGGCGACAGCGTCGTACTAAAAGGGGAGTGATGTCAGCTCCCGCTGCTTTTACCACCCCTCCCTCCTTTTTCTCGTTGTTGGCTGGCAGCGGAGGGCTCCTGGGGCCCCCGAAATTCAAAAATCAGATTCAGGAGTCTCGAAGATTCGACTGGCGATTCTCCCGGTGACCCCCCATTGCTTCGACTAATGTACCTTTTGCTGTGATATCTGCGGGCGAGGTACTCCCCCATCAACAGCCCCCTGCATTGGACCAAAACCCAAAGGTCGCAGGAGCATACTTACGGGAAAACTTCTCTTGATTCCCCCCTGAGCATCCTTGCACCTCCAGACCTTCAATCTGGACAGCACGAATGGGTGGTTCTCTTCTCGGTCAAATACGCCGTTGCCTCTGGATTGATCGTGGCAACTTCTTTCCAACAAAAGTACGGAGCACCCAAAGCCCTTTTTTTGCCAGTTGAACCCCCTCCATCACCGCCCCAACGGGCTGGACCACCCATTGAGGCACGCGGCTATCCTGCCAATGGCGATAGGGAACCGGTCCTTCTGGCTGACCGTGGGCATTTCATGGATGTTATACATAGTATATTCATACACAGCTTGACAGCTTTCTCCAGCTCCTTGAGCCTATCCTACGTAATCCCGTGTGCAGGCTCAGCGAATCGAATGTCTTCCATGGCCATACCGCCCAAGTGGATCGGTGATCGAGTAGGCAGTCGTGGCCCACTCATATTGCGAGAACCTGGTGATGACTGGCGGCTGAAGATCCTGATGCCACGTTTTTCTCTCGAGCCTATTCTGCGTCCTTGGCCTGCGAGGGTCGGTGGTGCAGGACGCGCACGGGTTGACAACAACTCGACTCCGTATTGTAAACTTTTTCAAGATACTTTCATTCATTGGCTGATTTGTGTCTTGCTTCCCCAGTGTGCGGGAGAGGACATGGCATGTTCCGATGCCGCTCAGAATCTGGCGCATCAGTAAGCCCTTTTGCCCGGCTCTGACCGCAGGATCCGGCTGCGGAGAGAGAAAGCGGGTGTATCACCAAAACCCTTTCAAGTGCTTTTCAGAGTATCCGCCCCATAGCCAACGTCCCGGAATCGAAGATTTTCGTAAAGTAAACCCAAAATAGCCCGCCATATCCCATTCACGCAATGCCTGAAGTGCCAAAAAAAAAAGGCCTACTTCCACGTTTCAGTTCAACTCCTTCAGTTCGGTTCGTTGGTTTGGTGTTTCTTAACGCCAAGCACCGTCGCAGAAACATGTAGTGTGGTATCACGTATAATAGAACTAGTAGCAATGTATGTCGTAAACCCCATGATATTCCATTTTCGGAGTGACTCACCAAGATGCAATAATCATCTGTGAAGTCTCTCCGGCAATCCCATTAAAGCGCCACCATATCAAGGCCATGTGGGTGGTCATTTCATCCGAAGGCAGGCGGGGAGGTCGAGACTGCCGGTGGGAGAGCGCTGGCCAATGCAGAAGGCGAAGTGGTGAGAGATGGCTGTGGCTCGATCAGCGTTGAAGGGAAATCAACTGTCTTGATGCCAATAATGTCTTTGGAGGTGGGAGGTGGGGGCATGTCTGTAATGTCGATTTTGCGTTTCTTGCCCTTCGGCGCAGGGTCGAGAGGCGGCGACCGTTTGTATGTCACTGTCCTCGACACCACAGATCGAACATTGACGGTCTTGGAACATGCGCTCCTCGGCGCGTCAAAATACCGTCGAGTTGCGCTCTCACAGTTCCAGTCCGCGGGCGAGAATGGAGAATAGATGCCGCCATTGCTCATGCCGCTCATGGCAGTCCGCGGAGAAGGTCCGGATGTGGATGGAGAAAACGCCGGAGAATGTGGTATCCGCAAGCGCTTCAGCGGAGTGGGAGTTTTGCGAGCGTATGGAGTGGGTGGAACGGAACTGCATGGAGACTTGCGGCTTTCGCTTCGGCCGGAAGATAGACTGGAAGACGTAGACGCCACCGATATCATGGAGTGTCTTGTGCATGTCGACTCATCCGACATTGACCTCTGAAGTGTGCTGCTTACTGGCGGACTGGCCAGGACCGGAGTCAAAGCCTTGAGGAACTCGGTGTAGGCGACCGGAGGTGTAATTGGCGTCTTGAGATTCGCATTTTCTTGCTTGATCACAGCAGAGACGCACGAAATCGGGGTTTCGACAATTTCGGAGGGGAAAGAGGCGGTCTTGGGGGTCTGGAGAGGAGGGAGAACTGGTCTGGCCACCGAGGGCATCTTGACGTCGACAACGAGAGAGTCGGTCCGGGAAGGCCTTGCTGGCTGATGGCGATATACAACGAGGGCAACTGACGGTCGAGAGCCTGACGGACACCAGCGAAGGGAGGAGAGGGTCGTGCCGTGAAGAAGGGAAGGGAGGGGGAGAGAGAGAGAGGTGGATGGAACAGGCAGGGCAGTGCAGGCAACGGGGAGGAAAGTGCAATCTATTTCTGGGAGACAGCAGCTTGCACAGCAGCGCCAACTCCTTCCTGCACTGGTACACAAATCTTGACCAGGATGAGACCAGCTCTGTCACCGGAGCGTGTGCCAGGTGCAGTAGTTCCTGTCGTCGGCTGGATGGCAGCAAGGGAGCTACGGCTGGAGGTCTTTCGTTGGCGCGTAACAAAAAGGTATCCGTGAGAGGGACTGGCGCGGCGGGGGGAAGAGGGTTGATTGCTTGCAATGAGAGTGGCTGACCTGAGGCGCCCGATGACAGTTTACGGTCGAGCCGACTCCAGGTGGGCCGCCGCAAATGATGAATGGTTGGATAGAGACCGACAGGTAGATGTAATACCGAGTTAGAGAGAGGGAGAGGAAAGAGATGGGAAGGCCGTCACTGAACGAGTGGACAGCGGGCAGCGGGCGGCGGGTGGGAAGTTCGATATGGACGGGCGTTAAAACAGCAAGGAAAAGGCCCTTGTTGGTCGTGTTTGCCCTGTTGCCGCCGGGCGGCAAAAAGTGGAGACTGGAGACGGGGGGCCGGTGGAGACGCCAGGCAAGACAGGCAAGAACGGGCAAAGAACTGGCGAAGAGAAGACAGCGAGGCGGAGCCTTGGTGCCTTGGTAGCGTTGGTTGGTGCTTGATTGGCCTCGAAGCGAGCCAGCTCTTCCAGCTCGTCCGTTTCTGTCTGGCTCGTTGGCTCTCTGGGGGCTCTCCCTACGCTGATTCGTCCCGGCTCCCTGTAGCTGTGACTCGCAAATAACGACTGCAGTCGCCCAGCTGAATATTGGATCTGGCTGCCTTGCTGTGCTCGTTCCTGCCCGTGACTTTGCTGGTCGGCGTTGCGGTCAGCTCGTAGGGCTGTGCCTTGATAGGACGAAGCTCACAGTCCGGTGAACAAGATGTCTTTTGGGGCTGTTTCTGCCGGATGCTCGCTGAGCAGCCCGGAAACGCCGCCTGGAGGCTGGGGAGTAGAATGCCAACAACCGAGCGAACAGAGATGGAAAGAGATGTGTTCAATGGCCTCCCCAAAGCTCTGGTACCAGGCGTCGAGTTTATCTATTGTCCGCTCAAGCCGCTGACCACCTGGCCGTCCCAGTTGCTTGATGTTGTTGCTGCCTCGCTGGGCGCTTTACGCTCTCGGTCGTTTATATGATTCGTTCCAGCTTTAAAGCACACAACAAGGCCGACTGGTCAGCTTTTGTAGCCTTGAGCGCGCGGCAGCTCACAAGGATGATCATGTCATTGACCTCGATCGGGCGCTATGGCATGTCCACTCACTGACTGGACAGGTCAATTTCTTCAATCCCATCCCCCCTCGACTCCTTGCTTCTCGAGCGCGCGCATTTCTGTCCAAGTCCAATGGCTTCAATCTCATCATTCCGCATTGAAGCAGGTTGCAGCTGTCTCAGATAGCCATGTGCGTCCTCCAATCAGCCTGTCAACTTGCTGAAGAAGGATTTCAGTTTCGCGAAGAAGCCGCTCCAGATCGGTGATGAAATTCAAGGAACGGAACAGATGACAATCTTGCTTCGCGTGGTGTGGCTGAAGGAAGATGTCATATTCCTTCACTAAGATAGGATGGAGGATTGGCTTTGCCCCGATACTTGCCACAAATACCCACTCAGCATCATGAATTCGTTACCCTGGTCCGGAAGGAAGCGGCATTGGGGGGGCAGCCAATCGCGACGCAAGTCTGCCAACCTGCTCGAGAAACACTTGCATGAACCGAAGCGCTTTAGGGTGTGGAGGGCTGAACGTATGACTTGCAGGAGCCAACATAAGGATAAGTGTGAAGACTCTTTCAGGTCCCATCGAGACATTTGATTGGCATTCTTTCCGAACCACGTTGCGAAAGTACACCACATTGCTCCAATGACTTTGCCTCAGCGAACCTTAAGGCTCCAGCCGGTACAAGGATCGAACAGTTCCTTGCTCCTTCCAACGTGGGACCCGGAACGTCTGTGCCGGTCACAACACCATGGCGCGGTTGAATCCCCAAAGGCTCGAGGGTTCCGCATCTCCATTGCCTGTTCAGAGGATCCCCATTTTGGCTCTCGGCTCTTGGATGGCCTAGACTTCTCGCATACTCTCAATATTTGTCATGGATGCCGAACGAAATCCTTCTATCTTTCCTCACTCCGTCATTCCTATATGCTTTTCGCGTTGTACTTTTGACTAGGATCACATGCTTCTCGAGCAAGGATTTTCTTGCCGCCCAAGCCCCTGAGATCCGGATGTTCTGGTATTCGTCCCAAGCATTGCGTTGGGCTTTCTTCATCTTGCTCACAGTTACAGATGGGCGGCATGGAGGTCGGCCAGCCGCCCTTAACAAGACTGGATGTTGTCTTTCCATGTGGACACGACATCACTAGGAAATTGTTGTCTACCTAGTGAGCAACATCCCTTTCAACCTTTCCATCTCCGCAACCGCCGCTGTCAAGTTACTGGCCATGCAGCAGGTCAACACACCTCTGCGGATTTACTGGCGTCAGTACGACAACTTGCTGAAAGGAATAATTTGACTTCCTAATCGGATGCTCTTTTGTGACTTGTACCGCAGAGTAAAGCTCGCTGGCGCTTAAATGTGACAAGGCTGGGCTTGCTTGCCTTGGAAAAGGGAGTATTCCACTTCATGCTTCTAGCGAAGTCAGGATGCGGACGACATCACGTCGAGCCTAGGTGCAAAGCTGATAAGACTCGAGCAGTAAACTTCGTTGGTTCCTCAGATCCCTTGTCGCCCGGAAATGACGCGGACTAGGGAGCGCCCATGGGAATGAGATATACCAGCTTTGACCACACCTTCTGTCAGCGATGTGGTATACTGCCAAGATCCTTTTTGAAGAGATCTAACGGGAAGACTCCGAATCACGATCCGTCAACTGCCTCGAATCAGCTCCCCCTCTCTACTTGTAGAAGAAGCAGACAAGTCAAAGGAAGTGGTCCTTGCCCTCCTGCCCAGCGTTTGGTCGACTTTAAAAAAAAAAAAAACCACCCAAAAACCTGTAATTTTGGTCAAAAAAAAAATCTCGAGTCGTAGTCGCTCGAGGAGCCAGGGCAACCAGATTATAGACTTGTGATTCAACCACAATGTCAGGCGTTCGTATGCCCATAAGTCGTAGGTCGACCAATGTAGCGCAACACTCCGTCGTGAGTGTTCCGCAAGCAATTGGTGGGCGAATTGACGCTCAGGCCGTGCTGGTGACCATGAACACTGGGAGGCAAATGCCCGAATATCAACAATCTCATCTGGGAAATAATGGCTAATGCCCTTTGGAAACTGAAATAGTGATGCGCAATGTTTCCACGGCTGAATATCTTGAAGACCTTCGTGTGGTGGCAGATGAACCTTTTTTTCATCATATTCCTCGATGGAGATGTCTATTCCTCATACTTTGTAATCAGTCTAGATGACACCCGAGAGTGTTTTGCCCGGAAGTTAGGGAAACCTCGATCACAAGCTACTAGCGACGACTTTTTTTTTTTTTTTTTTTTTGGATAACATTCTCGAATCGATGGGATCCACAGCATCTTTGTACATCGTCTGGGACCCTCGGCACTTTGTTGTCAATGTCAGAAATGGAATGGTGACAGTATGGCCAGGTTAGCTTTATGAGTGGAATCTACTCGGCAGATTCCATGCCCGACCCTGCCACAAGCTGTGATGATTCCGCGAATGTTTTCAGGCTAGAAGACACATCGACCACGGCATCAGAGCGACTTCGTCTTGAAAAGATTCATTTGATACGTACCTAGTTCAAGATGGACCGAGTCGACACTGAGACGAAGCCAGCCTCCCCCAAAGAAAACATAGATAGTCTCTACGGGGCAGTCTCCCCCTGCCACGGGTCTGTGGTCTCATCGTAAATAACTTTCCCTCGGTTTAAACCTACTGTCTGCGGGATGTAGAGGACAAAACTATAGATACTATATAAATACCCAATCTCCATAAAGTAAGTCTTTGAGGCTGGTATAACGCTTACATGACGTTTAATCAGAGCAACGAAATTCGAGCTCGTCGCTGTAGGGACTGTGAGATCGCTCCGTCCACAATCGGATAAGTGACAAAGGTTTGTCAAAAACTGTCGTCGTTGTGGAGAATCCGTCATCAACCCTTCTCATGGTGTATTCCATAGTGGCCGAGACGATCTCAATCATCTCTTCTCTCGTCTACGTTGTTGGACTGATTTGAGTGTATCCGACAATATCGCCACTTCATCAAGCACAGTTGTGTCCGAGACCTAATCAATGATCTTCTCTGCGAGCGTCGAACGGCGTGGATCTCCTAAAGGACGTAGATGAGGTAAAAACCACCTCTCCTAGAATCCAATCTGCGCTAGGAGGTCATGTATTGTCGTGGTCAGATCAAGAGCCGTTTGCTGTTTCGGTTCCAACTCTTCATCTGCTCGCGCTGCTCAAGGGAATAAGGACGCGCAGTGAGCTTGAGTTTGATGCAATTTTTGAGGATGGGAATTCCATTGTTATCCCGTCGATTTGAGTGCTGTGACAACATCTTGAAATATGAATCTCTGAGGTATGGCCTAGCATAGGCAAGAATGAGGACGGTGTCCAAAAGTTCACGGATCTGGGGAGGGCTCAGATTCAGAGCATGACTGGCGATTTTGAAGGAAGCTGAAGATTAAAATCTAGGTTGTATGTCGCAGATGTGGATGCACAGCGCGCCCGTCTCCCTGATCGCAGGCTCTGGACGAATAGATCTGGCAACTCTTCCCCTACAGTGAGACGTAGCAGCATTCGGGCCGTGGCTAGACAACATATGATACTACGACCGATTGGCTGAGGGTCACAATATTTGCCTAAACCTTCTTGGCAAATATTTACTTGTTACATTGTACATGTCAACGGTTCCAACCCTCGCCAGCCTCTCGTTACCAATCAATCCGAGACCATGGAATGCACCAGGGATGAGCATTCAGAAACCACGTCTGGCAAACCCAAAGGAAGTTACGGTTACGATCAGACAGCCCTTTCGAGCCATAACGGGGCTGACAGGCCATGGACTACGATGGGTTGGCTCTTCAACTGCTGGCATGCATAGGCGCGGCGGCCCATTCTTGCCTTCCTCTGTAATCTAGTCCACACAACCTCTTCACCCAATGATCCATCAAATCTGAGGATACACTCACGTGATCGTATACCTCTAGACGACGGCGACACATGACCTCCCCGCGCACGGGTTCCGAGTAGCTGCCTTAAGAAGGCTTGGCAACCCAGGCCCGTTATTGCGACCTTTCAAGAGGTGATCTCGAGAAGCCCATTCATATAAGTAGATTCACTCCTAGGTCGTCGATCCGTCCATCAGTGTTTGGCCCTTCCGGAGATGTATTCTTGGTGCTCGAGTGGTTAAAGCACAATAATAAGCACGTGAGAGCACGACATGTCACGGAAAACCCATTTCTCGCTGCGCTTAGGTCTTGGCAGCCTAGGTATTCGGTCCGATGGAGGGTTCACACCAGTGCTTGTGGACGACGACGCCTTCCATGGTCAAGGTTCGTCGCACCCACTGAGCATGTTAGCCTCAGGTCACCTGTGGGGAACTCGGAACGAGCCGCGCAGGTGTCCTCATCAGACATAATATATCTCACTCCTGTCTGCCGCGGCAGTCTCCGTGCCGGTGACGCGAGTGAAGCCGGCGAAGAGCCATTCGCCCACGGTGCAGATGGCATCGGCGGTCGGCACCTTCTTGTCGAGTCGAGGGTGGCTCGTTGCGATATAGAATCGGAGAAAGTCTTTCACAGTCACCAAGTCGGGCACCGGGCTACCTGGACCGAGAAAATGGTGGTGGGTTACATCCTCGTCCGGAGGGAGCCCTTCCAGCCTGTGATCTTAAGACACTTGTCGTTCCTAGGCGCCATCTGGAATGCGGATGTCAGAGCCAAACCTCCCATTTCTCAGAAGAGACATGTGTGGTCTATCTTACTGGACGTAGCGTTGGAGTCTTCGATCGTGATCTTTCTTTGTCTTGGAGACGTACTTCCCACCGCCGCGGATCTGGTCAACTTCTGTATGAGCCCCTTCCTGGTATCCGTTTACCTTTGCTCGGGCCCACAGATCGTCTGTGGTGACGGTCCGTCCGCCCATGACGGCCACGGATGGGAGGATCGAACGGTTCACAGGTGTAGAGGGACATCGGTCGATAGCGAGGCAGCGGCTGGAGAGGGCGGCCGCGCAGGCACAGTTTCAGAGAGAACTTCGCAGCCCACGCGCTAGAATCCGGACCCGGCTCCGTTTTGTACTGTAGAGGGGCGAGAGAGGCGCCTCGAGACGGATTTGACCAGATGGGCCGACGGCCATCGAGGCGAGTGGAAATTCTGGGACCAGAGTCCCAGAAGTGGTCCATGACGACCGACGCCAATTTTAGATCCTTATGTACCAAGGAGACGCAGGCACAGACGACGTAACTCAGGAGGGACGGCACCGTCGCGCCGAGAGTAAGTCAAGGGAGAGTGCGAGATGAGAGGAGAGTAAGAGGAGAGTGAGAGAAGGGTGAGAGGAGCATGAGATGAGAGTGAGGTGCTTATTAAAGCGGCGTGGTCGAGGTGAGCCGCGTGCGAGCTCCGAGTAGTTTTCCTAATGCTTTTTGCTGGCAGGGTCGGGAAAACCACACGCGATTCCCCCCTTTTGGAGGAATCATGGTTGATGTCCCTCTGTACCTTATAGATACTCCCCCTTGGCTGGCGTGAATCCAGTAATTGACTGGCCTGTGCCTCACTAGCCTTGGTTGCACTTGGCTAGAGCGGTAGGGAAGGGTGGCTACACTTGTGAGAGTAAGAGAGATGATTTTCTGCCCATTTAAGAAGAACATATGTTCTGGCTCTACATACTCGTTAACAAAGGCCAAGCTTCCTCTTTAGGACGCCCCTTCCCTACCCTCCTACCCTCCCTCCACATATGGCCATCTCTCTTGACTCTTGGGCTCTTCAGCAGGGTCATCTGGTCAATTGTTATAGGTAGAAAGTCAAGTCATTCCTTTAATTCAGAACTCCACTACAGCATTCTAGTCCAAACTGAACTAGGGTTAGCTTTCCTTGTACACTGTACTTGTTACAACATATACTATATAAACCTTATGTGCCTGGCCCTCTCAATACACGGTATGTCTCTAGGTAGGCCAGGGAAGACGCTTTCGTCGTCAACAAGAACAACAATAATTCTTTTTTTTTTTTTGGAAGGCCCTGGAATGACTGGGGCAATCAATCAGACCGATTCTCGTATCATTCAAATCAATTCCTACATTTTTACCGAAGGCTGAGACAATATACATTTAGAAGCCCTCGGGTAGCTCGTGCCTCTCACCAATCTCTCGCCTCTTTTTCATCTCCTTGACCTTTTCCGGAGACAAACCTTCCTCGCCGGTCGACGTGGCCTTGTTCAAAATCTCGGCAGATCGCGCATCTGAGTCAAAATTGGTCCCCATGGGGTTTTGGCGACTGGCTGTGTTTCGGTGGCGGCGTGAGGTTTCTTTTTTGGCTTCTTAGAAGATTACAAGGCGTTGATGATGTCTTTTCGAGAACAAACTAGGGATTGAGCACCGAGACGTTCGAACAAAGCGGTGAATATGCTTTATGGCCTCGAGTAGATGAACTAAACGACGTCTAGATATATACTCTCGAAGCTGTCCGACCTCCGAGGTCCTGTGGCTGGGCGGCCCGTGACCAGCGGCATACTCGGAGTTCGGTATATCCCTTTTGGCACTGAAGCCGACAAGACTGTTGTTACTTGACGGGTGTATTCCATTCCTCGGTCTCAGCGCTGTAGTGCGGAGGTCTTGAATGGACTCTCAGGCCGGGTGACCTTTCTCTCTGTGTTTCAAGAAAGGAGAACTGTATATTCCTTTTTTGTCCCCATTCTCTGTTCGTATAGTCCAGGCCCCGAAGTTTTATCATCGATTCGACAAAGCATGGCAGACGGTGCGACAATCTGGGGTGACAATGTGCTTGACCCAGTCAGAGCCTGGGTGGTCAACTTCTTTTCTGCGGCCGACACCAGAGGAGAACAAGCCGCGCAACAATTTGCGGACTGCTTTTCTGAAGATGCTCATCAGGAGGGCATGGGGGCTCCATTGAACGGCCGAGAAGGTCTGCCTCCTCCCAAATCTGTCACTGAGCACGCCATACTCACAATTGGGTGATAGAGATTCGCAAGTCACGCCTTGGGGCGTGGGATTCTGTCGAAACTCGGAAGCACGTGCTGCACAAGGTGTACAGTCTGGACAGCACTTCCCGGGACATCCTCATCCTGGGGAAACTGGAAAGCATGCTCAAGAATGGGAAGTCCTTCGAAATGGAATTCGCCGCGCAAGCCATCTTCGAGGATGCGACTTCAAGCTCGCTGAAATGCAAGAATTACAAGATATGGGCGGTGAGTAGTGTGATCATCTTCTCAGATTTTTCTCTAGCTGACGGGCGAGATCAGGACAAGAGAATCGCCTTGGAAGCTGCCAAGCAGTAGGAAGAGTCACTCGGGGCCCTTCACACTAGAGCATAGATGTCGTCTGGGTCTGGCATGGAGACATAGCTACGATGTAACACTCTCCTCCGTGTGAGAAACAATTAGATTGTCATACTTAGCTGATCAATATATTACTCCTCGTTACGGGTGACCAACTGTCTGACCCTCTCTGTATCTCCACCTAAATCCTACTGGGACCACCGATGACACCTGCCTTGAGCAACTCGGATGGCCGTCTCACATTTGAAAGAAGTAACGAGGTGGCTTCGTTGCATGATGGAAGTCGGAAGTAAAGCTCGGGGTCTTGGCCTCGGGGAACTTGGCCAAACGGTCGATCTCGGGATTCGGTGAACTTCAAAGATCCCCGGCCACCCCCCGGCAAACTGGACCTGGGTGCAGGCCTCTGCGCTTCAAGCCCCCTTTTCCCCACTACCCCAACCGCCAACGACAGTGACAATGAGAAGCCATGCCCCCAGCCAGGGGTCGTAAGCCCCTACTGGGTACTGGGTAGACCGCCTTGTGACCGCCCCGGCACGCTGGAGAGACCCTTAAAGGCTCCGCGTTCCCCGGATTTTGACTTACTCTCCCGTCACATGACCTCCATGCGAATGATTGGGACGATGTGCTTTCGCTTGCAACTCCCCCAGCCAGCATCTTTCTGTTGACGGGCAAATGTCACTGAAATCTCGGTGTTTTGTCAATATCATGCAAAAATGCAGCGCTTGGCAGAAACTCCTCGGCCAACAAAGGCCTGCGCCCATTGCCGGGACAAAAAGATAAAATGTGCGACGCTTGAATCCGTCAGTTGGGAAAGGGCAACCTAACACGATGTAGGCGGTGGAGGGATTCCCTGCAAGAGTTGTCAACGACATCAGGAAGAATGCTGGTATCCCACATCACGACGAGGGAAGCGACCAAGAAGCAGTTCCAGTGTGCAGCGCACCACCAGCCAGGACCTCTGGAAACCTCGTCCCGCCTCCAACACCGCCGATGAGCTTGGAGTCGCACCTCCAGGTCAAATCCACGATTCGAATCCCTTGCTTACACCCTCTCAAATCTCCTCTGAAACTCCCGACAATCACGACCGTGAATCGGCGGAGCGCCTGGCCGGCCCTGGTCTATCCTCCGGGCATCACGCTGGTCAAGATCCAGGCAATCCCGAAGCCTCGCTCGAAGAATACCCACGCCAGCTGCCGCTCCCTGACTCCGGAAGCCGTCTCTCTCCCTCTCAGCCTCAAGAGGTCCATTTCCGCAGCCCCAGCACCATCACACCGCTGATGCAGATGGAAAAGGAAGTCGATGGGCTCGGAGGCACTGCCGACGGAGAGGAGGAAGTCATTCCCCTCCAAAAGGTCAACTGGGAACACCACGGCCCGTGGTCGTGGGTGTCCGTATGCTCTCGACCGGGAGTGAGGTGGGTCTGCGAACGTACCAAGTCGGACGAATTTTCCGAAGTCGCGAGCGGCCTGACCAGAACTTGGAGCCGACGCCTGAAGATGAAGAGGTATCGACCACTGCAGATCAAATACCCCGATCCAGCTCTGGCGCTTGCCTGGAAGTATGTTGAAGGTGAGTAAAGCTCTCATTTGGGGGGCCAATTCCTCCCCTATCCTCGGCTGAGATGGCATGTATTTATTATATATATTAGGGTACTTCGAGCAGTCGTACGATGCCGTCTTTGGCATCGTTCATCGTCCGAGTTTCGAAGCTCGACTTCACGCCCATTTTGAAAATCCCACTGCCGCCGCCCAAGATGACGGTCCTTCGTGGTTTGCGCTGCGCAATATCATTTTTGCGGCTGGCAGCAGATGTGTGCTTGCGGCCGATCCGACCGTCTCGTTCGTGCAGGCGGAAGTTCAGGCCGCCCAGTACTTTCAGAATGCTTTATCCGTCTTTAGTGAGATTATTTTTGGCCACTCGGGGTTTACTGCAGTCCAAGCTCTTGCACTTATGGTACGTACGGCCCGCTTGATGATGAAAACGACAATCGATAAGTTTACTGAAGACTTCCACTGCCAGGCATTCTACTCGGAAGGTCTGGGAAGCCCGGCCTTGGAATACCCGCTGTGCACCAACGCTGTGCAATTGGCCCAAGCGAGGGGGCTGCATCGCGAGCCACCCAAGTCTTGGGGCTTGTCGGCCTCGGACGACTTGAACAGACGGTGGCTGTGGTGGGCCATCTACTGTCTCGAGAAACAAATCGCATTTAGGAGTGGGCGTCCGTCTTTAATTGATGACAACAATATCAGTACGACCATCCCAACATCGGCACCTCCGGGAAGCACCAACGACGTCGAGGCGTTTACGCTAATCGTCAGACATGCGCAAATATCGTCCCAGATCTCCCATCGAATCATGTCAGTCAAGGCGTTCAAGCAAGCTCCTGCCCAAGTCCTCGACACGGTACACGACATTCACAACAAGCTACAAGAGCTTCTGCATTCACTTCCGGCTGACCTCTCCGTGGATCCCTCCGAGTCCGGGGACTCTCGCCGGCCACGCCCACGGTGGACTCAAAGCCTCTATCTACATTTCGCCATCCACGGCAGTCTAATGGCGACTCATATCATTCTCTTCTATCCGTGGATCGCAGCTCGGTTCGGGACAGAATCCGACCCGGTGTTTCACAATCAGGTCCTGAGCTCGTCAAAAACCATTGCGAATTCCGCGAGGCAGATCATCCGGATCCTGCGCTCGGTGACGACAGACATTGCCGCCCCGGCCTGGTTGACCTTCTACTATCCGATGTATGCCCACATCAACCTCTTTGTCTACTTGCTCAAATTTCCATCCTTGTCGAGCGTCCTGGGAGATTTGGCGTTGCTCGACATGTGTACCGGGCACTTTGGCCACATTGAACATGTGACAAATTCGGACATTTCGTTTCACTTTCCCCGTGAGTCGGCCGCATTATGTCTCAAGTTCATCAAGGCAAATCAACCCCAAGGCAGAGAGAGGGAGACGGCGCCTGGAACGCCACAAGCAGGGGCCAACCCGACACTCCATTCCAACCGATCGAGAAATGATTTGGAGGATATCGACAGTCAACTCACATCTTCAGCGTCACGCGATCTGGTATGTACACACATTTTGTTGACTGATGGCGTACAATCTGGATGCTGACATTCAATGCTAGACCAACGGTAATCTATTTGACGCTATGGATATTGATGTGGAATCTTGGAATATCTTTTCGTCGATCGACATCACGAGCGATCTGACGGCTGCATTCGGCGCGTTTGTGCCCGTTGAAAAGGAAACGAATGAATCTTCGACCTCTTAGGACGTGGTCACCATGCTGATATAGCAGCCAGGGAGACCGGAACGGGAAGACCTTGTGGGGGGAAACTCGGGTTCTCTTCTGCAAGCAGCGCAGAAAATTTGATCTACAAAGGTCAACGAATGAATTTCGGTACTGAACACCTCTGTGAGTCTCCCAGTTAGAATTGCTGCCAGATTTACATGAGAGACTGGGTATTATTTGGCGAACTCGAGAAGTTGATCACAAGAGGGGGGCGGCCGTTCTTCCGGGATGCTCTGAAACGGATATCCATCAGACAGACCCCCAAGACCATTAGTACGTAATATCCGATGCCGAAGGTTGCTTTATGAAGGAGAAAACCATTCTACCCTCTCGATTGCAGGAATGAGTAGGCTGTTGCATCTTGGTGGGCGGCCTTCATTCAGTCCAGTCGACGCGGGATCACCTTCACATACATGGGCCCTTTCTCCCAAAAGTTGAAGATGAGCTGCTTCTCCCAGCCTACACTCTGAGGTTGCAGCTCAAGGTCAAAGTTCCACAGCATTCGGGCGAGGATGAGACGCATTTCGGCGTACGCCAGGCTACACACCTCGTTAGTTTCGCCATCCACCTGCAGCTCGGGGGGGGGGGCAGCGTTGATAACAAAGCTCTTTTATGGGGGGAAGGCCCCTCCCGCTCTGGGGGGGGGGGGGGGTTTCTTCGAGAGTGGCTTCTCTCTGCAACTCACCTTTTGCCGAGACAGTTTCGAGGGCCAAACTGAAACGGTTGGAGAACGTCTTTGTTGTCATTGGCAAATTCGGCATCGCCTAGCCAACGTTGAGGGCAGAAGTCATCAGCGCGATGGAAGTTGTACTCTGAGTGGTAGGCGGGCCAGTGAGGAACCGAGACGGTGGTCTGATCAATTATGGTCAGCGCTGGTGGCAACAAGGAGAGATGTTCGCCGCGGGGGGGGGGGGGGGGCATACGTTTTCAGGAATGAAAAATCCTTCAATTTCTTTACCGCCCGCCGCGACGTTGCGGCCGAGCGCAGAAGGCACGGGTGGATAGAGGCGAAGTCCTTCGTCGAGGCAGGCGAGCAGGTACTTGAGGTTGCCGACGGCGACGAGATTGATGTCGCTTTCTTTGTCGAACGAGGAGCGAATCTCGGCGACGAGTCTTTTGTAGGTGTCTGGGTTGCGAAGCAGGTAGTAGGTGGTGCCGCTGAGCAGCGATGCGGTCGTCTCACTCCCCGCGACGATCAAAATGTTGGAATTCTCGCCGATTTCGTCGGGGGTCAGGCCGCGTTCGTCGTTGTGTCGGAGGATGTACGACATGAAGTCCTCGCGGTCCTTGACGCCGCTCACGGCCCGGCCCTTGGCTTTGTCGAAACTCATCTGGAAATGTTGGCCTTGTTGAGTGAGCAGGCGTTTCGGCAAGAAGTGCTGCGTCAGGGGCATCAGCCAGGGAAACCGTTTGCGGGCCTGGTTGAAGGCGGACAACTTGAAGCCGCCAAAGATCATGGCCACCCACGGGTGGTAGCCGCCGCTCTGCAGGCAGCCGAACGGCTCGCCAAAGGCCAGGTCGCCGATGAGGTCGAAGGTGGTAAAGTTGTACCACTTGGCCAGGTCGACGACTGCGGCGGCCGGCGAGGTGGGCGAGGAGGATGACGATGCTATCTCTCTCATCCGTTTGACGAGCAGCCCGATGTACCCCTGCATAATGTCCTCCTGGCCGCGCAGGGCCTTTTCGGAAAAGGCGTGGGCGAGCGACCGCCGCATGCGGCTGTGGTCCGCATCGCCGGCCACGAGGATGCTCCTGGTGTCGGTCTTGGACCCGCGGTACAGGCGTCGGTCCTTTTCAAAGTTGGGCTCGCCGCCTGTGCGGTGGCCGTAGATGGCCTTCCATGCGCCCGCCGAGATGAACGACACGTCGTCCGGGGCGAATCTCACCACCGGTCCGTACTTGTCGTGGAGGTCCTTGAGCGTGTAGGTCCACTTGCCGCCAATCAGCGCCCACGCGTACGGGATGTTGGACGCCGCGTACAGCCTTGGTCCGGGGACGCGGGCGAGAGGATGGACATAGAGATTGTACACGACGATGCCGACACGGTACGCCAGAAACTTGGAGCCATCGCCTGTCGTTAGTGGTATTGTTCTGAGGCGATGCTAAGGCCGACAAAACTCACAAGCACAAGGCACAGTCCAACCAAGCCGAAATATTTGTACGTGCCCCCGGAATCCATCTTCGAGGAAAGTGAAACGGTCAACGTGGTTGGACTCATGGCTGAAAACGAGATATTTTGAAGCACACACCTCTCCAGGGATCGAAGCTTTCTAATAGCGAGTTGTTCCCAGAGAGTGAGCTCACAACCAAAAAAACAAACGCTGAGATATACCCCATGTACCACTCCATTTCAGCAAGAGATGAGATTTGTTCATGGGACCTGTAGACAGCTGGATGCTGCCCCGGTCGGGGGTGTGTTCGGAGCTCGGACTCCGCTCAAAGTTCCCCACTCGAAGACCCCGGAATTTTCAGTATGAATGTACATCTGAGGTGGGTTTCTTTCGGCCCGCTGCCCCCCGAGTGCGAAGAGACAGACTTGTTGTTCCAGCAGCGAGAACCAAGGACATACTCTTTTTTTTTTTAAGGTGCGTAGAAGAAACATATTAGACACAGCCTTTCGTTGGACCACGGTGAGACGTGGAATACGCAGGAAAGGATACTCAACCGAACTAGATAGCCTCGGAAGGCGAGGCTAAGGAAGATCACGTAATACTTAGAAACGACAAGAGTCGATATAATAGTATATTAGTCTAGAGTAGGCTAATAGTTTACTATACTATTTCTTATTACCGAATTAGGAGATTTTTACGCCTATAAAGCTACGCTCTCTTTTCCTCTCTATAGCTATATTCTCTTCGTAGCTGACTTATATTGTAACAAGACAAAGTGGCTATGCTGGGCTGGTAGAGGGGTAGCAGGAAGGAGATTTAGCTGGTCACATGTCAAACCAAAATGGACTGGGAGAGCAGGACAGTTTACAGTGCTGGCAGTGTGCCATTCTTTACAGTTTGAACAGAGTATCATCAATCCCATGGTTTTTTGGTACCATCTACCTATTTCCTGTGTGTTTTATCGGTCCTGTCCTAGCTCCTCAATGCCGCTGCCGTGCTAGGCGTTCGTTGCCCTAGCCGCTGCCTCTCTGCCGGGTGTTGGTGGTGGTGTTGTCCTGTCAGCGCCAACCAGAAAAGCGTTCTCGATTCCCGACCTGCTGGACAGGCCTCTGTGCGTTGTTGCAAGTGCATGCCAAACCCCAAGTGCTCTGTTACCATATTATCTACTAAACCGAATCGTTCTTAGTAATATAATTACCTATACCTTGCGCTCTCCTCACTCAGTTCATACTAAAAAGAGATCCATTACTAAGGAGCCTAACCCCGTTAGGCTACGAGGCAACAGCTCTAATCAAACAATTAGACTTGTTTTCTTGAAATTTCTATGGGCTGGTTGACAAGGGTAAAGAGAACCTGTTGACTCTGATCTGTGTCAGGCGGAAGAATCTATAGTCCAGCCTCGCGAGGCTTCGCATCCCTATCCCGGCCCGAGTCGTCCGCTGCCGGGGCCGCAAATGCCGCCAACCTCGCCCATGCCGTGTCGCTCGTGTTTCGCCACGCGTGGTTAATGGCGCGCTGGACGATCGAGTCTCCCCTATTCAAGATGCGTGACTCGCCGCTGTCCAGCACCACCTCCAGCTGGCCCTCGACGACCACGTTGTAATTGATGCTGATCGTCTGGTGCATCGGCGACGTGTACCCGGGCGGGAAATCCACCATGCGAAAGACCGTCCCGTTGGGGACGACGATCCCCGGCGGGTCGTCGACGAGGCGCTGATACTCTCGGAGGTCCCAGTCTCGGTCGAACGAGACGGGGAATTGGGTCGTGGCAAAGCAAAACGACACCTGCATGCCACGGAGGTCCGTCTGCGGTGGCGTCTCGGGTGTCGTCATCGTGAACCGTGACAGCCCAGTCGAGTCGTTACCGGTGACGAACCGACGCGGACGAGGTAAGCTGCTCGACATGGTGAATGTTTTGGCACGGAGATTGGGGATTTTGTCGTGATTTGAGAAGCCACCAGGTATTCCTCTGCTTTCTGTCGAAGAAGTAGGCTTCGGAGAGTGATGACGATACGATAACGATATATTATGTCGAGTCAGTGTCTCGGTCAGTAATTCCGAACTCAATATTACCTCTGCTGTAAAAATCCGGAAGTGGCAGTCCAACATCGAAGATCCATCTTCCCACGTACAATTGTAGATGGATCTGCCCTCCGTCATGGTATTGGAGTCATTCTCGGACCAGAGTTGATCAGAGTCCGAAATCAATCGGCCTTCACTGATTCAATCTTTCGGCGAGTTCGGAGTGAAAACCGCCTCGTCTCTGGATTGAGCAATATGGACTGATTTTGTCGTACAACACCCGACTACAAGACGATATAAACGTGCACCGACGACACCACTGCACAGATCTTTTTTCTTGTACAAATTTCAATTACAACGATAACACAACGAGTGATGAACCATGCCGACTTGGGACAACGTGCCAAAGGGCCAGATGACGGCCGCCGTCTTGACCAACCCGGGGTACTCTGCCGACCCCTCCGACTGCTTCACTTACTCGACCGACTACCCGCGACCGACTTTGCCCTCGCCGGAGTGGGTGCTGTGTCGCGTGCACGCCGCGGGCCTGAACCGGGCAGAACTCCGCGGTCGTACGGGCGCGGCGCCGTTTATCGGCGAATTCATCATTTTTCAGAAAGAGTACCGCGAGGAACCGCCGAAGATCCTGGGCGAGGAGTTTGTCGGCGAGGTCGTGGAGGCCGGGTCGGCTTCCGGGTTCACGGAGGGCGAAAAGGTGACGGGGTTTTTGAACGGAGGGGGCAAGGCGTATGACGGCGCGTACGCCGAGTTCAGCCTCAGCCATCGACGACGGCTGTACCGGCTGCCGGCGACGACCAAGCTCCCGTGGAACGTGCTGGCCGCTGTGCCGATGAGCATGTACACGGCGTGGGGGGCGCTGAACCTAGCCGCGGGACTGGGGGAACGACGAAAAAAGGACAACAAGCCGGTCGTCGTCCTCATACACGGGGCGACGTCGAGCGTCGGCGTGTGGGGGCTCCTCGTGGCCAAGGACGCCGGCGCCACGGTCATCGCGACGACGAGAAACACGGAAAAGATTGAAAAACTGAAAGCGGCCGGCGCCGATCACGTCGTTCTCGAGGACGACATCGACACCGAGGTTCTCAAGATCGCACCTGACGGCGTCGACATCGTTGTAGAATTGGTCGGGCCCGACCACATAGCGCGCTGTGCCAACCTCTGCGCCCGGCGCGGCACGGCCGTGCTCGTCGGGCCGCTCAACAAGAACTGGTCGGCGGGTAAGTTCGAGCCGTTCTACATCCCACCCACCCGCAACGTCTCCTTCTTCACCATGACCAACAGCGGGCCCGGCTCGGAAGACGCCGACGTCGACCACCCGACCGTCGAGGCCCTTCTGTCGGATGTCGTCCACAAGATCGAGACGGGCGTCTACCCACAAGAGGTCGTTGTGGACAAGACGTTTGCGCTGCGCGACATTGGCAAGGCTCATCAATACTGTGAAGAGAATCGCGCCGTGGGCAAGGTCGTCGTAACCGTACCATAGTTTTGGAGAGTCTCATTCATGCCAAGACTTCTCTGAAAAGCCATTCCATTCCATTTGACGCTCACTGGATGTGAATTCGTTGAAGAATGGTGATCAAGTCGTTAACTTGCTGCATGCTAGTCTGATCGTACTCGTGGTAGATGGGCTCCGTCGAGTCGTCAGTGGCCGAGGGCGTCTCTGGTACGAGGCTGCCGAAGGGCTCTCTTGGCTCGAGGACTTTGCAATTTGTGATGCGGTCCATCATGAGTTTGGCCAGCAGCCAGAATTCCGGTGCGTGCCTCATGAATCCGACTCTGTTGCACATTTTGTGAATCGTCATGGTGTCCTCGGTGACCATGGCATGTGGCGGAGAAGCCGAGAAGTCCTCCGAGTACATTTGCCAGATCATTCCCCAGTTTTTTGCTGCATTTCGGATTGGAACAAGCTGGGCCTGTTCGCGAAAGCAGTGCTGGTACTGGAAAATGAGGCCGTGAAGCGCTGGATGGGAGCTGGTTAGAAACCCCCCAATCAACAAACAAGTGGAAGCTCGGCTTACAGGAGGTGAGAGCAAATAGGTTCAGCGGCCCTAGAAAGGCGCAACGGCATTGGATCTCCACGCTCATAGATTCCTGGCGGATAAGCTCGATGCCTTCCAGGTAGGAGAGCTGAGTACCTGGAGATGTCCCGAGGTACCATCGTCGAATTTTGTTGACACAGTCAGCCCCATCCGTCGCCTGGAAGCAGGCTTCGGGACAGGCCAAGTGCAACGTTGCTTCCTTGATCATCAGTCTCGGCGGTAGGTTGTTGAAGATGACAAACGCATTGTTCATGAAGAAAACTCAGATGAAGAACCTGCAGGACGGGAGTCAGTAAACTTACAACAAAGCCTGACTGTTCGGGGGGGGGGAGGGACGACGGACCGGATAAACTCTTCTCTAGCCACCCATTCATGCCAATTGAAGTCCGGTCCAATGGCATTGTAAGGTTTGTGTCTCGCAGTTGAGATGCCAATATCTCCCACGGCCTGCCAGTATTTATCAGTCGGGCCAAAGGGTTACCGCCCTCCTCCTACCGCAGAGAGCTGATGAACTCACGGAGACGACGGTGCTAAATCGATTCCGCCGGATTCGTCGCTTATTGGTGTCATTGCCTTCCCAGTTCTGGAATAGGCAGACATGATAAGCCGCCTGTAGAGCTTGAGTCCTGGGCTTGCTAGCCGCAAGACACAAAGGAGAGCGATGGTCATCGGCCGACAGAAAGTCACCACTCAAGTCGACATCGGTGAAGACCATTTCTCGACACAATTAAACCAATGCGCTGCATTTTCGACGTCCGTCGGCTCCAGCGAGACACAAGCTCCTATGATCGGTTGGCAGGACACACAGCTCTGGGACCTCGAGAGCCATCTCACCGATCAAGACCAACACCACCTCCTTCACCATGAGGGCACTTTGATGAGTCTGCCAATACAGTGGATCGGTAGTTAGATTCGGCAGAAAGGGATCGCCCATGAGGGCGGTCGGAGCGATTGTGTTGCTCAGATCTTGGCCGTTCGATTCGTCATCTTCGAAGATCCACTCGCTTTCCTCCAGAACCTGCTTCCTCTGACTGTAGGTGCCGCAGTCGAAGGACAGGATGAAGCCCGTGTTCTGGGTAAATCTGTCCAGAAACTCGAAGCAATGGCGATAGCTCGGTCTGGGGAAGTTGAGCCGGCGAGGAGGTGAGGGCGATCGGAGGCTCGTCCCAGACAAACAAGCTCCTCCAATGCGTGTTGTCGTCGCTCAAGTCATCCAAAGTTGTAACAAGGAAAGGCGTGAATATTGTCGACCAACGATTGGTCTAGGGCACTCGGTTCCTGGTGTATTGACCCGGTCAAAGCAAGCGGGAGAGCAGAATATGGAACTGTCGCCTCTCGAGTGTGGATAAACTTCTGGTTAACCCATCTGACTGTCCTGCCAAGGTCCAACCACCTGCTTCTTGCGGCTACTTGCGCCCCTTGCGCCCCTAGTACTGGGTAGTGTTCATCCCGTCCCCCAACGTCGTGGGGGTTTCTGGAGGTTTCCCCGCCAGTCATTGTAGTGCCACGACAGCATCGTCGTGGCAGCGAAAAGCGCGGTCCGCGAACGCCAGATCCAAATGGAAAACGGCGAGGTCAAACGGTAGAGTCCATTGCCATGCGTTCGATGCTCTACTTTTTCGTGGGGTGTCCTGACACTTACGAGAAGCTCACCGCCGAGATCACCGCCGCCGTGAAAGAGGGCAATATTTTCCAGAGGGGAGTAGGGTCGGCATGAACGCCCACGTCCTCCACTTCGACACCAACATCTTTGGCAAGGACGGCGAAGAATGGAACCCGGATTGATGGCTGCAACCTGGAGCCGAGAACATGGATCGACACGTGATGAATTTCGGCGCCGGTCCGCGCACGTGTATTGGAAAGAATGTATGACCACCCTCCGTTCCATCTTCTCCCTCCCTCCGTCGAGACAGATTCGCTGACCCAACATGACCCTGTTCAGGTCTCGTTGACCGAGATCCACAAACCCCTTCCCAATATCCTTTTGCATTATCACATCGAGCTGGTCCACCCCGAATAAGAATGGACAACTCATAATTTCTTGTTTAACAAGCAACTCGGAATCGACGTCAGAGTAAAACGGCGAGATGTCTTAGCCTAATGGCTTGGTACCAAGGGACACGAGAAGGTATTGAGAGAGATCAAGGCTTTGCGAGAGTGCAGAGTTACCACGACAGGAGTAAATGCCAGGTTGTGTGGCCCGAATAGAACCTGAGACATGCCGTGGGCCATCTAGATCAGTCTTGTCGAGCGAATACAGAAGTTAGGAGCTATGGGTAAGATGAGAGCGCATGTGCGGCGGAGAGAGTATCGTGATTGAGGGTCAGTGTTGCGGGTAATCGAGCTCGTCAGCTCATGGCACGTTCAAGAAGGCCAGGATTACGACTCTCTACCACTACAAAGCACCAGATCTGGAATGACTCGGTCTGCCGTTTAGTCCCAAAGGATAGAATGCATCAAGAGACCAATTCGACCATAGAAAACATACAAGACGTCGTGAGACTTGGAGTGAACGACAGCGTATCAATACTCCCCGTGTGCCCTAAAGCCTGGTCTCTGGCTGATTGTAGAACCGAGTCATGTCTGCTCCCAGAGCCAAATCTTGCTTTTTACACAGTCAGTGTCTGTCTATTAGGCACAGGAAGGGAAAAAAAAAACTCACCATCATAAACTCGGCGGCGGATTCACAATCTTTCCCCGCCTGTTGGGCCATTTGCAGGAAATGGTCTGTTTCGAGCGCCGTTTCTCCGTCCGTGCTCATGCGGTTCATGTTGACGGTCGACAGGGGATCGATGATGCCGTTGTAAATCTCCCGTCGGACTCGGTCGTATTTGTCCAGGATGTCTAAACCAGCCTTGCCGGAAAAGATTCCCAGTAGACAATCAGTCAGGCTCCCAACGTCTGCAATGCCACCGGTGAGTCCAAGGCCGCCCCTATCGCGAGTCAGTCCAGAACTACCTTGTTTATAACAGGGGGACCAACATGGGATTGCACAGGTGGGCTGCGTCTCCCGCCAACATGATCCTTCCCACCCTCATACGATCGACGCAACGTTGGTGCATTCGAAACCAGGCAAAATTGGCCAACCGGTACTGATCCGGCGTCGGGGAGCCGGGAAGAATGGACCGAAATCTCTGGGGGAGTCTTTCTCTGAGCTGCTCAGGCGTCAACGAGGCATCCTCTCCGTACGCCACGCGCCACAGGCCGTCCTTGGTGATGCGCATCGAGACGAACCAGTTGTCGGGGTGAAGTGTCCACTGAAGGTCGGACCAGTCGTACTTGTCGAGGTCGTAGTACACCTGTAATGTACACCTGTCAGCAAACCTCGTGAATAATTTCCGCTCCGGTTGCCTACATTGGTAGTAACAATCAGCTTGTCCCAAGTGTAGCCCCTGAAATTGCGCCCGAACAGGGCCTTGCGGACGCCGCTCCTGGCGCCGTCGCATCCGACGACAAAATCACCACCCAGCTTGACGGTCCCGCCATGGGTTTCCGCCTCGACCCAAGCTTGACCCTCGTCTTGAGACACGGCTGTGACCCGGTGGTTCCAGAGGACGGTCGCATTGGGAAGCGGTACGAGGGCTTCCAGGATCAGTTCGGCCAACAGGTTGAGCGGATACGCCATCATGCGATCCGGGATGTCCAACGTGTCCATGCCGGTGATTTCGGTGATCTTTTCCCCGCCCAGCTTCCTCCAGGCCATGCTTCGGATGAAGAATCCCCGTTCCAAGACCTTGTTGACGATGCCCGCGCGGCGAATCACTCTGCAGACGTCGCCATTAGCCATTGACTCCCTGTAACAAGGTCCAATCACTCACTGTGCCGCCGCGGGACCGTAGAGCAATGCTCGAGGTCTCGTATCGATTGAATGATTCGCTTCCAACACCGTCACCTGGACCCCCTCTCGCGCCAACAAGAGCGCGAGGAGAAGACCCGCGGGGCCTGCGCCGGCGACGACGACCTTGGGAGTGTGCGCCATCGATATCACGTTGTCAATGTGTTAGCAAGCTTATGCAATGAGTACAAGAGCACAAAAACGTGGTCACAAACTCTTCCCATGATCTATTTTGTACTTTGAGCCGACTAACTCCAGTGACCTTTTCATTCGTTTGCCAGCCCACAGGTATCGGCCTTGGAGCACCGAATTCGGAAAGTCATTTCTCAAGACGCGGAGATCATGTGAGCTGGTTCACCTCGGATACGTCGATCTCACTGAGACCTTGGTAACATCACGGGACATGCTAGACAGTTGCGGTGAAGGCAAGATACCTGAGCACTGTTCGAATGTTTCGCTCCGAAACCTCCAAAACCGTGACATGACGAAAGAGGCAAAGTCTCCACCATATTCCAAGTTAGTATTCTTCGGCCCGGGGCTACAATCGATCTTGATTGGCTGGGAAAGGCGCGCCAGAAAGCCCCAGCCAAGTTCGCTGTAAGAGCCGATGCGGCGCCATACACACATGACTATGGACAATAGAACCACGACCTATGTACGAACCGCAAGCCAGTACCTTGTTGTTAGCAAGACATATACAAGGGTCACTCTGTTTCCGAACAAGAGCCGGCTTTCGGAATCGCCTGAAAACCCTAACCCCTTCCTTCTCCAGTATGGAACTGGTGGAGTATTGGACCTTGAAACGGTCTACCTAGGTGTTCCCCCTCTACGCGTGTCACGCATCAATGGCGCATGGAAAAGTGAAAATCCACCGGAGGCTGCCCATCCCCTTCGACAATCGGAAGAAGGGAACTCCACATTTCCATGTCGGCGTCAATGTTCATGTCAAACCACTGAATTTTTGCAATACCGTGGGTGTCAGTCCCAACCACGTGGTTTGAAGTTTAAGGAAAGATGAAAAGTCACTCACGGTCGGGTACATGCCGTCCTCACCGGTGATTTCCGCTTCAGTCAAATCGGGAATGTTCATCTGATCAAAGTCAAGAGGGTCAGTTGGAAGAGGCCTTTCGATCAAGTTCGACTTGTCGTTGTCGGGAAATTCAGGGAGTTGAGCGTGCTCGACAAAGCGGCGGGCCATTTGCGCAATGTCCTTTGCAAAAGGGGTCGAGATCTGGAACTCGGTGGCGATTTCGAGCCGGGTAAAGTGTGCCGCTCCGATCTCCATGAGCAACAGGTCCGAGTGGACTGTCGCCAGGTTGGGTGCTTGCAGGATGTGAATGAAGAGGTTGATCATGGCATAGATTGGAATGTAATATGCGAATCTTACCAATGTTCAGCTTGAGGGAGAGAGAGAGATCGGTAAAAGACGTACAGAAATGGGCATGTGGCATCCAGAGGAATGTGCCTGGTTGCAAGCAAGACTTCCCTGGATGCATCGGCGACGACGGTGTACGACTTTTCCACCTGGTCGCGCATGGCGGGATGTCGTCGAAGGTTGATGATGCCACACGACCAGGGGTAGGTGAGGGTGGTGTGGATGTCGAACAGCAGCCCGGAATAGGTGAACTGGATGGCCAGCGCTGTGTACAGGCTCATGCCAGACGGGAGCCGAGTCAGGTCAAGGGGGACGTTGAGATGGGTGATCTCGCGAATTTCCCGGCCCAATGCCTCGGCCTTTTGATGCAGGCCGTGCACTGTCTGCATCAACTCATTCGGGGTCTGTCGGAAAGCTCTGGCGCTGGAGACGGACGCGAGGACAAACGAGCAGAGCTGGTGAAGGCGGATGAGAATCTGACAAGCTTGGACATTGGCGCTACTACTCGACGAAATCGAGGTTGGGATTTGACAGTTAATCTCCTCGTCGTCCATTGTCTTGAGAGAGTAAGTGTGCCGTTTAGCACGCACATGCCAGAAGAAGAGGGGGAAGGGGGGAGGGGGGAGGGGGGAGATACCGAAGGCCGGCCTGAACGGCTGGCGACGTGTTTGTCCAGGCAATAGACCGCCCAGAAAATCCAACTCCGGTGGCTGATTTCGTGGTCGGGCAACTTCCACGACGAGGGCGGCTGTCGGTGTAGACCTTTGGAGCACGCGAGCCGCAGGGCCGCCGCCGTGAGGTTGTACTGCAAGAGGTGGTTTCCCAACCCTTCGGTGTAATATGCCTGTCCATGTCAGTGAATGAATGTCGCCAACGGAGGCCAACGAGATACCATGAGTGCCAGCGCTTGTACGGCAACTATCGAGGTGGGGAGGAACAGCAGATCGGTAAAGACGGAGAGCGCATTCTCGAACCACGGCCACGACGCCTGTGAGGCTTTGCTAAAGGTCGACTTTTCCGAGAGCTCGATTCTACTGCCGGAAGCGTAAATCATGTTGCGCAGCGCGTACCAAGATTGATCGTCGTCTTCGTATTCGCTGTTCGTCAGGTGGACACGCAAACGAGACTCGAACCACGGGCGATCAACGATTCCAAACGCAGAGTCGTAGCCCTTTTCGAAATATGCTTCTCGATCAGCTCCAACTCGAGGTGTTCTTTCTTTTTGTTCAGGTTCCTACCATTGGTATACTTCCATGCCATGTCAGGTTCAGGCTCCGGAGCGCGTTGGGGGGGCAGTTTTTTGGCTAGCTTCAACCTCCGCGTCATGTCTCTGGTAAATCGTGTGGCCGTTTTGTGAAACTGACGTGAGCCGACTTTCTCCGCCACCCAGTCCAAACCGGTGGGAGAACATATCGAGAGAAAGGATCTGGGGCCTGTTCGGACACATCAGAAGGGAGTAACTGTTTGGCACCAAGGGGGCGGCTAGCCTTGATATTCCAGATACTACCGTGTCAAAATTTTGTTAGAAATGCTCATTATTTCCTGGGAGACGCGCGCTTCTCACCGTCTCTGCCGAGTACACGCTGCTTTCCTCCTGTCTTTCAATCGGATTGCTCCCTCCTACGTCGTCCAATATCGGCCTATCGTCGGCGGCTCCGAGGCTTTGAGGCTCTCGCGTCGGGTAGGCTGCCGCTGCAGGATGGAGGCTCTCGCACCAGAGACGATTGGCATATGAGTGGTCTTGGCCGCCTAGAGGTCAGTTTGCTTCATCGTTCGATTTTGACCAGGTTTTGACTCTCAGGCTTACTACCAGCAATCTCAACCGCGCAAGGGCTGGTGGCCGCTTGCTTGGAAGCATTCTCGTCCATGACCACCACCTCGTCTGTCTCGATGCCCCTCGGAGCATGGTCGTACGTCGATATGGTAGGCTGATGAATGGGCGGCAGAGGAGGCGATGCGGCGTTTTCACTCTGCGACAGGCCTGGCGTGGTCGTAGGTGCCGGCACAGCAGACATCACCGGGACCTCGACCGAGGCCTTCTTCGAGCTGTCCAACAACGCTTCCAGCTTGGCCAGACGCTGGGCCATGGCGTCAAAGTCCATTTCTCTCTCCTTGGCCGACTGGCGACGATGTCGAGATCGCTGACACAACTGTCCGTGACTCTGACAGTAGGAGCACGGATGTCCTCCATTGCCTGGAAAAGTCTTTGATCAGAATGTGACACCCAGCCAGAGCCAGTACCCACTACTTACATCGGACCTTTTTAGACCTGCAGAAATCGCATGCCACCCAGCGCTTTGGCTTCGACGACATGTTTGGGAGAGCGAGCGGCGACAGAAAACTGCACAAGGTTTTGTTCTTGGTGATGTCGATGTAAACGGATGGAAACAAAGCGTCGAAGCAGGGAGAGAAGCTAATAATATTTGCTTATTGGGTTCTCGCTTCTACTGGCCTTCCCCTGCCTCCCCCGCCCACCAAGATCCTCGGATATCTACATAGTCCAGCCTCGATTTCTGGAGAAGTCGGCGTACGGAGAAGACGGGGAAGAAAATAGCATCTGCAACTCCCGCCAAGACAGCGAGCTATCCCCAGACAACGAGCCAGGGCATTGTCCAACTCCGAGGACGCTTACACGGCAAGGGCACAGGTTGTGTTTTGTTGCCGCGGCCCTAAACCGTATCCGTTAGCGAGACTCCACTTAGGGGCGGTTATGCCTGAACAGCGCTTAAGCTTTAGGGGGGTGGCACCTACAACGGGCCCCAAGATTAGGCATAGGAGGACTCTGGGTGTTCCTAAAGATCGAAGAAAATAAGCCTTTAGCCCCTAGAGATATATATTTTCCAGGCGTCAGATAGGTGGCCGTCGGAAGATTTTAAGCATCGTCTAGGCACTGGGTGCCTAAAACACTCCCCGACTAGCCATCCGCATGGCTCCCTATATCATGTAATCCCGTCATTCAGAAAACACCGACCAGTGGCTTCGAAGCTGACCGAAGGATACCTACATAGGTAAAAGCCACGGTCTCAACATTGACTTTCAACTCATCTTCACGACTCTGCAAATGGGAATTATCTCCCTCTCCTCCACCACCACCGTATCTTGGTCCTATCATTCCAATCGCCAGACAGGCGACCCTCAGACACCTCGGCCAGAGGATTACTGTTTCCTGCGTTCCACAATGACGTGAAATTTCCTCTGCTGCACAAACGTGTGACTGGTGCAGCTCCAGCCTCCATCTTCCGGGTGTGCGAGACGAAGGTGATAGTGAAGCAAAATCTGCGGAATGACTTTGTTGATCTCAAGCAAGGCAATGTTTTTGCCCAGGCACATGTGCGCGCCGTATCCGAACTGTCGAGGTCGGTCAGTCAGCTCAAGCCGTTTCGACCCTGAGTACTCACGCTCATAAAGTGGCGGTCCATCAAGGACTTGTCACCGTCGATCCACCTCTCTGGTCGATACTGGTCGGCGTCGGGGCCAAAGATGGCCGTTTGACTGTGCATGACCCAGGAATTGATTCCCACGGTCGTCTATGCCGGGATGAGGACTGAAAGTCGCGAGGAAAAGACTTTACTTACCCTGGCTGGTAGGTAGGTCCCCGCGAGGACCACTCCTCCCTCGGGCACGTAACGCGTGTGCTGGGTGCCGAGACTCGGGTGAAGCCTCATGGCCTCCTTGATGCACGCTTGAAGGTAAGGGAGACTCTGAGCCTCGGCCAGCGTCGTCTGTTTCGAGATCCGCCCGCTGCGCACGGCCTCGTCCAGCTCGAGCAGCAGCTTGTCGTAACAGCGCGGGTTGGTGATGGCGTAGTACAAAATGGCCCGCAGGGCGATGCTCGTCGTGTCGGAGCCGGCAAAGATGTTGACCGTGATGGTGACTTGCAGGTCCAGGTCGTCGAATTTGCCGGGGTTCTCTCGCTGGACCTGGAAAAATCGAGACAACAAGTCCCGCCGATCCACCTCACGGCCTCGACGCCGCTCAGACAGCACTTGTTGGGCTTGCTTTTACCCATCATCAGTCAGCAAGTGATTCTCCTTTCGCGACTGTTTTTCTGCCTACCCCGATTATGATGTTGAGCCTCTGGTCATAACCTCCGACGACGGGCAAATACTTGAAAAGAGAGCTCTTCCGGATCCTGTCCAATTCTGGAAGCTCTGCAATGACGATGCCCGACCACAGCGTCTCGTCGATGGCCTTTAACGTGTCGTCAATGTCCTTGCCGGCGTCGAGGAACCCGAATTGTTTGGAAAACGACACCTCGCCGATCACGTCGAACGCGAACCACTGAAGCCAGTCGGCCAGGTTCATGGGCGTGCCACCATCGGTGTGCTCCCCGAATCGCTGGAGCAGCCGGTCCACTGGGCGTTGAACAAACAGGTCCAACTCGTTGACCGCCGCCATGGAGTACGAGTGCGACACCATCCTCTTGGACGCGGCGTGGCCCTCGGTCGTCGGGTCTGAAAAGACGTCGTATTTGCCAGACTGGCCTCCCATGCTCCAAGATGGATACCAACTGTTGCATACCGTCAGTTCTCGACAGTGACTCGACAAATTTTGCTTGCCCGGGCAGAACCAACCTCGTCTTGGTGAACTTGGTCCCGGCGCCGTAAATCACCTTCAAGGCCCCTGGATCTGACACGCTGATTTCATTAGGTCCTATCCGCACAAGATGGCCTGATCATTATCGTAATGTCTCAATCAGCAGCACTCTCAGACGCGTCGTACACTCGTGAAGTGAACTTTTACCATGCTTGCGGTGGAGCTCCAGCAGCACCAACTCTTGTCTGGCCGTCAGAATGGTCTTGACCTTCCACAGTCTTGTAAAACTGGCAAGCAGCGGACCCGGCACCGCACGTAGGGCCGTGTTGTAGCGAACGTGGAGCAAATAGCAGAGGAATACAAGGAATGCTGACAGGAGGATGTTTGCCGACAAAATGGCCGTCATCCTCTCTCCGAACTGAGAAACGAGCGACAGAGCATGCACTCTGTCACTTTCCGTGCCTGTCTCCATTCGTGAGAAAGCACACGAAGATCCGACTGCTCTGTCAAGCCCAGTGTCTAGGGTCAAGTGTCCGGAAGTCAGAGTTATTATGTCTTACCCTAAAGTTCCTCGCGACAGGTGGGAAGTTATTTCTCTTCTTGCCAGGGAGAGCGTTGTCCGAAAGCACTTGCGACACCGCCCTGGCCATCCATATTTCGGGCGTCGAGCTCCGGGCTGCGCAGGGTTTCACTATTATTTCAGTCAAAAAGCTGGGGAGCCTTTCTTTCGGAGCGAATTATCCATTTGCAACTTCTGACCTCGCTGATTCCCCCGGAAAACTTGTGTAATATCCGGGGTTATACCCCGAACGCCGTAGGCTGGCTGGGGAAGGATCCAGCCTTGCCGCGACCTGGAGGTTGTATGCAGAGAGATTATTGGGCGTTGACCCAGACTTTTACCACTCGCGTACATCAAGGAGAGTCCAAGAGAGTCCAACATCCTTCGGGCTGCCAAAGACATTTGCGCGACACGCTCTCTACCACTACATTCGACGGTGATCTGCTCAAAAGGCATCGCCATGGTGCGTTTCCTTCCCGGACTCAAATTTCGTCGCCGTCCAGTGCCTCATTGCCTCTCCTTTCCAGTATATCAATCCCACAAGCAAGTGTCCAGCCAGCAGCAAAAGCCCCAGCACGATGAACGGGATCGAATAGCCGGCGCTCGTGTTCCAGGGAATGATGGCGTAGCTGATGGCAAAGGTGGCAATGTTCTTGACGCCGTTGAAGACGACCATGACCGTGTCCATTCTAGCCTCGTACACGTCGAGAAGGTATGCAAACAAGATGGAAGCGGCCGAAGTGAAGGAGAAGAGCACTGTAAATCTTAGCTTCATTCAGCCAGGGAGGGGAGGTTGACTTACACAAGAATGTACCGAAGAGAGGTGCAAACCAGTGACACTGGTTCTGGGTACAAACACCAAAAAGAATGGTCCCGGCGACGCCGACCGGTCCCGTCAGGGCGAACAGAGGCAATCGACGCTCCGGCTTGGGAGGTTTTCCTTGGCTCTTGCGGGCTAGACGTTGAAAGTAGTGGTCGGCAAGCACGCCGCAGAGAATGATGGCCAGTAAGCTGCCGACCATCGGGGCAAAGAACGTCAATCCACTATCTCCCAGGCTGAATCCGTACTCGATTTGGTAAGAGAGAGATTGAGTTGTCTAGCCAGCCCGCTGATCAGCACGACATGTTCGAATAGAAGCACAATTGAAGGTGCTTACCATGGTATAATTTGCGACCATGAGACAGATGGAAAAGAAGACCATACTGGTGATGACGATCGGATGGAAGAAATAAGGAAAGATGACGGCGAAAGCAGCCCTCAGACTAGGGCATATGATTAGCTCTTGTCGCCGACTTCTTCGAGCTTGCCTGTACCTGTGAACCTTTCGCTTTCCCCCGCCGCTGACTGGCCAGAAGCGAAAGTCGTCGATCCGGCGTCTCGGCCGTCGGTCAGGGTTGTTCGTGTATTGTGTTTCCGGCATCAACAACAAAATCATGGCCGCACTGCTAAAGGCGAGAATGACGATGATCCATTCAGTCCATCTCCAGCCGAGAGAGCTGTCAGTTGTTAGCAAGTAGCTTTGCGAAAAATCATCAACACAATTACCAACCTGTTTTGCACAATAAAGGATCCAGCCAGAGGTCCCACACTGAACCCGACCGCCTGCATGATGGCAATAACCGTCATGGCCTTTGCACGGTCTTTCGGAGCAAACACGTCTCCGATCATCTGGGGAGCCAGAGTTTCGGGACTGGCAAAGAGGCCCGTGGCCAGGGTTCGGGCAGCGACGAGGCTGCCGAAACTGGTGGCCCGGGCTCCCCATATGCTCAGACAGGCGCCGACGATCGAGGTCGTGGTGAAGATGAGACGAGCGCCGTATCGATTGGCCAGCGGCACCCACAAGAACGACGCCACCCCGTAGGCGAGAAGCGGACCGCCGATGAGATACGTCGAGGCCGAGAACGCAGAGTGGAATTCGCGCGGCACGATCTGCAACGCGGGCCCGATGACGATCATGCTGAACGTGCCGACAAACATGTACACGCTGACCGATGTCAAGATGGCCAGTTTGCGGGTAGAGCTCCAGGTCAGCGGGTCGTGGGGGTCGGCGGTCGAATTTCCAGCGCCAGGATCTCCTCCGTTTTCCTTTTGCTCCTGGCTGTATTCCACAAACACTTCGCTATTCTCAAGTTTCGACATGTTGACTTGGCCAAAGCAGGGCTGTGCAAAATCACAGACAATATGACAAAAGAGTTGATGCAGCAGCGCAGCTTTCAACATATATATCTAGTAATGTCCCTCCGTAATAGCGTTTGCGGTACATACCTAGATTATTGTGTTCTCCGGCCCGAAATTGTGTCTTGACTGAGGATTGTTGGCATACTCGGGATTCGCGCTCCGAACGCCAAACCTTGGGGAACATTGTACTACTACGACGAATAGACCGGTCTGGCCGGTCTGGGGAATGGGGGAATACAACTTCCCCAGATTTCAGGAGAGGCCAGAAGTTCTGGCCCCAGAAGCTGGGCTTCGGTTCCCTCAACATTAGGGCCAAGCACGAGGGCACTGTCGGATACCCCGGAGCCAAATTGGACGAAAGCGAGGACAGCTTTTGCGAGACTTGGGCATACTCTTGGGCGGCAGAAAGCGGCGCATTTGACAGGGAGAGACGACTCTCATCACTGGCGGGAGGCTCAAGAATGGTCGATGTTGGGCGCCGCCGATTGTTAGATATTAGTAAAAGGGGAAAAAGGAGGCGAGTTCCTGTATCGACGAATAGATGCCGGTCAAGGCGACGGTGAGAAGAAGGGTGAGCCGCGGCGGCGGGCTGTTGCATCTCGAAGGAGCCGCCCCCCGGAGGGCCAAATGCGCCTTGTCCACAATCGATTTGTAATTTCCTGGGTTTGGTCCTGGTAAGGTGTAAGGGACAGGGCAAGGCTGAAGTGGACCCGTCACGGGTTTGTTGAATGCCGAGCCGAAGCAATTCCACCGACGAGGCTATGTGCTAGGCCCCCTACCCCACCAATCAGTAGTTTCTCAATTGCGCTCCTACTTCGGCGAATGTTATTTGTGCTCCTCAACGACCCGACAGAAACGCTGCAACGCATCATACATTTTTTGCGCCCGCGGCATGGAGCTGGCAACGATGAGTCGGTGCGTGGCTCGCAAGACTGCGAGGAAGGTCTCTTCAGTCCGCTTCTACAGCATTGTGCATGATATCCCTCGAGCTGCTGCTAGTCTCAACCAAACGCCTCCCCCACCACAACCTCAAGGGCAGTCGGTGTTCGAGCAAGCTGTCAATGCTACTGGTCCGCGCAATAACTGGACCAAAGAAGAGATCTCTTCGATCCACCAGACTCCTCTGATGGAACTGGCTTTCGCTGCAGTACATCCGCCTACCTCACCACTTGTCTAGAATTTCCCTACTAAGATCATTTGTAGGGCACTGTCCACCGTCGATTTCACAAGCCCTCGGCAGTCCAATTATGTACCCTCATGAACATAAAGACTGGTGGGTGCACGGAAGACTGCTCTTACTGCGCTCAATCTTCCCGCTACAAGACAAACCTCCAAGCCACCAAACTCTCCACGGTGGATTCTGTCATCGAGGCCGCAAAAATTGCCAAAGCGAATGGCTCAAACAGGTTCTGCATGGGCGCTGCCTGGCGTGACATGCGGGGGCGGACGCGAGGAATGAAGAATATCGTTGAAATGGTCAAAGGTGTTCGAGCTTTGGGTATGGAAGCCTGCGTAACCCTGGGCATGCTTGACAAGCAACAAGCTCGGGAGTTGAAAGAGGCCGGATTGACAGCATACAACCATAATGTGGATACTTCGCGAGAACATTACCCCCACGTCATCACCACACGTTCCTACGACGAACGATTACAAACACTGGAGAATGTACGGGAAGCAGGCATCCATGTCTGCAGTGGTGGCATACTCGGCCTAGGAGAGACGCCTGCAACCGACCACGTTGGATTGATCTACACCCTCGCCACTCTCCCAGAACACCCCGAGTCTTTCCCGGTGAACAAACTTGTCCCCATTAAAGGAACGCCCATGTTCGGCCAAGAACCGGTTAAGTTGGAAGACATGGTCCGTTGCATTGCTACTGCTCGCCTAGTCATGCCGCGAACCATCATTCGCATTGCAGCCGGAAGAGTCAGTATGCCTGAGAGTGAACAAATGCTGTGTTTCATGGCGGGTGCGAACGCCATTTTCACGGGTGAGAAGATGTTGACGACGGATTGCAACGGCTGGGATCAGGACAAGGACATGTTTGAGCGGTGGGGATTGTCGCCCATGCAGACCGAGGCAAGTAAATTGGTCAAAGTTGAAGCGGAGCCAAAGTTTGAGGCGAGTAGTTTCGTGCATATGAAGGGCGCGAGCACGACTGCCGGGAAGGGAGCTGAGGCATGAAGGACAGAGATTTGGTATAGAATAGAGTATATATATATATTATATATACCCCGAACTACGCTTTATCCATTACCATTTGCGTTCAGGAAAGGGAGCGAGGCCACTTTAATCTGGCACGTGACCGAGCATCGAGGAGACCTGGCCGAGCACGGGGGAGCCACGGCAGAGTTACGGGGGAGCCACAGGGAGCGCTGCCTGAAGCCCATTCGCAGAAGCCAGTTCAGGTTTAGGGGTCCCCTTTAGGCCTCGGCGATAGTTGCTCAGCTGTAACCCTTCATTTGTTTCAAGCCTTCTGCCTGGCAACTTTCGATCCGTTCGTCTACGTGGTGATGTGTCTTACTTAATCCGGGCATTTGCGAACTGTCACATCCGATAAGTACACATAGTACAGTACGTCACTGCTTCACGATACCAGCGAAACATCGACGCCATGGCTTCTACCAGCTCAGTATCGTAGTTTATATTCTCATTCTACACTAGTGTAACGACACGTTACAGGAAGGATGGAGAAGCTCCAAAGTCTGTGTATTGCACTAAATGGCTTATGAAAACGTCTGTATAAAATTGGAAAGGGCTACAATCGACCCTCACCTAGAAAGAGACTACGATATTGGAGTCCTTTCCAAGGTGATTTTTTGGCTCAGGCTGGCGGTGCTGGACCCTCCTACTTCTGAACTCATTCATTCGCTAACAATCGTGGACGTGGACCGCGTTACAGTAGACTGGTAGGTAGTGTGAGGTCGGACGCAAGGTCCCTAATCGACACATGGAGGGCCAAATCAGGCACCATAGCAATCGGCTACCCAGTATACCTGCCTCTCTGCTCGGCATCTGTTTCAGACGGGCGTTAGAGACCCTGGCAGATTCCCTGCCCTTACGCTGCTGCCTAATTTTCCTTGTAAAGCCGTTCCCAGGGAATTCGCCCCGAGTTACTCGGTAGTTGATTGCTATTTTGCCAGATACGCCCGTATTTCGTGCAAAAGTACAGAGGGAACTAACCTCAAACCCACTGTGGGTCCTAAGCCGCGGGCATCATTGTTTGATTGACGCAACCTCATCCCTGAGCTCCCCCAGTTATGGAGCGGCTCCTCCGGCTCTTGAAGGGGGCCACGCGGAGTCAAAGCATCCCTGCCCCATTCATCAGGGTGATACCTAGAGTCAGGACATCAAGGTCAGAGATTATGAACCTCTACCTCGCAGCCTCGCTATCCCGAAAGATCATACTTTTACGGCATGTGGCACAATTTTGGAATCATTTTGAAGTACGTCGACGAGAAAAGAGGTTCCTTGGGTCACCTGAAGACCAGCTATCGACCTGAAACAGTATGGTAACTTTGGAATGGAGACAAAACTGGCCTCCCTAAACAGCCCCCGGTTTTCGAACCTAGAGAGCGGAGGAGATAAGCAGCACGAAACGTCGGCACCCTCCGGACTCTTAGCTCGCCTAGATCTCTGCGCTTATGCAGGAGCTCCCTTCTGTAATGTCAAAGCGTCCGCCTGGCTGAAAAATGTGAGCTGATAATATGCTGCCCAATCCCGGATTCAACTGCTCTTGGAGAATTAGAAACTGTGATATGCTTGCAAGGCACTCCTCACTATGCGATAGAAAGATATGACCCTAGAGTTTTAAGGCATAGGGGACTCCAATCTTCTCGCCAGGGAATGCTTAGAAACGGGCTCTACCTACGTATGATTAAACAACTATGGCTGTTCCATATGTCTGGGACCCTGATCGTGTCCTCCAAATCACTGATCTTGGCCGCAATGAGATAATCTGTATTGGTCGTGCGGCCAGAAGATTCAACTCTCGCTGCACTTGGACTATCGAAGAGCCAGAACGCTTCCATGTGTCTTCCCTCCTCGCATCCATGGCTCGAAAGCCGCCGACGGAAGTGCGAAAAGAGGAATTGGGAGTGCTAGCTGGGCTGTGCCTATGCCACCAAGCGCATCAACATCAGCAGGAGGAAGCCTTCATAGAACTGCAAAACCGGCTCCCATATGCTTGTGATGATTACGAACGATTTCGAACGTTACAGGAGCAGAATATAGAACTACGCACTGAAGTTCAGAATGGAAAGGTCAGTACTCTACTCGCAGAGCTCAGGATGACCGGAATTTAGCTGGAAAACTCACGCTTGCAGGCTCGAGAGACCAGTCTTTGTCAAAAGGTGGATGAGCAAGCAATGGCTGCGAGCCAACTTCAAGAAACGGAACGAGGCCTGAAGAGTCAGTTGGCTCATATGAGCCAGCGGTTGGATCGGCAATCTACGACTATAGCGGAGCTACAAGAATCCAAATCTGGTTTGCGAAGGACGTCGGATCATCTCGAGCAACTATTACAAAAAGGAAAATTGGCCGTGGCCGGTCTTGAAAAGTCGAATATAGGTCTCGAAGGGCAGCTGACCGAACTTCGTCGACAATTGTATGACCAAAAAGTGGCTGTGGATGAGCTAGAGGCGTCAAAGTCAGACCTCCAAGGACAGCTCCACGAAATCCGCCAACAATTGAACAAGCAAAACACTGCTGTCCGGAATCTGGAAGACGAAAACAGAACTTTAAAAGATCAGCACACAACCGCTGTAGCCAATTTGGGCACCTCACAGCTTAAACTTGAGCAAATGAAATCTGAACTCCAATCAGTCCGGATCGGCAACGCTGACCTTCAACGTCAACTGAACGAAGCATTCATTCTAGGAAGCCTGGGAATCAACAACGCATGGCAGACACGACTTCGAAATTGGCTCCGAACTTGCCAGTTATTGTTCACTGGGGCATTTAGACGTGTTCGCCATGTTTTAGCTACACTATCAGCCAAGTTGATGAGATTTTGGCCTGATCGAGGCCTCTTCAGGGGCATAGAACCCGTTGCTGGAAAATATCTAGCGGTAGAGGAAGAGATGCTTCCCCGTCACTGCAGCCCATCAGAACCACCAGTGTAATTTAGAAGACTATTGTCAGCCGCACTTCCAATGTCTCCATTGCAAAGAAAGCTATACGACGTTGATATGGCGTCCTGTGCACTTATAAGACTATATAAAGGCAAGTTGGGAAGGTTCCACCTCCTCGTGAAGGTTTGGTGAGATCAAAGGCACCCATTATCTCGAGGAGTTAGGTGGATCTCTTACTGTTTCCGAAGGAGTACTGATCTAGGTCCAGTAGTGGTTGTGTAGTGTGTGAGAAGGTAAGTTAATCTAAAGAGACGACGAGAGAAGAGACTAAGTCAGGGGAAATTACTGTTCAGAGAAGATATTCTCGAAAGCGGCTGTATGTTAGACACAGCCTTAGAAGGGACCGGTCGTGGGCTACACGGGCGCGGCTCACCACATTCATTGGCTACATGGAAGGTTCCGTGAGAGAGTAAGGCTGAGTCACGTGACATGCTCTGCTGGCTCTGTTGGCTCTGTGGGCTTTACTAGTAGAGCGCACAGAGCGCATAGAGCGCACAGAGCATAGACATTATATATACACCCCCATTACCCCTAGATAGCTTACACTCTCTTCGTAGCCAACTTATATTATCTATTGGACTATATAGTTCTTAGTGACAAGTGACTGTTCATACCTTGCGTGATTCACAATTAATTCATACTATCCCGATTGTTACTAGGAACTCTAATCTAGTTAGGCCCTAGTAGGATCGTTAACACTGTATTACCGCTAAATTCGGCGAGAAATTTCTCTAAACCCTACTACGTTGTGCTGTTGTTTTTAACTATAGTACTACTCTATGTCTAATATCGTAAGTCCTAGTATATGGTCTTACAGCCTTAATGCGAGGCGTAAACATTCAGCCTTACTGTTAGACACAGCCTTGGAAGAGACCGGTCGCGGGCTGCGAAGGCGCGGCTCAGGACATTCATTGGACAGATGGAAGGATCCACAAGGGAACAAGGCTGAACCACGTGATATGCCCTGTTGGCTCTGTCGGCCCTGTGGGCTCTGCCAGCAGAGCGCACAGAGCGCACAGAGCGCGCAGAGCACGAGCATTATATATACACCCTCATTTCCCC